TTTCAGTCATACCATAAAGTCACCGACTTTAAATGAAATTTAAACGTTATCCAAACATTGTGATAACTCTTGTTAAGTATTTAGTTGTTAATTAAATATATATAATTTTATTCAAATGCTAATCCTTTTAGTGCCTAGGTTTGCAGAACTGTAATAAAAGTGAAATTGGGGTTCCAATTTTTTCTTTTCTTTATATTTCCTCTTTTATTATTTTTATTAAGTGTTTTATATCAAAGAAGACTGTCAGAAAGTGTCTTTTTCCATATATATATCTAGTTTTTTCATCTTCATTGTTGGTTGAATGATAGGTTTATTTTGTTACAGTATTAACTTAAAATTTTTAGTTAATTTTTTTCTACAGTAATTTGTAAAAAAAATATGTTGATTGACCATCAAATCGATATAAGGGAAATTTAGTGCTTTCCTTATCTGTTTATTTTCATGAAATATAATACGTAAATTAAAATTAAGTGTCTTAACAAAAAGCTGTTATTTCTGATGTGCGGACAATTTTTCTTTAAAAATTATTTTATTTGTTTATAAGAAATTAACATGCTAAAATGTACTTTTCCACATAGGTCAATTTTTTCAAAAGACAAAATTTAAAAAAATTAGTTTTAGTAATCAAACAATTGAAATATATAAAAACAATTGTACAATTAATTGTCTTATTTCTTGTGATATAAGTCGTACTTTAACTTACGTTTTCTCTTGAAAATAAATATAACAAAAAAGAAAAGGATTTCTCAAAATATTGAGTTCCTAAATTAAAAAATAAATAAATTTATTATATAAATATATATATTTAAAAAGTATAAAAAAGAGCCCTTTAAACATTTGGTAGTTATAATTTTTATGGTTTGTGCCAAAATGGCTTAGAGCCAAATTTCAGAGTACCAATTTTACCCAACATCCTATTTTAGTGTAAGTATATTTTAATATATCCTAAATATTTTTAGTGTATAATGTCATTTTATATAATATGTATTTGTGTGTATGTGTTATGTGCATGAATGAAAGTGTGACTGTTACTTCATTTTGTATACTTATTTTATTTTTGTTTCATTTCTCTTTTTCTTTATGAATTTGTATGCATATATATCCTTTCAAATATATAACTATATATTTTATGCTAAGATTACAGTAATTCAGTTAAAATATCAACCTTCCGGCTCTGTAATATTAAATGGTAAACTTTTGTACCGTCATAATAAAAATATACTTAATGTGTGTTGTTTGTGGTTAAAAACAAAATTATTTGTGTTAAGTATAATAAAATAAAACTGGTTGGTTTTAAATTTTCTGATCACAATTTTCTATACCTGTGCATTAGTTGTTTATGTAAAAATTAAAATATGGGAAGCTTCTTGTGAAATTCTATATTTGCATGAACATATTTTATCAAAATACTTGGAATATATATATTATTTTTATTTTTTATTTGATTTTTTTTTTAATTTGAGCATTGTTTTAACTAATCTCTTTTTTAATTGTTCACATTAAAAATCTTTCATCTAGTTGAATCTTTCAGAAAAAATAACAGCTGTAATTTTTGTAATTGTTTATACATTTTTCTACTTCAAAATACCATGTGGTAGAAACATAATTTTGCGGCCTAAAGAGCTCGGTGACAATATTACTGCAACCTAATTATTTCACAAGTCGATTAGTCATTTACTCAAATATCAACTGTTAACTTTCCCATTTGATTTATGCATTTTTCGTTGATTTCCTTCCCACCTGTTCTTCTGTAAATAATAATTTGTAAAATTTATAGTAGATAATTAATGAACAAAAGTCAAAAACAATAATGTTGCAATAAATATTTTAATTGCTGTTTTTAGGGTAAGGAAGTAAAATATTAATGATTACAAAGTCATTTCAGAATCTTTAAGCTGTTCAGTAGTGCCTACCAAAATAAATTTGTCGGCATATGTATTAAAAAAAAAGAAAAAGAAAAAAGGGGTAATACTTTGTGACTTGAAGCATTTATCCACAATTGCTTAGTCGTAAGTAAATGTTAGATTTAAATGTATAAAAAATGGCACAATACTTAATCAAGATATAATAAAAGAGAATTATATTTGAGTGCATTATTTTATTGTTCAGTATTAATGTAAAAATGAGACAGTGTTTTGACATTCAAACCGAAACTCTACTGCCTTATTTTATACTGGTTGCTTAAAAATGACTGAATAAGTAAAATTAGGCTGCTTAATTTCTTTTAGCTCAGTTCATTTTAATTTTTATCACAGGGTTTGGATTAAGAATGGAATTTTAATTTATTAATTTTAAGAACTGAAATGTTCTAATTTTCAACAATTTATAATAAAGTATACATTAGAATTTTAAATTGTTTTATAAACAGAGAGGGCTGTGGCTTTTAAAATTATAAAGTAAACAAAACAAAGTCACAGAAATGCTTAAGATTTTAACATATATTTTGTGTCCCTGAAATATTCATCAAATTATCATATTTTTGTGGTCATATCACTCACAGTCAACTCAACAATATTTAATCTTAAGATGAACAATTTTATCAACTTAGTGAGAAGTTGAAGGTAATTGATATTTGATATATTAAGGTTTTTTTAAGGTAGAGGATAAATTTTCTTTTTGCATTAAAGAATCCAAGAGTAAATGCTTATTGATATCAAATAATTATTAAGATATGTATAAATTACCATGTTAATTGTATAAAAGACCAGTTAATAAAGGTTGTCCTGAGTGTCACGGATGCTGATTAATTATAAATCCTTTTAGTTTGAACTGAACACAAATCACATTCTTTCGTATAGGTGAGGAATAATGGTTACAAAACAAACTTAACCAAAAATTAGACATTAATAATACATAAGTTTCCTTTCATTTTGTATATTGAAATTGTTGAAAGTATAATGTGCAGTAAATAGTCAGGTGGTAAGTATAAATGTGAATAAATCATTGCCTGGGGTCTCGGATGAGAAAACTGGTGCTGGATTGTCGTAATAATTATATGTCCAGTAAACAAAATTTACATTTATTACTCCCATCCAGGAAATTTAATTTAACTGCTGTGAAGAGGTGAGTACTGATTTATTTTTTTTACATCTAAAAATAAGGTACTGTAGAATATATTTAATTTTTTGTTTTACAAATAAACTACATTTTTAAGCATACATAAGGATGATAGTTAAGTTAGCATGGAAATATATATTAGGTAGGAAGACAACATTCAAAATTGAAGTGTTAAAGAGATAAAAATTTCTTTTTGTAATGAAAGTTTTTTTGATTCTGAATTCAATGATGGTTTTCAAATTTGGAGCATCCATTCTCAAGTTATTCACACAAAGCGTTTTTTGAACACTGTTTTTTGGATAAATGAAATTTCAAACTTCTACAATCAAGAACCAATTTATTTATTTACCCTTTTAATTGATAGTAAATTAATTACTCATGGTACCTGAAGAAATTTTTTTCCCCTGCATTAAGCATTGATTTAGAGGATGCTGTGGATGTATCTGTTTAAAGTGTGATTCAGCCTCGTGAAAATTTCGATCCACAAATTCCAACTTAAAGGAATTAATGTTTAACAATTGATGTCATCTCACCATTTGACATCAAATATAACAAAACTTTTTGACTCGTGAGAAACGACAAAAATATTAGTTTGCATGTTTTGGGTACGCTTTACAGAGAGAAAAAAATATATATATACTTATTTTGAAGTTCCTTCCCCCTCTATATATTTAAAAAAAATGTTTCTTGATAGTAGCACAGAATTCCAGTCAAAAAACCCTTCAAAATAAGGCATACAAAAAAGTTCTTCATCTGTAAAAAAGGACAATAATGAAAAAAAATTTTTTTTTAAATAACAGTTGTTTAGAAACTCAATCCCATACCCAGCTGGCTAGTGATCTAGGTTTTGAGAAATCATGTCATTATGTGGGATGTAGTATAAATGGACGTCTTCATTGATGGCATATTTTGTGGCAATGTCTGCATTTCCCAAACAAAACTCAAATTTCTGTAATATCCTAAAACATGGCTGTTTTCAGAAGGGGTCCATTGATTGCTAGGTGTGCTGATAGCAAGTCTGTCCATATTACCAGTAGATTATTCAGTGGGGCAACAAAATTCAGGCATTTCTCTGCAGTTTAGTTAATACAGTGCTTTTGAAGCAAGAACATGTATGTATGATTGGCCACATGTTGCACCAATAGACACAGGCACAGGTTGTTACAAAGCCGGCTCCTACTCTAATGTTAAATTTAATTAAGTTTACTTTATATATGCACATCAGCCTCCAAAGGTGAAGGTCAACTGCACAAGCAATACATCATAGCCAAAAACCATCAATAGTATGCAGACCGAGTAACTATGACCATCATTCGCATGAGCAAAGTAAAGTAAAATAGATTCTTCAGACAATTAAAAATAAATCCTTCAATCAAATACTAGCTAACTGGACACTGCAGGCTCTGGATATATATCCAGCATGTGCATCTGCACACGCATAAGATTGTCAGGAAGAAGAGGAGACAGCAGAACATGACATGTCGCATTTGTATTGGTGTGAAGGCTTATATATTCTGAGATTTCTACTCCTGTGAGAGGAAAAGCCAGGGAAACATTGATAAAGCTTTGGAATCTAGTAAAAAACTTAATGAGATCTAGACCATGATACAGATTCCACAATAAACCAATATTGATCACTGAGTAAGATTGGAAATTCCGTTGTCAAGGAAATCATTGAACCAAATGTCTATTATAATAATTTTATCTTATATAAATAAAGTCGTAATATTGTTAATAAGGCGGGTAATCAACCAGAAGCTAGAACAACCATGCATGAGAACGAAGGATTCCGTGATTTAAGCTGACGAAGTCAGACAAATTGCTAAAGGATGAAAAATTCTCTTAATGTCCTTTATGTTGGACAGTTTAAAAACCTTGTTATGATATTATTCTAAAGGGTGTTCATCAAAAAATCGGCTAAAAGGCATAATCCAGTTGGCAATCACAGCCATCTGATGGTGTGCGCGTGCCACCTAGTGTCGAATAAAAAATCACTAAAAAGTAAATACTGGTTGATTAAAATTAATTATTGGTTTGAGTACAAACAACTTTCGTCCTTATTGATAAAAGGGATTCTTAAAAAAAAAAGGTTTTTTGCTGTAACTTTTTCAACCCCTACTTTGTCATATTTTACATGTCTTTGTGTAACAAGAGCCTTAACAGTTACAAGTTTACAACAGTTTAACCACAAAACCATGGATGTCACGGAGTCGAAAGGTAAGATTTTCCTTGCTAAGACGAAATTTTTCGTGGTGAATTTTACTGCATATCAAGAAACAAAATTATTAAGTACAGCAGAAAACGTACAATCAAACAATTAAGATTTAGGTTAGCACATTGTTTATTTGTGTAGAGGTTGCTCTTGGACAACCAATTAATACTGTTTGTGTAAGTAAACAAATTTAAAAAATGACGGTTTTCGAATTTTACTTTTTACGAATTACGTATTGTCCCACTATTAGTATTATTTTAATCGTTCACTATGTTAAATCATCTTCTGGTCATGTCTCTAACTTTATGCTGAGCGTTCGTTCAATATTCTTTTAGTGAATTGACATATTGATAGATTCGGAATAGCTAGACGTGCTGACTGTCCTTAGGCGATTTTTGCAAGCCTGCAAAGTTGAGAACGGCAATCTGTAGCGAATAGTGTGCATCATAAGATGATATTGACAGCAGAAAACCTTGTCAAATTTGTCACATTCAAGGGTGAATCACCATTAACACACATAATAGAAATTAAAAAGTACACAAAAAAGTTTTGCAAGAGCTCTGTTTGTGACAAACTAAAGATCACCTGGAAACCTTCAAAACCTTATCAACGGGTGTTTGGTCAAAAAAATTAATTCATCTGCAATAGATCGAGTTCTGCCTGTATTAATTTAAAAAACTCATTCTATCATTTTTTGTAAAATTGAGAGTGTTACAGAAAGATCTAAAATTCACTTCTGACCTATATTCAGAACAGCAGCGCACAAGGTTTTGTATAGGCGTTGATCTGCTTTCATGGCTAAAATGTTTTGTTAAAACAAGTGCATATTTCCTGTACCACACATTCTGAATTCCCGGCCTTCAGCCTACCAAATCAACTGAGCAATAGCCCAATTCCTTCAAGGAAAAACTTTCATATATTGAAGGTCATAAGAGGACTGCGGTGGTCGAGTGCTATGCTAACGGTTCTACCCAGATTGGAACCCTCCAATCCTGGCAGAGCCTAGGCTTTTTAATTAATAATAGTGTGTAGAGATTAGTGACAATTAATCGATAGTTATTCAGATATCGTGAGATCTGAATAACTATTAATAGTAGTATGAGATATTGCAAAGTGGTTTGCCCTCTCGCCTGTGACACCCAACGTGTAGTAGACATTAAATCTTTATATTACTTTACATTGGAAGCCATAAAAAAATGTTCGTTGATTAATTGATTGTACTCACCTAAAAATATAGATTGTTTTATTAGCTAGTCACCATTTTTATGAGCCGTAATATAATCTGTGCAACATGTTTGACAAATTAAAATGTTATACGTTAAAATATATGTTCTTAAGATTAAGGGCATACGTATAACAAAAACAGGAATAACAAAAATATTATGTATCTATTTTAAAATAGGTACAATTTACTTATATATTATCAATACGACAGCAGACAGATGATATCATCTTATCTATTATTAAACAGACTGCTTAAGGGATTCGTAAACAATTGTAAACAAAATTGGTAGTGGGTGTTGGTCTGTGAATCAATGAACAAATGTTAAACTGGCACTGATCAAAGAGCAAACAATATAAACAGAAATATCCAACTAGAGACAGTATTATCTAAAGAAATAACTTTTTGTTAAATATTTGGTTTAACAAAATAGAAAAGAAATAAAAAAAATTAACATTGTGAAGGTGTTTTATGCAGTAAGAGATTATAAAATAGAAAGAAAAAAATCATTTTTTTATACAACAAAGTAATTTTTGTTTTTCTCTGTTGAAATCACATTTGGGTATATTCTTTTATTCATGAGCTGAATGCAAATTAATTCATTTTCAAAATGTGTACTTTCAGGATTTTACAGATTTAATGGAAGTAGTGAAAAGAATTTAGATATGTTTCCTCCACCACCACAAACTTATGTTCCAAGCTCGCCCACTTTTGACACTCTCTATGGTAAACCAGTTCAAAATATAAAAAGTGTCCCATCGGCTCATTTCAGCTGGCAGGGAAGGAATTGGAGAAGCGATGACGAGACGTGGCATGCACCCAAGCAAGCTGTCCTTCCTCCAATAGGTGTTTTCTGGGATATTGAAAATTGTCAGGTAAATTTCAGTCAGAGAATAAAGTTATTCAAAAACTAGCAACAATTTTTTTATTCACTTGTGTCAAATTGGATTATCTGAAAATTTTGATCTAATTCTAAATCTAATTTTGATTAATTATACAGATTCCCCATGGGAAATCTGCATTAGTTGTTGCACAGGCAATAAGAGCTAAATTTTTCGAGGGATACCGTGAAGCAGAATTCCTTGTTGTATGTGATGTTAAAAAAGAGAGCAATCAAGTCATTCAGGAATTGAATGATGCACAGGTAACAGTTTCACTTTGTAACAATAATTAACATTTTGTAATAGTTTTTCTTTCTTTTAAAATTAGGTTAATTTGATGCATGTGTGTTCTAAAAGTAAAAATGCCGCTGATGAAAAATTAAGACAAGCTTTGAGGAGGTTTGCTGAAATCCATAGTTTTCCCTCTGCGATAATTTTGATCTCGAGTGATATTGATTTTGCCACGGACCTTTCGGATTTGCGGCATAGGTAATATAATTTTTTTAAATAAACATACAAAAACAAAATGACAAAAATGAAACAGACAGTAAAGATAACTAACCGTTTTAATAATTCACTTAATAATTATTTAAGCACTCTGGAGTTCTCACTACAGTGAAACACTGTACTTTTATGTTAGCCACTTTTTTTTATACAAGTTAAAATAATGACATTATTCAGTTATGCTTAAATTTTTCTTAAAACTGAACCATTTTTACTTTTGCAATGTAAATTTTAATTTATGATTTAAACTATTTTAATTTCTTGTTTTCAATTTTAGGAAAAAGATACATATAATTTTATTACATGCAAACTCATGTTCAGAGTCATTAATAATGTGTGCCAATGAACATTATAATTTTGGGGAATTGGTGAACCCCTTACCATCTAGAGGATCATTTCAGGTATTAAAACAAATTAATTATATAAAATATAAATGTTAATGTCATATGTTATGTCATATACATACAATATGTATTGATGTGTGTATTAGTGTAAAGAAAGAGAAATAAAATTTAAAATAAGGATATTCTTCAAAATAATAATTTACCATAGTAAAATAGAGTACTATCTATACAATATTTGGTTGAATTTGAACATTTCTTTATTAAAACTGGAAATTGTAAAATTTGAATATATAGGATTGTTGTTTTAGGACACTGATCAAACAACAGAGCTTGTTGTTTGGTATCCTTACAATTGTGATACCAAAAAAGTGAAAATGAGGTTGAAATATCTTTCTCAGAATTGCGGTGGAAAGATATCGTTTGTATCTGAGTTTTATGCGATTATTTCATTCCCAACAATGGATTCAGCGATAAGGTAAATTTTTGTGTTAAAAAAAGAGTGTATATTTCTGACCTGTATGTATTGATTTAAACTTTATTAACTGCAGGGCTCACAAGAGAATGAAAGGAGAGACATTATTTGGAAGTGAGATTACAATAACTACCCCACATTTGTTTCTAAGCAAGAAAAATAATGGTAAACTTACATTTTCATCAATTTTTTACTGAACAATAAATTGTAGTGATCATTTTGTAGGTTCTTATCCTACGTTTACAAGTTTTGATGGATTGGAACAAAAAAGTAGAAAGCGTTCATTGCCATTATGGTACACACCAGATGAAAGGTTGGAAAATGTATTTACATTGTTATTATTTCAGGGCTTTATTATACAAAAATATTATTTTTTTAAATTCTGTTTTTTAGACATTTCAATGGAGAATGCAAAAGTTTCAATGAAATTGGAACTTACAATACACCGCAAGAATTGCTTAATAATTATGTTTATATGGGATTTAATGTGACAAATGAATTATTTGTCTCTCCTTGGAACAGGCCTCACATAATTACAGTAAAATTTTTTAATACTAAAGTAGTGTATATAAAAATTAAGTAGATTTACACCGAAACTTACATACCCATACCATTGCACTAGTTAAAGTTAAATTTATCATGTATTTCCAACAAATGCTTTTAAATTATGATATAGTTCATTGTACTCAACATTTAATTGCCATCCTTATGCTAGGATTCATATTAGTACTTATATGGTACTTAGCCATACCCCGTCAAATATGCTTGGAATTTTTTTTTTTTCGTTTTTGTCTAGAAAATGTGTCATAGATTAGACATGATAAGATTCCAGCTATTTTGAAGTGCTTTTGCCTTATACGTTGTGTTCGTCCAAGCCTTGTCTAATTGAAGCAAAACTTACTTTCTATTCACCTAAACTTGGTATGACCTATCCAAAACAGGATATAGCATTCAATTTCTATAGAGTAAGAACTGGGAGGGAAAAAATTCAGAACATTGTCATAAAGTATAACTTTCAAAAAAAGCCTTTTCCTCTGGTGCCTCACTGTTCGCTAGAAGTATGAACCTGAACATTGCTATCTTGGCAGGATTGTATCACCACTATCAAAATTTCCCTACCTCTGCACAGTCTGTTCACCAAACCCATGGTTTGATCACTTGTAATTTTTTCATTTCATCTAATAGTTCCAGTCAGTCTTTCATGAATTTCATGCAAACAAGGTTCTTTGGATGTCATGATTCCAAAATTCAGATTTAATAAGAAATTTCAATACCTGATAGAGCAGACTGGAAGAAAGTGTCTCAGTTAATGCCAATTATGTTTGGTATTCAAATAGCTCCAAGGCCGAGTATGCGTTAATAGCTCTTTGGAAATAAAATATAATTCATATAACCCTTGGGCAATTTGCTACTGTATTTTAGGCCAAGACAGTGCCCAATGTGCCAGAGAGATGAGATCAAAAGGCTGAGTAATACAAAAATAAAATAAAAAATCCTTGTACAAGAAAGAAAAGAAAATTATCCTTGTTTTGATACGAGGGTCAACAAGAAGGTGGATAAATTGGCCAAAGAAAGTTCAATTAGGGACTATCAGCCCAAACATTTTTGTGGCATTTGTAACTGCCAAGAATGTCAGACAATAGATTAGCAATAAGTCCTCCATTTAGTAGGAATGCATTTCAGGACAGAGGTATGACAATAATGGAGATTGCACAATAAACCAATATTGGTCATGGAGTAAGATTGGAGGACAAAATTGTCCAGAAAATCATTGAACATTCGGAAAAGTTAAAAATATTTTTTTTTTTTTTGCTCACCCTTATAATATGCAAGTCAATTTCTTTTTTTAAAATCACTTTTGTATTGATGACTAATTATGTTAATTTGTTAGGCTATTAGAAAAATAATTACACTACTTCTTATATATTTTTTTTTTTTTTAGCAAAATGAACAAATCATAAATCCTTCTGGTGCAGGTAATCTGTCTATTGAAGAAATATCAGAGCAATCTTCTGCATTTGAACGCTTCAAAAATAATCACAGTGGATTTAGTTGTATGTTCAAAGAATAATTGCTTATTTGTGAGTTGATTATAATACAATAATGTACTTTTCAGGCAATGAAACAGCCAATTCTGAACTGAAGATAAGTGTTTTGTCTAATTTCCATCCAGTAAACAATGGAATAGATAATGTAACTCATCAGTGCGACCCATTGATAAATAGTACCAAAGACAGGCAAACAGCATTCGAAGTTTTAGTGAGTTAATAAATAATGCAAATTGGTGAGAATTTTGAGTTGTCACTTTTATTATTATTTTTTTTAAGTTATCAATTGATGAAAGTTCTATGCAATCATCTGTGAGTGAAACATCCACTGTACAAACCGATAACGAAATTGCAAGCTCTTTAAAGCCACCAGTTGAAAGATTATCGTCTTTACTGTACAATAATAGCAAGGAGAAACTTGCTGTTGCAAAAGATTCCATTCCTGATGATTCTATTTCCACCAGACAAAACAAACATGTAAATACTTTTACATTCAATGCTTATTTTAAATATTAAAATATCGCATAAATTACAATTTTATTTTAGAAAATTATGGGTCATTGCTTGAAACACACGAAAAAAGAGTGTGTTGAAGAGTGCAATGATATGACAGTTTCACCACTGTCAAAAATAGTAATCTGCCTTAAGACATTTTCAAAAAATGTTCGCACACTTCTACATTCCCATGATAACATCCTCCCGCTCCAAAGGTAGACTTATTTTTATCTTTTATCTCCTCATTTATTAGTATAATGTTGCTTATAGTTTATATAATTTAATTTCTTTATTTTTTATGTGACTCAAGTTTTTTTTATTGTTACACAACTGAATTTGGAGAGTTGACAATAAGTGATGAAGGGGTACCATTGGAACACCTGGTCACGTGTATCGACAACGTTGAGCTATCTGTGTCAAATGGTATAAAATACTTACAACAGTCAATTACTAAAATGAATGAAGAGTTTGTGGATACAGGTTGGTCTCTAACATCACATTTTCAATTTCTTTATATTAGGCCAATTGCAATGTTTTTATTACAAGAATACTTTATTATAACATTGTTAATTGTTTTCAGGTAATCTCTTACCATTTCGCAGCGAAACATTAACAAATGCGCTAACAATTTTTTGCTGTGAGGTCATTGACTTGATAAAGACTCAGCCATATTGTCAAATACCATTTGATAAATTCATTAAATGTTATAATCATTATTATGGAAGACAATGTCATCTGGCTGATTATGGGTTTGCTCACCTGAAAAGTTTATTTGAAGCTGTAGCCGATGTGATCCAGGTAACATATTTTTATATATGTCCATTTATGCTCTTATCAAATTATATTAGTAGAAATTCCTTTGTATTTATATTATACTACAAAAACAACATTTATTATTGGTGATAATCCTATCAATTGAATAGACCCCATCTACATTAATAATATTTTTATTGTATTTTTTAATCTTATTTTTAGGTAATGGGCGAAAGTAATTCAAAAATAATCACACTGACACACAAGACACAGATGAGGAGGTTCTCTTTGGATTTTGTTAGAATATTACGGCTCCAAACTGACCAAAAAATCTTGCTATCTGAACTTCCTTCAATTTTCGAGAACATCCTCTTACATCCTTTCAACCCGGTTGACTATGGTGTTTGTAAAGTTGAAGACCTCATTAGTTGCATTTCATCTAGTCTTTTAACTAGCCCAGCTGATAATGACATTATAATTTATTTAAAAACAAAACAATCAAAAGATAAGACATGCAAACTCAACAAGTCTCAATGTTTGAAGGTAAGGTTCTTTACAACTTCTCTATATTTAAACTATTATTCATATTTTATTTAAAACACAATTAATTTATTTTCCTTCTTATATTTAATTGACAGGCTACAGAGCATAAAATCTGTCTATAATATACTATCTATTGAGACAAAGTTAACATTAATGTTATTAACATTAATTTCATATAATAATAATTTTGTTTTAGAAAGGAAAAAATAAAAAGGAAAGTCAATCATTAACTGAAAAATCTGATTCAGTGAGTAATATTTTTATTTGATTTACATATCATAATAATTATATACTCATGTCTTATATTTAGGTGGTTACCAAATTATCTAATCTGTCAATTGCTCCATCTGACGTTCATCAACCGTCTTCATGTTCTCCAAATTCATCTTTACAAGACAAACCTACAACTTCTAAGTCCAAACGATCTCAATGGGAAACTTTATTGGATTCTCCGCCTTGTGATAACACTGCAAGCTCATCCACCAGTGATTTACCACCGTCAACAACTAGCCACACTAAGAAAAATGGCCAATTAATCATTTCACCGGACCCTTCAATACTTCCACATCCAAATATCCATCTCAAATCCAAGTTCGTAAAAGTAATATAGGATACTAAAAACGCATATCGTAAAATTCACATCTCAATTTTAATTTGTAGGCCCTGGATCCGGCATGTAGAACACCAAACATAAAGATGTAAATTTGATATCACCACCAAATAGTGGTAATAATTGTAAGTATGCTTTGTTTTTTTTATTGAAAACATATATTTATTTAAGTATATTTTCGTATTGTTGTGTTGTTTCAACGTGCTAGATCATTACAAGCAACTTTGTTCTCTTAATTGAATTCTAGTTTTCAAGAGTGGATAAGTAACCCATTAGATACCCTCCTATCCCAAAACTCTACCCTTTCCTTATTTGGGAGGGAAATCTTGAGGCAATTAGCATGTAAGCATCTTGGAGGATTGCCAGGAAGGGTTCACGGTTGGAGTTGAGGTTCAGATGAGGGTTTCTAGGAATTGGAGGAAATATCAACTTTTTGTGGTTTTGAACAGAAATGGGATTTGCGGGTCTGTGTGAATAGTATGAAAGTCCATAAGTTTCTATTTAAATAGAATAAGTTGATTAATTTGAAATTATTTTGAACTTATTGTTAGACCTTGTGAACTTATTTGTACTTACTAAATTTGTTTTATCTTCTATTCTGCCAGAAAATCTTTTCAAGTTGTTAGGGTTTTTCTTTCTTTTGTGTCAAAGTTGCAGTTGTTAGTTGCTAATTGGAATTGTTTTCCGATGCTGGTCGGTGTTATCTTTGATGGGTTAAGTCTTAGTTTTTTAATGTTGCTTGTTCTAGTCAGTTATTCTGCAAATTTAAAAAATACATATATTTTTGTAAGGAAGGCAAGAAGATTGGCCGGAATGTTTGTAAAAACTGTACGGTTAAGACCTCAACAAGAAATCTTTTATCTTGCATTCTTTACTTATCTTCTATTTTTCTCGTAAATTTTTAAGTTAATTTAATTTTTACCACTAGTAGGTTACTTTATAAGAAAAATTCACTTATCATTTTTTAGGTTCGCCGAGATTGGCTGCATAATTGACTCCTGACGATAATGAACAACGATAAATGTATAATTACTTTTAAATTGCAGTTCCTCAACCCGGTTATATTACTGGTGATATTGTGATATGATAACTTAATTTTTCTCAATTTGATTTACCATTAAGGATATTTTAATCTATTCAAACTTTAAAAATTTTAATGCCAATTAACTGACAATTTGTATTGTACTTCAGTTATCTTGACATAGTGTGAGAAACTTCAAACTTTGGTTGTCCCAAAAAATGTTTGAATATTCAATATATTCACATTGAAATATTTACATTCAATATATTGGATATGTCAATATTTAGGTATAAATTTGGTAATTTGAAGTTTTCAAGAAAGGGTTTGAACGTATAGAATCCGCAAGTGCACTCTACAATCATTTTAATATCTCTTTTAAGTAATTAAAAGATTTTTCAGTACAAATTAAACCATTTTTCATTATGTATTTATGTTTTTATATTATATGTAAATACTCTTTTTTTCTTTTTTCTTTTTTTGTCAGTTCAGATTAGAAACTTATCTCCCTTAAACCAATCTATTTTCTGCTTGAATTTGATACTTTATAAGTTATCTCATTACTTATTTTATCTAATTTTTGTAATGTACGAGATATAATTATAGTATATTGTAACAATTGATTGTTCGGTCATTTTGCAATATTGCAGTGACCATGTCATCATACTCTATTTATATCACTATAATTACAAAATTATGTACATCAAGTGAGATTGTAATAATTACATTATGATTGGTGCGTAGAGGAGAGATATACGACTTGTATCTATAAATTCAGTCATTCCAAATACAAAAATAAGTAAAAATTCCAAAAAAAAAGCACAATGTTTATAACTTTGAGTGTGAAACTACTTTAATAGAGTACAAAGATAAATTGAATTAAAAATAGTGGATAATGCTCAAAATATTAAAAAAGTTATTATACAGCGGTGATTTTTACTTAAATAAATTTTTGAGGGGTAATGTTGTTAACTTGCCCATTTTACTTGTTCTTTAATCACCATTGACTGACTATCATATAAAATAATTTATGTATAAATATTATGTTTATATTTGAAATTGTTACTCAACAACAAATCATCAGACCTAGGTTTTATGTGTAAATCACAAATGAATTATAATATGTTATTGTAATTTGTTAATTATTTACATTTCATTTTAGAAAGGTAAGTTGATGATTTATTATGTGATTGTTTTATAGAAATTAGGCTCTGTTGACCAGGGAAAATTGTTGTTGTTATGTTCTAATTTAATCTCAAATTGTACAAATAACTTTTAAACCTTTTTTTAAGTCAATTGAGTGGTGTTGTTCATAATTGTTTTACATGATCATTTTTTTTTCTTCTTTCTTTTTTTTTTTGTAAGCGATCAATTGAAAATATTTACCTGTATCTGACCAATTACCTGATCTGAACGCGTTAATAAAAAAATATTATTTCTTAAAAATTTATAATTAAATGTAAATAATCTTTTAACTGTGTATATGCCAATAAATGGTGACAACTTGAAACATGTCAGCCTCTTTTCAAAATTGTAAATATATATTAAAAAAAAAAAAAAAATAGAACGGCTTATTTTTTAAATATTGTAAATTCTGTAGTGGAGGAAATGGTGTAATTTATTTAAATTATGTAATTGAAATAAACCATTTAAAAGAGTTGATAAGTGGTTTAACTTTGTGATTTTTGATATTTGTTATTGAGATCAATCTTAAGACTGGGTTAAAAAAATTATAAAGTGAACTATTCATGAAAAATTCTTATTTCTTTTTTTTTTTTAAATGTGCCTCCCTATTGATCTCACCATTGCACTGTAGAAATCCCCTTCCCAGGAACCGCTAGTATATTTCCTGTGGAGTTGACCACCCACCATACCGGGTCCGCCGAGAGAGATCAGACACAACCAATATGTTATCTGCATGGACTCAGCCAATTGGACGTCTGTGTAACTTCACAGGAAAGAAATCATTATTGCCTGGATTCTAGGCCATGTTGTCATAGAAAGTAGAATGATGAATAATGCAAAAGCAGACCAAGCAGCAACGATGTCATATGACCTCATTCTCCTACCGCAATGAGCATATTCTGTGAGCCAAATATTATATAAAAATTTATCCATATAATAATATAATCCATATATTCATTTAGCGGTCATAACTGACCATATTAATTATTTCAATTCTTTTATTCTTTTCATCTCAACCAAGTCCTTAGATAAAAAGAATAATTAATTTAAAAAGTTATATGGAAAGATTGGCAAATCGTTATGATGTAGTGACCTACAAATTAAAGAAATAAAACCTTTGGTCAAATTGTGGGCCATGGAGAACAGAAAAAAATAGCGTGAGAACTTAGCGCCGCACAAAACAAAGTGGCTTGACCATAAATATCAAAAACATTCCAATAGACAGCGTCAATTTGATTGAATACCTGAATCGGATAAATGCAAGTGGTCATTTTTGATGGCTTCCGACCATGTGGTTTTTCCCATCTAGGAGGAATGTATTTATTATTTTGAGTGAATAGGTGGGTTTGTGGCGGATAGAGTATCAAACAGGCCCACAAAATTAGGCTAGTCTTTTTAGGGTAAATGTGTTTAGAGAGAAGTGAAAGGGGGCAGGCACGCACATAAAAATAAATGATCTTGACTTACGTAAATATCAAATAAAAATCAAATTTTATCTGTACATATATTGTATCAATGTATTTATTAGATCGAATGTTTTTGTATGTGTGGCAGAATATACAATAAACAAATTAAAACGAACCACAGACCCATCAACCTAGGTTAGTTGGTGTGTGTGTGTGTTTTTTTTTGTGGGCAAGAATAATAAACTTTTTTTAAATGTTAGAAATTCTATATAGCTAAAGGAGAGGAAAAAGGCGATATACATCTACCATTTTACAATTTTTGTTGTTGTCATTTCTCATTTTTAAAACTAATTAAAATTAGACAGATTACTCTCGCTTTTGTAAAGGAGAAAGACGTTCCTGATTTCTCTTGACAATAGATGAATAGACAATATTCACTAATGTTTTATTTTCACCTCTGTCTCTTTTGACGTCTTTTAGCTGGGAAACCTGAAGAACACTGATTATTTTAGAATGGTTTATTCAAATATTGAATATTATTAAAACAAACACAAAACTTAAAGGTGCATTTGAAAAGTGGGTCTTATGCAAGACAAGACTTAATGAAGCACTCATCAATACCTTGTAGAAAAGAACAATCAGATTTCTTGCCTTGATTTGTCCAATTACTTTGTTTTGCTTTATCACTTTTTCTTACACTGTGCTTTACTTTTTGAATTTACAAGAAAATAACGGTATCGAAACCTAATATAGTACAATGTTGTGGCAGGTCCAGATTATACCTTTTAGGAATAGAATACATAATGTAGCTTGATAGTCTCTGATCATCCTGCTTATTTTTGTATGAGTGTTTAAAGTGTGAAAGGTATGAAAAGCACACCAGACAAACCAACCACCAAAGGTTGCAAAATACGTACAGAGATTAGGCAGATCAGGATGATCAAAGACGATCAACCAGCAATTTATATTTTGTTATACAAAAAATATTACTCAAGATTAGGATTTTAAATATAATTTATTGGTTTAATGTAAAAACACATTACTCCAGTTATATTTTTGTTATTACATACAATTGTTTGTTTTTATTCATACTTTAAATTTCCGTAATGATAATAATGACAAATTTTACATTAATACATTTTTAAATTGAAAAAGACTAGTTTTGTAATCACAACATATACTTTGCTGTTATTTAAAGCTGGTACACTTAAAATGACATTACATTACACATATAAAATATAATAAAAAGTTTAGCATTTTTTGTTATATTTTTTATTTAGTTAAATTGAAAAGACAAAACAAATGAAATGAATAAACATTCATTAGTTTATTTTACAAACTACATTAATGTTCCTTGCGTTAAATGTGTTTCCGTAATCACAGCAAAGTACAATATACATACATACGTATAATATATATATTATATATATATTATTTTTTTTAAATTGCACATATCAAATGTACTGTTTGAGATCATTAGCTTTTTAACTATCTAATATTTGCGATGTTGAAATAATTCTATTCGGTTGTATTTTAACATTGTTTTAAAATATTAATTTTTCAACAGACTAGATAAAAACTTACCTTTTTTCCATTCGAAATCGAATTAATTTTTTAATTTTCTTTAAAGCCATCACTAATTAAACATATCATAATACTAGCAATAGTTAAAAGTATTGAACTGCAATGATGACACAAAACATTAAACGTTTGTAAGTCTTAATTAGCTTAACAATAAAATATTTAATTACAAAGATTTCTGGAATTGATAATTAATTCAAATTGCAAAAGGAAATTTCATTCATACATTATTTTATTTTAATTTTTATAAATATCTAATGTCTATCTCTTCATTTCATTGAAATTAGATGAACATTTAAAAATTACCATAAGATGAACCGGAAACTCGATGTCCTTGTAAATATGTTTGTTGCCAATAAATAATTGAAATAAAACAAGGCAAATTTGGTCCACCAAAAGATTTTTCTTGGTTACATTATTATACACTTTCCTTTCTCCGCCCAGGGGTTGTTCTTTTTGTCTGGTGCATGGATGAGTGGATCATTCTTTTCATTCTCTTCCACGTACTCCCGCATCCTGGAAGAAAGGAACATTGTTGAGATTTTACAAAGGAACATTTATCAATAAGTCATCCATGCTGATACTGATGACTTCATCTGAAAACAATAGTAATAATTTAGGACAGTTTATCAAAATTTATGTACAACTTTCACTCAATCAACATTGAAAAAATAAATAGAATTACTCTAGTTGACATTGATCGACCTACGTAGTTTAAACTGATGTTGTATTGGATCTTCTTGACTTCAAGAAGATCCAATACAACATCAGTTTAAATAGAATTACATTAAAAATTATAATAACCAATTGACATTCAAAAAGTAGTCAGTCTTATTGAATTCCCTCATTCAGTAAATAGTGAATAAATAAAATTACTATTTGAAAAGTAGTAACATAGTTTGACTTTGTGATATTATTGTTTCAGACTGTGGCTGTCATCAGAGTCTATTATTAAAATTAGTTGAGGGTACTTTGTTCCTAGACATGGGGTACAATAATTATGACAATTATGTAAGCTAATTTTTAGTCCAAAGATGACAGTAATTTTAGATAATTGTGATGGCGATTATCTATACTCAATTATCTATAGCATACGGATTTTATTAAAACTACCAATAATGACAATTTTTCAGGCTAAATTTAATTTCCTGATACCTGGTATCCCAGATAGCGATTATTGATTTATACAATCTTAAATCTGCATGCATGCACAACACACACATGTACAGAGTTGAGTGTCAACAGCTAAGTAGTGGATGCAGTTCCTAAATCCAAAACTATTCACACTCTCAATTAAAAATACATTTTTCCTATTTTCCATGCACCATCACCTCCATAGCTTCTCCGGAGAGAAAATGTTGCAGGGATATATCGCTCTCTTGTTTTTCTCCAAACCCTCTCTTGGCAATCAGAAGACCTCAAACTGACTCATCTGGCAAGATTTTAGCCAGTTGATGTGATTTCTAGCAAAACTAAACCGAGCTGTTCTGTGCCTTGTCAAAAGTTCTGGACCAGTGGATCGCCTTCTCGCATGTAATCCAGCTTCTTAAAGCCTTCACTTGATCTCTCCTGAGATGTGGCATGATGGTATCTTGATAACGACGGAAGACTCTTTGAACAGTTGTTCTGGAAATGTAACCAACCTGACCACATACGTTTCACTTTCCCATCTTCCAAAATACTATGATACTAGCCGAATCTATATCACTTAAAACCATCACTCAAACAAATTTGAAACTTAAAAAATTAAACCACCGGAACATTAGTAAGAGCTTTACAGAAAAACCAAGAAAGAAGAGATTGTTTATCCAAATTTTTATTTTCAAAATTCAAGTGTAACCACAAGTGGGAGATTTTATCTGTGTTTTATTTACCTCTTATCCTTTAAAACAGACCAAATATTGTAAAATAATCAATGGAGGATTGTCTAACATATAATTACAAATATTAAGGGTGGCTGTTTTTTTTTTTTTTTTTTTTTTTTTGTATTATATAACTAATATAATTGAGGTTCAATGGGGTAATCAATATTCGGCCATTGGCCTTATCACAGAACACATTCACGCTAATAAATACATTCAATTTCAATATATACACAGAAACACAAAAACGAGATATCTAAAAGTACTATAAACTGCACAACAGTCCTGTTTTGTCCAAAACTCAGAACAGGGGATCGAAATACTAGCTACTATGACAAGAACAATTCTCATATCAACTCATATCGGGTGGTATTTCTATATGGAGCCAAGGAATGGCACCCTTCAATTAACTGGGACACATCAACCTTCAGTTTTTAGATGGTTCTACTCGCAGATTTATTTTTTACAACTATCCGGATTTCGATTTCGAACATTAAATGCTCATCATCAGGCTGCAGGAGTTACAAACTCGTCTCTCGTCGTTCCAAAGAGAAGCTGGATTTAATGCCACTCAATTTTGAATGCGCGAAAAACGTGAATTACATTACTTTTAATTTTAATAAATATGTAAGAAAATAATTTTAAATTAGTGATTAATTTGTATGTTGAATATTATTTATTATTATTTTTTTAAGAGGATTCAGCAAAGGTCATACAAACCATCAGGGTGCCGGTGTTTTTGAAAAGACAGTGATGAGCGCCGTATCAACGCCTAAACCGTTTTGCAGGCACCGACGCCCCAAAGTACATATTTAAAATTCGGGAATTCGGGTTAAATAAAAATCTGGGATATTTTTTATACATTTATTTACATGTTTAATCTTGAAACTTCCATTTATTTAACATCTGCTAATTATAGAAAAGAATTGCAAACAATTAAAAAGGGGTGCCAGTGGCCCCTCGGTTTAGGCGTTGACACGGCGCTCATCACTGTAAGGTAAAGGACCTGTGTTCGAATCCAGCGGCCCTGCATTGGAAACCAACAAATTTACAAATTTATTAAAAAAACATCCACACTCCGAGGGTTGATATGTCCTGTGCTGTTGCAAACCCTGGTAAAAAAAAATAAAACCTTGGCTAAAATCAGTGGATATCAAGAAAAAGAAGAAGACAAAAAAGAGGTATGTATTCATTTAGAAAAGTAAAGTAACTAGATTGGTGTGAGAAATTTGAAGTACAAAAATGTAAATATGGAGATAATTGTATAAATAATACCACAGATTTTGATCCCCCTCCCAATTTTAAACATCATTAAACTTTGTACGAATTAATCTCTAATTTAAAATAATTTCCTTACAGTAGTTATTAGGATAATATTTTTTGTTTAATTTTAATATTTGTTTTGTGATTCATGACAATTCACTTCGAGGGGTGTGTGTTTGTAATTTATTCAGCCTGACGGTGAGCGTTTAATTCTCAAAATTTGGATAGTTTTAAACAACAAATAAGTGAGTAGAACCATCATTCATAAAACGTGAATCAACATACTCACCCCACCTTTATTATTTCTATCAAGGAACTTTACTCTAATGCCCGATATATAAGTGGGCGATAGCCCATAAGTAAATGGCTGAATGCCTCGACCTCATATGGACTCCAGATAGTTTTTGTTGTAATGATCAATGACCAATTTCAAAGATGTTACTCTTAAATATTAGGAAAATTGCTACTCCTTTTCTTTTTCCTTCATTTTTGGTTAATTACGTCTCGGCTTCGGATTGATTAAATCATGAAATGCCTCAACTTTTGCTTACTCTCATGTTCCAGTCAAGCTGTTAGGGGTTATAGCATACTTTTCATATTTTTAAATTATTAATTAATGAACTCTAGCATAATATTAATTCACGTTTTCCTAACATTTCTGATTGAAAAAAGTACATAATATAAGAAAAATAATAAATTTGCTGTCTGTCAGCGAGAATAAGCGATCTATTCTGAAGTCTGTGAGTATGAAGGGAAGCGGTTTCATCACTGTAGTTCTCAGCAAGGTTAATTTTATGTTTTTCCGCTCTGAATATTGAAAAGTACATTCTTATGCCATAGCTTAACTCTCACTTTTTCGACAAAGGGCCATTAGATGCCATTGATCACGAGAACAAAAAGACATCTCCATCCGTCGTTTAGTTTGAACCGAACGTCATTTCATTACTGTTCGTTTGTTTGACTTTGAAAAGATCGACAAGTTTGTCTTTCAGCTTATCGTCCGTCCAAATGTTGGCCCATTGCAGTTCCCGTCACACCCATGGTGAGTGTAAAGTGCAGACTTTTATCTGTTTGTGTTTTTATCGGTGAAGAATGGCCTGTCAGCTCCGGAAGTACACGGAAGGGCCGTGAAAAGGGACGAAGTCCATGGGGCACGTCCAAGTCCGACAAAACACTCATAAAAAGATCAACTGTCCGTATAATTGAGAACAGCCGAGGGACAAATGGACGATTTTCCAACGACAAGAAGAAAATTAGTGCTATTTGAAAACACACCGGTTGCTTCCTTTGTAGTTATACAATTCGTACCAGTGCAACAATGAATACGAATATCTTAATAAATGAATAACCACAAGGGCGCTTTGCGGGGATTTTTTTCATGTTTATTCATAACAACAGCAGTTTTAACGCGCTTTGGAAATAGAAAAGCTTCTATGATGCACGAATCCATTGTTACATTCCAAACGATCTGGCTATTGTCAGACTCGCCTGATACACAATCACCAGACAAGAACCTGACTGAATATAATAACGATTGTATTAAGTTTTTTTCGTAATGGGGAAATTATTAAAGAAGTGAAAGATTTAATGAATATTTAGCCGTTTGATCCGTTTCGACGATAATTACAATTCAGTGAGAGAAACAGTCATGCACAATCAATATACATTTAAATTGCTTGTGTCTTGATAGATGGATTGTACAAAAGAACCAATACTAGACACTATTCGATTTTTTAAAAGGTCCAAAATCCAAAAATAAAATATATTTAAAGTTTCTATTGGACCAACTTGTCGAAATATAGTAGTATTTGGAGTACAAGGGAAAAAAAGATAAAAGCATAAGAATGAATAAAACTCGTTAAACATAAAAATAGGCTATAAAACAATTTTTAATATTCAAACTAAATTTAATTTACACTCGAACGTAATACAAAAGAGATTGTCCATGACGGAAAAAAGTACACATAATAAAACATTACAGGAACAAGATAATTTCAAAAATTAACATTGTTAATTACTGTCATAAAAGACTTGAACATTGTACGTATTTTACATTTAATACGAGAATGGCAATTTTCAATTACATATAAAAATTGAGTTTCCTTATAAAAATTGAGTTTCCTTCCATTTGTTTATCAGGAATGGTATTGCATGGTAAATGGATATAAGCCAAAATTCTTGTTGAACTTTTATAAATTTTTTATAAAATTCAACACCAAGCTTTGTTAGATCGGTACAAAAGAAATTGTCTAGATTTTTCTATAAAATAATTAGTACAACTATTAGTTAACTTGCAATTAATTAAGGTTTTTAGTCGAGTTAAAAAAGTCAATGGCACGAGCGGGATTCGAACCCACGATCTTCGGCTTGATACGCCGCTGCTCTCCCACTTGAGCTATCGTGACCTCGATCCACACGGACACTAACTTCCCATCTCAACCGCACCTTTTGAATTTTCCCTCCTTTTTGCCATTTTTCAATTATCAATATCATATTAACGATGGGTGTAAAGTGGGATGTTCGGTCAGAAAAAAAACAACGAAAACTTGTCATCCTTTTATTCTTTAAAGCTTATGTTTCAGATAGTTGCGCTCCTTTTTCAGTGTCTGGAACAAGATGTTGACAGAATTTGTCCAAATAAAATTTAAAAATTTTAAAGTGTGCAAAGAATAAAAAGATGATAATACAGCTAGGTCTTTTTTGGCTGAATAATTCCACTTTACATTTTAGTTTAAATTTACACATACAGTCATATACTAGAGACAACATTAATTATCATAAAAAATAATTGTCCTTTCTACAACTTTGAACTTTGACAAGGAAATAAAGCAATGTGTAAGTGTAACAATGTATCTGTTCCCTCGTATTCATAAAAATTAGGAATTTTTCTATTTCTCATGATTCTTAGAGATATATGTACATAAAAACAAAAACCTAGAATTCTAATAATGATTTGGAATAATGCAATAACTATTCCTGCCATAAATTAATTGTTTCTGTACATCATAAGGAAAATATAGCACTTTATCAAAAAATTAAAAACATTCGTTAAAATGTAAGTTTTCTTCCGTTTTTGAGGATTTTGCCCATAAATGGACATTTATGAAGAAAAAGAATATATCATAAATTAATTGACCTTTATAAAACTTTTTACAAAGGGGTTACAAGCGTATTCACTATCTGCATTCGGCCGAATAAAACAGAACAAATTAAAAGGAACAAAGAAGGAAAATAAAAAAAATCTTATGATTACAATAACTTTCATATTCATTACTGTCATAATTTACATGAATTCTGTAAAACTTTGAGTTTTGATAAAGTTAACATGTTAATTTATAAAAACTTCACACTTTATTTACAAAAGTTGAGTTTTTTTACGTTTCTTGTTTGAATTCTTCAAAGTTGGAAAGAAGAAAGAGGAAAGAATGTTAAAACTAGGGAAGCCTTTCTACATTTACATTTTCTTCGGTGGGATTTTCGTTGAAAGGCTACATTTTATTGAGATGTTTTACCACCGAAGCACGCCCCTATATATGCCCATTCATATTAATAAAGTGCGATAATATTTTACGTTGATAAATTATTAATGCCTGATTTAAATAAGAAAACTGAGCCGGCTTTTCGACGTCAAAAATATTCACAGCTCAGAAGGGTAGCGAAATGTGATTGTAAATTTTAACGAAAATCCTCATAATCACGATTGACAGAAGTAGATGTTGGCTGAAAAGAATGCGAGAGAGCAAAATCGATATTATTTAACCTTTCCCGCATAAAAGTTCTCCCAATGAATGTTACTTGCATATGCTCTAATTTATGTTTTTCAAATTTATGTTTATTTTCAATATTTAATCGAAAATGTGGGTTTTAAAAGGTTTTCAATAGAAAATATTGTGTTAAAGAAATAGTCATAATTTGTTTTTAAATTTTGGTAAAATTTATAATGGTCGAAAATTTTTTCGAAATTTATAATTTTACATTTATAATGAAATATGGACAACATAGAAAAGGGAATAACAAAAAAATGAAGGGTTTTTAGAATGACTCATTTGTATTGACCGCCTTCAACCCCACTGTTTACAGGGGCGTGTTTTACAGTCTTGATTTTCCAGGAGGAAATTTCTCTCAGCCACCGAATCATATACAAAGTTGGTTTAAAAAAAAACTTTTTTAGCTTTTTCCGGTTAATATGAGATAAAATGAATTAACTTACGCGGCGATGCTCTTTGACAAGGGCCAGCGTTCCATGGTGGCCTGGTATTTCATGTTTTCGATCTGTTTCTTCAGTGCGTCCTTGTCCATAGCTGAGAGTACACTGGGGTCCATATCGTAGGTGACCGCGAGCCTGCGCAATCAATTGCGTCACGGTTATGACGTCATATTAACAAAGCAGACCGACCTGGCAGTGTCTGCTCGGCCTCAGGGGTTCAACAATGCCATACCTCCATTCACACTTCTGAACCACACCGTTCGCAATATATTTATAGGAAAAAATAAACATATAGTCAAATACAAAATAGTTATAAAAATTACTCTCAATCACAGTTATATGGCGTACTCTAAAATTAAGAAAACGTTTCTAACGACATTTTTTCCATATATTTACTCGGTCAAAATAGTTGAATTGTCATTTTATTTGTATGCAGATATGAAACATCCCGATGGATATAATCGAAAGGAGCGAAACACTCTTGTCAAAACTATAAATCGATGGCTCAACCGGCAAAGGTCGAACCCCGAAGTCAAATGTATTCATTTAATATAAATACAGGACAATATGGAAAACATGAAAATATTAAAACTTTTTATGTAATAAAAAAAAGCAGAAAACTGGAAAACAGGCAAACTCAGAAATTTTAGAACAGAAAACGATCGTCGGTGAACCAAATAAACAAAATGTATAAATATAAATAAATTACATAACACAAAAGTAAAAACACGGCGGAGTTATACAGTTGCGCCACGCAGAACTGTTTTGCGGTATGGTATCCTGAGATTTTCCCCCCTATCCAAATAAAACACGGACGACCTTTTTTATGTGTAATAAAATTTGCATAAAATAATTTTTTTGGCTTATAAAATTAAAAACAATAATAAAGATCAATTTTGTTATATAATGAACTGATCAAACTGCAGATATGAACTTATAGAAATATAATTACTTTTACTCACATATTTAAAGTTATAGTTATCTTCTCTGATAAGTTAATCGACAAAAACAATATTTAAGCAGTTAATTAAACAACTCACAATACGAAAAAACATATGAGATAAAAATTTATCCGTAGTATTTGTTAAACTGTTATCCGTTGATGGCGAAAATTGAGAAAGTGCTCTTTAAATAATGAAGCAAAACCTCATAAAAACCCATCCTCTTACTTGCAAAGTACCATTAAAGGCCATTAGTTATTTAACACACAATTTTTAAGTTCCCCCTTATACGATGTTCAAGCGAGACCGGAAGCAATAATTTCGATTTTCCTAAAATCGGCTAATTTGAAGTAAATGGAGGTTTATGAGTAGACTACGCAAAAAAGTTCCAAGTAAAAAGTTTATTCGGGTAAGATTTGGTCGAGGCGAAATATAACTTGTGTAAGTAGGCAAATTAAAAATAGTCAGCGAGAGATTCTGCTTTACTATTGATTAACAGTTTTACTTTTAACTTATACTATAAATTAATCTCAGGAGATTTCTATGATGGATTAAGTTAGTTAATCATTAAGACGAAGATGTTAGGAAGAGGTTCATAATGATTTTCATATTAAACTTTTTTTAAAAGTAATTACTATAAATAATGTTAATATAATGTTGATATCTTGCTGTTAATATTTTTTTTTCCGGAAAGAAACCTTTGTCTCATGTACTCGCGCCATTGATCGAGCCACTTTTAACAGCAGAAAATATCAAAAATGTGTCATTTTTCTTAGTTTTTGCTCAAATTATGAAGTTGGAAGTTCAGGATTTTCGTTAAACACGAGAGTTAAAAACGTTCAAATTGAAAAATTCAGTTATCTAACTTCAACGATAAACTGTAGTGTAATAGTAGTTCTTGCAACCGCGTGAGGTTCAAACGTTCATTTTCATTTATTAAAACGAAAAAAAAAACTAACTAAAACTTGGATTTATTCATTGTTTACAGTTCGTGAAAACCATCGGTAAAATGTATGATGAGAAATTTTCAGTACAAATATTATTTCTATTCTATTCTATTTATGAATAATCGCAATAAAAAATTGAATTTTCATTTATATAGTAGATAATTTAATAAATATAATTGTTTAAGGACACCATGCATGAAAAACTGAATACATTAAAAACTTAAGTAATATTGAAATTTTTAATTCTTTTATACCTAGTCTTTTTCCACTTATCAGGTTTTATGTACGTAATTACGATATAAAGCAAGAAATAAAAAAACTTTCTCCTCTATAATTTATTTGTATATCGTTTGGTGTCCAATTCCATACCATTCCTATATATTATATAACTTATATTTTTATTTTGACTTTTTAAATTTTAAGTTTTTATCAACAAATTAAAGAACAGGTACGAACGGAGTTAAAAAGTTATGCAATTCAAAAATAAAGGTGATTTATTGCACATATCTGTGAAGAATTGATAAGGGCGCGTTTACGATTTTCGACGCTCTGCTCGACGAACGTGTGTAATAAAATGTGTTAACGTGCTGAGATGAGAAAACACTGCAGGTCATCCTAGGCGAAGTCTCGATCCGCCGTTGGCACAGAGATTTTGAAAAAGAGAACAAAAACTAATCACTCACCTTTCGTAAGTTGTTGGAAAAGCAATGAAAGTGAATTGGAGACTAGAAGAAGCCAAGAAAACGCTGTGTTGCCTGGGCTTCACCGCTCGATATCCTTTCAATTATTTAGGATGTCAACAGTGAAGCATAAAGACAGAAAAAACTATCATTCGGAGAAATAAACGCGGTCGAACTACTACGAAAAACACCCACACTGATAAATGCGCCCTTAATGTCGGACCACTTTCAAATCTGACCTGGACTTTCTCATGTTACAATTGTAATTTTTGATTAAGATAAAAAAAATCGTCAAATTATTCAGCTGTCCGAAGAGAAGAATTGCAAATCGATCTTTTTATTTCGTACACCCAATACCACCGGGCGTAGTAACGTGTGTTAGTGTATACAAACAGAATAAATTAGATCAGTTTTTTTTTCTTTCTAAACATTCCAGATAAAAATACTACATGTGCACTCGTATAAAAGTAAAGAATTTATACCGCCGATTGACTTGAAAAGAGAATTGGGATATTTGAAAGGTCGTCACGTTTCTCTGTTATCTCTGTCGTTCCTGCGTTCTCATAATTGGAAACGATAATGATGAAGCCACTGAGGGACTTTGAAGGGTGTTAAATAAAAATCAAGAACGACTGCATGCAATTTATTGGCACGGCTTAGTAATTTTAATTTCAAATATTGACTGATATATAAATATTTTTTTCCTTCTTTATTTATTATAGATGAATTAAATTATTTTTATTATATAATAAATCCCATTTTTTATCTAATTACAAGCTTCCATAAAAATTGCCTGTAGAAAAAGCTTAAAAATAAACAGAAAAACGTAATGCAATGAAAAAGAATCCTATTTATATTCTAGTTTCGTGAGTACGGTATGACTATTACAAGACCACAAGCTCTCCTGATAACAGTTATAACAATTGAAGTTAATGTGTGTTGATGAATAATAGATAAATCAATATTAAATTTATTTACAATGAAGTTATTCCTATTTTGAAATACAATTTTATAACTGATGAGCAGGTAATCTGCAGTAATCCTTTTTCTTTGATCTTGTAAACTGAGGAATATATTATAAAATGAACGAGAGAGAGAGAGGGGCGGGAATTGACAGAAAGATAAATAGAGAGAGAAGATTGAGAGGGGGAGGGAAAGTAAAACAGAGAAGAGATTGAGAGAAACGGAAAGGTAAATAGAGAGAGAGAGAGAGAGAGAGAGAGAGAGAGAGAGAGAGAGAGAGAGAGAGATATAGATAGAGAGAGAGAGAGAGAGAGAGAGAGAGAGAGAGAGAGAGAGGGAGAGAGAGAGAGATAGACAGACAGACAGAGTGAGAAATAAAGTGAAATAGAGAAAGAGGAAAAAATAGTGATGGTGAGAGAGAAGGAGAGTGAGAGAAAGTTAAAGAGAGAGATTGAGAGAGGGGGAGAGAAAGTTTAATAGAGAGATTGAGAGAAAGGTAAAGTTAAAAAGAGAGAGAAAAATAGAGCGAGAGTGAGAGGGGGGAGAGGGAAAGGAGATAAAGTTACATAGTGTAAATAGAGAGAGGTTGAGCGAAAGGTAATGTAAGTGAAAGAGAGAGGCAGAGTTAGAGATAAAGTGGAAGATAGAGTAAAAAATAGCGAGAGAGGAAGAGTGATAGAAAGAAATGGGGTGAATGAAAGTTAAATAGAGAGAGATTGAGAGAAACTTGAAGAGAGAAAGAGAGACAATAGATAGAAAGAGATAAAGTCAAATAGAGAAAGAGAGAAAAATCACTGATAAGGAGAGAGATAAAATAAAATAGAGAAAAAGAAATAGTAGTGGAGAGGGGGAGAGTGAGAGAAAGTTAAATAGAAAGAGAAAGAGAGAGAGGAGGACAGAAAAGTTAAATAGAAATTGAGAGAATGGTAAAGTAAGAGAGAGAGAGAGAGAGAGAGAGAGAGAGAGAGAGAGAGAGAGAGAAAGAGTGAGACAGAGAGTGAGAGAGAGAAAGAGTGAGACAGTGAGAGGGGGAGAGAGAGAGTGAGCGAGAGAGAGAGTGAGAGAGAGAGAGAGAGAGAGACAGTGAGGAAACGAGAAAGAGAGAATAGTGGAGTAGAATCTTTATTCAAATATTTACTAGTTACATAATTTACATTGGAGTAACAAGTTTATACTACTATTACTTTTTAAAAGCGTTTCAACAAGACAAAAGAAAATTTAATTTAAGGGTAAAAAATGTAAGAAAAACTATAAGCACTAAAGTGTTCTTCTTCACTCTCTTATGCCTGTACATAGTCCCAATTTGTTGAACTAAATGATTACTGCTTAGCTTACACAGTTGAAAGAAATTCTTTGTGAGGCTTTTATGTGGTGTACAATGTAATTTCGAACAATGCGGTTGAGATGGGAAGTTGGTGTCCGAGTGGATCGAGTTCACGATAGCTCAAGTGGCAGAGCAGCGGCGTATCAAGCCGAAGATCATGGGTTCGAATCTCGCTCGTGCCAATGACTTTTTCATTTTGACCAAAACCTTACATAAAAAAGATTAAATAATTGGTCAAGCGAACCACGAAATTAGTGAATTGAATATGTGTTAATGTGCAAGTCTAAAACGCAAGTGTAGAGGGGCGATGACTTTAAGTCTTCAAACTTATTTTAATTTGTAGTGAGGCGATGTTCGATTGCGATATCAAACCCCATGAGGTGCAAGCATACAAAAGCATTGGTCGGACCATTGCTTTATAGAGGTACATACAGGTGGTTTACTGGGTACAATTTAGAGTCTAGTAAGTATTTAGTTGCAGCTTTCACCGTATCCATTACATAGGCAGCAAAAGTTAGCTTACTGTCAAATATTACTCCAAGGCACTTAACAGTAGCAGAGAGAATAATGGTAATATGTTTTAATTGTTTCAAACCTCTCACTTAATTGTCACACTAAAGTAGATTTTGTTATTACTTTGTAGGTTAATGTTTTCAAAGTGGAAATTTAAAAAATATGGGTTGTTGGAGGGATCCTTTAGGATCTTGGAAGTCCATCTTATTTTCAATTCTAGAAGCTACTAAATATTTTGATTACTATTATTTTATTAATAATCTTGGTTTGTTCAGCAAAAAAGTCAACGTTTTTCTTTTATTAACATAATAAGATTATTTTCTAATCCTGAAAGAAGTTTACTGACAGGAAAAATTCAACAAATACTCTCCAGCCTAACAGATTCATAATATTATTGTGCCATTCTTCAAATTATAAAAGGAATCACCAACATAAATTGGTGTTCTCCAAAAACTAGTTTATTTGATTTTTTTAAAAATATAAGTTGTTAATAGCAAACAACTAAAAAGCAAAAAAACATTTGTTTATGGGGTATTATTCATTTCCTAAGTATACGATTTAACAATAAACCTACAGAAATATAATTATATAGTTCAAACAAAATGCTTGGAGTACTTCCTTCAGCATTGAACCTCTTTCGCCTTCAGGACTTCTCATGTTAATCATTTATTTTCAAGCCTCCCCACCAAACAGTGAATCTTCACTTATTCCTTTATTTCATTTATTCCTTTACTTAAATTATTCTTAAGTTACTCTTTCCATTATTTTACTTCCTAGACAAACAGGTACCCTCCATTCCCGTTGGTGTCAAAATGGTAAATTTCTTTATTAATTTAAACTCCTATCCCCAGGGTATTCGCGCACCATTTTGTTGGCGAACAGGACCATGTTGAAAGGGTGGTCTGTGCCTTGGACAGTTGTGTCCATATTATGTTTTTACAAAGTGAAAGGGTTTGTCAGCAGTCTATTTTCTTTTGGCATGATTGAACAAACAGGTTAAAATCATTGGATTTGGAGAATTGATATTCAACATTTCCTCAGAAAATAGCCAGGTGACGTTTATTTTACTGTAAAAATTATTTTTAAAAGTTAATAAGTTTTATTATTATATATCATAATATTATTCCTAAAGGAAAAATATAAATAAATTAAAAAAACAAAGATGGGTTAAACCTTACAGGCTCTGTTTTACTCAAATAAAGTATTTTACAATCCATATTAAAGAAATATTAAACTGCAGTAAGATTTACATTATGTCTAAACAGAATGTATAAGTGATAAATAAAAACTTTTAACACATTTAAAAAAATATTGTTTATCTTATTTTATTGGTCTTCCAAATACATTAATATGACTTATTTCTGAAATGGAAGTGACATTATATAACAATTACTGAAAGGAAAAATTCGTGTTAACTGAAATACTTATATATTGTTTTAATATTTGTGTTATAATGATAAATAAAAATGTTACTTTGGTTTTATTCACACAAATATGACATTTTTTGTTACTTTTTAAAGTTTAAAAACAAATTACCATACCTGTACTCCTTCTATATCACAAATATCAATAAGAAAATTCAATCGCACAATGAAACAGACAGGCGGGAGAGGGAGAGGAAGAAGAGGTAGAGGAGTTTTAAAAATGTTATTTACAAATGATTATTTAAGACAGTTCTTACATAAAATCTCTCTCATTCGGAATCACACCGAACAACCCATATTTACAATAACTTGTCTATAATAATGAAAATTGACATAAAATAAATTAAAGTCCAAAAGATATTTTCCAAAATTAAGCCGTAATCAATTCACTTTTCCAAGTATTTCATTTAAAACAAAAAATTATTAAATACAAATAATTTGTTATTGCACCAGAATGGAATCTGTTTAAACCCTGCAGTGGTGTTATACCTGCATTTATAAGTTTATTAACTTCTACCTAAACATAGTGACTATATTTTTTTTAAACATAATAAAATTAAAAATAAACTACTTTTTACAAGAAAAATCAATTTACATAATTTATTTTGTCATTGCAGCTCAGCGACAGACTGACAAAATATAATACTTTTACTTTCCATGCGGTATTAACACGATTATACAACGAATAAAATTAAAATTAACAATAACATATCTTTTTATATTACATACACATGTGTACTACTTTGGTTTGGAGATCTCTTGGTACTAAGAGTATGATTAATGTGGTGAAATAACATTGTTGAATGGTATGTACAACAATCACAGTCTATACAAACTCTGTTATTTCAAAAATATAACATTTTGTCTCTCTGTACATACTTTAAGTATAGTAGACTTTATTTGACGACTTCATGATTAAAAATTGTACATGACATTAATGATATAAAAAGGTCGTGTAGGTTGTAAAAACTGGAATCCATTACGTTGAGTTATCACAAATTAGAATGAGTCCTTGGATTGCTAATATTTTTTGATCCCAGAAGAAAACACCCACCCGAACAACCGGATATTCAAAATGTACACTGGGTTCATCCCTCAGCCCTTATTAACAGACTAATAAGAAAGGCACTTATAATCCCTTGGCGTATTCATATTAACTCTTGTTGCCATGATGGTGGTGGTGGTGGTGATGATGATGATGGTGTGTATTTGTCTTTTGAGCCTTCTTTTTACGTGCTGCGAGCATATCATAAAACGGATTGTGACTAATACTTTGCCTACAAAATTATTCAAACAGTTGGATTAATTACAATCTATAATTATAATTTGTTTGATAATTACCGAACGCATTTGATCCAATCATCTTTTTCCTCGCTTGTGGCAGCAGACATTCTATAAACTGTATGTTTGCCTGTAACAAAAAATAATAAAATAAACATTAGAACAGTAGTAATGGTTTAATTGTTTAGATGAGTGATAAAATACCTTCAACAACTTTTCCTTCGCTATCAGTCTTACAAGCTTTAATAAATTCGGAACCAGCAGCATACAATTCGAAACAATGTGGCTTATGTCTGTCAGCCACTTCCCGAACTTGTATGTTTTCAAGGGGAATAATGCCTCTTGGCTCTTTATCTGTCGTATATTCGAAGTAATACAGGCAATTGTCGTTTAAAATAAACCACCGCCTCTTCCAACTTTTGTATCTACCACCTAAAACAGTTTTTATAAGTAAAATAATAATTTTTAAAATTTGTTTACCATCGGTGTAAAACTTGAATTACCTTGCTTCCACAACCACCCTTCTTTATCAGGATTGAAGAATGTATGCATGAGATCATTTCCATCATCTTCAGGTATTTTGAACGGCTCAGTCTTTATACTTTCATAAAGGCTCTGCAATGTTAATATAAACTTAAATATTCTAGTCTTCCTCTTTGGTGTATCTTTAATTCAATTGAGAAGGAAATTATATCAGAGATCAAAGTGGAAAATCAATTTGGGGCCATAGAGAAGGAGCTGAAATCAGCTCGACTTCTTAAGGCTCATCCTTCAATTCTCACTTTATCATCATAAATATTTTAAGCCAACTTTTCATTTTGGCCAATGTCTGAAACTTAAGCTCTTAATCACTTCACAAACATAAATACATATATAAGTAAATATTTAAACAACTACAATGCTGTTCAATGTTGATAGAAGTTTTCAATTTTTTTTCTTTCAATTTTATGGAATTTGTTTCTCACTTGTCTTTTTAATTCCATCATTATTGGAATAATTTTAATCCTTTACTACATTTCATCATTAAAAATGTAAGAGAAATTTAATTTTAACTCTTAGACCACACTAGATGGAATGCAACGGAAGTTTCCTTGTCGAGACCCATTGGTGCACCATCGTCTGTCAATGGAATGTTCCACTGGGTTCCTTCTCAATAGATCAAACCAATACAAAATATAGAGGGTGTGCCACACTGACAACGAACAAGCATAAACAGAAGAGACAGGCAGTATGACAAGAAAACAGCAAGTAAGCTGAACGATGGACGTGGACCAATTTAGTGTGGAAGTTCAGAATAGGCCTTGTCTGTGGAATTTTAAAGAAATCACGATTCAACTGAGTTACATTATCAACTGAATATCCAAACAATCATTGTAGTCATTCCGTTCAATTCCACTGTATATGTGGCTTGTTCAGGTTGGGTGGATTTTTTTGTTGTGGAAATTTCCTTTGCATTCCGTCTAGTGTGGCGCCAGCCTTATTGCTCCCCCTAATAATTATATGTGCCTAAATAAATGCAAAATCAAAAAGTTAAGTGATTTCCCTGGCTTAAAAATTGGCTATAAACCAGTACAGAAGTGGCTATACACCAATACAATCTAGTTGTATGTGAAACAGTTAAGTTTTTTCTTCTCAACCAATGTAAACTTTATATTTGCACATATACATACATATATATATTTTTTAAAAACTTACAACTAGCAATTCTCGTGGGAGATCTCCACCATTATTAATTCCTCTGTTCATATTAATAAACTGTTCAACTTGTGGTTTTTCCTTTACACTAGGATTGTGTAAGCTTGTGTTCAACATGATTATTGCAAATGATAATACATAGCAAGTATCTAGAAGAATAATGAGACAGACATTAAACCTCAAGTTAGTCAATGTAAGAGAAAATATATACAGACCTGTGTTGGTAAATATATTGGGATTCAGTTGACAATAACGCTGAGCAAAACATTCCATCATTCGGTCAATTTTTTGCGCTTCTCCAGGCAGCCGAAAACTCCAAAGGAATTGTCTAAAATGCGTAAAATGTGCAAATTAATAAATACAAAGGTCAAGGCATTATCAGAATGGAGTATTAGCGATCAATACCTCAGTGCCTGTACAAGAATAAGATCGGTAAAATCGTGTAGATCGACAAAAGCTTTTAAAACTTTTTCATTGAACTCGTTTCTCTCTCCTAGATAATCTCCTATCGCAGTTTTGTTGAGACCTTCCCCTTTGTAAAGGAATGCTGCCACGTCTTCTTCAGTCGCTTGAAGTAGGCCGTGCTCAAGAAGATACTCTATGCCTTTTTTCGGATCCATGTTAAATTTTTTCCTGCCTATGGACATCTGTTTTGCACGAGTGTGATTTTTGCTACAAAATTAAGACATAATTAATAAAAAATAAAAGGATAATAGGAGGATACTAATTTAAAAAACTGCTTAAGATAATGATTATATAAATTTGAAATGTATAAAAGAAAATAATATCAATTTGTTTCGGTGTTTTATAAAGGACTATGAATTGTAGTGCTTCCCCAACACCAATTTTATAAAAAAAATATGGTCATAAAATCACATTGTATTAAAGATTAATGTGCCATTTTAATAAAATAAAAAATATTTTTTCTTCTACACATTAGCCAAAATGCATATTTATGAGGAAATAAAATTCCTGCAAGGGAATGGAAAATTGCAAAAGTGAAGACTCAATATGAGTGTTATAACAGTTGTACGCTTGTATGTGATAAATACTGAACCCTGATACAATCACAATACCATATTAAAGTAATATAAATTAAAAAACGACCATGATTATTATAAATAAATATCACATAAGATGTAAACACAATAAATGTTTGAGCAGTATGGCAGTGTAGAAGTTCACATCTTTTAAGACACAAAATATCTTAAAGCACGCTTAATATTTAAAATGTTATATGCCCGTCTCCAAAAAAATAATTTCTTTGATTTTACAATTGAGAAAGATTTCCATCACATTCCCATTTTTTAAGCATCTACACTTCTCCTGACTTTAGTTACGCTTGTAGCTGCAATTGGAGAGCGCCAGACTCAGAGGAGTGGTAGGACTATTAACCGGTCACGGACGCCTGAGAAAACATCTACATAACATAGGCATATTCAACAATGATCCCATTTGCAACTTATACAATAAAGAGGAAGAAACAGCCACTCATATCATCTTCAAATCCAAAGCAACAATGGAGACATTATCTATGATATAAAAAAATCCCCTGGGGAATGAAACTGTAGCAGTGACAGACAATGAGAAGGATTAAATCGATTGCACTAAACTAGGGAACTATCAAGGTACAATCAGTCAGAAGGCTGTAGTGCCTGAGAAGCACAAAACTGGTTTCCTAGGTCCATCATCATTATCATCATAGGCTACATACATCTAGTTGTTGATTGTTTCTGATCATCTCACTGTGTTTCACCGTCTTCAGTTTTATTGTGGGTTATTTTGTCAATCCTTTTATAAGTGTGTAAGATGTTAAAAAGAAATGCTAACAACAACACAAAACTCAACCACCAAATTTGGTGAAAGCAGCAAAGATGGGCAACCAGTATGTGATAGTAAACAGACAAGTTTTCATCATCCCACTGACCTCAATAAGATATTTTAAAACTTCTATTTTAAAAACAAATAACAAATTGAATATATTTTATTGTTATTAGCTAATTTCAACTAGTGAAGAATAGAAAAAATATTGCAAAATGAAAGTGTTCTTGATATTAACTCAAGAATTAATTAGTACACTACAGCTCTTAGATAGTAATAAATAAGTTGGCATTTCCAACAATTAAATATTTTTGTATTTTTAATTATCAAATTTGCTACTTTATTAACCCCAATAAAGCCTTTAAGAAATCTTAAATAAGTAAGAAAATTGAACAATTTAGATGTTTTTTTCAACATTACATTCGCTGTTATCTCAATTAGACTTCTTTTATCATTTTGCCCTTGGTGGATAAATAAGATAACAAAGTAATAACGTTCAAATTTTAAAATAATAAATTTGAAAGTTAGTACCTGTAAGTTATTAAATAGTTGTAGGAAATATATCAGAAGCATGTCAATTTCGGTTAAACTATTACTGCAATTAACATGAAATTTAGAGAAATATTAAAACAAAAACTGTGTTAAATTATTTGGAACCATTTAATACATCATATAAATATAAGTTTTAGTTAGTGAGAAGTAGAGGTTAGAGGTTTAAAAAAAGCCTCACCTGTCATCAGCAGCATCCATGTTTTCCATCTCAGCGACCACTTCTCCCAATTCATCTTTAAGTTGCTAAAACAAAAGTTAACAATGTAATTATTCTGTTTTATATGCAGATAACAATGAAAGAAGAGGGTTTAGCAATAATGAACAGGATTGCTGAGGTTTACTTTCCCAGCAATTAAAAATAGTCTGTGTATGGGAATACACAAGTATGTCCTAACTTGTTTTTCAATAGTTGATGTAAACTGTGTCTATTTGTCAAGAAGTAATTCGCTTTTAATCAATAACACAAATAACAAGTAGTATCATAACAAAGCTATTTTTTGTAAGTTTATTTTCAACAATATCTCAATAATGGCAAATAAAAACATAATCCTTAAAACTTCACTTTTAAAATGAAATTCTGTAATTAATGAAAACAAAGTTATTTTATTTTTAATTTCTGGCAGCTGATCAGTTAATTATTTACGTGATTGTCATTTAGAACCTTATATAATAACCATATTTTAATATAGCCCCTCAAACAATTTGTATTTAAAGCTTACTTTATAAAGCTTTTCATATTTGAACTATGGTCCGCATTTAACCGAATGTTTCCGTCCTTGGCAATGTTGGGAATGAATTGTTCTTCAAAGAAATTTGAAACCATATATTATAAACTTAGTTATGTTAATTTGTAGAAATCTTTAAGATTGTTTGGCCCTGATGATCACCTTAAAATAGACCAAATGCTTGGCAGATAATTGAATTTGTTTTTTCATCCAGACTATACAGAGATCAGGATTAACTTGTAAACTTGACATTATCCAAACAGTGACATTAGTTTCAGGCACAAATTTCATGTTGTACATTATAAGTTTAGTGTTGTAACAGTTGCCGGTTTGAATATGTTGAACAAATTGTAACATATTTAGAGTCTGTATTTATTTAATATTATTAAAAAATGACAGGTTGTATCATATTTAGAATTTGTTTATTTTATATTATTAACAATTAAGTCTTAACTTCAGCATTGTTAAACGAATAGACCACAATCTACTATGAGATATGACATCAAGTCAAACCTGCATTGACAACTAAATCAAGTACTTTTTTTCTTCTTTGAATTGGTAGATTGAATTTAGCTTATAGAAATAAATGGTTATTAGATTTTTTAAAATTGTACTTCCATCGTTTACCCATAATCATGGTTTTTCACACATTTATTTTCTGTAGTGTGGGAATTAGTACTTTTTCTCAAACACACGCTAGCTCATGGTCTCTGATTTTAGTGATGTTCCAAGAGGAAATTAATTTTTTTATTTAACTGAAACTGATTAAGCCATGCTAAACCTTTGAAGCATCTCCTGAGAAGCAATTCTAATATTCACAACGATTAAACGTCTTGAGCCAAAGTTTTATCATCTTCATCTTAAAAATTAGTACTCTACATAAGACTGTTCCTCGCTACAAGATATTTAATTTGTTTAAATGTTACATGGGGCTCCAGAGTAACACAGTGGCTCAACACTTGAAGGGCAGTGACCCTGAATCGAACTCATCATACTTCCAAATAGTCTCTTTCAGTGGAAAGGCATCAGATCCCAATGGGGTCAGACTGTAGTTACTAACCACTGGTGGAGAAAAAAATCTTGCATAATTTTTTTAAACATTAATATATATAATTTATGGGCGGAGAAACAGTGGAGTTCATCACCCCTCTGCATGCTTTTACTTTTTTTTCTGATCTTTCACACGTATTTTTCAACTTGCAGCCATTTGAGTATCTTAATCTGTTAGTGCTTCTCTGTTTTTATATGAAAATAAGTCTACTAAAATACAAGCCTCTCATTTGTTCCTCCGTTTTCAACTACAGAATAGACACAAAATATACAATACATATGTAGATACATCACCACCCTATACAAACCCAAAAATCTGGTCACATTCGCTGCACCAGATACTCGATATTCCTCAGGGCAGGGTTAAAACCTCTTCCTTTCGTACTAATAAATTACATTCAATCCAATAAATGAACATAAACACAACACAATCACAAATACTATATACATTTAAAAATCCCTATAGCCGTGATGTACTGGAACAACAATCTGTACACTTTGCCCCAAGACTATGCACAGGCCAGTCCAAATATCAACATATTGCCTGTAAACATCAAGCCTTCTACAACTGAAAATATGCTCCCATTATTTTATTCTTGCATAATGGGTACCTATGGTTCTGACCAGAGGTGCCCATGAGTTATTCTAGTATGACCTATGCCTAAGTCTTGTCAATATTGCCTTTTCTTTTTTCAACTCCTTCTTCATGGACCAGGGATCGATGCCTTTCTTAACCTTAATTTCTATTTTTACAAGCCAAGTGGGTTTTTTCCATTCTCCTTTCACTGTATTTGAAATTAGTATTAAATCCGCTAGGCATTTAGTTGGGAATCGTTGTGGAGCCTGCCAGCAGTTTCTTTGGCAACCCTGTCTGATTCTTTAACTTAATTTTTTATTTGTTTTCAAAAATTGCCTAAATCCATTGTCTTCACAAAAAGAATTTACATATTCTTCTAGTCTTACTCTAATTCTTTTTCACTCTCTCTCTCTCTCTCTCTTTTTTTTTTTTTTTTTTTTTTTTTTTGTAATATATGAGATGTCTTATTCCTGACCCAGAAAAAATCTATAACAACCAAGAATAAAAGAGGATAATCTATATTAAGTTAATTGAATTCCAGTGAAGTTCTAAATCTTCGGAATAGAACAGCTTGTAAGAGCCTAGTGCTGATTCATCGTTTATCTTTATTGAGAGTTCCCCATAGCAAATTGATATTAACCTTAATTTAATATAAAAAATGCGTTTTGGTTAATTTTCTAAAGTTATGCCGTTTCAAAGGTAAAATAACCAAAGATAAAATTACGTTTATTTTTTTAGTTTTTCAAGAAATATAAGGTAGGCTAAGCCTTAACATCGATATATGCGATGTTTCCAACTCAACTAAAGGAATACAATATTGGCGGATTTCAACGATTCAATTCAGTTTCACAGAGAAATTAATTCGTTGTTCTAATTTTTCTGAATGATTTACAACAAAGCTTGGTAAATCGTTCAAACCGACAAAAAAACACCTTAGGTTTTGGAGCAGATCAATCTGTATGAATGTCGGGCTGATCTGTGTATCTCTTGATTTTCAATGTTAAAAATTTGGTATTCTTTTTCCATAATTTTAAAAGTTTACGCTAAGGAATTCTTCATTAGTTCAGATTATTGACCTTTTTTCTTTTTCTGTAGGACTATCGCCTCCCCGAATCCGATGGTGTCGGGCTAAAGGAAATGGGCCGGGCGGCGAAAGAACAAGGCCTCATCCGGGGCGGATGGAATGTCGGCAAGACCGGATAAGGATAAACAATCAGTTGCCATTAGCCGTATCATGTAATGTCAGCTGCCGAGAAACAAAACAGCATATTCGCAGGGTAAAATTAAAAAAAGGAGAACCGAGAACTGTTGTAATGTGACAGTTCTGAACAAATGCAAAGGGAACTTATCGAAAAAAGAATATTTAAAAAAATCTAGTACCAAACATAATGAATTTTGGATGGATATATGCATACAACAAATTTAACCAGGGCTAAATTCTTTTCTAATCCTAATCATTACATATAAAAACAAAAGTTTATCTTTTGAAAATGAATATTTTATAATGAATATTGTCGAATTTTAATTTGAAGCTATTAATCTTCCCATGCATTCCAGTTGATGATACAAAGGAGTGAGTCATCAAGGTAAAGGAAAAACATTTTTATTCACTTCAAATTATGAATCACCGCGAGTTTAATTGTTGGCTATTACGCAGGTACATATTTGTCTTGTTTAAATATAGAAAAATAAAAATATTCCGGTTCCCCTGAGTTACAGTGTTAATAGTAAAGTTAAGTAATATTAAATTAAGAATAGTAATAATAGTAATTTGCTGTTTGCCAAAGAAAATTGCTTTATTACATATTTAATTTTTCGCCGCTAACAAAAATTCTCTCTCATCTTACCTGATTCTATGTTGCGACTGGCCTTGGATTTTTCTTTTATCTTTTGTTTATTGATTTTATCTTTCGACCTATCAAAATCAATAACATGTTGTAGAAAATTAATTTTATTACCAAACAAATTTAAAATATCTTTGTCTATTTAAAAATGGCCGTTTTTCTTGATCGATGGAGGTTTATAGAGTTTATGGTTTATAGAATGTTAATAGAAGTTTATAAAATATTATCGTATTTACGAAAACTTATTGTGACAACAAAGTACGTCCTTATTGGCAAAACACTGCTATAATACTGAGAATATTCTCAGAAATCATCAGATATCATCAACTTGTTTAACGATAAACCTATTTCAAGCTTTAAGAGATGATTAATAAAGTTTGCAATGATTGATGGGCATTTATTTTGTCTTAAACGAAATACAACGTAGCAATTGTGATAGCTGGAATGGTATCAATGAGAAAGCAGAAATAATAATAAATAACAGAGAAAAATATATAACTAGTGGTCGATTTACGTGTTCGATTATATGTGAAATGTAGCTAATTAAAACAACAGGAATGTTTTTTATTTTAATAATAATCTAGTGTGATAAGTGTGACAAAACGCTAAAAAACAAAACCCTCGAGGTCGAGAGCAAAGACAACAGGCTGAGATTTGGACCCCAATTTCGTTTTATAGTCTTCCAAAATTGTCATAATAGTTTATTGGCATTTGTCTGAAAACAGGTATCAACCAATAATCCCAGCGTCGATGGACACCTCGTGAAACAAATTGTACCATATTCATTCACCGTCATGGGGCATGAACAAATATTCAAAGGGCCTTGAGCCTTCCGTAAATAAAATTTAAAAAAGAAATTGACCGGGATTGACGTTGGTCGTACAGGTCGTCTAGAAAACGGGCGAGCCAAGCACGTTGCTTGAAATCCCGAGCCCCCCTCGGTTTCATTGGTCGGTCTCCAACAATCAATATCTTTCTCTTTAAGCCTGTTTTGGCCACATGAGTTTTAAAGAAGCCCCGTTTGAGAATTCTCGGATAAAGAAAAAAACGTTTAAACACGAATAAATATTTTCAAAACGCATTTCGTAGGTCATTAATGTGTTATGCAAATTTAAAAATTAAACACTGTTTGGATTAAAACATTTCGCCTTTTGGAATGGTTAACAACTAACTTTCAGTTTATGTGCAGTTATCTGTCTTAAATACCCGTAAAAATCTGAACTGAGAGTGAGGGCAGCAGAGTAGGATGAATCGAAAGCTTGGTTTACTTTTGCAAGCGGAATCGGATCAGTTCGTTAACAAAAGGAATGTTGAGGTCGTTATGGATAGTGAGATTGATGGTGCAGTAAGGAGGTTTTACAATTTGTCTGAGAATTTTTGATTGGATGCACTGAATATTGGATAGCAGATGAACCCACATTTCCACTCCCTAAGTTCAAAGTGGTTGTCCGTATGACTTGTAATATGTTAGTTCAGGTTTGAAGGCCAAAACAGATTACGGTCCTTATGGGGATACACACCTTCAGTTTATCAGCAGAGTTATCTGTAAAAAACTGTACAATTAATTGAGGGTGTATACGCTTCGTTCAGTTTTCGCCTCAGTTCCGCCTCTTTCGAAATGGCCATAGGTGACAGAAAAAGAAGAACCATAGTTTGTTCCTATTTTGCTAGAAGGAAGAAAAGGGAAAAAACGCAGTGATCGATGATGCAAAGATTGGTACATGCAAAGAATTGTTTTACAGAGTGATTTCCAATTATTTTATGAGGGGAAATTAATGATTTTTGAATTTAACTAAGCATGGATGAATGTGTATTTCAAATGAAACAGAGCAAAAGTTGCTCCCCTATTTAATGGGGAAAAAATGACAGTCTTGAGACTTGAGAGAAGCAATATCACCTCATGTCAGGTTAATTGCATCTTCTGTTCCTTGCAACTGGGACAAGTTTTCAAGAACGTTCCCTTCCGTAAATGCTAAACGTACATCTTTTTTATGGTTGACAAAGACCAGAGGCCAGACGATAGCTGGGCATACTGAACGAAGATCTGCATAAACGGCGCAGTTTATTGTTGCAAAAGAAGGTACGAATGCACAAAATTTTTATCTGCGTGAAAACCCGTGTAACTTCGCAGTTCTCACAGTTAATCGCTCAGACATGACGTCATACGTGATAAACTACACAGAAAAACGGAAGGTGTGTGTGTGTGTGTGTGTAGCTCCTTTTAAACCGATAACCAATCGAAGATAGGCATTTACAAAAAAAAAATTAATTAAATAAAAAATCAAATAAATACACAATTATGCACTGAAAATATAAAACAAACCAATTCTAATAAAATTTATAGTGTCAAAACTGACCATGGAGCCTGAATTGGATTAAAGCCAAAGGCGTTACTAAAATAGATGAAAATATCACGCCTCTAAGCAAATGCGAAGCGAGAATACACTTGCCACATTCTCAGATGGGACCCGATGTCTAATCCACGGCAAGGATTGAGCTCAAGAAAAAAAAAAATTTATTTGTGTAACTTATTCTTTTCCAGAAATAATACAGGTCTATCGTTAAGTGTTAAGGTTCAATTGGTAAAATTTCAACCGGGAAATTAGAGATACGATCCCTGTTTATGTACATTCATCTCAATATAAATTCTATTGTGAAATATTTTGTTGAATTGTAAGAAGTGATTAACCTGTAGTTGGAACGTCCCTGCTGTTTTTCCGTCAAACGTAGTACGTCCCTATTTTAAAAATTTATACAAGGAAGATCCACAAAAAGGCCGACCAGTGAACATGGGCGAAACGTTTATGACAAAAGCAGGTTGATTAAATATAAAAACTATTATGTTGTAACGCGTGAAATATGAGTTTGTTTACCCTCCTTCCCAGGACTTATTGTTTAAAAACAACAAAATCATGCCTACCGCAGAAATCCGCATCGTTTTCCTTAAGGATTTAGCTCGGAAGCGTTCCAAAATATTAAATTGCATTTAAACGAAAATTCAATAAACGAAAGAACCGTCTACTATTGGTTTGATAACAATCCCTGAGGGATTTTGACCTTAGCCACAAAGAACGTAGTAGACAGAAGAAGTTGGGCAACAAAAAGTTAAGAGGATTTGCTTGAGTCTTGTTCAGACTTGCCTTTCCCAACTACTCCTCGAGGATTAGGAGCACAGCTTATAGCCAATAGCTCGTCTGTTTCGAGGCGTTTTATGGTACTTGGAAAAACAAAAACTGGAGAAATGAGGCCAGTTGCTGAGTCGATTGGAAACAAGCTTTTAAACCCGTTTGGGCAACAAAAATAAGCGTTTTTTGCATCGTTACCTGAATGATAACCGAAAAAGATTTGGACGACGGTTTGATAAGAGCAAAAAACTTCAACGTATGTTCAAACCACGTGATGATTGAATGGTTAAAATATGGTTCAATCCACTATTCTCTTTCGGAAAACAATAACTGCTGGCATCCGATACAGAGTATTGAAAAATTATGTTTTTTAATAACAATAAATTATTTTAAAAAACTGTTCTTGTAAAAATGAAAGAAATACAAATTTGGCAATAGTTTAATCAAATCTGCCGACCAAGAAGTTCGTCTAGCCGTTGACACCCGGAGCGAGGATATAAATACATGTTCCACGGTGAGAGAAGAGAATAGAACATATTTTGATGGCGTTTTATTGGTAATTTTTTATAATAATTTAAAATCAACCCGACTGCGATTAAAGTTATTAACATACTTGTGTCTCAGTCCTCATGTTTCTTGTGCACTCTGCATGTCAAGTTTGAAGTGGAATGTTAAATATTAATAGATTGTCAAGTTAATTAAATATTTAAATACATTCTTGTTCAAAAAGAAGGCTAAATTAAAAGTTTTATCGGAGCCAAGGGAAAAGAAAATGTTCCCATGTGCGATCGGAGATTCTGAGTCATAAGGCGTTTGATCTTTGTTAAATGAAGAGGTGAAGATCGTCAAGTAGATTTAGATAACCAGATATATGTTGAAGAGGCTAACGTTTGAAAATAAGCACACCTTAAAAAAACAGATATTTTTTGAAATGGAAACACGGTTGGGATCAAAGGATTCAAAAGGAATCAAGAATCTCACTGACGGTGAATTCAAGGATCTATCCTGGGGCTAATTTGATTTTGGCTCAGGTCTTGGCCTAGACACTTCACGGTCATGACGTATGGATTGAAATGCTTACTTTCAGAAAACCTGTTTTTAGAAACGCCGAGGCAATTTACAGTAAGCAAATCTTGGTAATTCAACAACATATCGAAGCATAATAACAAATCCGTGAAAAGTTTAGCCCATACGCCGCAATCTTAATTAAAAATGAAGTTATTTTAATTGAACATTGTAATTAGGTTAGTAGTAGGTTGAAAAGTCTCTCATCGTCCTGGTCGGCATTGTCTAGCTGGTTTTGCCTGAAAGACGCCTTTCCGTATTTCGCCATCTTTGGTTGTTGGTCTTTGCGATACCTGCTTGATGTTTCCAACTTTTTTTTTTTTTTAATATATGTCTGTGGGTTGGTTTTTGTTTCGTCGGTTTTGATAAATTTTATAGAGCCAGAGGCCTAACGTGTTGATCATGTCCATTTGCTGGCATATTTGTACATGGAGCAAATTTTTTTCTGAATGGAAAGTCCATGGTAGTTCCGAGTGGGTTGTGTGCGTATTATATTTAAAACCTTAGGCAAAAATGAACAATACTGCATTTTATTCTGCCAATAATACGCAGCGGCAATGATCGGATATTTTGTTAATAAGAAATTGTGCAGTAATCCTCTGTTATTCAGAAGCGATTTGTTCTTGTATAGGGGAGAACCATCCCCTGCTTCCAAAAGGGCACGATTGACCTAATAACACCACTGATAACCACTGATATCGAAAAAACGAAACGCGTCTCACATGCAAAACCAGCCATTACGATGCTTCTCAACAGACCAAATTGCCTTACTATGACAAAAAAACTGCAGTATTTTGGAGAACAACGACGATAAAATAAAAGCCCTCTTTGTAAAGAACGTAAGTATGTGCGTACATTTCCAAGTTCAACTGGCACACAAATGAAACTTACACAGAAGAGAGTTAATTATTCGGAAGGACGATCGAAGCATGACATGTCTATCGGTGTCACAAGGATACACAATTAACTATTATTTCCGAGTGGAGGTGTTCGTTCGTTTCCAGAAGGACAAAACAACTAAGACATCTTCATTTCGTACGGGCCTGAACGCATTCGAAAAAAAAAATGAAAAAGCCGATTAATTTTGAACAATCGAATGACAGTACAGACTGAGACTTAGAAAATAGGCAAAAGAAAAAAATCAGTATATAAACATCCAATAAGAGTACATCAATGAAAAATAAGCCAGGCGAACGTTTACTAGTAGATTAGAAGAAACTGCGTGTTAAATTCTAAAAGAAGATATTTCTTATCTTTCTTGGCAAAATCTCCAATTAGATCTCACGAACAGTGGTCAGTTATTTTGTCTAATATTATTATTATTACGCCACTTAACTAAATAAAACAATATTATTATTATAAACGTTTAATAAATAAGAACAGAGGCGATTTTTGATCCCTTTCGTAATCGAATATGACTCATACAGTTACGAAAACCAAGTAAGAAGATAAGGCGTTTTTCATTGAAGAAGTTAGTGAAAAATTATGTGCCTGCGATGAATGGAAGTTGCACAAATTTGCGTTGCAACTGATTTGACTGACTAAATTTTAAAAAGTTTCCAATTGGTATCGTTTTGAAAGATTTTTACTTCCATTCAAACCTTAAATGTATTATTTATTTTTCTTAGACCATGATGGAAAACAGAAAGGTTGGCTTACAAGCCCAGGTACAAATGTTGAATAGTAAACATATTTACTGCAACATTTAACATTACACTGTTGAAACTGGTTTTAGGTAGAGAGATTCGACAAATCGCACGACCCCCATCCCAATGACACCCATTGTTGGCGGTTAGCTGAATAGGCACTGCTGCAGTGCCGTTTACTTCCAGGCACTCGACAAACGCGCACTTCTCCAAACATTAATTGAGGAGTGTATTCAGAACACGGTGGACCATCTGCCACGTCTCGGGGTGAGCAACCGAGAACTGACAAATATCTTGGAAATAATCAATCTGAATATGAAAAGAGCTGTGCTATATGAGTTAAAATGGGATTCAAATAAATCCGAATTTCAAAAAATGTACTGTTTTAAAAAACTGTGGAAGAACAGTTGGAAATGTAGAGAAAAGAATATATAATAAATTCCGTTTTCGCCCGGAAACCAACATCTTTCTGAATTGTGAATTCATATTTTCTCGGAATCTTCTATCTCATCAAAAAGGTCCAAAGCGGTCATCATTTTATCAGCAGTTGGTTCATCATCATCATCACTTTTATCAGTCATTTCGAACGACTATTGTTATCATTTCAACGTTCTGAGTAATAATTTTGTTTTTGTCGTGAAATAATAATAATAATAATAATCTCATTATTCGTATTTTTATTAAGTTTCAAGTAGGAATTAATCCTATCTTATTCATTAAAATATTTGCAGTTTATTTTGTTATATTACTTCTCGGTCCACCCTAAGAAAATTATCAAATTAAATAAAATGATTTTGTAAATATTAAGCAATCAAAATTACACATATAACTATGCAGCGTTTAATAATGCAGGCACACACACGTATACGCACTCGCATATGTACAGGTGCGCTCTTTCTCTCAACTCTCTCTCGTTTTTTTCTCTCACCTCCCCTTTTCACTTGCAATTTTGCTCTCAGTCTTTCTTTTTCTCTCTCCCTCACTCTTTTTTTCACTCTAAAGAAACACACTCCGATATTTATCCAAGAAGATATAATTGTACTTTTTAACGTATACATTTTTCAAAAGGTTTCCTTTATTAGTTTTAATTGGCTTCAGTTTCTCATAAAAAGTACGTCTAGTTCAATTTGACAGTTCGAACGGTTTTGCAAATCGCCGCGCCCCGATTCCAGGATGCCAATGTATCATCATTCAATTATGTTCGCTAAAACATTTGTAGAACCACATGTGCAATGAGAAACGTTTGACAATATTCGCCCGCAGCCTTGCAAAGCACCCTTCCGGAATTTCCAAAGCCTTGGCTGCACTTTCTCAACGCATTTCTCTCCTATGAGTGTTATGAAGGTCCTAGTTATTATTAGAGTAGGTCAGTGTCGTCCAATTGATCTATTACTTTTCAAACCATATACATGTTTTTAAGTGAAATTTATGTCACATCATAAAGGTGTTTGTGAATCATGCCGTTGAAATATGGCAATAATACAAAATTTAATCATGTAAAAATCCCGGATAAAAGTTAAAACATGAATCTTCTTAATACAACGGAAAAACCGATTCTGTAATAAGAGTGTACACCCTGTACTTTATAAAAGCATTTCATAAATATTTTTGTGACGGGTTAAAACCAAAGTTGTTGGGAAAATTATCTCCTCTAATTTATCGATTCAGATGTTTTTCCTTAGCTTCTGTCATGTTTACGTTTAGCCCGCTGCTCCCATTGCTAAAAAGACTGAAAGTAGGTTGCCCCAATCATGTTGATTAGTCATTATGTTGGAAGCTTTCTCGGAAATAGATTTCGTAATGACAAACGGAAGTCCAAAATGAGATATTTAACGATGTATCTCGGCATTAGTCTTTTAAAAAGAATTCACACTGCCGTTAAACGGCCACTGAACGGTCATCAACACCTGCGACCTCGGGTCACCCCACTTCCTTAAGACTATACCGGTTGACAGGATTAAAGAATTTATTTCCTTTATAAAAAAAACCTTAACTACGTTTTATCTGTTGATAATCCAACGAATTGAAATGTAAAATTGGCCGTACCAAACTGGTTGCGAGGTCCCACGTGCTTTTGGATTTTCTGGTCGGCCTGGGTGTCTGTTGTTGGACGGTATGTTTTTTGACGGGCCGGCTGAGGGATGAGAACCATCCGGCCTTCGTGAAAGACGGCAGTTTAAGGGCCCCCCTGCCCGGAGGGGGTGGCATACCCTTATTCGATCACTTCTATCACTATCACACTCCACGCTCCACACGTCACAGGCCACTATCACACTCCACTCGAAACTGGTGTTCATGTTCGACTCGTGAACCCGCGGTGTCACCCCTCCCAAATCGCCCAACTCCCACCCGTCCCTGATCGTAAAACACTGTTTTTATTAGTTTCTGCAATTTACTTTTTTTTCTTCTTTCATGCCCAAAAATATTCGCAAATTAAATAACACCAACCAAAAATCGAAACCAAAAAATTTCATATTTTTAATAACTAAAATAGGCTAAACAATACTGCTCTAAAAGAAAATTATCTTCTGGAATGTATTATTTATTTGAATAATGTAAATGGTAGCTAGTTTTCTCTTTTTCTACTGTCTTAAGGGAAAGTGTTTTTGTTTTCTTGAAAATAAATATATAATTTGATATTATTTCATCTAAAAAGCAAGCAAAAAATCTAAAGCATTAATTTATAGCACGAGTTTACTTACTTAATGCATATATATTTAATTACTATGCACAACAACAATACAGTGTCATTACAGGAGCCAGGATTTATAGTTATTTAGCAATACAAATCCTCAAATATGCCATATAATATGCTCACAAAAACCTCAAATATACGATATTATATGCACTAAAAAACCCTTCAAAACATAGCATAATGTCAGAGACATCACCTGACTAATAATAAACTTTTTTTTTCACCTAGACATATATTGTCTTTTTGGTCTAGAACATATTTATTTTGAAAGTAAATAAGAAAGAAAAATCATATAACTTAGGATGGTTAGGGATGCATGATCTGAAGATAAATTTCAAAATCTGAACCTATATCTGTTACCTCTGGTGTTCCACAAGGTGGCCACATGTCGCCTTTGTTATTTAATATATTTGTTAATGATATTGTTAAGTGTTTTACAAATAGACAATTTAGGTTGTTCGCGGATGATCTCAAAGTATTTAAAATAATAAAATCTATTGGAGACTGTAAAATGTGACAAGACATAACAAATCTAGTTAGATGGTGAGATCTAAATTATATGACTAAATATTGACAAATGTGATGTCCACTATCATAAGAAACTTAGTCCATTACAATTTAACTATAATATATGTGATATTGAACTAATAGCTTTAAATAATATTAAGGACCTAGGTATAATTTTTTATTTCTCTCTTTCTTTTAGCCTGCATATCGAATCTATTGTAAATACATGTTTGAAACTACTTGGTTCCTTGAAAAGAAATATGTAGGACTTAAATAGTATATTTTGCTTAAAATATATATGGCCAATCTTAGAGTTTAACTCAGTAGTGTGGTCACCTTACTACCACATTTATATATATATATAGATTTGAATCTTTTTAAAACAAATTTCTTAAATACTGTTCATACAAACTTGGTCTAAAATCTAGTCAGATATCATATGAAACTCTTAGAATGTACTGAACATTAGTTCATTAGAAGATCGTAGATCATTGTTTTTCTTGTAAAACTACTAACGAATATGATTAGTTGTCCGGAATTGTTAGAGAAGATATCTTTTAATGTACCATATGAGGACCAGATTCATTTCTCTATTCCAAATACCATTTTGTAAAATGAACTACTTAAAAATGCTCCCATTCCTAGAATATGCACTAAGTATGTGTACTGTTGTAAAACTTGGCTGCTTGTGTTGATTTAATAAATAAAATAAAATTATTTTCTATAAAAGTAAGGTGTTTTTCACTCAACAAATATTTGTACCACAAAAAAGCCTTTCCAATGTCAACAGATGTGATGGGGCTTGTAGAAACTTAAAATACGTAACTATCATCGATTCCCTGTATAACAGTTTAATTGTTTCCATTTAAGATTTCAATAATTTTCCCAATTCAGTCAATCCGGTGTTTTGTCTGGGATGTTATTTTACTTCACTTGTAATATAACTACTAAAATTCTAAAAAGTAATTTTCTGAAAAGACAAAAACTGTACCTATAGATTTCAATAAGGGCCTTAAAAAAAGATGCTGATTATATTTTTTAGAATTCAAGTGTCATATTGTTTACATATTTGTTCCTAGCAAGTTAACTCAAATACGAATCAAATTTTAGCCTCTTGTATTTTTTCCTCTCATGTTCTTAGTTGCTTAATTTATTTATTGTAATGAAAAATGTTTCAAATTTCTAATACTCTTCAAATATGCAGAATAAAATTTTAACCACCGTACCATAGATAAATACTGTAGGATGCAGAGTTAAGTGTCAGCAAAAAGGTTCTCATGTAGAAAAACATAATGAATAGAATAGGGCTATCTATATATTTACATGTGAGTATACTCCTTCAATATTGTAAACAATATTTGAACATATAAAAGGGCACCACTGACTTAGACCAACCTCTACAGATGGTTCCCACTGACGCATCTGACAATAAAAAATCAGTGATATTAGGTAGGCCAGGAAGAAAAGAAACAATTCAACTACACACTTACATATATGGATATGTAGTAATTTCTGAAAACCAAATTTACCTAAATGGCAATTTTATGATATTTTAATGATTATTTCATGGTGGAGGCAGTGGACGCAATGGTTATGGCTTTGACGTGGCGCTTATCAATGTAAGGCAAAGGTCCTGGGTTCAAATCCACTGGTTCTGATTTTTTAACCCAGCATACAATTTTTTTCTCAATTATTTTAATTTAATATTGTTGCTACAAATGTAGAATAATGATGACTTGCACTTCGAGAATGAATATAAATAACCATATCAATGTATAAAAGTACTAAAATTTGGTAACCTAATTACATGTAGAATATAATGTAAGAGGAATACAATTACAATACTGTGAAATATGCTGTAATTTTATATGTGTAGTTTCATTTTCTCTTGGCCGGGACCTTTACCTTAGGACATCAACACTCCTTTGATATTGATGTTTTATAATATGAGAATAAACAGCAAATAAAACTTTTTTTTTATCTTGGCTCTGATAATTTTTTAAATTTTATTTGCTACATTTGTCTTTTAAAGCATTTTTTTAATCGTTAGTTTTAAATTGAATTAATTGGGAGAAAAAGCTAACCTTGTTATTTCAAGGAGATTGTTATATTAATAAATTGCTTGATTGTTCTGCCTAACGTTTAGTAGTCATTAGTAAGGAACAAGTCAACATTACAATGCCTTTGTATCAATTATCATCAAAAAAATGTTTCAAGGGTGTGAAATTACAATTTCCAATATCCTCATTTATTACATATTTATGTTGTGTGAATGAACAGTATATATATTAATCTTAAAAGAAAAAAAATTAAGAGGTTAAAAATTAGATTTAAGAGTTGGGCTGTAGTAATAGAGTTAAGGTTGAGTTGGAACATCAATTAAGCGGCTGAAAATGATGGTTCTACTCATGTATTATGCAAGAAATGTGTTGATACAAAAATGTATCCAATTACAACAAGCATATACACATTTTTTAATCAACCCTGTATGTCAAAAGATTTTTGTTTGCAAGTACTCTCAATAAATTGAGAAACAAATTTTGATGACTATTTTGTTAGAAAACTGTAAAATGGAAAAGAAGTAGTTTGTTTTTAAGTTTCAGACAATAGTGATAAAAATAAATATTTTCTAAATTGATAGCAATAGTTTGATAAAAATCTACTTACTATACAAGCACAAGAAAAAGTATTTTCAATTAAGTTTTTTTCTTCACAATTTTGTTTATCAACAGTTTGATCTGTATTAAGTCAACATCACATTTTCACTGATTAATAGATAACAAATCTATGAAAAGAAACTATTTAGATTGAAAGCTCATAAATGCTTCAAAAATGTATTATTTTGTTAATAAATTATTTTAATATTCATTGCATTCAAGCAAATACTTTTGACATAAAAATTAAATTCCCTAAAATCCCTTTTCCCAAGGCTTTTAATTATAATGGAAAATTATAAAAGAAAAATGCTTTCAAATTGTCACATAAGCTTATTAATATAGTTAAATCAAGGATAGAAAAGCAGGATCAAATGATCAGTTAAAGAATTCGAACAAGACCTGCTTTCCAATACATAACAAATAAATACAAAGAATTGTCTAAGATTTGTTATTCTAATGAGCTAGCAAAATAAATTGAAAAAATTAATCAACAAAAAAAATTATGGTAAGATGGTGAGTCACAAATCCTGACATCTAAAAAGACATGAGAAAAATTGAACAATATTTGTAAAACTATGGACCTTTCTGTCATTGACATGTTACATGTCATTTTAAATATTTACATTTTATGCTATATATTATGTTGTTATATTATGTACTTCGACAGCTCAACCTCTACACATCATTGCAGGGCTCTTTCAGCCACTTTTTGGCATTTCGTACAGTGAGGATGATCAAACTGTGGGCAAATGATTTTCACCACATCTTAATTATCTAAATATATACAAACAATGGCATTGAGCTAAGTGATCACCTGATAGATAATCGTGTGATAAGATATGGCAAAATATGACAGCATGTTTAAAAAGTTAAAAAAAAAAAAAATCCAGATATAATCAAAAGTTTTCAATTTGGAAAACTATAAGGAGAAATGAAAGTTATTAAATATTCATAATACTGTATTTTAGTTACAATTGTATTGATTGGCTGTCCTTACAGATTTTACCAGTTTCAAAAGCAAAGCATTTTGTAAATAGAAATTTGTAAACATTAACAAAATCTATGATTGTAAAAAAACCAAAAAAAATCCTACAGCACTGGCTACCTACCACTTTGAACACCAACACAATTTCAACTTCAAAATCCAAAAATATTATACACAGAACAAACATAAATGTAACTTTTTAGAAATGGTTTACATTAACATGTATAATCACAGCATCAATTACAGAACAGACACTTGTAAACTCAGTCGAAGCTGCGCTAATATCATTAACATACATATATCATTACATCACATCACACAAAACATATAAAACAATCATCACAGTCCACACATCGAACATTTCTACATAGCCAAATTCTTCGACAATTTGGCTTTCCTTTACCTGATTATCCCTGTCTATATAATCCTGAAAGGATAATCAGGTCAAATCATTACCCATTTTTTCCCACTGACGGCTCATTACAACTCAAGAAGCCGACTCCTTATATAAAAATCTCTTTCTACCCCGACTTCCTTCCCCACCCCTTCAAAATCCAACATATATAAACATAAAACAGCAATATCTCACTGGCACTCTCAACACAACACATAAGACTGACACATCTACACGGAAAACAAACACTTGTAAAACATTTGTAAAATTTAAAAGTTTTATACATCCCAGGCCCTGAAGATGATCTCAATAAAGATTGAAACGTTGACACAATAAAGAAAATGTTTTTCTAAAACCACACTATATCACACCAGACCGCATCTCACGATCTCACTCGTTAAATCATTAACAAACGGTCACTAAACACCACATATTAAAAAAAGTTTTATAAAATGCAACTTACTTGAATTTCAAGAAGTAATTCAGTTTTCCTCCTTCTTATTTCTATTAACATTTTCTGCTGTTCAGGTGATAAATCTGGAAAAAAATATAACCAGTTTAGAGAACTTTTGCTTTCCTCTTAAAGGTGATCTATACAGTAAGAGAATCATGTTCTTAAATTATTTAATCATATTCATGTTGTGTACAAAAGTAATCGCTAAATTTTTAAAAATGACTCACAATATTCATTTTGGTAAAACAAGCAGGACGTTTGCAAGCAAAAATATTTTGAGTAGAGAGAGCATAAAAGTACTATCTTAATAATCATGTGTAAAAGAAATAAAAACTCTGTACCTACTCATTATGCAGCCTAGCAATATGGAAAAAACCCGACATCTACTAAAATATATTTACATTATGTGCAATATGTGTCATTTAATGACGTCGTGTTTATTTGATTTATTATATGAAGATTTCAAGTTTATATAATGACATAATCAAACTTCTCTGGAATCGCTATAAATTGTACGAACATTTATTTGATTACATAAGATTATATAGATCCACCAAAATGTTTGTTTTAATAACACTATCTACATTAATTAAAGTCCAAATTTAATTTAGATATACATGTTTACTGTATTCTTCTATCGTGTTATAAATGTCAAGAATGGTTCCTCTAACAACTGTTTAAGACTACTAAAACAACTTTTCTTGCATCCAACATAAGACTTAATTTAGATATACATTTACATACTCTTCAATTGAGTTATTAATGAAAAATATCAAGTCAATTGCTTTCTTTGGCTTATAGCAATAATGGTTTGATGTTTACACATTTATTGCACTTTTCAAATGAGATTCATTAATGTAATGTCAAGCTTGGTTCGTAATTTTAACGTCCGTGACTAAGCCAACTATCTAATTTTAAACACATATTTAATTTTAGTATTTAAATTTATATTTTATACAAGTTGAATGTTCTCTTCAATTGAATATTATTAATTTTTATAAATGAAAGGTATAGCTCATCCCATCAGTCTTGTGTACTTCTCTGTAAGGTATGCAGTGTAATGACTAAATTATAGTGTAAAAAATTGTAGTTTAAATTGATAATATAAATATAAATGAATGCCCATTGACTTCGACTGAGTGTTATCTTCATAAATAACTCTCAGTAGAAAATGTATCGACCTTCAGACCAACTTTCAAGGGAACGTTGACCAGAATTATGGTTAGTTATAAATGTTTACTGCGCAAGTACCAAATATTTATGGCTGAAAATTGATAATTTAGTTAATTAATATAGTGGTTTGCCGTATTTTTCGACTGGGTGCTAAAAGAATGTGACATATGGTTTTACCCCATATAATTATGATTTAAATTGAAAATTTAGTTTTGTTATTCTCTTTAAAAAAAATAGAAAGTTTATTTACAATGATATGTATATGTATATTCTTTCGAACATTATAAATATGAGAGCATTAAATTTTACATACAAATATGAAATATGTATTCATTGAGGATTTAGATATAATTGTTTGTCATATGGTTAATAAATAAATCTGACAACTTTTTTATCAGCTTTTTACTCTCGCAAATCAAGAGTACTGTATAGGTGGCCCTCGGAGGATGTAACTCCTTGAAAAAGGATCAACCTCAACGATTAAGTTGACACACGGACACTTACTTTTGGACCAAAACCCGGTTCTGTGTCCAGTATGTAGAGAAAGGTTGCTGAATGTGTCCCAGTTAATTGAAGAGTGTAGCCATTCCTTGGCTTCATCAGAGTGTAGGATGCCACCTGATATGATAATTGAGCTTGAGCATGGCAACAAGTATCTGGGTTCCCCGTTCTGATTTTTAGAGGATACAGGGCTGTTTTAATGTTTATCCTTTATGGATATCTTGTGTTTCTTAGAGATAACTTTGAATGAATGTATTTCTCAGTGTGAATGTTTAGTGTGTGAGGGCCAATGGCCGTATGTTGATTGATTACCCCATCAATCTTCTATTAGATTAGTTTTATAATATGTATGAGGGTGATGGAGGAATATCAAGTACTCCACCACCATAACTAAATGAATGATATGTAAATGAGAAAGAATGTATTTAAGATTGAGTGAGAGTTTGAAAGCATTTTGAAACTGATTGTGTTGGATGGAATGACCCACTTGTTAATAGCCCCTGGAGCCCAACCTCGGTAGCTAGATGAATAAAACCAAGGTCTGACCCTGGACTGCCAACACCCTGTCGAGGTCTGCTGGTAATTTATTGTAAATTATAAAAGCAGGAATTGCCAGTGGACTGTTAGAAGTGATAGTATCAACTTTCTAGAGTGCTATAAACAGTTGATAAACAAAAAGAGTTATTAATGATGATACACATTATTTTAGAAAAATATGAGTGTGTTAGGATTTCCTTACAAGTATCAAATATTTATGATTGATAATTTATAAATAGATGATTCCTGTACTCTTCAATTAAGTGTTGTTAATAAAGAAATGAGGTTAAAACATTGACATGGTGCTCATCACTGAAGGTCCTGGGTTTGAATCCAACAGCCCTGCTTTCAAACTTGACATACTTACAAATGGGCTTTTTTCTAAAACACCAGCACTCCAGGGGTTGTATATGTATGATAGATAATTTAGATATAGACAATTGCTGTACTATTCTATTTAGAACAAAGATTCTGATTCATGGTTTGTCATACCAACTTTCTAGAGCAATTTAAAAGTGTTCATGATAAAACCACAGAAATAAAGTCTATATGAATAATTAAATTATAAATATTTAGTGTGCTCTTTTAATAAGCATTTTAAAGATTTCCCCCAAGTGATTTATTGTATCAACTAAGACACGTTAATGTTTCCTTACAATTTTAATAAATTATTTGATTGATAATTCATCATTTATACATAGATGTTTGTTATATTCTTCAACTGTGGTTTTGTTAATGAAAAATGTGACAAATGGTCCATCGTACCAACTTCATCGAATACGCTACTGTTTTCTTGAAAGTAGCACAGAATTAGAGTTTAAATTGACCCGTTTTTATACATAGATGTCTACCAAATTTTTAACCTGAGTGTTACCAATATCATTAATGATTTATATGCAATGTGGTATATGATCTGTTCAACCAACACATAATGTTTTTTTTCTAGTGGTGACACTGATCTATCGTTTAAAATTATGCATAATCGAACTTCTCTGGTATCAAACAGTAAATTGTAAGATTGTTTCTTTGTTTACAGAAGACAAAATATTAATAATTTGGGTTTGTTTAGTCATACCATCTGCCATATGATTTACATGGAATGGAACAAATGTTTACTTGTAGAGTACGTCAATCACTCCCGTCAATTTGAGAAAAAAATTATGTCGAACCAACCTGGTCTATAATTGCTTAGAAAGTTCCGAGAAAACTGGATAAATAAGGAATTTAGCACAATTTATTTTCAACGAAAAAGTTGTTCTCAGCACCACCCCCTCTACTTTGTGGGCTTGAAACTTCAAAAAAAATCCAAAACTATTTGTTTGTAGATTAAGTTATTAAAAAGAAAGTTGGAATATTTCGGTATCTGTGTGAATGTGTGTGTTTTTAGACGTGGAATGGGACTCACCGTTTATATTGAAAGTGTCATTGGTGTGTGGATTGTTCATTTTCATTACGCCTAGTTGCTTGTGACGAGGAAAAAAGGGGGCGAAAGAGACGGCAGGATATAAACAATAAATTCCTATAAAAAAACACTTGAAAATAGAGTGGGTAAAACAAAGAGCTCGGCCACCATTTTGTGAAATTCACTCCCCTTCCCACTGGATTGATACCTTTCCAGAATCACCTACATAGAAACTCCCCCCCCCCCCCGTCTGTTGGAGAAGTCTGTAAGGCCGTGGCAGAAATCCGAACCCTCGTCTAGACACTAGACAGTAGACAGTTCTGACCGCTTTCTACAAATCGCTATCCAACGCAGAATATCCGGCTCTCACTCTCCCTCACTCATCGACTTCCGCGATGAACAAAGAGCACTTGAGCACTTTACTTATTTCCTTCCTAAAAAGCGATGTAAGACGTTTTTGACGTGTCGAGTCAAGGAGTGTAAAAAAATTATCAACGTAAACAATACAATGAATCACCAGAGGAAAGTTGAAAGACAAAATCAATCTGCGGTATACTTTAAGTAATTATGATAAAGGGTACATTTTGTATTTTTAAAAAGTCCCTATTCCTCTTCATTTTTCTACACTAAAATGATTTGATTTACACTATGATGATGTACACCAGAGATAAATATTATTATGAATGAAAGAACTTCACAACTCGTAAAATGCATTTTCATCAATAAACCAACATTTTCGTTTCGACGGGTGTAAATTATTTCCAGCAATAATATGACCATTTTGTCTGTATCTCGTACCCCATAGATATTTTTGATGGATACAGAACGTCAAAAAATGGATATAATGTTTATCAAATGATTCACATAGCAAAAGATTAAAATTCTATTGGGAGACCCATAAATTTAACAGAAAAGTTGAAAAATGGCTTAATCGATCGAGGATTCGAACAACACTAGATGTTTTAAATTGTCTAGGGGTATGGTCTGGATGAAAGAACAAATTCAATTGTTACCTCAAAGCTTTCGATCTATTTTAAGGTGATCATCAACGCAAAACAATCTTAAAGATACCAACAAATCGACATAATTAAGTTTTTAATAGATGATTTCAAATTTCATTGAAGGTCGACTCAGTCCCAATATTGCCAAGGACTGTAACACTAATTAACACTATATCATTATATATGAGACTAAGTCGGCCTTCAAAGAAATTGGAAACTATCTAAAGTTGTAGACATCTTTAAGATAGTTTTGTCCTGATGACTTTAAAATAGGTCGAAAGCTTGGCAGTAACAATTTGACTTTGCTCTTTCATTCCATCTCGAGGCCCAGATTATTCGTGGGTAAAAAAGGTACATCAAACACTTTTAAATTGTTGACAGATAACAATGATCGTTTTATGAAACGTGAATATCGCTATTCCACTTATCTCTTTTTTATTATTTTCTCTGATCGTTTATAACTCACAATAATTTCAAATAAACACTAACTTTTTGTTTAAGATATCTTGGACCGGGCCGCCAACAGAACAAATCTATGGTATAGTGTATTGACTTTACGCCGACCATGAAAACAGTAAACATAACAATAGCGAAAATTGCTGAGTGAGCGCTTCTGATATGACCTATATTCATGAGAGTTATTTAATTTTCGAAATTTTATACATTAAAAGCTGACAATCCAAGTGGGCTAATCCGTAGCCGTGGTGTTTTTGGGTTGTCTCCTGTTACAATAGAAAAGTAATTATTTCTGTGCATAAAGTCTCTCAATTTACAAGATAGTTTTTTTAAAAACAGATCACCGATTTTTTGTCACTACTATACCAACAGAACCACTCGTTTCTCTTGTTGGTTTAAGCCCAAGTGTGTAACATAACGAAGGTATGACCAAATGTCTAAAGGTAGCATTGTGGTTCATTCGAGTCTGTTGACAATTCTACGCCTAATTATGACAGGTGGAAATAATTTTTCACTAAATTTTTAAGTGACACCTTTTTTTACGTATATTGCTTTTATTTTATTGACGTAAACTGGAATTATATTCAGTTTTAATAACTTTATTGGCTGCTATTACCTATTAGTCTGTACAATCACTAACAACAGGTCTCCTAGTTGAAATGTTTTTTGTATCACCTGTTTGTCTTCGTCGACATGATTAATAACACAAATACAACTTTAAATTATAATTTCTTAAAGTTAAATTTAGGAAGGGTGTTCGATATTGTTTCTTCCATACACATTTCCTGATATACAAGGAAGAAGGACCTCAGCTGTTTGTTGGCCCATAAACTTCCCACTTTATATTGTATATATATATATTTATATATATATTTATATATATACAAGGAAGAAAAACTTCCAAGTTCGCCAAATTACTGCAATACGATTTATTTACATCTTAAAAATTCAATGTTTCGTAAAAAGAAATACTGTTTATTATTATTACTGACGATATTTGTTCTTTTGTACATAATTGTGACAACGGATTTGTATGAATTACTTATGGTGCCAAGAATATCGTCAGCATCAGTTGAGATTCTGTGCTATGACGAGCCAACAGACTTGAACAACAGTGCCCTATTGCTTTTGGACGAACGTCTTGTAGCCAAAAACAATTCAATTTTTTTTGTCGAGACTTCATGCAACAACGGTAATCTTTTGCTCAACCCAAGGCAGGCGTGTGCGTTGGAATCCGCTGCCAAATTGAACCCAGGACATATGGTTTATTTATTAGTCGCCTCACCAATTAAAAATAATTTTTTCCAAGAGCACATAAACCGTCTCAGTGTTTACAAAAATATAAAACTGAGACATGTAGATATGAACACATATTTTGATAATACACCACTTAAAAAGTTCTATAGAAAAAAGACTCTTAAGTCAAGTTTATGGCCCCAGTCGCATGCCAGTGACATTTTGCGCTATGCAACATTATGGAAATTCGGAGGGATTTATTTGGACCTTGATGTTGTTTTACTTAAGTAAGTATATAGTTTTAAAATAACGATTAAAAGAATGATACAACCATTTTTTCTATTTTATTTATTTATTTTTCTTCAATTCATTAATTCTACTACACCAACACTATTCAGCCTAACACGAAATATGACTCATCTATTTCATTGTGCAACATTGCAATAGAGTATTTAATAAAAAAAAATTAATTTAATTTATAGACGGATATTTTCATTTATTTCTTCTAGATCCGTAATTTTTTGAAATTAAAAACTAATAATTGTTTTTGATAAATGCGAATGCATTTTGGTATCAATCTGGAGGCAAATCTCCAAGTATAGTATAATTCATAGGAGTTTTGAAGAGAGGAGCTAGATTGGCCCCGAAAAGCATCGGCATTAATAAATAAACAAAATAGGTTGAAGCAGTTTATCACCTATTTATCAATCCTAATCAGTTACCATTATTAATGGCTTTGTAATTGTAGCTATCCTCACTTGAATTATAAAATTTAACAATTTTTTACTTTATCTAGACCTTTCAACAATTTGATCAACTTTGCTGGAGCGGAAAATGACTATGATATTGCAGCTGGCGTCCTCTCCTTCAGTTATAAACATGCTGTAGCTAATATGTCAATTGAAGATGTTAAATATAATTTCAAAGGGTGGTTATGGGGAAATAATGGCCCAGGTGTAATTACCAGATCTCTCCAGAAATACTGTCAGGTTAATGAGGTAAAAATAAACTATTGAATAATTAATTATTAATCAATTTAGCTTTTAAATTATTGTAATTTATCTTTCAAATAAAAAGTCAAGAAATTGTTATTATTATTTTTTTAAATTTATTTATTCAGGTCTCTAAAATGACAGTTGAACAATGTAATGGCTTCAGGATTTTTCCACCTTCAGCCTTTTATCCAATACCTTGGAGGAAATGGAAGGACTATTTTACCAAAAATGAAAGTGAAATTGAACGAGTAATGACTACATTAAATGACAGTATAGCCATCCATGTTTGGAACTTCCACAGTAAGGCATTGAATATCACTGTCGGGTCTAAACAACCTTATGCTATTCTTGCTTCTCGGTTCTGCCCCGAAGTTTACTCATCTCTTAATGATATTTTTTAACTACTAAACTACCATTGTACAATTATTTTATACAAATGCCAACTTGTTAAAAACAGTGAAGAACTGGTAGTTTGATCATTCTGGTTGTCTATTCTTTGGCTGTCAGTTATGTTTCAATTCATGTAAGACAAAACCAAGCAAGAATGTGCGGATAATACTGATCAGAGAATTATCAAGCTAAAAATTCTCACTAGTTGATTTATATTTTTTAATTATTTTTTTTATTTATTTGTTTTTTGTAATGTATGATCAATGCATTAATAAGGTAATAAAAGAAAATAGGATAGGAGGACATGTATAATTTAAATTATATCATATTCTTTTGAACATGTAGAATTTATAATTGACTGTGTATATATGTCCATAAATATGTACGTATGTAAATTAAATTACTTCAACTGCAATTCCTTTTTTAAAAACTTTATTTGAAGTTATAAGTACAAGTTTAACCTAATTTAACAATGTACTCTTGTCAAACGTAAGGAAAGGAATCCACAGTTGAAGTTATTTAACTGGTGCAGTCGGTAGGACAGCAAAGGATTTCAAGGGAACATTGAAGACCATCTGTTTCTACAGTTAACTTGCCGATCGAACAACATATGCAATTGGAAAAGGACATGGTACTGTAAGTCCAGAAAAATTTATTATCTTTCGATTTTTTAAAATTTACACAAACATTTACTTAAAACTTAAGTACAAAATGTATGTGTTTGTAAAACTGCGTAAAATAATAAAAATAATATTAATCGTAATACTAACAATAATATTAATAAAAATAAACATCTATATATAACAAGAATATAATAATAATAATATTTTTTAAAAACTGTAAATAATACAAAAGGAATAAAATTTGTAAAATGGCTTTGAATAGGATTCAAGAGCTAAATTTTTGTTTGAATAAAATTCCTACTTTTGATGGAAATCCAAAAAACTTGAATTTCGTTCACAACAGAAATTCAAGTTGTTTTTGGTACACCGAACCCTGACAACCAAATATGAAAAAGCAGTTGCCTTTTTAGGAATAAAATCAAAATTAATAGGTAAGGCTAGGGAACAGCCAAAAAACCAAACTTTTACTGAATAGTTTCAAACAGACATCTAACTTGGAGCATACAACCATATATATTACTCCCAAATAACAATTTAAAAGTCCTACCGACTGCGCAAGGTAAATAATTTCAACTGTGGATTCCTTTCCTTGCGTTTAACAAGAGAACATCGTTACAAGGTTAATAGTACCTCTAACTTCAAATAATTATTTAGCTTGTACATATGGTGTAGTAACATTGACAATTAGAAAAATAGAAACCTCATTTTTAAATGTATATTATTCAAATACCAGGAGTTATATCAATAGTCGCAGTTCATATTTTGTTATGCTTAACTAATTTAGCCGTGAAAATATGTTGACCTAATATATTAGTGTAAAAGCCCAAACATTTTTATTGTGCACATTTAAATGTTATATAATTTCATAATAATAAACTATTTTATATAAAATATTTGCTCGAATTATTTTTTAAAATTCTTTTTTAATGCATTAAAAGTTATTTGTATACTGTTATCAAATACATCAATCTGTTAACTAAGGTAGTTGTAATGTATGGAAGCTCCCAAACTATTTGTTTTTATAGACAGGCTAACGAATTGCTATTTCCACATTTTTCAGTAATTAACATGAAATTTTAAGGTTTAATGATTATTTAAATTAAATAAATTTAAACATCCATTAAATCTTAAATTTTTCAATCATGTTTGTTGTCATAATAAGATTATAATGAACATACCTTCGAGATTATAAAACCATTGTATGAGAGGGAAGAAGTTCAAGATTGATTTGTGCAGGCCAAGGCAGATTTCACATCGACATGTAAGCTTACAATGCTTCCATTTTCCTTTTCTTCTGATTTTCAGGGGCATTATCAAAATATTTGTAACGTTCTCTTTCTGTAATAATTCATTCAAATTAATATCTAGGTAAATAATGTAGTATTTTTTTAAAATCCAACATTATTCCAACAACAACTGTTTCCCCCCTCCCATATTATTTCCAATTTTTTTCTATCTTTTTAGAATAATTTGTGAAAAAGATTGACTTATAGTTTTGTGAGAAACTACTCTAAATAAATCAGAGTTTGCAATGACGTAGAGATGAATTAGATTTTAAACTGATAGGCACTGGATCCTACTTAGCCTGTCTGCTTTTTCACCAGTTTAGATGACACACAAATATATTTCAGCTTCAGTTCTTCACTGAAGATGCCATAAGCCGAAACAAATGCATTTGACAGAATCATCCACCTGGCCTGCTTGTTTTTATAAATTTTGACTGTCAGACCATGCTGATTAAGGACGATTGACTAATTCTTATCATTGTTTTTACTTCTTATAGAACGATTAAAAAAGAATTAGTTGTGTTCAAATTTGACTCTCTTGTATGTTAAAATGTAGGTGAGCTACATTTTGCCGCACCATAAAAAATGATTTTTTTTTTTTTTTTTGGGGGGGGGGAGTTTTTGGTAAAAACTACTATGTATCTGCTGTTTACAATATTTATTAGTTTGTTTTAATGTATTTTCTAAAAATTACTTTTGATGTCTTAGTTTAAACATCTTACACTTACACTGAGTAGTCCTTGGAACCCCCCCCCCAAAAAAAAAATCTATAATTTATACGATTAATATAAAAATCAAGCATAATAAACAAAATCCCCACTCCTTCAAAATCCAATGTATATAAGCAAAAAATATTAATATCTCACTGGCACACATCTACATAGAAAACAAACACTTTGAGTGAGTACAAATACCTTAGTTATTAATTATTCAGAGATTGTGAGATGCAGTCTGATGTGACGTAGGTTTTAGAAAAACATTTTTTTTTATCATGCCAACGTTTTGATTTTTATTGAGATCATCTTCAGGGCTCAATAAAGATTGAAACGTTGGAACGATAAAGAAAATGTTTTTCTAAACCTACCACCAGAACCTTATCAGTCACTAAATATCACACATAATAAACCAAATGGAATAAAAAAAAGTAACAAAAGGCCAATGCATTTTTCGTATGATTGAAATCTGACTCACCTTTAATTTTGCATAGGGGAAGCAGGATGAAACATAATTTTGAATGCAATAAAGCTTTTTCCCTACGGTGATCTAAACTGACTCACCCTATAAACAAGAGTGTAAAGTGGAAGTAAATGAAAAGAATATAACTACATAGATATAGTAATATACAAAGTAATTAAAAATAAATGTGAAAGTTTTTTTTATAATATTGTAATACCGTTCTCGGATTGTGAATGAACTTGTCTTAGCATTTCTTCTCCCTTCCTTCTGATTCCAAACATGTAATCTGTATAAGTAAACAAATAAAGTTGTCATAGTAAATTCCTTGCCCAAAGCCAAGGAAGCATCTACAATACTATCTTTCAATCTAAAGTTAAGCAAACAAACAATTGACATACGTATTTAATTAATTTATTTTATTCTATTTTATTTTTTTGGTGTACAATTTGATAATTGTTACAATTGTTATCAGCAAATTAAATGTATTTGGGATGTAAAACAGTCTTTCTGTTTGATTTTAGGAAACAATATACAATACAACCCATTCTGAACACTAGAAATACACCTCAATGGAAATCATTTTAGAACAGAAGAAAAAGTGAGAAGAAACAAATATTACACTAGACAGCCAATCAAATCTTTTTTATTTATTAATTATTAAAAGTGGGAAATATCCCAATTGCAAATGTAACTTTATATATATATAAAAGTATATATATATTACATCGTTGTTATGCCTGGAGTCAACTTAATAAATGTTGATGTAAACTATTGAGCTAAGCATCAAGACCCCACTTCTACTTTAGATCCACTCTGGACTCCAAACTAGATACATACTTCAATAGAACTCTTGTATTGAATGTGTAAAAGTTTGTAAGTTAATATTAAATAAATATTTTTTTTTAACTTAGTTTCTCGCATCGAAACTAAAACTGCACAGTCGGTAGGACACCTGGAGAGAAGATTAGGGAATATAATTTTCTTCAATTTAATTGTTTACCGCAACGGCAATCAATCGAACCGACTCTATACAGGAATTCACATGGAAGCGTGTCACCTAGTTAAAATGATGAATGGTGGAGTGAGTTCAGTGTTCAACCCTTTTTAAAAAGATAGTTCCTACTCACAGTAAATTGTTTTGCAACAATCCAGATTTTGAGCTAAAAGCTTTTAGCTCAAAATCCGGTTAGTCGCAAAACAACTTACTGTGAGTTCTTCTTTTTAAAAAGGTCTGTCACCTAGTACTGTGAGTTGATTAAAAACTTTTATAAATCTACCATGACATTACAACCAACAAAATAGGTCTTATAAAAGATTTAAGAAAACAGTTTTTATGTAAATTTGAAATTAAAAAAAGAGTTGAAAAATCTTGTAAAAATAAACATAAGGAGTATAAAATAAATATAGAATTTCATAAAAACGTGAATCCCCTGTTTCCAGAAACGTTAAAAAGCGTAAGAATATCTTAACATGATACCCACTTTTAAACGCGAACCGGAAGGGTTAACAAGGTCCATTGGTATTTTTCAAAAATTAGTTGACAAATTTTACATATTGACGAATCCAGGAGATTTTCAAAATGAGTATTTATTGGCAAGTACAAATTCAAAAATTCAGGGGCCGGGGGCAAAAATAGTCTTCAATTCAGGTGCAAGTAATTGGCCTGAAATAAAAAATGATTGCATAACCAGTTACTTAGACAAGAGGGACATTTACACCCTAGTCCTTGAACTTTCGTAATTAAAACAAACTAATAAGAGTCTGTTTCCATTTCTCGAAAAGGTTCAAAAACTTTTAAATCTACAAATTAGCTGTCTCAATAATTTAATGCCAGACGATGCTGACACTCTGGCTGAGTTCTGTAGGAAATTAGGTTTAAGGATTTTATCAAAGGGATTAAGAGAGCACATGACTTCTCTTTTGCAAGCCAGGAGCCACTCAGATCTTAATGAAGCACTCAATATGCTCACTAATGATTTTCAGCACCAATCTACCCAAGGATCCAAAAATTTTGGACAGGTAAGGAACACAAAAGCGTATCCACCTACACCATTCAGATACCTACAACATCCATTATTTTCATCACCACAAAACATTACCCACGACAAAATTTTGTACACCCTAACAAAAGGAACTACCAACAAGAAAACCAAACCAATGTATGTGTCTACCACATTTTCTGTCCACACCAGACATTTCTAAAAATTAATCATCAAATAACGATTAATGAGGAGCAAAATGGTCCTCTAAATCAAATTCAAGTCCCCAAAATTATTACTCACAACACGTAAATTCAACCCTCGAAAATAGTCAAACACACAGCATTTTTTATGAGTAAAAACCAAAGGGAAAGGATCAGGATAATGAACCTGTCCGATTCGAACAAATGGCTACCGTATTTCATTTATCCATTGACATTAAAAAAAACCCATCTGAAGTAAAAACATTTCATGGAATTAGTACATGCATTAAGCTTAACACAGAAATTTTAAAAGGAAAATTCTTGACATTAGAATTATTCTCACTCAACTTTCACAATAGATTCGACATGCTGCTTGAATTAGAGAGCATGAAAATATTAAATATTAAATTAGATTTTAATAAGGATGAAATAACAGTAGTGAATAAAAATTTCATGGACCAATATCAAAAATCAGCAAGTGTGCCACCATTTTCATCACTATGACATAGGTAAATGCCGCCTTGACAATAGCCATTGTCACATCTTTAATATTGACAGTGGCCCTTGATCCTAAATTCTTCCAAGTTAATTTCTACTCTGGGGGTGAAGGTATTACTTAATTATAGGTAGGTCATTTTGCCAGGAGTCAACTTAATAAATGCTGATGTAAACTATCGAGCTAAGCATCAAGACCCCTCTTTTTCAGATCCACTCTGGACTCCAAACTAGATACATACTTCAATAGAACTCTTGTCTTGAATGTGTAAAAGTTTGTAAGTTTATATTAAATAAATGTTTTTGTTTTTTAAACTTAGTTTCTCGCATCGAAACTATAACTTTTATATATAAGTTTGTCAATATAATGCAACAAGAAAAGGAAAAGAGTGTCACGTTGATTTTATAGAGAGGGAAATTTTAAGATCATCAGTATATAATAGAAATGGTGTGGCAGAAAGAAAGGACTTAAGTTCATTTATAAAGATTAAAAATAATAAAGGACCTATATGTGATCCCTGTGGGACTCAAGATGTAATTGAAAGTGATTTTGAATTAAATGATTTCAGGTTACAACCTGTGTTCTAACGGTTATATTGGAGTGAAGCCAATTTAACAAATTGCAATGAACTCCATTTTAATTTAGCACCCAAAACATAAACATATTTACGGTGTGTAAAAGCGGCTTAGCCCCAATTCCCCGATAGGTATCGAGTAATCTGGGGTAATGTGAACAAAGACATGTGAATGTGAAATGACAACAAGTACATGTGAATGTACTTTATTAGCGTGAATGAAGAGGCTTAGCCTTAGCCCCAGTGTGGATCTAACCAGACTATCATATGTGTCTTGTTTCTGTGTATTTGTGTTATTTTATCCACAATTGACGAGGCCTGAAGTATAGAAAGGCTAACAATATGATAAACTATAAAAGGAAGAGAGAGTTGGTTACCGTTGTATCATAACTCATAAACTTCATAATAGTAGGGTTAAAACGAGGGTTTTAAAAAATAGGGCTAGAAAGATAAGAAATGCAAAGCTAGATAAAGAGGGCTGGCGTTAACCAATGTAGTTTGTCAGCACTAAAATTTAAACAAATTGATAAGTAAGGACGCTAATATTGATAGTAAAACCTGTTAACAATATACTTTTTTTAATTTGTGGTATAAATGGAATATTCCATATTTTGAAAAGGGCGCACTCAACTGATACAAGAGGCGGTTCGGAAATACGTAATTCCGTATCAGAATAAATTATTGAAAGGCGGCTACAACCCGTTTGGAGGCAGCTACAGATTGCATACTTGAGTTATGATAAAGAAATAGTACAACAATAAATTGTAGATTTGAAATGTTTTTGTATGATAATACCTGAAAATGGACCATTTTGATGACGAGAAACGGCGAATGTCCTGTGATGAGATGAGTGTTCCTGTTTTTAGTACTGAAAACGATATTCGTAACAGGAACGGAGTTGTAGACAAGTTAAGAGAAGTCCTTTTGAAGCTATTACAGCCCAATTTCAAATGTTCAGACGACACAATACTAACGAAATTGTTCGACTGTGTCACCACAAATCGAGATACGAAAGGTGAGAATTGCTATATTAACACTTTGAAGAAGAATAATCTTGATTTTTTCCAGATTGGGAAATATCAGGGAAAAGGCACGTCTTGTTAGGATTGTTTCTACCATGGATAGACCTGGCCCTGTCCAATTGGGAACTGATTGTGAATCCTGTGAAAAGCTTCTTTTTGAAAATCGTCGGATATTTTTCAAGAGGAGAAAACTGTTTTGATCTGCTTGCTGCGTCCAACATTCCATCCCGAATAGTGACAGCAATTAAAATGAATGAAAGGTCGGAAAACGTGTCAATAACAATGGGATACGTTGAACTTCTTCAGGGTGTTATGTGTCATAAAAAAGGCCTTACCTGGATTATTGACTCTGGTTAGTATTAATACAAAACTGTTTTAAATGATTTTGACCAAGAAAGTAGAAATCATAAGAAGTCGATGAAAACAAAATGTATATCTTCTCATTTGGCTGCTTCCTATGCAAATTGACACTAGTTCAATCAATGCAGAGTTGCTGCACTGTGAAATAATCTTTGCCAGTTTTAATTCTTCTTATTGCATTATTATCTCTCTTAAACCTAAATTTTATTTTTTCAAAACTCTTAATTTGAAATATCACGGATGATACTGGATGATCATTTGAAAAACATGGAAATCTCATTGTGAAATCTTTATTGTACACTTATTAATCTTGTTAAGAGATTTATTATTAATCAATTTGTTTAAGGTGAATGGAAGGTCATTGCTTTACTATCACAGTCTTGCCCTAGCATTTACATTCTTAGAAAATGTTGGCAGGTGTTTTCCGACTTGATAACAAAAACAGAAATCCACAATCAAAGGATTGCCAAAATGATGCTCGAAGATTGTACATCTGTACTGAAAGAGTCGTCACACCAGACTGTATCTGTTGGCCAGATCAATAAACCAAACCGAATACCCTCTGCTATGGTTATTTGGGATTCAAAGGAGGAATTTGTTATTGTTAATGTGATAAAGTTAACTATAGAAATTATTTTAAATATAATGAATCTTAAGTTTTCATTTGAGAGAATAAATTCGTTATTTGAAAGTTGTAAAATAAGTGATTGGGCGTGGACTGTAATGCATAACTCTGATGACCTGCAGGTGATTTAGACGATGTAAAATTAAAAAAAAAAATTTATGTAATACAATTTATTTTATTTTCAGATGGTTGCTGTAGCATCTAGACTAATGTGTTTTATGAATGCCTTAGATTTGTGTGATATAAAAGATCACAAAGTCCCACAAATCATTGGGAAGAACTTCATTGATAAGATTATTAACCATTTTAATTTGCTTGTAACTCGACATGCTTTTGATGTGATTTCTGATAGTGCTGTGGATTATCAGTATCTCTGGGAAAAATACGGTGGAAAGGTGATCGCCGGAGATATTGAAAAGCCTGACAGTATTGATTACCTCGAATCAGAGATTTATAAAACTGAAAATTCAGTTTATCGTGTGCAGAATTTCCTGTTCATCATTCAAGTATTATTCCTTTGTATATACTGTATTTTCGGTACACTGAAATAATACACTATGTTATTTAGGTACTGCCTTTGTTTGTGTTTTGCAAAGTGAATTCTAAGGAATTGGAATGTGATAACCTATTGGAACTTTATATAGAAAAATTATTTAGGGTTGCGTGCCCAAAAACAATTAGGTTTTGTTACTCTTTTCGTCTTCAGCTTTCTAGTCAGGGGCCAAATTTAGAAAAAGGGTGTGTTAAAAATATTCACAAATTTGAACAGCTTGCAACTATATGTAACAAGGTAAATAATACATTTTTCTTATTATATTAATTATTTTGTTTCATGATCTGTTTACTTCCTATTAACCCTTAACTCCTGACGTGAGAACTTGGGACCCCATTGGATATTTTTTTGACACACAGCCCATCTCTTAATAAGTAGAATTCTTTGTTCTTTCAGTAAATTTGAAATTTTTGCAGTCCCTAGACATGCGGTCATGTCATTGTAAGAGAACAGTTTTAAAACCAAGACATCCAAAATAATTGTTGACAAAGATGTAAGAAGAGATAAATAATATTTTTGTAAGTGAACATGATTGATGTTAAAAGTATTTTCCTGTTGATGTGCATAATTGCCATTTTACTGATACAGGCTAATTTTGTGTTTTATAATCATTTAAAGGAAAAATATTTTAATGTAATTAAATAAAAATGAAATTTACTGTAAAACGAAAATAGTATGTTTTGTTTCAAGCACGGATAAACAATTGAAAAAAAAAATCTGAATTTTGTAAATAGTTCTTTTTTTTGCTTGTCTTTCAAACAACTTTATTGCAAATAAACATAAAAAAGAGCTATTTAATTACATTCCACATATCAAATACTTAAAATGTCAGATAAAAATTCCATGAGGGTTTTTTAAATAATAATGTAAAAACATTTATTAATATTTTCAATTAACTTATACTAACATACACTATTAACATTAACCAAAAAAATTGAAAAAGACTGATTATTCTTAATAATTCCATGTTGAAACAACTTTCAAAGATTTTGCAAATAAATTGTGTTAAACTTTTTGTTGCTGTTTTTTTTTTTTTTTTTGTGTGTGTCATACAGTTAAACGTGATTATAAGTTAAATGTAAGGCTTTACCAGTATTTTGACAAAAAATTAAACCCATGGTCATAATCTTAATGGGATGACACATCTCATTTGATGTGAAACAAATGTCACATCAGAAATTAAGGGTTAAAGTATTTAATGTAGGGGTGTCAACAGCCGCAACAGTTTAGGCATTGACAAATCATTTATTACTGTAAGGTAATAAATGATAAATAAACATCTATGGTTCGAATCCAGCTGCTCTGCATGCAAATGTTACATACTTATAAATGGGCTTTTTTTCAAAAACTTTGGCACCCCGAGCTAAGCTCATAGTTGAAATACCCTTGTTAAAAAAAACATAAATAAATAAAAATAAGAATAGAATAAGTTGATTACATGTATTCTATGTACATCACATCACAGAAGCACTAGAAGATAATATTCAGTATTTAGTCAGTATTTTTATTTTTTATTTGCAGGAGCAAGCTGTTTTGGTGTTTCAAGCACTAATTCATATATTCAAATTTATTATTGTACCAAAAGAAAACCCTCACCTAAATGATCTGTTGTTTCCAAGGATAAACTATTACAATACAGAAAACAGTCAGTACCCAGTTATCTTACCACCACTTATAAGTGCACTTTGTACTTATTTAAAGAAATTTGACATTTCATGGAGAGACAGCTTAGAGACCGTCTGTATTATGTCTCTTACTCAATTTCTTTTGAATGACATAAACATTCCTCCTATGGTAAATACTTTACAAGACTTGCAATTGTTGTAAATTAATTTTTATTTGTGTAAAATTTAAGCTGTGCACTGCAACGTTAAGGCTGATTAAAATGATACTGTTAAAATTCATGCCTCCAAACCTAGCGCTTCTAGTCAATACTTTGCAAGGCTCGAGCATGCAAGATCTTGGAAAACAATTGTACAAAACATTGCACAGTTATCACTGGGAAGTGAGAGACTCAACTATTGAAGTTTTAACTACAATAAGCATTCTAGCTGAAGCAAGTATGAACATTTTAATACAGTAATTTAACAATTATGTTATTGAAAAATATTTTTTTTTTATAGAGTTCCCTGCATTTCAAACCCTTTTAATTGAAAATAGGTTACCTGATTTAATTACATCTATAATGGATTGTGATTCGGAACCTTATGTTAGAGCTTCAGCTATTTGTTGTATTTCTGAGATGATTAAGTTACAAAATATTTGGGACAATTATCTACAAAGCAAAAAATTAATGGTAGATATTGTTTCATATTTCTTGTAAAAAAAAAAAAAGTCTGATATTCTTTCATTTGAACCGATTTTAAAATTATTTCATTTAATAGATATTTTTGTTTTTAATAGGAAAAGATTTTCATAATATTGCATTTTGAGAGTGAAGGGATTGTTAGGAAACAAGCTGCTCTTTTGGCTAAAGAAATTTACAAAAACAGACAGATGAAGTACATATATATTTAATAATATTGTTTATTATTGTAGATACACAATGAAACCTGAAGTACTGTTTGTATATTTACAGGCCGGAAGTGCTCGAGCAGGCATATAACACTTTCTACCATATCGCACAGAATGATCTTCACTGGGAAGTGAAGATAAACGCATTGGAATTTTGGGATGAAGTAATAGATTTTGTGTTTTCTGAAGAAGGAATGGTTGACGGGTCATTCCCACAGACGATCTTTTCAAAGGAAAAGAAAAAAATCATTCAGCTCACATCCATTAAAACATGTCATTTAGTTTTAAAAGCAGTGAGGAAACTTAGCGACATGGGGTGCTTACATGTGAGTCTATTTATACAGTTTGCTTTTTTATATATAGTTTTTCAATATAGTAAATAATTAAAAAATATATAAAATAACAAATTTAATAAACATTCAAAAATGTTGAAAATAATAGGAAGAAAGGTCTTCCCTTCCTATGGTCCTATTTTATTTGTCGAAAGGAAAGACAAAAAAATTTTTATTTTATTTACATATTGATTTTTTTTTTACTATAAGTTTTTAATGTTTAATGTCAATAAATGTTATGGCTGCGAAAATACGATTGGTGCTTGTAGGTCCTGTGGGCGACTCTGTTGGACGAATGTGATTTAGTAGTTCAAAAAAAATCAGCTAAGTTAATAACAAAATTAAAGGACATTGTTAATAAGTATGACGTACTGTCAGAGTTGAATAAAATTAATTTTAATAAGGATGAACTCGACAATTACCATTTGGGAAAACCTCCTGACAATTTGCTTGAGGTGGCAGACATTGACAACATGATGATGGGAGAAGATGAAAATAATGTTAGTACTCTCTATTTAATTGGATTATATTTTTATTAAAATGTACGTGCAATTACAGGCTTCATTATTCAGTGGATTGGGATCAAAATTGCAGTCAGTTGACGATGTAATTAATGAAATAATCAGTGAAGAAGATATACAGCTGTTGTCCGGTTTGGTGAACATCGCAGAAAGGGAGGAACGAATCTTGCCATCGATCAAAAGATTTATAATCCCTGCTGAAGAATTCATTGAAAAAATAATGACACTGGACGTGGAAACTGTGTTGAAAGAGAAAATATCTTGGACATTAAAAACTTCTGAAGGAATTGAATCTTTACTGGATGATATAATACAGTTTACAGAAGAAGACGAATTTAGTACAAATGCAATTGACTGTTATTAATGAATTGTTATTTTGGTTGCATGGACAAGACAAAAATGTACTATGTATGTGTAAATATTGTTGAAATCTTGTTTAAGTATCATCTTATGAAATCTATTTTGTGATAAGTATTTTCATTGACATTGAAATCACGAAGATTATAATTGTTGGCATTATTTTTTATTTTATTTTATTTTTTATTTTTTTTTTTTTTGTGTGCATACATTACATTTGATACAATTTTAAGATATATTTCCATTAACACTTTTATTGCAAAATTAAGGTTTTAAAACCATTCACTTACTAAATAGGTGTTTTTTGCAGGTAATCGAGTTTCTTTCTCCTCAGCTCTTTGTTGTTGGACATTACCCATTGTAAAATTATAAATAATACTTATAATTATAAGAAGAAGAATAGTTGAAAATTAAACCCCTGAAAACAAACTACTGTTAATGCAATTAAATTCAACTTTGTGCCCATCATCTACAAGGTTAAATGGAAATAATCAACCATTAGCGACAAGATGCTCCTCAGTTAGCTTTTCAATAATACACTCTGCCACCACCTGACTTATCACTGTATTACTATAAAGGATTTATCAAAGAAAGCACTATATTCCTGCTCATTCTAATTCTACAGAAATAAAAATATGAGGAATGACGTGTGAGAGCATTAATTGAATATGAAAATGCTGTAACATATCTGATTAATTATTGAATAATGCAAGTCGGGCTGATTAAGGTTTTGAATTGGTCAAGTTTTGAACAACTCTGCCCAATTTCACTTTTTTCACACAAATTTTAAAATTCCACACTTCTTACTGCTGATTGTAATGGTACATGAAACGTAAAATTTGTTTATACTATTTATGTAAATAATATACATAAATAGTATAAACAAATAATACTATTGTTTTGAAAATCCATTTGTTTTTAACTTTCATTCATTTCATGAGTGCATTGTACATAATTCACTGGCTAACAAGCTTGGTTGTGAAATGAATGTTTATAGGTTTCGAGAACCATCAAACTATAGGCTCTCCACTGTTTATGATAGAATGCTTTACCATCCATAATAGCTTTGGGGAGGATTATAAATTGTGGTTTTCTCCATTAAAGCCAGTGAATCCCTTAATGGACGTCGCAAATAATATAAATGAAGAGATTAACAAGGTTTCATTTATTAAAGAAAGTTAAAAAGTTCTTCCAAATACATTTCTAAAAATCATTTATTGGTTTTCTTTTACATTTGGAAAATTACTTATTCATAATAAAATATAACTATCAAATTTTTAGCCAAAAATATTGAAATATCATAACTATTTTAATGAAAGAAAACAAGTCTTGATAAAAACCTTCATCAATACATATAAGTTTTGAACACTTAAAAAAACAGTAAAGAAATTCTTGTCGTATAGGAGGGCGTTGGGAGACGTAAGTGAGGGGTTAAACCACTTTACATTTTTATTTTTTTAAATAAGGCAGTCCAAATGAGTCAAAACTGCGTTGATTCTATTTGAGGTAATGAGATAAGGAAATTGAGAGTGGGACCAGACACAAACCAATTTCTAATACTTTTTTCAAACAATTTTGAATAAAGCTATGGGCTTATTAGTTTATTACTTATTCTTAGTAATAGGAAATGTGTTAGGCCAGGCCAGCTTGGTGCCTGGCGGTAAGGGTATATGAAGAAACATTAATGCCTGGTTATGAGTCTATCGATGCACCTTTTTGTGTATATATTGTGAATACACGGTTCAATCGCTTGGAACTCAGCTCAGAGGATTGACGAAACGCCTCAAGGGTTTTGCCGATAAATATTATCTATAGCATTTGTTAATGGAAATAATAAAGTTGGGGTGAGTATGTCGATTCACTTTTTGCAAATGATTATCTATTAAAATTTTATCAAATCTGTGATTAGAACCATTATTTACAAAAAGTGAAAGTTTTAGCATTTGTGTTAATAGTTTGAAATAGAGCGGAGATCTGTTGGTGGGGAGAAACTGCGTCACTGCACCATTTCTTGCGCCCTCTTTATGCGCAATATCAAAATGCAAGTAGACAAAATGCCGTCGGAGTCTAAACCTTTGTTGACAGCTCAAACTGAAAAGCCCAATCATTATTCGTGAGCATCCGATCATTGTTTATTGTCCAAATTATCATTCTTGAAACTAGGCGTGTTTTGACACAATTTACACCATGAACGTCTCTCTCGTTTCAGGTATTTAAAGGAGTTTCGCGTCGATCAGTGTTCGTTGTTTCTCCAGCACAAATGTACACAACACAGACCTTTCACCTGCTTTCATTGGCATTTCATGAATCAGAGGAGAAGAAGACCTATACGAAAAAGAGATGGCTCGTTTAATTACAGCGCTGACAACTATTGTACTAAATACGACGAGACATCTGGGATTTGCCCCGATGGAGACGAGTGAGTGACTTTTCTCTCGTTTCCATAAACAAATAACATCATCCGACACTTATCGAAGCCACTTATCATGACGTTTACCTATTTTTACAAGTCGCCGCTTCATCTGTTCACACTCTCGGAAATGCTATAATTTCGTCACTTTTTGATTAATTATTTATAATAAATTAAAATATTTATACAATGGTTTATTTAAAAAAAAATTATGAAAATCGGCAGCTGAATAATGGGTCGTGATTTAATAGCAACCGTGTTATTTAACCATCGACGGGAGATTATTCTTGAAATTGGTTGTTTCGACGTTGAAATTTTAATTGACCAGCTTAACAATTAAAATTCTCAAACCAATTTGTTCTTGTTGGCAGGGATGTTTTTTTTTAATTACTCAAAACTCCACTTGTATTTACTAGCAACACCTATCATCTTTATTTGGCGGAGTTATCAAGTTTAATTCAATTTGATTACAGCATGTTCAATATTAAAATTGTCTTGTCAATTTGATAATTGAATACATTACAGACTCCTAAATCTCCCATTATATTTTAAAATGTAATATTAATAATAACTATAATAATACATGTTTAGTAGTCATTATTAAACGTATTAATTATTATTCGGAATAAGTGAGATGCGGTCTGGTGTAACGTAGGTTTTAGAAAAACATTTTCTTTATCGTGCCGAAATTTTGATCTTTATTCTTTATCATCTTCAGGGCCTGGGATTTACAAACATAGTTTAAATTTTAGGAATACATATAGGATGTGAAAAAAAGAAAAAGAAACAAAAATGAATTAAACAATGCTAGAAAATTTTATATTCAACTAAAGTATTTGTATTAAACGTATTAATAACTTTAATTGATTATAATTTTTATCTTGTGTCTTGGTTGAGATGAAAAAGTCAGTGCTACGAGTGGGATTTGAACCCATGACCTTCCGCTCAATACGCTACTATTCTAACCACTTTAGCTATCGTGACTTCAATCCACTCGTAAAAGCAGAAGTAATTTCAGGCTTCACAAACCAGTACCTGTGTGGTAATTTCCTTAGTTTCCCGTATCGTGTAAAACATATATTCCCACAAGTGAAATATTCAATTTTGATTTATTAGTTTCAAACAGATAATATATTTCAATAAGTAATTTAAAGAAACATTTCATTTCTAATAAATACTTTTCCAATTGTTATTATTTTAATTGACTAAATTATTATCATGCCTTGTGGTTGTTAAAAACTAATATTTTGGTTTTCAGATGCCAATTTCTACATAGGACTGCAGGGGATACAGAGCGGAGATATCACTTGAGGTATTACAAGACGTGCATGTGTGTTCATGATACAGATAATAGGGGGTTTTGTGTTAAAAATGGAGCACACTGTGCTTTCGCTCATGGTAACCATGATTTACGACCTCCCGTGTATGACATCAAAGAAATGCAGGTAAATATCATTGTTGTGTCAATTTTAAAGTTGTCCTAATTTGAAACTTACAATGCTGACAATTGATGAAGGCGCTGGATAGTCCTGATGGAGAATCAGCTCCCAATGGACCGAATGTCTTAGATAAAGAAAGGAATTTAATGAATGAAGATCCTAAATGGCAAGGTAAGTAAAAAGAAAAACATACTTATAGACCCACTATTAGAAATTTACATAATTTTAGTATCTACAAAATTTGAATGAGTATAATTGGTCCTTCGGACTGTATGAGAGTTTCACAATGAGGCTATTTAAATATTTAACTTTGTGTTACATGTGAATTATAAAATTTTAAGAAATGTAACAATTCTTTTAAAACAAAAAAAAATGATTTTGTAGAAATGTCATATGAAGGAAAAAAATAATGGTGTGTGTCCATAATGTAGTTCAAAACTAAAACTACTCATATATTCAATTAATTTATTCATAATATATTTTTTCTTTTAGATACAAATTATGTGTTGTCAAGTTATAAAACAGAACAATGTAAAAGGCCACCTAGATTATGCCGGCAAGGATATGCTTGCCCACAATATCATAATAGTCGTGATAAGCGAAGGAGCCCAAGGAAATATAAATATAGGTATATTTTTGACATGTCAGAGATCTATTAAATTTATTCTTTGATTTCCTTTTTGTCTTTCTCAATTAATTAATAGATTTAGAAACATGAAACCTACTATAACGTATTAAGAGCTCAAATTACTCAAATCAATAATGATGAGAAACATTAAAACGCATTCATTCACACTTGCAAGTTGTTGCATACTGTCTGCAAACTGACATACACATATTGGTTAATTTTTTATTCAAAGGTCAACACCATGTCCTAATGTGAAACATGGTGATGAGTGGGGTGAGCCTAGTAATTGTGAAAATGGAGACAACTGCACATATTGTCATACTAGGACTGAACAACAATTTCATCCAGAAATTTATAAGTCTACTAAATGTAACGATGTTCAGACTGCTGGTTATTGTCCTAGAGGAGTTTTTTGTGCTTTTGCTCATATTGACCGTAAGTCAACTTGTCATTTAATTAACAACAAAATTATTAACCTTTAAATTGTTGATTAATTTAGAGGAAATGTGTTTGGCGAGAGATTTAGCTGCTCCTTTAGAATTGGGAACAAATTTAGCAGATATTTTAAGTAATGCTATGTCCTCTAGAAAAAGGACAAAAGAGAGTAGCGAATCATCAGTAAGTTTGTCATTGATTTTGTATCAATAAATAATTCAATTTTATTTTATTTAAGTTGGTTATTGATTTTTGTTTTTTGTTTATAGAACGGAAGTGGGGAATTATCGGAGTGTGCTTCTACTAGTAGTATCGGTTCAAATGGTTCACACAGTCGAGCTCCAGGTGCACAACTAATCCATAGGAATGACAAAAATCACATTAATCTGTTTAATCACGCACCACAAAATGATATACAAGTACAGGTCTGTACATTGATACAGTAATATGTTTAACATATTTCTTAAAAATACCAATTTTTTCCCCTATTAATTAAAATATATTACTGTTGCATCTAAAATTTACAATGCTTGTAGATTAAAGCTTAGCATTTTTATTTATTTATTTATTTTTTAATATATAGTTCTTTGCATGATATTAAAATATAAATTAATATATTTTTAACTGAATTAAAATTTGTCGACGATAAAATAATATTTTGTTGTTAGCCTATTAACAGTAAAATTATTTGGGGATAAATACATATAATCATAAGTACTTTAACGAAAAAGTTATCTTTCTAATAATGAAATGTATTAGTAATTATTTATGATAGGACATAAATTAAATTTTGGCTTTATTGGGTTGATGCAGGGTAAATCTTCAAATAATGGTGTACTGATAACAGATAGATAACATTTTATGTATGTATTTTCATACATATATAAATTTTTTATTTACATATATAAACTCATGTAAATATCACTAAATTACACACAAATCATAAAAGCATAGAAACTTTTTTTGTTGAACACATTGACTGTGTCCTGGCCATTTTGGTTCCCCTTGCAGGAAACCAATGTATCACCTAGAATAGCACTCTGGTACTTAAAAAATTTAAATGATTTTATTTTTATTATCTAAGGTTTATCTAAGTGATATAAATTATAGTGACCCCCACAGTGCTAAATAAATGAAGTAGGCAACCCGCAGAACGTTTGTTAGTTTGGGTGTAGTTAAATAAAAATTGTTTCCACTTTCTATAATAATTTTTCCTTTGTTTTAAGGAAAATGGGCATTTCATTCAAAATGGGTAAATAATAAACTAAATAACAAAACGCATACTGGAAGAGCAAATTACATGGTTTTCACATAATAAATAAAAAAGCACTTCCATTGAAAAAATTGATACCACAGCCAATGACAGTTTTTGCCCTTTCTGAGGGGGCCCTAGGAATTTCAAACGGAATTGTATAGCAAGTAATGTGGAAGAGAGTTTAAAAAGAATAAATGTAAGGATGCAGACTGTGCGTCCACCTCTCTCCCAGGAGGACATTGGTATGATGCACATGTTGCACCTTACGCAGTCAACGTGTTAATGTATATATTTGCCTATACCTACACGCAATTTAAGTTGGTATACTTGCTTAAGCCCAAAACACCAACTTAACAATATAACCATCGTGTTATGAACTAGTCTTAACTCTCTTTTGTGTGTGTCCTTAATACAATTACACTTTTTTTACAGGATATTTTAAATGAAAAGTTAACTCTGGATAATAGTGTAGTAATGAATGAAAATGATAAATCTGATAAGCAAAACTTATTTATGGCACTAAATATTCCTCAACAGCATAACAATTCAATTTTATCATCACTTCATTTTGATCCATCAGATATTTTAGGTAATTGATGTACAAATTATTAGTTTATCATCGTTTTATTGTTATATGCAAATTTAGGCAACCCATTAGAAGATCTGCATGTCGATGAACCATTAGGCTTTGTTGGGATGGACCGTGATTTTGAAACAGATTCACCTACTATTTCTAATTCGATAACTGCTGGTCTAGCAAGTTCAGGTAAATGCAATTTAAAAAATATATTTAAAGTGTGATGTTTTTCTCTTTTTGGACATTTAATAACAATATATGTGGATGTGTAATTCAATGATTTCAAAATTACAGGTATGCTAGGAACTTCTGCTCCAGTGAACATTCCAAGGAGTGACCAAAATAGCGGATACGGTAGTATCTCTCCGACCAAACGTTCCCCCTTTCATCATTTAAAGTCCGGATATTTTTCAGCTTCTAGATTTTCTCATCCTGATACTTTAGAAACTGTGAGGTTTCTTTTCACTAATTTGTACTTTTCATGTTTTGCTATTTTAATACAAACCCGCTTTTTGTAAATAGAGTTTATTAAATCATGTTGGAAGTAATCATCTAACCAGCAGTACAACAAAATTTGGTAGTTTAACAAATGGGAGCTTGTATGATTATGGAATATCTCCCAATAGTAGGAATCCTTTGGGAACTTCCCCTTTAGTCGGGGGAGCTTTTTCTGTAAGTGACAGCAAAAAAAAAAACACTAGGTAAAGTTATGTACAACAGTGTGATCAATTTTTGTTTTCAATCAAGGTCGTTAGTGGGAATAGAAGTATAACTTGCGATGATAAGACAAATCATGCCAGGGGGTCGTGCGAAATATGGCAGAAGGAAGCAGAAGAGGCCAATAGGAAAGCATTAATAGCTGAACAACAAAGAGATGAGGTAAAATCTTACTACATAATATTTATATTTATACAAGAAAAACATATAAGAAATGTAATGTACATTTTACAGGCAATGAGCCAAGCTAAAGCTTTACAAAAAGAAGTCGATTTACTTCAAGGATCACCTTATTTACATGGTCTACGAAGAGTATCAGAATTAAAGTCACTTCCATTAACAACTTTGAAATCAATACAGGCTCAGTTAAAAGGAGATTTAGAACAAGTAGATAAGGTGTGTATTATTTTTAATTTAATTTTATTATTGTTTAAAGTAACAATTAATTTTTTTTTTTTTATTGCAGGAAGTGTTTTTACAGACTGGCACAAAATGCATGGTCTGTGAAGAACGTAATAGAACAGTAACATTAGGGCCTTGTAATCATTATGTGCTTTGCAGTACATGTGCGCCAAACCAAAAGGACTGCCCTTACTGCCAGACACCAATAATTGCCCATTCTACACCAACGACAACTGCCCTCCATGCATAAGCTAGTCGTAGAGAGGTGAGAAATAACATAGCAAACTGGTGTTTTTGGCCTATTCCACAGTTTGAAACATGGACCTATTTTCAAATTGCTATTTGGTGTGTACTTTGTGTCGCGTGTGCTAGTTAAAAAAATAGTGTTACCGATACTAGACAAGTTTTCTACACTTTTAATAAATAAAAAAAGAAAAGAAAACAAGGTTTTATCACAAATTAAAGGTAGATGGTATTTATCCTAAAAGATTTTGTATATGACTACCTATGAAAAAACAAAAAAAAACATGATTTATTAGATAACTTGTCTGGCTCAGTTTTGTTTATTGTTAAATTATTACTGTAGTTTGAGATAATAATATTCTTAAAAGTGTGTCAGTATGGGGTATGTGTGGGTGTGAGTGTGTGTGCGCGCGCAAGCACATGTGCGTGTGGGAGCATATGTATGCTTGAAATATTAAAATTTTCATTTTCATTTTCAATGATATTTTTAAAAATAATAAATAAATATATTAGATTTTCATTAGTTACAAAAAGTATGTTTTTATTTTTCCAATAAAAAAATTGTCCTAATGATTTTTTTTTTTAAGAAATGGATATATGTTATAATTTACACAGCTTTGCACTTTGTACTAATCGATATAATTTCTTTTTTTTCTCCCTTTACATTTCAAAAAATATTTTTGTACAAATATTGGAGTCAATAAAATGGTATTTTTAAATACAGACAAAATATTAATTATGCTAACGACGGAGTTATTCATGTGCTTTCAAATGTGATTTTTTACCTACTTAGCCAAATAAAGTTTTTTGATATTTCATGATTATTTTTGTGGGAAATATATTTCCCATAAATAAAACACATTTTTTAATATTAAAATATTTGTATCATTCAATATTCTAGAATACAGTTAGAATAAGCATTTGTTTTTATATTTATTAGATGTAAATAACTTGCATAATTAATTTTGTGGTGAAAGGAATGTCTTGTCTCATTCATTATTTGTAACAATTATTCAACATTTTAACAATAACAGCAAAAATAAATAGTAATTTAAGTCAGTCTGTATTGATTTTTTTTCTGGTTATTCTTTTGTTATCTATTATCGTCGAATAATGAGCATATATTTTTCTGTTTATTTTTAAGCACAATTGAAATAAAGGACACAAAAATGATGGTTGTATTATTATTGATTTATTATTTTTATTGCTTTCTTTTAAGAATTCAATACAATGATTTTTTTGTTATAAAGTTATAAATAATAATAATAATAATAATGAGTTATAATTGTACAATTTACAATTTTTTGATATGCATATTCAGTTATTATTATTATATTATATTCTATTGTATAAATGAGTTAAAGAATGTAATGATTAGTTATTTAAAAGAATCAAGTACTATGAGTGGTTTTAAAAATTACGTTCGGAAATTTCGTAATAGACATTTTATTTTTTTATTTTATGGATTTGATTATTGCAGGAACTGATTAATAGGCCCGTCAAAATAAGGGAAAATTTCAATTTTTACCAAAGAGTATGTGCCCTTTGGTACATCTATGTATTCAGTCGATGTACAAAGAAATATTTTCATATCAAAGAATAAATTGTTTATCTTGCCCTATGGATGATTCTAAATTATTTCCCTTGTGATGTGCATCATTTTGGTAGAATATAAAGTTTTAACAAAAAGGAAACAAAGGTGAAAATCATATTTGCCACGACATTATTTATAAAGCACTGTAATAAAATTCATTATTTAGTTTGGTATTGATTAAAGTATTGAAAACATGGTGATTGAAGTGTTAATACTCTACTTACATGTTTGTTAAATTCAAAAGTATAAAAATGAATGACTTAACACTGTGAATGTAATTCAAAGGAAACAAATGTTTTTTATCATAAAAATTATGAAGTTAGAGTTTTACATATTTTGTACTAATTGTTAAGCGTTTTTCATATATTTTTAAAAATAAACAATTGTCAACTTTGTTGTCTTCAGTATGAAAGAATTAATTAAGATTTGGAAAAAAATTGAGTAGGATATTAAAGAATAAAGGTAATTTAATTTGAAATGGTTTTGGAAGATATTGTAACTTTAATTCTCAGCTAAACAAATTTTGTTTAACTGTTGAGCAATATTTCAATAGAATTTTAATAAAATGAAAATTTTTAATAAAAGAAGGATGTTGGATTAAGCACATTTCCCAATTTTTACTTTACATTCCCAAGCAAATATTTTCATAACATTACCCGTAGTTGATAATAATTATAAGCGTATAAAATATTAAAAAATAAAAATACACCGATTAGATTAGAATTGAATACATATGGTTGAAGTTTCCCATCGTTATTAAAAATGGGATAAAATTATTTCCAATCTATCGTACATGCTGTTTTAAAACGGGAGTGACTGTGATCAGAGAATAAAGAAGATATTGTAAACTGTCTCTTTTAGTTTCCAAAGCGTACTTTCTACTTGAAACCATTAGGCAACCCCGTCAACATATTTCCATTGTTCGATTAGAAAAATAACAGTCATTTAGCAGTAGAATTGCCAAAAAATATTCATAGTATTATATTATACTAGATTGTTTATTATAAGAACAGTTAGTCTTGTTTTTATTTTTTAATATCACAAAAGTTTTTTAAAAAATCCTTTGGAATACATAATTTATTTGTGTGAGGAAGTTAATTTTTTTCTAAAAAAAAAATTATAATCTTAAACTTGTTTACTTTATATGATTGATTTTTTATGAATTCTAAATTGTGTGAACAATACTGACAAATCATTTCATATTGCATTTATTATTGAATTGTGAATAAAAACTGGTCTTTTTGACTTTACTTTCTCTTTCTCTATGCTAAGATTTTATTCCATTATTTTAAGAAGTTGATTTATAGTTGATTTTAAAAGAAAAGACTTGATATTTATAATGATTAATAATTAAAAAAAAGGTAAATGTTGGTGTTAGTAGCATTTTTAATGTTAATTTTATCAGTATTTTAACACAAATATTTTAATTAATATTACTGTTTAAAATATAAATTTGTTATATTCCAGTTTTTTGTTTTTTTCATTCATTTATTCGTTGTTACTATTAACATGAACCATATTTTTTTAAACAAGTATATTTATATAAGCTCTAATAAATGGTATTTATGTATTATCAATTGTTTGAAAAGAGTTTTTAACAATTTCCTTGACTTTAACTCAGTATTTCCATTTTAGAAAATGAAAGTCTTTTGCAGGAGAATCACTAAGAAAATATCTATTCTTCAAGTCTTTTAACTTTTATATTTGTTTACAACAAATAAATAATACAAAACAAAGGTATCAGTCAGACGTACCACGTAAAATAATTAAATGCCAGAATACCAGTTAGACAGAGCAGGATGATTGGGGATAATCATGATGGTGATGATGAGAGAATGCCAAGAAATGGGGGTTTGGATTCCCCAGCAGAGCAAATTGTAGGTAAACAATCTACTGCCGTTTTAATTGTTACTGAATTCATTTATTTAAAATATTTATTTGTAATAAAATAACCTTGTCAGTCAATACTACAGTCACATAGGAATATAATTTAAAAAATCTTTATCAAAATTAAGCATGTGATTTTACTTAAATACAAGTTTTTTTTGTTTTTATATTGCTATGGCACAAAAAGTTATAATTTATGCATGTTGGACAGATTTATGAATCACATTAAGATAAGATATTTTGAACATAATGGAAAACAATGAAATTAAAAGAGTAATAGTTATAAATTATCAATAATTTAAAAAATAATATAAAAATTGATTTTTTTATACAGGCTACAGACATAATTCGAGGTCATAAATCCTCAACAATGCTTTTCAATTACTAACAATAATTTAAAAAAAAAAGTAAAATTTAAAAAAAATTATTGTTAATGATATGGTTAAATGGACCCTATAATGAAAATACAGCAGTGCAGTAAATTGTAACAATATAAATACATTTTCTTTATCATGCCAATGTTTCGATCTTTATTGAGATCAAATGATGATCTCAATAAAGATCGAAACGTTGGCACAATAAAAGAAAATGTTATTTAAAAAAAACCTACATCACACCAGACTGCATCTCACGATCTCCAAATAATCCAACTAACAGTCACTAAACACCACACAAATAAAATACAGAAAAAAAGTGAAAATAAAAAAATACAGCAAACAGGAGTTTGAGTTCTCAAAATGCTCATCAGACTGAATTAAAATCTAACAAGTATTATTATTATTATTATTATTCAGTCAGAAGATGAGTATTTAAGAAAAAAATCAATTTCTTTTCAAAACACCAAAACCCTGGGGATTCATATATGATCAATGCTGTTGCGAGGATAAAAATGATTATTTCTAAACAATATACCCAGTAAACAAACAATGAGAAATTGAAAATTTAAAGTTAAAATAATTTGTAATTTAAAATGAGTCCTAAGTGCTGTAAATTGTCATCCACTGTTTCTTTCCAGCAGCTCCAAAAGTTTAATAACACAATTTATTGAAATAATTTAAAACGATATAAGCCAAAAATTTTAGATCATGAGATTTCCTTCTGTGGTCCGAGGGGCGATGAACCTGTCAGTTGGTTGTCTTTGATCATTTTGGTATGCCTATCCTCACTGAGTTGGCCTGTCAGACTTATTTCAGCATTTGGCCAGCTTCGGCGTTGATCCTGAATTTGATATATTTGTTGTTGTTAGTTTGTTTTGTTCAAAATGAAAAATGGTCAAAAATTGGTAATTATTTCCATTATAGACAGAGAATATTTTAGAACTAATAATTTTTTGTAATAATATCAATAATTACAAAAAGAAGTTTGTTTTGTTCAAACATGAAAAATGGTAAGCAGATATATATATATTTTTTTTGGGGGGGATAGGAATATTCAAAATTGGTAATTATGCACATAATAAACAAATAATTTTTAGAAGAACTAATAAGTTTTTTATATTAATATTAATAATTGTATATACCTACAGAGAAATCAGCTGATTCTGAGGTTTGTTGAGTGACAGTTTCATGAACTGTTTGACACATTTTCTATGGAACAATTTTTTTTAGGTTTGTAAAACATTGTTTTTCATATTGTTTCATTATTTTTTGTTGTAAAAGTGAGTAAATAACAGGCTAAATTTTTACAATAGAAAATTTGCTAACTATTTTTCCACCACCACATTTGTGGACTTGGACATTTCTACAGTTGCTACTCCACTTCTTTATCTCATCATCCCACTTGTAGTGTGAGTGCTGACTATTTTTTTGCAGGTTCTCGGTGTGCTTTCAATAACTATTTTAAACCATAGCTTGACACCTATAACCATATGGGCTGCCCAACTCCACTTTATTTTGGCTATTGTTATGGTTATGTAGATAATCAATTATTATTAAGCATTATTAAACAAAGGAAATCAGGTGGAATCAGTAAGCGCTTCAAGAAACCTAGTTAAAATTTTATAATGATTTTAAAAAACTATAAATTTTTCTTACAGTTTTAAAATTTCAGTGATCACAAATAATTATGATTTGAATACAATTTCAAAGTAAAAAATTATTTTTATGTTTACAAGGTAACAATGGATGCTGAGTGGACAATGAAAAATCTTTGGTCAAATTAAGCATGTACTTTAAAATGAGCTGCAGGAGTTATAAATAAGAGAAAAAACATATTTTATGGTCTTGTTTTTGATTGTCCTTTTAATTAATAAATAAATTATAATTATTCCTTCGTGTAGGTTTAAATTGTCAATTGGGAGAAGAAATACGTAAAACTTCTCAATTTAATAATTTTGATGTAAGTAAAAAAAAAAATATATATTTTCTGTTTTAAATCCAAAAACTTAGTTTCTCGTTAATTATTATTATTGCTACTATTATTTTCATATGTTTCTAAAACTAAATTTATTTCTAATGTATGTATGTACATATAAGGGAACTTAGAATTCAGAAAAAAAATGTCCTTTCTATTTTAAATTCAAAAACCGTAGTTTCTTGTAATCATCATTATTTTAATATGTTTATAAAACTAAATTTATTTGTGATATATTTATGTACATATAATAAGGGGGCTTAGAATTAAAAAAACAATTCTTTTCTGTTTTAAATTTAAAAAAAACTAGTTTTTAGTTACTTACGATTAATGCTATTATTATTTTCTTATATTTCTAAAAAAATTATTTATAATATATACATATAAGGGATCTTAGAATTTAAAAAAAAAATCCTTTCTGTTTTAATTTCAAAACCTGTAGTTTCTAGTTAATTATTATTATTGCTATTATTATTATTTTCATGCGTTTATAAAAGTAAATTTATTTCTACTATATGACTATACATGTAACGGGGTTTAAAGTTGTTTGTATTTCGTAAGTAAAGTTTGTACTTTTAAAATAAATAAATATTTATGAGAAGACTCTTTTGAAAATTAGAAGTTCGAATATAATAAAAAGTTAAGAGAAGATAATTACCAATGGTGATTAAATAATTGGTAATCGGTTGAAATTGGTTTTGGTTAATTTTGTATGAAATTCAAATTTGAAGACGTGAGGTGGAATGGTGAGTTTGACGGGATGGAAAGGACCTTTGTCCAATGGTAGCGACCGTTGTTTTGGCCAATGGAGGTCTGGAAAAGGTCCGAAGCGGGCCAATGGCCGACGCCGTTATTATAGCCAATGGGAAGGCGAGACCGGATTCGTTCTGCCCAATCGACTACCAGTCGTCAAAGCGTCTCTTGTACACTCTCACGTACTGTCTCTGCATCGAGTCAAAGTCTTGTTTTCGCCCTTCACATCCACAACTGTGAACTGTTTTTATTACAATTTGAAAGAACTCTCGTCCGGTGAGTGACTCTCGTCCTTTGTTCAATTTCCGTCCAACGACGAATCCACCTCGAAGCCTAGTCCCTTGTCTTCACTTGTTTTGGCTTGGGTTGAGGTCGGCCGTTTGTTAATGTTCGGGGGCAGACTTTCACTTCAGTCTATTCACGTTTGTCCCTAGGCGAGTTTCCTTTTTTTTTACCCCCTCGAATTGGTACTTTTTTAAAATTCTATTCTTATAAGTTATATTTGTTGTTTTTACAATCTTTCCATATTATTAAACAGCCAGGTGTAATATTTTGTCACGAAGAAAAATCGATAGGTCGTTTTTAACTTTTACGAAGGCTATTTCGTCTCCGTATAACTAATGATTGTTTTTTTATTTATTTTTTTTAAGAAATATTTTTAATTTTTTTCTCTCAAGTTCGAATCATATCACCCCATTCGGTTTTTGTAAGCTGATTTTATCGATTTGTGAAATAAACTGATTAAAAAAAGTTAGGCGCTAATATCGGTAATTGTAACAACGCCGTCTATAGGTTAAGCAAAGTTCCGTCCCGCGTAACAATTTTTTTTTTATTGTTTTTCTTTTCTTTTCCCTTATTTCAGCCAATGAAATTAACTTTTGTGTCTGAATTTTTCAGCGTTTTGAGAGATGGCACGTACAAAGCAGACTGCAAGAAAGTCAACTGGAGGTAAGGCACCTCGTAAACAGCTTGCCACCAAAGCAGCACGTAAGAGTGCCCCTTCAACCGGAGGAGTCAAGAAACCCCATCGTTACAGGTATAAATTCTTTTATTTTCATTAATATTATATGTTTTTAAGTTTATTTATTCTCTTTGATAGAATTAATTCAGTGCTGATGTAATCTGCTTTTAAATATGTTCAGTATTTTCATTACGACTGTGCATTTTGATTCTTTCCTTTCTCAGCACAGTTCATCGTATATTTACTGCGATCTGCACCTCAAATTATGTATCACTTAATTTAATCCTGTTTTAAATTTATTAAATGATTAGAGACGGTAATTCAGTTGTTTATGGGGGACTGTGGCGGCTGTTGCATTGTCTCAGCATCTCATTTTGTCGTATCATCAATTCCCAACATTGCTCCCTGAATTTTATTTTCTTCTGCGAACAGGGTACCTGTTCAAAGTGTAATATAGAGGCTTCATGTTTGAATAAGCATTTACAGTGAAACTTGCATGAAACGGACACTCTTAGGGGATGACATGTCCATTATTGATAATAGGTCTGCTTTTGGGAGAAAAGTGAGAAAAAAAATGTTTACTATTACAAGAGGGCCATAATCGATACTTTTCAGTTCTTATTTTTGCTTAAGATGATTTATTTATTAAACACAAAAGAACAGAAAAAATGTTATTTTTCAGTTTTTTCCTCTGTTTTGTGATTGATTTTTGATTTTTCCTCCATATTCAAAATTTCATTTTCGATTTTCTCTTAAATTTTCATTGTTAAGTCAAGACCCTCAGGATCACGGTTTGAAATTGGTCTTTCTGGTGGAAACTTTGCAGCCAAGTCTCATACATTTTTCAATTTACTCTCCTTAATTGTACATATTAATTTTTTCTTAAAGAGTCAAACGTGTCGAGATTCACAATTAAACTGAAGATGTTCGCAAAGTGGAATCATCAAAATATAAGAGCATGAGAAACACCAGTAGCAGTTTCAGGTGTCTGTTTTTGTGAGAGTTTTAGAGTCAGAAAACAGTTGAAAAAGCTGTCTGTGTCTTATTTAGAGTCCGCTTTGAGGAAAATTTAAATGTGAAGAAACAATTGATCGATGGGAACATAATTTTGTCCTAGTAAATATTAAAGAAAAATCAACCCACATTTATAAGTAAAAGGAAGGTGTGCCCTTTTTAGACGAAGTTTCACTTTAATAAAAGAAATATATATGCAATCTAAATATTGTAAAAAGATGTTTACTGATGTATTTTGTATATGATGTTCAAATTGTCATCGTTTGCAATGATGGAAGAACACATGGACTGTGGAGTACTCACAGATGAACAGTAACATGTGTAATAATTTTTCCAATTTCATTTTAAATGTTATCCACACCTTTTAGCGTTCATAGTTTTTGTCTTACAGTTTTCCCTCATTTGGTTTATTAGATTTTTTGTAATAGGTATTGGTTCGTAACATCACTATGATAACTGTAAATGATAATGATAATTGTAAATTATTTCATTTTTATTTATGACAAATAAAGGAAATTTCATGGTTTGAATGTGAGGATTAAATGTATATTATGTATTTGATTTCCTGCAATTATAACTTTTTAGATGTAAAGAAATACAAAATTAATCAATTTTTTGTTACAATGTACATTAAATACACAAATATCAGAAGTTTGGCTTGAACATTCAACAACTTAAACATGGAGTTTGTATTAATAGAAATTAGTTCTAATCTAACCAAATTTGATGTTCTGTTCAAATTGGCATAATGAAGTAAACACTTTTTTTCTTTGCTGCACTTTGTTCCTAATCTGATTACAGATCTTCCTTAACAATAATTAAATTAATAACCTATTTATTTATTATTAAGTTTACTTAACATATTAAGTTTTGGCAAACACCATTTGGAAGTTCACAGTCTACCCCTACATGAGTTAATTACACATATTTCCTAAATTGTATGTTGGCCATTTTGTTACAATATTTTCCTTTATGTAAAGAACAGGAGTAAGCTAAAAACCAAATAAAAAAATTTTTTTTTTTAAATTGACTTTTATCTGTTTACCCGAGCCCCGCATTTAATTTAATATTTTTGTACTGCAACATATTCAAGAATCTGACAACATGTTAATTACTAATTTAAATTGTGTAATTAATCAGTGAAATGTGTTAAAGTAAAAATAGTAGTTCTAAAAGTTTTCAGTGATCAGCATTTTTACAATGGCTTGTTTTGGTTTTCAGGCCCGGTACAGTCGCCCTAAGAGAAATTAGGCGTTACCAGAAGTCCACTGAGTTGCTGATCCGTAAATTGCCATTTCAGAGATTGGTTCGTGAAATTGCACAGGATTTCAAAACAGATCTTCGTTTCCAAAGTGCTGCCATTGGTGCTCTTCAGGTTAATTTTTGTTTTCTAATATTCTAAATATTTACTTTAGTGATCAGCACGTTTTAGTAGTTTTGTATGTTGTCATTTTGCTTTTACATTTTATTGAAATTATCTTCTTTTTTTACATATAGGAAGCATCAGAGGCTTACTTAGTGGGTCTCTTTGAAGATACCAACTTGTGTGCTATCCATGCTAAGCGTGTTACCATTATGCCGAAAGACATCCAGTTGGCCAGACGAATCCGTGGAGAGAGAGCATAAATCTTTCAACACCCTAAAAAATCTCATTTTTTTGTTAAATTCTTTTTTTTCTTCTTTTCAATTGGCATCAGAGCATTTTCACTGCCGTCTGGATGTAACGTGTGATGACAAGTAGTTCCAGACTGTTAACTTTTTTTATATATATTACTTATTTTTTGTAAATTCATTTTTAAGTAAAAAAGAAACAAACACTGAAATGTACCTTTTGTTTGCCTGGTGTCAGGTTAGACTGAATGTTTTAGGTTTAGCCTGTTTCACAAATTGTAAAACCAATCAAATTGATAAGTAGATTAAAAAAACTACATTCATCATTATTGTGTGTGTTATTTTACATTATTTGTAATTTTATATAATTATATGTTCCATAGAGAGACATAATTAGGTATTCATTTTTTGTTTAATTTCTATATGATTAAGAATAATTTAAAATGCCGTAGGGTTTGGTGTCAACGGATTCTAAATATTTGGATTCATTATAAAGTTACAAAGCCTTGCAATAAATTTATTTAAACATTATTTCCCATAACTTATATATAAACATGTAGTGTAATCATTCATTACTTAATTTAATATTAAAACAATAGGTAATCGTAATTGTGTTCTTTTTTCCTTTACCTTACTCCATTTTCTTATTAACAATAATTTCCTAGCATCCATCTCTATCAACACCATTAACAATAATCCATTATATTTAGTGGTCTATTAAACACGTATGTGAATACCATTTATTGGTTTCAATTAATCGTTAGGAGATCGTGAGATGCGATGCAGGTTTAAAAAATCATTATCGTGTCAATGTTTCGATATTTATCGAGATCATCTTCAGGGCCTGGGATTTATAAACTGTAAATTATACAAATACATGTATGATGTGAAAAAATGAATTTATACCATGATAAAAATTTTAGACTCAGTGTTTTGTGTAGATGTGCCGTTACTGTGTCGTGTTGAAAGTGTCAGTGCGTTAGTTTTTTGTTTATATGTGCTGGATTTTGAAAGAGTGGCGAAGGAAGTAGGGATAGACATACATTTTTCAATGAGGAGTGAAGGATTGTGGTTGGGGGTTCCTCACAATAGCTGGTTGAAAGAAGTTGGTGTCTTGGGGGATCGAGGTCACGATAGCTCAAGTGGTAGAGCACCACCGGCATTGAGCCAAATGTAGTGGTGACATAATTTTTCTTCTCAACCATCTTTGCATAAAAATTGGAAATAATACATTAGAATACGTGTATGAGCTTCAGTTGGCGTTTGCAGAAAACAGAACATTTAAAAAAATGTGTAAACTAAATTTCTAAATTAAAAAAGGTTTTTTTTAGTGACCTGTTGTTTCATTGACACAACCAAATTTTAAAAAAAATCTTAATTTTCACACTTGGCACTATATTAAATTTAATTTGTGAGAATTCCTCCCCTGCGAGGTAAACGTATATCTATAGCTTTTCCTATCATCCCAATCTTCTTATTCTCACTGTTTTGATCCAAATTCGATACTGAAGATAGTGAAACACCAAAATGTGTTGACAGAGAAAATTGGTGAGGATAGGTAGAAAATATAAATTTAATTATTTAGTGAAAAGAGTTACTACTTTATTTATTACTTTTATTATTTGTTTGTAATTTTTTTACAAAATTATTTTATTTATTTCCTTGAAAGAGGCTAATTAACGGAAATTTCAATTTCTTATTATATATTCTTTAATGAAACAAGCCATTGTTAAAAGAGGTAGTCTTTAGAAGCAAGGTCTAAGTTTAAGGGTGGCATGCAGTAAAAGTTTAATTTCTATTTTGAAAAGCTTGTGCTTTGTTAGGATTTAAGCGATGTCTAGACACAAATATTATCATTCAAGTTCAAACAATTTATTTTATTACTGATTCAATAAATTTTTAACAAACACTGGCATAAAAATATTTCAACGATCTCATCCATTCAGTGTACAACTGGATTCGGGTCGTATTCCTGTAATATTTTGGTGTAGTACATTGCTGACAATATTTTATCAGCAAAAAAAAACTTTGTTGGTTTTATTAATAAATTTGTAAAATACACTGCTACAAAATGAAAACTAAGTTTTTATGTTAAAGCAATGTACTTTAAAAAACGTTAATACAGTATATAAGATCACTTCTTTCCTCCCCAACCCCAAATGCCTTTGACAAAGCTGGTAAGAGACGATTGCCCTTGGTTTGTCTTCTTTTCCAATTTGTCTTCGAGAGATGGAAACGAGAGATAGTTCATGGCGACGTCAAAGTATAGAGGCTTGCAAGGGATTGGCTGCATTTCAGGAGGTAGCTTGATTATATTTGCTTGTTTAGTAGCTAGTTTCGGATCTTCGAGATACTCATCCAATCGATCCACAAGAGCAACCTAAAATTGCAAAAATATTAATTTGTAACATTCGATTATTTATTTTAATTAAATCGTGACCTTTGATGCTTGTTTCTTGTCCACTGGAATGGTTCCGACAGTTGATTTTGTGTCATCGGCTGCCTGCAACACTGCCTGAGCGAGGCATGAGCTTTTCGCAGCTTTAACTTTAATATGTACATCGGCCAACTGTTTCTGCAGTAACTCATCAACTCTTGATTTATCAACTTGAACACAATATAAATCTGCTTTATCATACATCGCCAAAGCTTCTCGGAATTTTTTTGTGTTGGTTAAGGCTTCTCCAATATAGTAGCATCTAATGTAAAAATAAATATTCATATTTTAAATGTCAACTATTATTTTATATTAAACCTTTCTGGAATTGAAACTGACCTAAAACATTTGTAGGCCTTAATAGATGACTGGACATCTGCCTGATACTCTAAATCAGTTTCTAAACAAGGCAGTTGTTGCATTTCATTAAAATTTTGTAAAACAAGTTCATACAGACGAATGAAATCCTGAGGCTTTGCTTTTTTTATGTCTCCCTGATGACAAATGAAATATTAAAATCACTTTTTTTTTTTCATTTTCATTTATATTTTTATATATGAACACTAAGATACTTACATCTCCTGAACTCTTTGCAATCATAAGTAAAGTGCGCTGGTTACTCCTTGTTAAGCGTATGTGGGTTAAATATGTGAGCAAATACTGAATTGGACTGACGACACTTTCTGGTTTTCCTTTCATAGCCTTTGCAAGCCAACGTTATTCAGGGAAAACAGATGAGAACAGAAAATTAATACTTACAGCAAGTTCATCCTTAACAGAAGCAATGGCATCTTTGCAGTTAAAGATGTGACGCTCTAATTTGCCAATGTTCGCCTCGCTGGGCTCATCTAATGTCGGCATTTCTTCTTCAGCAACTAAAAATGTACTTACGCTAGCCGGCCGTACAGGGACTGAACGGTTCCTCCATGTAACTTCAACTTTACTCCCTACTTCCTTGTTTCTGGCTTCAGTCAAGAGGCGCTTTAAATTAAAAATACAATGACAATCAAATAAATAAAATAATCTGAATGGGCTACTAAAATGAAAATTTACATCAAGCGCATCTAATATGTCCCCTTGTGCATGGCCGTGGAGAGATTTAAGATCAGAAATTGCTGAATTATCACCAATGTTATATGCACAATAACGCAAATTTGGGACCAATTCTTCACATTTTCCTTTATAGATCGATTGATCAACTTCATCAACAGCTGTGCATAGTTTTTCATACACTACTCTATAAAAAATATTAAACATGTTAACAATAAATCCTACATACATTATACTTATGTATTTAATTAAATTATTACTGAGCTTGCTGGAAATTATCCATGGCTTGCTTCCAATTCTTCGTTTCCAGATAGTAACTACCTTTAATCCAGGCAGCATATGCCTGAGCTTCCAATTTACTCCTTGCATCACAAAGATCAGACTAAAAATTGATATTGAGCAACTTAGGACAAAGAAACTTAGTTGTCTCTATTGAAAGAATTTACAAGAATTAAAAAAATATTGTTTTCTAAAATAATTATTTATCACTTATATATTAAAGAATATTTTCAATATAACACAATATAATTTACTTGACACAGGGCTTCTAGCTGTTCAGCGTAATGAACAGCTTTACGAAGTTTTGACACAAGTTGAAACTTTTTTCTCAGCTCTGTGTTTGATTCTTGCCTTAGTTGCATAGCGTAACTCCATGCTCTTTCTGTCAACACCAGGGGGATGTAAAGAAACCTTAGTTGAAATATAAATAGATTAGGTGTTGCAATAAATTTATCAGATTTCAATTAAGTGTTTTATACTTGACGTCTTTCAGATGTGCTTCAGTCACATCTCGCCTTTTAAAATGTCTTTTATCACCCTGAGGGAGACGTAATGTTTTTCTCAGCCTACTCAGACGCCGGGTGCAATAGCCCCTGAAAATTAATTAGCACTTTTTAAATTTATTTATCCATTACTGTGAATCCAAGACATTCAGACAATTTTTAAAATCTAAAAATATTTTTAAAGTAGGATTTTTTTTAAAGATATTGATCTACCTATAACGCTGGTAATCACTGTGACGTAGCCCATGCTGCTGCTGAGCATCAGTTATTATTTTCAGGACTGTAATGTAAATTTAAGGAGATATATAAATCTGTTTTATATTTTTCAGCAGGTTCAATAATTTATTAAAATAAAATGAAGTAAAAAGTTACTGTTTTAACCCATTGCCAATTTAAAAAAAAAAAATATATTAATTTAGAACAAATTATTAATTTAGAAAAAAATTGGTCAACAATGGAGCAAAAATTGTCTAGACACAAGGCCCAACTGTAGTTTGAGTTGTGAAAGAATAAAGACACTTATTTTTAATGTATTGTGTTTAGTGGCCGTTAATTAATGATTATTTTTAATGCCATACAAAGTAAATGAATTCATCAATCAACGATTAAGAGCAAGTTGACTGAAAATTTCAAATGTCGAGACACAAAGGTCCAACTGTACATTTTAAGCTACTGTACTGCTGAATGAAAATGGATAATAATAATCCATATAATCTGAGACCCATATTAAATTGGTCACAAAAAAAAAAAAATTAAATAAAAATATGTCTGTTCAACATCATCCAAAATCAAAGATATTGTCAATCAATGACAATGAGGCTGAAAATGACATTAAATTTCAAAAATCCGTCAAAATTGTAACTGAAATTGTGACGACTCAGATGGCTGACATTTGAAAAAAATATTTTGAAACTGGCCTTCTTAGATTATAAAAGTCCAATAATTCGACACAAAGCAGTCATGGAATTTCAAATTGTACATTTAAGTTATGAAATACTCGAGATACTAGGAAGATTTGTTAGTAATGTTTTTGAGACCACGCCTCTCTTATCTTAATAATTTTGTAAACTAAATCCACTCAACAAGACTACTTACTACCACAGCATGAAACATACACATACACATACACTGACAGGCAAAAAATTCCACCCAATTGATTTTGTTTCATTTTCTCGATAAAAAAAAATTCTGTCCTTAATTTGTCACATTGTTTTTACCAATAATATTTGTTTAAATTGGGAATATCAATTAGACGTAATCACACTTAATCCTTAATCCAAAACAATGATAAAAGATTTTTCGATGTTTAATTTTTACAGAATTTAAAATATATTCAGTCTCATTTGAATGCTGAAGGAATAAACTGTTTAGCTTTCATCTTTGTCTTCTTAATTTCAATTTTTAAATTTAAAAATGCCACTTAGTGCTGAGGATGTTGCGCTCTTATTGATGATGGAAGTTCCATCAGGTATGCAGCTATTGCCAGAGTTCCCTACAAAACACTGTGACTCGCCGATATACGTTTTCAAGAAACTGGGCCCTACCATAGAATGCCCGGTTCTTCTAGCCCTAGAGCATATCTTTTGTATTCCAATTCTCAATTCTTGCCTTTGAGACCAGTAGTTGACCTCGATAGATTTACTAAGACAGTGCAGCCAAAAGGTAAAAGAAAAATATTTTGGGTATTTTTTTTTTCAAAGTTGTGCACAAGTCACTGACCCAATTACTTCAGGAGTGGTGTATGCCATATTGACAAGTAAAGTTTTTCTAAATTTCTTTGATCTACTGCAATAGGGATTATTAAGAGTTATGATAAGTGCCCAGTTTTATGTAAATCACGGCAGTTCGCAACAGCAGAGGTCATACCAACGCCCTCAACTAGGACTCACCAGTGTGCTATAAGCACAGAATGGTTGAAATAATAACTCTAAGTGCAATATATTGCAGTCTGAACATTACATTTACTCTACATGTTTATATAAATTATGGTTAATAATGAATTTATTGAAAATTATAGACAACTCTCTGGATCAAGATATGGTCTCAAAGAAGAAAGCAATTCAGTTTCTACTGCCAAGCATTTGACCTATTTTAAGGTCATCATCAGGGCAAAACAACCTTAGATATGTCTACAGGTTAACATATTTAATCATGTCATCAATAATATGCCTCATAACAAGATACCAGTCTACAATAATATACACTGCGAGTTATTTTTGGAATATATAGTACAGAGGCTGGCACAATAAGCTCAACGATAGTTCAAGCACAGAGATGCCAATCTCATATCAAATTAGACAACTGTAAAAAATGAAAATATAAAAACGAAGAAACATCGACTGTGTGTACGAATCAATTCAAATATGTCTTGAATTGGGTCGAAACTGTGCCCATAATATCAATGTAATCAAATATTGAAAAGCAAAGGATACTTTCGAGGGTGAAGACGGATCCTTCTTTCCCCAATGTTCCATCTTCTGTTTCATTGGTTTTTGCGTTAACCGAAGTAGTTTCAGCAACAACCATATCTGCTATCTGTTATGCTGCGACACGACAAGCTAATAGCAATTAGCAAGAGAAGACTTTAGACTGTTTCTATTTCCAACATCAGCGATTTTACATGAACACGATACACGCTTTCACCATAGGGCATAGACATGTTGGAACAGACCATAGCGGGTCAACAGACCCCCACCTCTCAAGACATGAGCACCAGTTCAACCTTTTGGATAAAACATTTCATACATAATTATTAATTATGCAGTAAAATAAGAGATTGAATATAAAATACAGTATTGTAACAAATGTACAAAAGATTAAATATGAATTGTTTTAGAATAAATTAAAATTATGATTAAATTTTGCATATTTTTGGTGGAAAAGTGTACATCATTTTCTAAGAAATGATTTGAGGTGAGGTCAGTATGGCAATACACCTTTTGGAAAAGATAGTTCTATTCACACAAGTTTCATTCTCACTTCTGTATGTAGAACTATCTTTTCAAAAAGTATTATTTTCTTGTCTAGAGAAAATGAGAATTGGGAAAATAATTTTACTTAAAAAATTATTTTTGTGGTTATTTTGCTGAAAGAAAATATACTACTCAAAATTGCCTCATTGCACAAAAAATTAGTTTTATAGATATGGTATATATCATGACTGCGAACCCTAATAAATTACTTCTTTCACTATTTTACTTTGCAGAACAAGTACAAAATAGAAAGTACATTATTGTGTGGTATCCAAATTCCGGTGCAGTTTGGTTTATTACACTTTTATCAATTTTATCTTTTACCATGGACGTAAGACCAGAAGTTATTGAAAGTTTAAACTGTAAAATTGATCATTTATTGACAAAACAGTACAGAAATTGCAGGTCACTGATAATAGTATGGAGTGGTATATGCCATGCTTAAATCGTAAAAACTGCAGAAGAAAAATTTAGGTAAGGAAGCAGACGGGTTCAGGAATATAATCGCCACAGTGGCTAAAAGAAAATCGCATTGGGTAGGACATACAATGAGAGGTGCCGAGTGATGCTTTAAAAGAATGCTTGAATGGACATCAAGAGAACGGAAAATAAGCATAGTGCCAACACTGGGGCAAGAAAAAGAAGAAGCTGTGTAGAGGAGAAATCTGGCCCCACATACTATGAGACAGGAACGAGTGGAAAAGAATGCCCAAAATGCATAGAATAGTGCAGTATGCAAGTGTTTTATTTTCACTAGATTTTAGTAATAAAAACTATGAAAAAATGTCCAAAGGCTAAGGAAATTAATTGAAATAATTGTGCAACCCAATAAGCTTCATTGTCGACTGATTTTGTATTATACATTTATACAAATAAAGGCTATTATTACATGCTTTCCTACTTTTTTACACAATACAAAATAATTTTAATTGATTAATTTTATTTTAATTTAAATAATTGTTTTATTGACATCATTTATTTCTTTTGTATGTAGAATGTACAATTCAGGGTTTGTTATAATACATCATTTGAGATCTATTTTAGTTTGGCTGAATGTTCTCAAAATTTTAGTTTCTTTTTGATTCCTCTTTATGTTTTGACATTTCTTTGTTTTAAAATCTTGTGAGCATATTCTAGGGTTATCTGCATCCAGTACAAAACTAAATTGTCCTCTGATTTTGTTAATTCTTATGACATAAAATGGTTCATTTCAAGTTTCAAGTCCATTTCCTCTATTTCTACACAACCTGGCATCCTGTATTTTACATCACCAATTAAAACCACCTTTGAGCTGATGAATTTCAAATTCACTTTAAACAATGTTTGTGTATCTTTATTTTTGTATCCTCTGCTCAACATGAAACAACATTCATTTAAAACTTTAGGCTGAAAAATATTGGTGTACAGTCAAAGTTGTACAATATAATTTACATAAAATGATATTTTTGTTCATGATTTTATCTAAGTATTTTGTTTGTATTAGCGTTTCCTACAGGTCGACTGTAAGAAAGATAGCATTTATCATAATCTTAAGTATTTAAATAATAAATGTTTAATGATAATAAATTATATAAAATTTTATCGATTGGTAAAGCCCCACTGTCTAAAAGTCAATTAAAATTTATATTTAAAAAAAAAATTGAACTAATTTTTTTAACACATTGTAGAAGACATTTATTTCTATTAACACAAATATTCATTCTTTGATATTTATCATATGAGATTTAAACAGGTAAAGAAGGATTTAGATTTTAACCAAAAAAATATTAACCTTCAGAAAGTATAGGCATGATTATAAAATCATGAATTAGTTTAAAAATTGGCTTTTCAATGTAATTCAGCATGTCCGCAGCAGTTATTAATCTGAGTGATTTGGTCGATTTAGCTGTTGGATCCAAAAATGTAAGTTTTTCATTTTTCACCAATTTTTTATATCAACTGAAATTGTTTCACAAGCTCCTTATGAATTTTAGCAAGATGAAATTAATTTTAAAGTACTACAAACAGCTCTTCAAGCTATAATTCAACACTTAAATATTCAAGATACGAAAATTGAGTTTCGAGGTGCGGACTCAAGCAACATTCAGGTCTGGGAAATTGAATCTTTAAATAATATAATAACATAACTTTTGATTTTAATACAATATAGTAATCATAATATATAAAGAAAAAGAAAATAATTAGCATTTTTTTGTTGTGTATTTTTAGAACATATTAAAATCTGTTCGTGATGAAAACTTAACAAAAATACCAGTTAACATTGTTCCTGAAGTAGCTGAGGTATCTTACTTATTTTAATTACACTATCAAATATCTCTAAACAATGTTTGATATACTTTTTTATAATCATATTAACATATCGTATGTAATTAGAGTCAAAAGGATGCACCACTTGATGATCAAAGTGTCTTAACAACAGATAGTTCCGGTAATTGTAAAGGATTTTGTAAACATTTTTATAATTTTATTTATTTACAAAGTTTAATTAAGAATTTGAGTGATTTTGTAACATTTCATTGTGCAATAATTGTAATAATTACAATGAACTGAATTATTTCTTTTTTAAGGAAGGAAAAAAAAGCACACAGAATCTGTTGAGGTGGATAACTGTTATTATGATAATATATTCTAAAAATGTTAATAATTTTCTTTGATTGAATTTTCAGGATGTTGTGGTAGTTGAGTCTGGTAAAGTGCAAGAGCCTTCGAAGAAACGCCTAATCACCCCCTCATTTTTAGCTCGTTTGGAAGCTAAGGCTTGTACAATAAATTGCTAATGAGTACAACATCCACAAAGTAATTTGACTAATTTATTATGTGCAGGTGAAAGCACTTCAAGGACAGATAGAAGCTTTAGGAGCACAAGTTTTACCAAGTGATGACGCCCTTTTGCAAACAACAAGATCTCAGCAAGAAGCAAAACCAATATCAGATTTATGGCAGAGTTTGAATATTACAAAACGAATGTCTGGAGCTGAGGAAGGGATAGACAAGGTAATTATAACATATCCTCAATACAATAATTATTTAAAAATTAACTAACATTTTTAGCTTGCATCACTATTGGAAACTGTTGCTAAAGAGTATGCAGATCTGAAAATTGTGATTGATAGATTAGAAGATGAACTAGGCCAGGATATGGTGGAAACAATGAAGCAAATTAAATTGGCTGCAAATTATGCAAAGCAAATTAGACCAAGAGAAGAAATATATCAGAGCAAACTTAGTAAAAAGTAAGTGCTGTGAGCATAAATTAATTTTATATCATAGATTGTCTTTTTTCTCAGGCCACCAAAACAAGAGCCGAAACCCCTGTTTAGAATGCAGTTATTAGATAAGGAAAAAGAAACAGCAGATACACAAACTAAGACTCTTGGGCAAGAGTCATCGTACACTGCAACCAATGAGCAGATGTCAAACAGAAGCAAACAAACTGATGATCAGTCTGTGCTGACAGTTAATCCACCTGAATTTAAAGAAACCGTGGATGCGAGTGCAGGACCCAACAAATTAGACCCCATAAACGCAGAACTTACTGAGCAACCTAGTGAGATGCCTAAAGTATCACCTCCAAGAGATTCAATAAGGAGTTCTATAAAAGATTCATTGAAAGAATCTTTCAAAAAAGCATCACTGGAATCACAGACTCTTTTTGACGTTATTCCTCCCATTCCGAGAGGTGAACCAGTCGAGAGAGAAAAAGTAAATATCTTGTTAGCCCAACATGAATACATGAAGCAAAATGTGGAATATCTTACAGCCCAGGTTAATGCACTCGCAGATTTTACTGGTAAACCATAGTCTAGAGTTAGTAAAAATATCTATTTTAAATCCATTAATTTCTAGAAACCCAACTTCCTGATTTAATTCGTTCAACTAAGAAAAGTAAACATGTAAGTCATTTTGTGTAGATTAAAAAAAAATCTTTAATTACCAAGTTTAGGAATAAAATGATTATTGTTTTTTGTTAATTATTTTTATTTAGAGGAAAGAAGATGGGAGCAGTGGTGCTAAGTATGTAAGGGATCAAGCAGTTGATCAAAAGATACATGATTTAGAAGGGAGACTAGCTAAACATTCATCAAAGTTAAAACGACAAGATGTTATGATAACTGAAAAAACAATGGACTATGATAAACGGTTAAGCAGCATTTCGCAAACTGTCTCTTCTATGTTTGATACCATAAACTCAAGTCAAAATGATGATACACAGGTAAATTTAAAAATGAAAAGAAAAAATAAATATGTTTTATTTAATTACTTTTAAAATAATTGATTAAAATATTTTTAATTATTATTTTTTTCTTTTAGAATAGTAATATAATTGAGGATTTAATATCCAAAGTTCAAAACATTGAAGATGCAGTTGTTGAAGTTGGATGTACGACTCAAGATTTACAGGAAGACAAAGATCAAAAAACAGCCTTATTACAAGTAATACATCTAGTTTCTTTTCTATATTGTTCATAATAATTTTAGAGCCTGAACCACAAATTACAAACAAACAAATGTAAGCCATTCTTAGCTTTTTGTTAAATCTCTTTGAACAGTTCTTATTACATTTTTTTTAGGATTGTTTATGTCAATATTTCTAAGTTAAAACAGTTTTAAAAAAATTTATGTCTAAGGGCAAAAATAAATTGTCTATAAACAGTGGTGGGTGTTGCAATAAGGGGTTTCACAGGATTTCTCAGTGTAGGTTTAAAATTCCAAAAAATAAATCCAGGAGGGAATCACAATCATAAAGCTCAAATATTTTGTCTATGTGGATGATGTGGTGGGCTCCAGGCAAACTTATACGAAAACCAGGGGATTGAGAAGGTTTGGGGGGTTGCAGGTTGGTGAGTTTTATGCGTTCAAATATCTAGACTCGATACTCACCAAAAAGAATGAGGATTGACAGGGCATCAAATGCAGGATTACAACAGGAAGTAGATATTTCTGTTTTGCACCCTACCCTTGTGAATGGAATAAAAATTTATCCAGAAAAGTAAAGATTGCCATATATAAAATGATCATCAGATGGGGTTATATGGGTGGCCTGGACCATGACTGCTGTTGAAAAAATGAGGCTGAACTGCTGGGAGAGGAAGAATCTCATTATTTTAAGAGCCAGTTGTGGAAATGAGAGGTTCAGAATAAGAAAAATGAGGAGCTAAAGGGAATGTACCAGGTTGTAAAAGAAAGCAGATTGCGCTGGCTGGGTCATCCAAATAGAATGAGTATGGATGGAGCACCAAAGAAGACAGCCGGGTGAGTAAGACCGTCCACAAGGAAGACCTCAAAAGATGGAAGTAAGGCAGTGGAGAAGAAAGGCTAGTGACCTAGCAGTAAGGCCCAAGTACATTAAAAAACAGAAGGCATATTTACTTATAAATTATTGAACACTGGGCAAACATAAGGGGAGGCTGATGGTAACATCTTCATTTGAATGAAGGACAATATTCTGTCAAGCGTTAAACCCCACCAGTGTAGATTACCTAAACTGTAAATGTAATAACCATCATTTTAAAAACAAATGTCACAAAGAAAAAGTTTGGACAAGAAATCATGACCACTGTCCTATGGCTGTATTTTCTATCAGTGTCAGTGTCATGATTTGGGCAATGATGATATTAATGTAACACTTCAAAAATATAAATAATGCAAGGAATTTCATAAAAGTCTAATTTGTACAACAAAGTTTATAAAAATAACTTTGGAAGAAACAAAAATATATTGACAAAAGCTGGCAGTTTGCTAAACAGGAAAAATATATTAGAAATTTTTGAATTTGAATGGAAAAATAATGTGTATTACAAAATATTAAATATTTTTATTTATTTATTTTAAAGTTTCTTGTTAAATTAATTGAAATTAATTCACTTGGAAAAAGTTAATTACACCTGCTATGATTTCAATTTGTCAACTACCAAAGCAATGGTGATATAGCTAAATACATAATATGTATAAAATGTTGTAAAGGGTGTACATTTTTATGCTATACTTTAAACAAAGAAATATTATTAATTTCAGAAAATTGCTAACGACTTGGAGTTAGTGAAAACAGGCAAAGCTGATCGTTATGAAATTGAAGATATATTGGCCGAAAAAGCTGACTGTTATGCTGTCCTCGAAAAAGTCTCGCAGAGTGTTTTCGATATAGCATGCAATGATTTGGCCAAGGGGATAGATGAAGCTTTGAACAGGGTCTCAGCCCAGGTATACCCTTTTAACATATATAATCTTCAAAACGTTTTTATATAATAAAACCATAGGAGAGTCTATTAGCTGCTACAATGCTTGAGATGCAAAATGCAATGGACAACAAGATTGACAGGGGTGAACTTGATCCACTTAAAGATGAAATATCAGAGAGGATAGAACAAATCAACAAGAAAGTGGAAAAACTCTCTGCAATGAAAGAAGGCAGGGTAGCTGCTGGGGCTAAAAAGAAATACATGACGTCAGTGTTAATTTAATTTTTTCTAATTCAATAATTAATACGCATTTTACTTGTTTTCAACAGAAATGTTAATTGTATTTCTTGCGATCGTAATGTATCAATGAAAATTGAAAATGATGTACCTTGCATACCTGCCATGGCAGATCTACCAGCTATGCACAGCATTGCTCCTTATATTTCTTATGAATTGGATCATTTGAGAAAATTAAAAGCAAAGTAAATTATCCTACATTTAATTTTTTTTAAACTTATAATTAAACAACCTTTCATTATTTTACAGGCAACCAGGCCCGGGCACGCTACTCGAATTTAACGACTTGGCAAGAAGATATAATATTAGAAATTTGGACAGCTATGAAAACCTTGTGTACGCTGACTCTTCTTTTTCTATTTATTTTATTTTCTATTCTATTGATTCATTAAAAATTTTTTAAAATTATATTTTATCAATAATTATTTATTACTTCCAACCCTTATTATCACTTCATGCTTAAAATCATTAGTAATTTAAGCAATTGTTGCATATTAATAATGTTTTTTTTCAGTGATGTTCCTCATTTACAAACTCGATATTGTGGAGGAAGTCATACTAAACTTGGCCCGCAGCAGCGAGTGACTCATGTCGGACATTTCAATATCGTAAAAGGAGTAGATAAATAAATAACTGAAACACAATAACTTTTTAAAATTTAATATGTAAAAATAAGATTATTTAAATATCATATTTAGGCGCATTACATAAATAATATATATATATGTATAAGAAACAGTCAGTATTATGAAGATACAATTTGTGCAATAGGCCCTTGCAGGTACGTGGCGAGGGCATCAGCCTTTTCTTTCAACATGCCAAAGCCGACTGCACTGTTTGAGCAGAGACAAAGTAGAAGATTTGCCACTTGTGTAATTACAACTTTTCCTTCCTGAAAATGTCAATGATATTACAAAATGAACATATTTATACATTAAAAAAGTTATAAAGTATAAAAGCTACTAGGTTAGTAGTATCAAAAATGGCAGTAATATGCAGGATTTCCGACAATCAAAAATTGCTTAATAGTTTATTTAAGTAAAAAATTATTCACTTTTCCCATTTCCATAATTTAAGAAGAACAATTTTTTTTCAGAATATAGGGTTGTTCCAACAAACCAGTTATCAACTAAAACGTGATTTACGACCACATGCCCAAACATTGCCTATTTTCAGTCAAAAGGCATTCCAAATATAATTGAGGCAATGAATAGTAGCCACATTAAGATTGATAAGTCTGAGAATGATTCCAAGTTGTACATACACAGAAATGGGTATTAAATACCGTTCAGGTATTTAATATTACTGCAAAACAAATTTCATCTATATGTAAATTACAAATATTTTTATTTAACATTATTTTTTACTTGTAAATTAGTTTAGAAAAAAAAATATACACACACTTATGGGTATATATTTTATTTCATATATAAATCTGGTCCTTACTTAACTTAAGTAAAAACTTTGGGATTTTTGTGTAGAGATTAGTGACCGTTAATCGATAGTTATTCAGATATCGTGAGATGCGGTCGGGTGTGATGTAGGTTTCAGAAAAATACTTTGTTTGAATATAAAATATGTTTTGCATTGTATAAATTCACTTTTCCACATCCTAAATGTAATTGTTAAATGTAAACATTGTTTGTAAATCCCAGGCCCTGAAGATGATCTCAATAAAAAATCGAAACGTTGGCACGATAAAGAAAATGTTTTTCTGAAACCTACATCACACCCGACCGCATCTCACGATATCTGAATAACTTTGGGATTTGTCGAAAGCAAATGAGCTGAGGAGCATTACTGACTGTCGGTCCATAATCAACAACTACAAGTCACGGTCTGTTTTGACAATGGGTCACAAAACTGGCCTGAAAACGTCCAACTAACTCAACTGTGAATGTGCCCACAAGTTTGCTGATGATTTGGACACATAGTGGAACAAACCTTATCAAGGGGGAGATGTTAGGTTCTGAGGATTCAGTCTGCTTAATCTCATCAACTTATCTGTTCATTAATTTGTTGAAGTAGTGATAAGTGGTAAGAAATAAAGTATTTTAGAAAAACACCTTTTTTTTTTTTTTTTTGCTGGTGTTCAACCTTTATTCGGGTCATCTTCAGGGCCTCAATGAATATATGTTGATTGAAAAAAGAAAAAAAAAGATGTAAATTATATAAACTTTTAAACAATCATTTCATACTCACATAATGTGCAGAATGATTTTTTTTTAAATACTTCATTCCCGACCACTCATCACTATTTTAACTAATTAATTAACAGATAAGTTAATGAGATTAAACAGACTGAATCCTAACAGCACAACCAGTTGCTAAATAATACACTTATCTGTTAACTTACCGAGCATTCCATTAACACCATCTGAAGCTTGTCTTCTTTCAAAGCGGTTCTACCATTTTTTTCATAAGCTGCCCAAATATTGCTAGCAATTGCTGCAGTTACTATGGCATCTCTGTTTCCATAGCCACTGTACGCCATAAGAGTGCCTTCATTATTTAACAGCCTGAAAAACAAAACAAAAAAAAATTAGATTTCTTTTCCTTATTATACTAGTACTAAAAGTTAACTGAAAGGGGGGGGGGGGTCGATGGCCACTATTATTAATGCATTCTCACAGCAGCTCAACACTGTAAGTGCCAGGCTTGAATTCAGCAGACTTGACATATTTAATAGTAAAATTAGATTATTACTGATCATGTTGATCTACTTATCCTTGCTGATTTGGTCTGTCAGATGGGTTTTTAATTCACCATCAGTGTTGGGTCTGTGACCATGCTTTCTGAAAACCAAAAATTTTGGTAACAACCAAAAATGACAGGTTTATCATCCATTAAGAACACATGGAGAAATCTCAGAAAATAAAATTAGAACTTCTTCTCGAATCAAGATTGACAAGAATTAAAAAAATTTCCATGGATGGGTTGGTACTGTGTTCAAATGTACCTACTGAAAATGTTTGAGAATACCAAAGAATTTTTGAGTAGATGTATTATTTTTATTATGTCAATTGCTAGGCCTGGTGTAAGTTGTTATTTACAAATAGCTTTCATTTTTCTAGTAACATTACGGTATCTCTTTCATACTGATGTTTTGTTTCTATTGTTTTATCTGATCCTTTTCACCTTTCTATTTTTTCTAGTTGTGCCAGACAGTCTGTGTATTATTTCATTAGGTGTAGCTGTTTTAAACATTGTCACTACTGAACAGAGTGAAAAATTCTGACAGGCAAAGCAAGCATGAATAAATGAGGAACAATAAGCAAAAAGACCTCGACAATACATCAAACACATCGACAAACAACACTAATACTTACACAGCCCATACAACCGCGTAACTAAAACTTCATTCCCTAGAAATCAACCAACTTGAATACAAACACTGATGATGGCAAAATGCCAAAACTTATCTGAACCAACAAAATTCAGTGAGGATAGGCAGATCAAGTTGAATGGTAACCATCAAACAATAAGAGAATTGTTTATAATAAAATTGTCTATGAGTGATTAACCGATTAACCTGTTTGATGTCTGATCATTTTTATATTTTTTACTCGTCACATTTCAATGTTTCAATATTTTTAACAGTAGCACAGACTCAAGCATTACTCCTTCACTGGTGAGTACTGTGAAATGGCCTTATTTAGTATGAAGGAATATCAAGCAATTCAAATCAAACGAATGTGTTTGTTAAAATTAGAAAATAGACAACTTTTAATATAACAGTTTGTGCACATATTTATTTAGATAGAAATCACAAAGCAAGAGGTTTAAAAACAAAATCAATCAACAGCTCAAAAACTGTTCAAACTTATTTTTATGCCAGGTCGATTTTTTGCCAACACTCAAAATCTCGTGATTAAGCATATCTCAAAAGAGATTTTTCACAATTAAAACTTCAATAATCAGTTGTACAACATTTACTATTCAATTTTACTATATTGATACTTTTTCAAAAATAGAATAGTTCTGATAAGGGTTGTTTTGTTTTTACCCAATCAACTTACAAGGCATTTTCGACTCCGCTGGTATTCGCCTGGCTTAATACCTCAGAAAGGATTCTCGGCCTCAGCATAGTAAGCAATAAAATGTTAATTTACATATATTGCTGACCTTAGATAAGAAACACACAACTTAGCAATGAACTTATATTTTGAAAATAATAAAACGTCTCTATAACAGCTTGTGAAGGTATTTACTCAGATTTGTATGAGTTAGTACTTACTACCTTCTACTATTCAACTTGCTTCTTTCACTTTTTTATCAATAGTGTATAAAGTAAATGAAAATATAAATAATTACATAAACCATAAATATATATTGTTTTAAGTGGAAACACTCGACAGCATTAAAATCTTTATTCGTTAGTAGATTAAGTTTTTTCTATTATAAACGACATTCTGCAGGGTTTCAAACTATAATAACCAAATCTCTTCAAATAAGTTCAATTAATACACAAATAACATAAATATTTCACTCAGTGACAACACTTTATAAAACGAACCAATAATTAAGCTTTATGGAAGAAAATACATGAATCAAAATTGCTAGGCTATGCAATGTAAAATACTTCAAAATTCTCTTCTAATTGATAATTAAATTTTAATTAAGTTAATTTTTTTAAATATATGTTAATATTGGTTTTATAATCAAATATACTGAGAGGCAAAAAAGTGGCTACCTCATTTTTTATTTTGATTTTAGTAAATATGTGCAATCGTTATAATTTTGTTTTGTTGTTTGATGAATATTTTAAAAGAAAAATATGATATCTAAATAAAAAATTAACCTGAGTAAAACAATTTAACCAAAAATGTTGCTAAGTAAATGATGAAGAAAATATTTAATTCAGCACGGAACATTTCCTCCTCTTGTGTTGATCACTGCTTGCATTTCAAATGTAGGGGTGTTGAATATTTTCATACTCCTCCAACAGCGCAATTCTTCAATCCTGCAAATTTTCTGGCATCGCTGGATGACTTCTTACCCTATTTTACAATTCATCCTAAAGGTGTTCAATAGGGTTTAAGTTGGGGCTACATGTTGCCAGTCGAAACATTGAATTGAAGCCAGTTCCAAGTAGTCATGCATGAAAATAAAACTGTCGCCAATTAGTGGCATATAAAGAAGAGATGACCTATTATCCCACCTCCGAGAAGGAAAAATCATAAGTTAAACTGTTGAGGTCGAAATGTAAGAAAACATCATGTAAAGAACAACTTGTTCTGATAGGACATCTTCAATGTATCACGCAGTTGTTCTGGGAATGTTAAGCATCCAGGCCACATATGCTTGCCTTCTTCCAACGTTATGTTTCTAGCCAATTCTTCTTAAAGCAAAATCACTTAAAACCTTCATTCAAGCAAATTTGAAACTTAAAAATGGTAGATTTACAAAAAAACCTAACCATCAGAACATTAGAAACAAGTTTTACAGAAAAAACGATGAAGAGGTTGACAGTTCAAAGATTTACTTACAAAATCCAACTGTAAACACAAATGGGAGATTGTAAACAAAAGTGGGAGATTATCTGTGCTTCATTTATCTTTAATCGTTTAAAACAGACAAAATATTGTAAGATAATCAATGGAGGATTGTCTAAGAGATAATTAAAAATATAAAGAGTGGCCACTTTTTTACCTCTAAGAATTATATGAGTCTGATGCCTCAAGTAACTGCTAATTAACCCTTTGTATTTACACAGTGATGGCGAGCATACGTTGCAATAGTCTGGGCAAACAAGAACTTGGTGAAATATATTCATGTGTAGAATATAAAAAAATTTCAGAACATAGGAATTCTACCTAAAAAAATTGGCATCAATGAACACATTCTACAGCGAAGCAGTTGAAATGGTCAACACCTGTATGAAAGGCAACATTTTTTGGCAAGAAGACATGCTTTGGAACTTACAGCTGCGGAAGAAGCTGCAGATGCATATAAAGTTCAGTACATAAAAATGAAAAGTTTCAGTCTATTTTAAATTTATACATAAATAAATCAAATTTTTACCTCATTTTACATGACAAAGGTTTTCTTATGTTTTTTAAAGATAAATTACATTTTACAAAAATGGTCAAATTTATTATGCATTTCATGCTATTTCAAATTGATTTTTCACTTTTAATTATACTAATCATTCTTTTTTTAAAAAAAAAAAAAAACAATAAATAAATAAATACAAAAAATAACAATAGAAATACAACCAAAAGAATGGTCTTATTTTGAATTCTATTTGTACTCTTTCTTCACTGTCTTGTATCCTTTTTCTTTTTACAGATGAAAATTTTCGTTTCTGTAAGCCTTTATCAGTTTTTTTAAATAAAAATGATGAATTGAAATAAAGTATTGATTAATTATTATTTGTCTCCATAACTTTTATCTAAAATAAAAAAAGGCCTACAAAAAAGAAATTTTTCAATCCTGTTTTTTACACACAGTTCCTCATTTTCGCCTAGAGTCCCTAAAAAAAATGAATATAAATTAGTAATTTAACAAATAATTAACTTAATTTTAAAATCTTACAGGTGATGCCTAAGTAAATCATCCAAATCTTCTTCTTTGTAGAAGGTTATAAAATCCTTTGGGCAAACCCCTGCAAATACTGCTACAACACTCGGTTTCAAGTTAAAAAAAAACAAAGGCTGATGTCGTTTTGAAAAGTCATTAGTAAGCTTTTCTATCACCTGAACAAACCCAATAGAAAATTATGAAAGTTTTATTAAAATTAATAAACCATTTTATTATCAAATTCGATTAATATCTTCATGAGACGTACTTTAGCAGCAGTAAAATCTGCACCATATATATGGGAACAGTCTATCACAACTGGTATTCCTTGTTTAATACTATGTTTGGTCACAAGTGTGCTGACATATTCCACTGAAGGAAAAATCAAACAACGGTCTGGTGTCAGCAATAAGTACTCCACACCTCCTCGACTCTAAGAATTTTTTTTATTGTTGTTCATTAGTATGCTTTTCCAATTTACTTTCATTACAGGTACAAAAAAATATAATTACCATTTTAATTTCCATAGATATTTTTGGTCTTGCTGCATGATAAAGAATCGAAACAAGGTTTAAACCAATTCCAATCAGTATTCCAATTTCCAGCCTTAAAACCAGACATGCGATGAACGTTGCAAGTCCAGGTATTAAATCACTTTCTAAACATTTTAACATAAATAAATTATATATATAATTTATTTGGTTTTAAAAAGTTCAGTTTTTGATTTCGACAAACTTTTTGATCTCCAGATTGGTTTAACAACTTGAACTTCAATCATGAATATAACAGCTGCCACAATTATTGCTGCTAAAGCAGCTTTTGGTATGTAATAAAATGAAGATGTGAAAAAAAGAAGAGCTATAATTACTAAAACACCTGTATAAAAAGAATGCATTTAATAAGTAAAATATAATTATTTAAATTAATATTTTATAACTGACCAGTATACAATCCACCTAATGGAGTTCTAACGCCACTGGAATTGTTAACTGCGCTTCTGGAAAGAGATCCACTTCCAGGAAAACCTTGTACCATTGAGTTACCAATGTTGCACAAACCTATTGCTATTAACTCTTGAGTTGCGTCAGTCACTTTTCCATTAGCTAAAATATAAATAAAATGTTAATACAAACATTTTCAGAATAAACATTGTAATCATAACTAACCAAATGCTTTACAAATTGCTATATTTTCTAATAAAGCAATTAGAGGGAGGACAAATACTCCCGAGCCCATTTCATTGCACATTTCTATGAATCCGATTGTTTGATTCCCCCTGTCAATACTAAATGACGGAAGCTGAAACTCTGGTAAGCCTGGAGGAATGTGCCCTAAAAAAAATGTTTGTGCGTTAAATTAAAATTATTTGGATATCGTTATTAGAATTAAATTAGAACATTAATTTTTACTATAAAAATAATTAATTTTATCAACTACTTATTAAAAGAACAAGACAGAAACTTACCAATTAGTTTAAAAGGAGCAGTGCCATGATAAATTGTACAAATGTATCCAAATATGCCACCAACAATAACTAGAATTGCATTTCTTGAAGTTGAAATCAACCATAATGTTTTGTTGAATAAATTTTCATATTTGGTCCTTAACTCAGGATCTTTTGAACCGATTTTAATATCTGACAGTAGCTGCAGACATCAAACTTATATTACAAAAATTAAGGAAAAACAATATTTACTAATTAATAATAAATATAATTCTTTACCCGCATAAAAAGTAATATGACAATACAGCTAAAGGCCAAAAGAGTATCCCACAAGCTAGTGTTGTGGATATCTTGGCTAATGCTAATCCACATTTGAACAAATGTGGCTCCACTTGCATTTATGCCTAAAAGGTCTTTGATTTGTGATGAGATAATTAAAATCGCGACTGCCGATGTAAACCCCGATGAAACAGGTCCAGATATAAAATCGATCATTATTCCTACAAATAATAATTTATTATTAAAACAATATTACTAATTTATTATGGTTGTTTATTCTATGTTAAAATTGATTCACAAATAAATTAAGTAAACATTTTTCATAATCATAACAGTTTAAAGTAGCGGCCATATTTTGTTTTTGTAAATATGTTGTTGAATAAATGATTTATACTACATATAAATAGTTAGCTTGTATAAATATAAGATCAACTACAACTGAATTTATTAATTTTTAGCATAAACTTACCTAATCCCATGATTCCCATAAGAAGTTGAATTATACCACTGAGAAAGCAAAGTAATGTTGCATAAATATGCCCCATTCCGTGTAATGTCTGATATGTAAGTAGTGAACATATTGCTGTTGGTCCCATTGGAACGTCTTTACAGCTTCCAAGAAATATATACATTAGACAGCCAAAAAATGAACTGTACAAACCATACTAAAAATATTAATAATTATTACAAGATCATGATTGCTAAATAAATAAAATTTTTAAGTAACATTTTTTGGCAAATTACTTTGACAGATTCTTAATCATTAAATAATTAATATTATTTAGTTTTTTTATTTTCTTGTTATAGTTAATTTTAAAAAAAATTACCATCAATATAAAGAATTAAAAAATGAATTAGAATTATCTAATTAATGTTAAATACAAAACATACTTATTACTGATATTTATTGAATGTAAAATTATAACTTTTTTTATTTATTAGTGTGAAAAATTATTTACACATTTATTTTATTTTATTCGTTTTGTTAAATTATAGTTTTATATTTGCAAAGCAAACTGAATAAATAAATAAATAAAAATTGATATAATTGTTAACTAAACAAAATATTTTATTTACCTGAGCCGGTAGTCCAGCAATGCTCGAATAAGCAAGAGACTGAGGAATTACTGTTAAACCAACGGTAACACCAGCCACTAAGTCGCCGATAGCATCATCTTTCTGATACGCTCGGAACCAAGATGTGATTGGAAATCTCCTTTTAAAAGTCTTTATTGTCCATGTTTTTTTCACTTTCCTCTCAAACCAGGGAATGACCGAGTCCACTTTCTCCTTAACACTAATTTTCCTTCTTGGGCCAAGATCTTCCACCACTTTTTATATTCAAAAATTAATTAATAAATTAGTAGGTTATTAAAAAAAATGTATGTCACACATTTAAACTTGTCGCTTACGTATGAAATCATTACTTCCAACATTTAACTGTTCACTTTTTTGGTGAAATTTTTTGTGTGAACAAGGAGAGGTGTTTGTTGCGCTATCGATCATTTGCTTTTGTTGAGTCATTTTGTTGATAAATCTTTACATCATGTTCTATAAACTTTTATGATGTATTACGTCGGTAACTGAAAAATTAAAATTTATCTCAAATGCTAATACTTTTAGACTGCTATCGGCTAAGGACAAATTCTTAAAATATTAAAGCATTTCTTAATTGCTAGTGTTTATAAAAATTCTATAATTTTTAATATAAAATTATTAATAATCTGAAATATTTGTTTTATAAATTGCATGTTTGATTAATCTATATAAAAACTACATTTCAAATTTACAGATAATATTGACAATTCAGCGTTAATATTCAATCCAATTAATATTAATTAATTAATTTTTGTTGATATTATCTAAAAATGTAATGCATACAAAATCTTTAATCTTTAACCTCGTGCTAACAGAAGAATCATGCATATTATATTCATATTTATATATTTACATTACTACGATTATATCTTTAATCATCCTTCAATCTTTAGACCTATAATAATTATTATTATTGTTGCACCATATCTTATAAATTATAGTATAAAGTAATATAATAATGGAATTTTATTTCAAATGAACTCCAAATTATTTGTCTATTGGCACATTTCCAGATAGTATCGATAATTAAGAATTAATATTTCATTCAGTTAGTATTTATAAATAAACTTTTTTTTAGATTTAATACAAAAAATAAAAGTAAACCTAATGGAATAATCATCTTAAATTATTATGATTACCTCAAACCCTAGACCTACACGGTAGACCAGTATTATCACAACTGCTCACTTTTGCTAATTACAAGGGGAGAAAGCTTCGAAATAAACAAAAACTTAATAACAGAGAGCAAATTTCTAATTGAAATATTTTTAAAGCATTACTCAACAAAGATTGTTGTAAACAAGATTTCGAAAAAACAAATCAAAGCACATTTCTTGAGTTCACTTTCAAAATAATGTGGTAAACAGTGCTAATTAGTGAAAATTAGCACATTAGCAACTTTTATTTGTAAGCTAAAAATGGATATTTCCCTAAATCTTTTTACACTGCTAATAATTGCCACTTCCCCTTTTTATAATTCAAATTTTTTCCATGAATAGTTTAGTTCCCTGCAATCTAAAGTTTATTTGAATTTTCTTTTATATGTCCGGTGGTCAGTGTCTTATGAAATAGTTCTCAGCGTCTCAGCATTAATCTCTTTGGTAAACCATTTAGACAATCACCACTTTGTTTAAACAACAACTTATTAGTTTTATATAATTCTACATCTGAAAGTTTATATTGCATTGATTATTTATCATTTTTGTTTATTATATATTTTATGAGTTCAAAGTTTGAAGTTGAATGCACATGCTAAATTGTTCTATTACTCAAAATCTACAATAAAGTCATAATATTACAGATTTTCCTATTGCCTAAACTTTTATCTACACAAAAAATAAAACAAAATGTAGATTTCAAAATTAACATTGTTGCTGTTTTTAGTGCAACAATAAATTACATTTATCACCTTCAGCTCATTTTTAATTTTCCTTAAGTAGTATAAGTATGTAATACAGAAAGTTTAGCCATTTTCCTTTTAATGCAGATTGTTGTTTAATTAACCATATTAAAAATACTTCCCCCCCCAACATTTGTGCTATACTCAAGCACCATTGTTTCTATTTATATATTTTCCTTGAACTCAATATATTGAATTATATTGCCTTTTTTAATTATTAGTTCCCACATATTTGAGGACTCACTGTCCTGTGAAGTCCTAAGTTCACTATACTTTTTCCTTTTTCCTAATATAATGTGGTACACAGCCTTTCTTCTTGGTGTGGGATCTCACAGACCAACCCAAGACTGATGAGTTTACTTTTTCTCGTTTGATATGATACATGTCTTTTTTAATCTAGATGAGGATAATTTATATTTACAGTTTAATATTTAATATGCATTCCAACTAGGTAACTATTAAAAATTAATAAAATAATAAAAAAATTAATAATGATGTGTAAGAGTAAATTAATAATTTGGAGAGCGAAAAAAAGACCTGACTGAAGTTTAAGCAAATTGTCAATTCCAAGAACAAACAGAATAATTAAAGAAGTTTAATGAAGCAATTTGGGTCACTGGCCCATCATGAAAAGTATAATTGTAACATCATTAAGTATTGTTTACTCAACTGCTAATAACCACGGGCAATTAACATAAGCGATCGTTTTACAACAGTGATCATTTTAAACGTTTAAAACTTTAGATAAGACACATACCTCAATACTTCAGACAAAGGAATAAGAAAACCTACTTCTTATATGAAGAAACAATAAATAACTGACAAAATATAGGATGAGTAACGACCACCTCCTTTTGAACGCCCCCTCTTAGTCATTCCCTCCAACTTTACCTCTTCCCCTCTTACAAATCAAACATACATATAAACAAAGAACTGTCTTCAATTACACACACGCACAAACGTGCGCGCATACTCATAATTCTTAGATAGCTTGATGAAATCTCCTAAAGATCTAATTTGATAAAATTAGAGTAGAAGAAATTTCTCATTCAATTTTTTAAAATTAATTTGAAAGTGGTTTTTTATCCTATCATAGGAACTGCAGAAAAAAGTGTCATTCAAGAAGAACCATTACAAGTAAAGAATTTATTATTTTAAAATCTTAAAAAAATAAAAATTATTTTACATTTTTGAATAGTTGCCTTTGCTTGCCTTTAACAATCTATAAGCTGCAACAACTTCTTTTCTTTGCTTTTCTAACTTTTGTTTCATAGACATTGATACATTTATATTTCTAGATGGTTTCTGGTCTCCTCCAAGAAATGAATTTAGAAGAAGATTCTTCCCCTGAACAAAAACAGATAATATATTATTTAATTTCAATTTGTCTATTTTTAAATACTGAAGTTTCAATCAACCAACCTTGGATTTGTGTCCTTCTACACCTCTCGGTAGTTTTTTGAAATTAGGCGGTTCGTGTACTACTTCTCCGAATTTGACTTTATCATATTTGACATCACTAATTGGTTCCTGCTGGGCTGTCTTCTTTAATTTATTCCTTTTGCGCTTACTCAGTCTTTTCACTTAATGGTGTAATAAATAATTAAGTAAATATTAATCCATACATGTTTAGCAGTCTTAATTGACCATATTAATTATTTCAATTAATTATTATTTTTATTTAAGGTCTTGGTTGAGTTGAAAAAGTTAGTGCCACGAGTGGGCTCTAAGCATGACCTTCGGCTCAATATGCCACTGCTCTAACCAAGTGGTGGTGAGCCGAAGGTCGTGGGTTTGAATCCCGCTCATGTCACTAACTTTTTCAACTAAACCAAGACCTTCAATAAAAAGAATAATTAATTGAAATTATTATAATTGTATACATATAAATAAAACAAAAGATAAAAGTTATTATACCTTTGTTTTCAGTTTCTGGAACCTTTTTCTTTGAACGCTTCCTCGTTTCAGCTTCAGGCATATTATCTGTATTGTTTGATTTACCCATTTCAACCTTTTCAACATGACCGTACTTATTTCTCTTAACTTTTACATTGAATTTTGCTTCCATTTGTGCCTGGGAGATAATATTTACATAAAAGATATATACTTTTTTAAAATATTGTATAATATAAAAACCTCATCCATAAGTTCATCAGTAGCAGATTGAATTCTATCCAAAAAATGTTCTTCGCTTTCACCAGCCTTTTGTTCCATAAGTGGTAACAGTTTATCTTCTGATAAATTCATAATGTCACTTGTATCATTGGCAGCAAAATGTGGTAATTTAGGATATGTTACTACATTTTCTTTTGTCGATACAGGCCTGGATTTATACTTTTTACTTTTCCTTTTCATAAATTTCCCTTCTTTTGTAAGTTTAATTAGCCTTGATATCTCGATGAAGCTTTTTGGAACTTCTTGTTCATCCGGATTTAAAGGGGCTGCATTGATTTTATTCTTCAGCCTGAAATTTAAATCAATTAACAACACAATAGGAAGATTTCACTATTATAGAAAATCCTTAAAATTAAATGGGATTATGCCTTCCAATAGCAGTTATGTATCACCAGAAACTTTAATGTTAATTATGAAGGGAAAGTTGTCATACATCAAGACAGAGCTCATCAAGTTGACGGTCACCATAAAGTTCGGATCGCACCAGTCAGCTGGGTTTTGTATACCAGAGGGCAGTGACAAAGGACCAAGGACCTGTGTAATGAAAGTTCCCTAAATTACAAGGTGAAGGGCAGGCATCAGTCATGACCAACCCTTGCAGCAAGAAGAGCGTTGACCATGAGGCCCAATGAATGTTATATTTCTTTCCTTACACCCTTGTTGAGAAACTAATATAAAAGAGGAATGGAAAAGCAGTACAGCAAGATCAGAGACAGGAGGACGAGTCGAATGGACTGTTGAAGACCATCACAGCACGATGCAGGGAGAGTCAAGTGTTGAGTGTCCAGGAAGCAGCAGAAAGGCGAACTTGGAGTGTCTAAATGATGTGTAATTGGTGTTGGCAGGTGCCATTTGTGGCAAGTGCTTTTTGTAAATAAGCTCAACTCCAACTTAGAGTTTCTTTGGCCAATGCATAAAGTAAGGTCAGGAAAAAAAAGTTTTGGCTCAATTGTGTTATTCGTTCTCTAGAACTATGGAGATGGACCGAAATAGTGTGCCAATAAATGATATAAGTATTATTGCTCTGGTGTTTTGTATTTTTGAACTTTACCTTCCTTCCTCACAAAAAGTAATTAAGTGTGCACACTAAGTGTTCTCTCATTGTTTAGCAATAAGGATATAAAGCAATGGTCCCTCTCCTGGTCATCTCCAAATTCTTTTTGTTGACCGAAGACCTCTAACAAAACCTTGACTCATCCGAAAACTAGATTTTAGTCCAATCTTGCTCAGACCAATTGATGTGATTCCACGAAAAACTTAACCGAGCTCGTCTGTCTTGTTAGAAGTTTTGGCCCAGCAGCAGGCCTTCTCGCAGATAATCCAGGTTCTGACAGTTTTCGCCTAGGAGTCATAAACTGACATTAACCTTTCTAACTTGTTGAAAGTCTAAGTCATTATTGGATCTCAACATCAGTAAATTGTTGATTACAGAGTAATTTGAAACAATAATTCTCTGAGATGTGACATGATGGAATCAGTGAAAGATTGTCCAAGAGATAATTAAAAATATTAAGAGTGGCAACTCTTTTTATTGTCTCTCGATAAGTAGTATAGCGATACTACCTAAAATGAAAATCGAGAAATACTAAAATATTTTAAACAATTCAGAACTGTTACGAATCGAACTGTCGTTCATCATGTAAAATTTGTTTAAAACATTCCGCAAAATCACTCCTTTACAGTTACAGAATTCTGAAAAAAAATTATGGCGAGACAAAATGTAAGTACACTAACTGTTCATTTCTTCTTGATTGCTGTTCGTGCGGATCTTTAATACCCCTGTGCTTTTTTCCAGGTATTTTCCTACCCATTTCGTATGTTAATAAAATATTTCTGTGACAAAATATACACGTGTATAACGTAAACCATATACATAAGAAGGTAAACAATGAAGTAGATTACGACAAGTGCTGCTACTTGCTAGAACGACGACCGTGTTCGTATTTTCCCTGTAAATTTTAAATTTTTTTGTATAACTTTGTGTATGGTGAAACAGTAGTATTTTTCCGTTCTTTCGACCATACCAGACAGTGGACACTATACAGGAAAAATATAACGAAGAAAACGTTTTATATGAGGATTTTTATTTTACCTATTTTTTTCGCTTATAATGACATAAATACAAAACTTGTTTGTAGGCTCCCACTTTTTAATGGTTGTAATAATGTTGAATTTGAATAAAATACACCAGACATTGGTGAGAAAAAAATGACCTTAACGAATCTTTATATAGTATTCATATATGTATTGCTTTGCCTTCAAAAATTGGAACAGGAGACCCAGACACTCACAGTCATGCTTAAGCACAATTCTCAAAATGGGTGGTATTCCTACATGCTCCTTATAAAGAGCCAAGGACTGGCATCTTTCAATTAAGTGGAACACATTAAGCGACTTCATTCTACATGCCAGTGTGATAACTATGCTTGGCCTTTTAATATAATTTTTATTTTATTTTACATTTTTTAAATTAATAAAAATAACAGTTTGAAATGAAAAAATGCATGGATTAGGCCAAACGGTTGGAAAACATTTTTTTTAAACTTTTTGAAACAGAATAGAATAATGTTGTAATGCGTCTTCCACTGGTGGTGGTCATATTGCCTGTGATAGTGTTAATTTTTTTGACACAACAGCAAATTTGAGAAAAAAGGGTAGGCTAAGGTAAAACTTTATAACTTCCAGAGTGAGCAGATCTCTAACAGAAGAGACCCACCATTTGATTTTATTACTGTGTAAAGATTTAGCCCACAATTATTTTTAGCTCTATTTTGTCTGATCGCTCAAAGGGTTAACTCTATTCCAGTACCAGTGCATGTTAAAAAATTGCTGAATTGAGAAAAGCATATCTTTGTTTATTTATTTATATTGGCAAGTTGAGAGGGTCTTGCAACTGACAGTCTATACCTTATTAGATATAGGTAAAAATACATATTTTTTAATGATATACATTAGAAATTGATCCCACCTCATATATTTCAACTTTCTGTGAGAAGTTCTGTGATGGTTCTTTAGGGAAGAACATTTTAGACCATACATTCTCCTTTTTTTCAGTGTTGTAGATCAGCAATTTGCCATCAATGCCAAAAGTGTCTAAATAATGGCCTGTCAGATGATAATGGATACATTTGCATTTCTAATATTTTGATACTGGGGTCTGCATCACCACACATAATTTAAACATACAAATCCCACAATTCTTATCCTAAAAAAAAGTTGTAAATACATAGATAAACACATTCGATTTTCATACCATAAGTACACCACAAGATGTATAAATGTTTAAAGATTTTAATAGTGCAAATTATAGGAAATTGACTGATTATCTGAAGTCAAAGCCAATGTATACTGTGTGGTGATTAGTGACCATTAGTCAATAATTATTCAGAAATCGTGAGATGCGGTCTGGTATAGTTCTATTTCGATTATCTTGCTTGATTTTTGTCTAAAATCAGTTTTAATTTTACGTTGTTGCAGTTTTCCAAAAAATCGACCAGCCATTATTCATATTCTACAAATTATAACCTCACAAAAAAAAATTGTAAAATATATTGTCAGCTTAATTATGTAAATAAAAATATTAGTTTCATTAAAAATACTAATTTTTTACTAAGGCATGTTTTATCACCATTTTTTTTCTCTTTTAAATCAAAAAATGGGAAGGTTCCAATTCGTATATTTATCGAGAGATAAAGCACTATAATTGTCCTGTGATAATGAAACCTCACTAGTGAGTGGTAATATTTACTTATTTATTTTTACATAAATAAAATATTCTACTTTTCCCACCATAAAATATTATTGTTATATAATTTATATTGTAACAATAGCCGGAAATGTTTCTGATCAGAAACGTCAGAACCGGTATAAATCTTTTATCCAGACAACTAAAAAGGTATTGTATATATAAGGGAGAATGAACAATGGACAACAAAGAACATAAATGCTTAATTTTTATTTAAGAAATGTCACCCTTTCGAAAATGAGGATGTCGACCGTTGACGAACCGAACGACCAACCAGTGAAATTTTCAACGAGCAAAGCATCAAAATGGAAAGCTGAATTTTCTCGGAGAGGTACATCTAAAGAAGAATCTCCATGGTTTGAGCCTCTTGCTGTCGGTGCGAGTGCGGCCGTTTTTCTCATCTACTTCTGTGTTCTACGAGAGGAAAACGACATAGATGAAAAGTTGGATATATCAATTTATAGAAGAATAGATGGGCTCGAAGAGTATCAGTTGAGACAATTGTTGGCACACAATAAACGCAATGGTAAAGATGTCACAGATATAGAAAACAGGTTGCAAGAACTAAGCCGAGAAAAAATGCGTAGTTGAGTACATAATTTTTGTAAGATTGTTAATATTTCTATGGTGTAATTTATGTAAATAATTATTAATATGACGTTAGCATTTTATTCGTTTTATATAATGTATTCCTAAAAATTCCTTTTATTCGTGTTACTTGCAGTAGAAATTCTTTTTACGAATGCTGCTCTTATTTTAAAGACCACATTGATAGAGATGTTATTACAGATTGAAATGATATAATTTCAATAGAAATATATATATGTATTCCCAGTGTATTAGCGATGATCTTAAGATATTAGGATGTAAAGCTCTTCTAACATGAAGTTTGTATAATTGTAACTACAAACGTAAACAAATGATAAATTAACAACGGCAACAAATCTCGATGAATTCAATCTCTAGCTATGAAATTTGAACCAATATTGTTTCATCATTTCGCAAATTTATACTTAGTGAAGTATAATTAATCATTATGTGCAAATGTTTAGTCAATTAATGATTATTTGGAGAGTGTGAGATGCGGTCTGGTGTGACATAGGTTTAGAAAAACATTTTCTTTGGGAGTGCCTTCTCAAACAGCACACAATAATGACACATCTACACAGAAAACAAACATTGATTTGCTTCTATAAACCTACATCACACCAGACCGCATCTCACACTCTCCAAATAATCATTAATTGACTAAACACTGCACTTAATGATTAATTATACTTCACTCCAAATAATCATTAATCATTACTTTAGTTAACTAATATCAACTAAAAAAATATGGATTAATATGCGTAATTAATAATGTGATAGTATTGGTAAGGAACATAAAATAAGTTTGGTCTCACAATTGTTTAGATACTTGGGCTCAGATGTAAAGCTTTTCCAACATTTAGTACCAGCAAAATTACAATAAAAATATATATAATAAATAGAAGATTAACAATGCTTATTAAATTATTGAAAAATGACAAAAAGGAGGGAAAATTTATAAGGTGGGGTTGAGATGGGAAGTTCAATCTGTGTGTCCAAGTGGATCGATGGCACGATAGATCAAGTGGTAGAGCAGCGGTGTATTTAGCCAAAGGGTGTGGGTTCGAATCCCGCTTGTGACACTGACTTTTTTAACTCAACCAAAACCTTAATTAGAAAGTAGTTGATTATTAAATTGAACACAAAATTATTCGACATTGCATATATAACATATTAATACTTCAAACAATTTAAACAGTTGGTAGTTTGGTACTAAAGGCTTTATTGATATTGAACCTTTGATTATGGAGTTCCAAAATGTACTGCAAATCCCCAAAAAAATTGTTACTAATACTTCATTTTGCCTGATATTAATGATTTCTTAATTCTAATAATGTTTTATTGTTTTTATTATTCATATTTTTTAAAATAATAGTTGAAAAACTCTATTTTTAAAATTTGCTCAAGTTGAAGGCTGCAGAGATAGAGGTTGTCAATTAAAAAAAAAAAAAAATCTACTACCTGTTGATGAGCTAAAAGCTCAAAATCCGGATCGTTACAAAAAACTTACTGTGAGTAGGAACTATCTTTTTAAAAAGAATTAAACACTGTGCTCACTCCATCATTCATCATTTCTATGAAAAAATCCTTTGTTTTTTAATAAAAAAAGACTGGATTTTTCTTTCTTTCAAATTAGCCTTAGGCTGATATCACAGAGGATTAAATTGGATAGGTTAGGGATGGGAGTGGATAAAGACAGGTACCGAGGACTTTGCATGCCACACTGTGGTGTGTTTTGCTTCTTTCGCAAATAAAAAACAATAAGAACAAAGAAAGAAAAAAAATTAAAGCCTGAATGAAAGAACTTAGAAATGATATTATCAGACTGCAAACTACACTCCTCATCAGGAGAATATGCTTTTAGGCTTCCAACATAACCATGGCGGGTAATAAAATAAATGATGAAATGGGGCTGTAGGAGACAATTGCTCTTGTATACACCAGTGTAAACATTTTTATTTAGCATAGCAACTATTCTTATTCATGATTAATATTCTAAGTTTGTACATTAACACACCATCTTCGGTGAGGCATCTTTTCACTTTTTTAAATAAAATTAGATTGAAATTTTCTATATTCCTTTAAATTTAAATATTTTTAATAAAAAATGGCCAAATTCAAATTTGTTCTTTTCTTTCACTACATTTATTTTGTTTTTCTTCAGATTCTATATTTTTCTTCTCCTTGGCCCGTTTTCATTATTTGTTAATTAATTGATTGTAGATGTGTATCAGGGATGTGGTCAATGGAGTCTCACAGAACATGGATCAGAAGACTAAAAATGATTAAAAATCTCTCAGATTCCATTTAAAACGCGTTGGCACAACTTTTAGACATTGGAGGATGGTAGTTAGCAAAGTAAACAGAAGGAAATGTTTTTGTATGTACAGTTTCACCGTAGAAAAGATTCAACCACTGAAAACGACCTACTAATCAAGTTCCTTGATGAACCAGTACTCACCGGTGTATAAGCACAGAATGGGGGATACAACAGCTCTTAAAGGGCGCAGTATAATATACACCCTGATTAATCTACATCTATATCTACATAGATAAATTATAACATCTTAAAATAATACAATAATTAAATTAAGTGCACAAAAATTTAATTATTAAGATAAATAGTTGTGAAAAAATCAATTTAAAAAATATGAAAAATCAATTGTGTTGGTTCTTTCAGTAAAACAAGGTCTTCTTTGATTTTGTATCGCGCTTTGCTTTTATAATTTAACAATTTTCATTCAAATATTGAAACTAATTTTTGTACTTGTGGTGTATTTATATGAAGTGATGAATTAAGAGTACAAAGCTATTTGAATAAATCTTGTTTCAAATGTGACTTTTGGAAAGTATGTACTGAATGAACTCCTCTTTCTTTTTGGGTTGATCGTCTTTTCTTCAATGATAGTTTCATGCAAATAATGAGATGCATTAAAAATCTGGCTACCCTATTCAGGGCATGGAGTAAAAACAGACTATACTATGTATTGAACTTACTAAAATAAAAAATAAATGTGTTTTGGTTTTGAACAGTTTCACCAAACAAAATCCTGAATACATAAATGCTTTTCTAATTTTTGCATAGCCTAAATCAACCACAATATGTTTTACCTTATTTGTAAGAAAATTTATATGAATTAAAGCAATATTATAGATATTGTGAGTATTGATCAAAAGTGTAAACAATTTTATGGATGTTTTTATCACCTTGAAAAACATAAATATTTTAATTTTAAATTTTACCGCTCGACGATGAAAATTTTGTTACCTAGGCCTTTTTGATGGGTTATAAGCTATTCAAGTTAAAGATAATTATTTTATAATAGATCTATTAATATAGCGATTTATATATTTCAGTTTATTTAAGTTGCAATTTTTTTAATATTGAAAAACAAAAACAGATTGTTGGTTTTTCGATGTTGTATTTGTTGAAATTATTTTTCGCTAGAGCTGAGGGCGTCCGCAATTGTCGGCCATATTTTAGCCTGCACGGCTTCGCGTCCAATTCATATTTTGGACCTTGTCTCCGTTTACACGACGTGAAGTGAACTTTTCCAAGAGAATTAAATTAGTTTATCGATTTTAGGTTGGTGTTTTTGACAATTTCTACATAGAATACGCGACCGGCTATTCGACAAAAAGAGAAAAACAGTTTCTTAATCTTCTATTTTTCTCTTTTTCTAGTTGACGGTTTCTATTAATTTCTCTAGATGGGCGAAGATCAAAAAGGTAACTTATAATTATTGACCGACGTAGCTTGTACTCTGTTGTATTTTTGTTCGTAACCGTCTTTCGGTTTTCAGAGCGTGAAAAGGACCGGGATAAGGATAGCAGGAGGAGGCGATCCAGGTCCCGGGAACACAGGAAAAGGTCAAGATCGAGGTCCAGGGACCGTAGGTCGAGGAGTCGTGACAAACACGACAGGAAGAGGAGTAGGTCTCGATCTCCCAAGAAGAGCAAAGGGAGGAGGAGGAAGCCATCTCTCTACTGGGATGTTCCACCTCCAGGATTCGAACACATCAGCCCGTTACAGTATAAAGCCATGCAAGGTTGTCTATAGTTCAGTTTTATTTAATATAATTAGAAATTTAAACTTTTTCACCAAATTTGCATTTGAAAAGTTAATCATGATTGGGTCTAAAGTGAGGAACACACGCAATGTGACATAACCCGACGCCCTGTCTCGTTCTGGTAGGGTGTGCACATCTGGTCGACGTCAAATGCCACGGAATGTGTATCACAAATCAATATCACAATCGCAATGCCTCTTTTGCTCTAATGCGTTATGAGCAAAACCATGTAATAAATTGTTAATGAAATTCATTCTATCGCAAAATGGTATTCCAGTCCATCATATTTTTTTAATTAAAACTCATGAATTTTTGATCTCGTTTAATTTGATTTACATTAAAATAAGCATGATGTAATTAATATAAAGACAACAATACATATAGTTTGAAATAGATTACAAAAATATGAGTGTTTGGTTCTTTTGCCTTCGACTGTACTCGACACTACTCTACGAAAAAGTCTGGACAGTGGGGAACTTGGTTGCGTTGAGTGGTGTCGTGCGGATGTGCATGGGGGTAATACAATCTTAGGGAAAATTAGACATTGGATTTCCATCGGGTGGCTTCCGTTCACGTCTCTGTTTTCCATGGAGATTTACGTATTATGTGTTCAAAGAAGTGAAAACAAAAAGTTGCTTTTTATATCTCTTGACTAGAAGAAGATTGTCTGTGGTCTGGCTAGTGAATTTGTTGATCCTGGTGACACTATGAGTATAAACAACCTACTGCGACCTAACCAGATAAAACTTACCTATTTAACCTATTCAGGAAAGTGAGGGTGGTTAGAAGCTCTTCATTCCCCAAGTGAGGTACTGAGAGTCATGATATTGCTCTCATCCCACACGTTTGCAAGTAGTGAGAGCGTGTTATTGTACTCTACTCTTTTAACTTTAAGATTCAAGTTTGTTGAAGCAGTGTGCTGTTTAAGTTATTATTTTTAATACAAGTGGGAAGGGAAAATTAAATAAGATAACCGTTGTTTACTGTTTTAAGCAACACATTGCTTCTTTGAATTTCAGTCTAAAAGAGAAGAAATTAGATCATTGCTCACAATACCTGAGTAGAGGGAGGTTTCGGTACCTCACTGAGGGAAGCAAGGGTGTGTTGCAAATGTATGTCTAAAAGGGGAAACTCTTTTCTAGCATTATTTACATCTCACTCTCTGATCTGTTAGTGATTCAAAAACCTGCCTACTTAAACATACATTTATGTTTATGTTACTCTGAATACTTTATGCTTATCTAGTGGAAAATTCACTATATACATTGAGACACATTCCATGGTGACATTAATGCTATTAGCAGTTGACTACCTGTTTCCTTTCTGATGAATGGGCTGGGTCTAAGGGCCTGATGCCCAGTGTGTGCTATCTGGTTAAAGGATTTGTGCTTTAAAACACCAAGTGCCATCCAATGGGCTGAGAGTGTTAAATTAACCTTTAGGGATGTTGTGTACCCTATTTGGTTAATGTGTAAGCAACCCTGATGCTCCATATCCCCATCACTATGCAATGCAAGGACATTTAGTGTATGCACTTAGTACTCTTTACATGGAAGGGAGGTAAGGTTCGAAAATACAAAAAAAAAAAAAAAAAAAAAAAAATGCAGATAGTTCTCATACATTTTATTATCGCACTTTGCAGGACCACCTCAATATTTATATGGAGCAAATGAGATAGGAAAAAAAAGAAACAATACAAGTCACCCACAATTCTATCTCTAAGAGGAGCTTATTTACAAAATGAACTTCTCTCTTAACAATATTTTCCAAATATATTTCAACCGCTCCCAGTTTCTTCTTTCCACTGCTTCGAATACATTTTACAGTCAACTCCCTCTGCATTGGGCGACTGTTTGACAGTCAACTCCATTCGACTCTTTTGATTGTCGGTCTGACTGACTGTCCGTCTGCCTGTCTCTCAGTGACATAAGTTTTTCTGCTTTGCTAATCCTCCCCTTTTATATTGGTTTCCCTACAAGGAAGGAAGAAAAAGCAAATCCATTGGACTTGACAGTCAATGGTTTTCTTGAAAGGGTTGGTCACGACCTGGCTGCCCGCAAGCTTCCATTATGCAGCCCCTGAGTCCTTTGGGTTGGTGAGCTGTCAGATTTTCAACTTACATAAAAAAGTAAGATGGAAATTTTTAAGATTCATTTTTCTTTTTAACTTTTTGGTTTTTGTATAAAAAAAAGAACAACACAGAATTGTTTTTTTAAACCATAAAAAATACTTATAAAATGCTTTACACAATTGCTTTAACAACTATTTTCAACTCACTTATACCAACTTATATTAAGATAGGAGGCCTAATAATACAAATTGTTAGGCCATTTGAAAATGCATTGTGGCAATACTTTTTTAAAAATTTAATTTCTTATTGTATTATGATAAACATGAGTTGACACATTACTGTGATATGTTCTACATGGAGGATCACCTAATTGCTACTCAGTGAGCACAAGGCATTTGTTTTTATGTTTTATCAAGGGGAGAAGCATTTCACCTGGGACATGATTTTGTTATTAATTCTGGTGTCACTTTGATTAAAACAACCGGCTTTTTACTTTATTGTTAAATAGAAAACTCACTTTAAAAATTCAGGGACTTAGGTTTATCCCTGAATTAGGGGCAATTCAATTAGCACTTTAGGTGCTAAAGTGAAAACAAGACAATTGGATTTTTTATTTAAAGTATTTTAATTTTTGGAAAAAAGTATTATTATGATCAGGTGGTCTTTGCTTTTTTCTCTCTAATTGGTACTCACAATTAATCAGGAGTTCCTTCTGTGTAGTATTGTAAAATTTAATTTTACCCATTTACGTTTTAGAGGTCAATTGACCAAGTTACTTCTTTCAATTAATTATTCTTTCTATGTAAGTCTGGTTGAGATAAAAGAAGTCTCTTATAAACAGCTCTCTGTGCCCACTTCATAAATCGCTGATAATCCAATCCTGATTACACATTTGAAAATGGCAAAAAGAGGGAAGATGGTTGTAGGTTTAGATGGAGAGTTGTCTGAGAGGATCGAAGTCATGATAGCTCAAGTGGTAGAGCAGCGGCTTATTTAGCCGAAGGTCGTGGGTTCGAATCCCACTCGTTTTATCTCAACCAAGACCTTACAGAGAAAGAATAATTTAATTTTACATTAATGTTTTACAGTTCAGTTTATACACTTTATGATTACATTTAAAAAAAATAAAGACCTTGTAACGATTGTGAATGAACCTGAAATAACTAAAAATATAATTTATTTACAGTTGGTATTTTGCTTTTCTGTTCAACTTTAATCTTAAAATGTTTTGAAGCTCTTATTAAGTTAAAGGATATCAAGTTTTATTTATTATTTAGTTTTCTTTTTTGTAAAGATTCCAATACGTATTTATTAAGAATATATTGTTTTTGCAGCTGCTGGTCAAATACCAGCAAATATTGTCGCTGACACACCACAAGCGGCTGTGCCTGTTGTTGGTTCAACAATAACTAGGCAAGCAAGGCGTTTATACGTTGGGAACATACCATTTGGAGTGACAGAGGTCTTTTTTTTTCTTTTGAGATAACGTTGCAATATTGAATCTGTTGATTTCTTCACTTTATATTTTATTTTCCAGGAGGAGATGATGGAATTTTTTAACCAACAAATGCATTTGTCTGGGTTGGCTCAGGCAGCTGGCAACCCCGTCCTTGCGTGCCAGATCAACTTGGATAAGAACTTCGCATTCCTTGAAGTAATTGAATGATTCCAGTCCATATGTTGGTTCCATATTTATTGATTGTCCATTTTTCATTTCAGTTCCGATCAATTGATGAAACGACACAAGCAATGGCATTTGATGGTATTAGTTTCAAAGGACAGAGTTTGAAAATCAGACGCCCTCATGATTATCAGCCGACCCCTGGCATCGCAGATGGAGGTGCATTAAATGTGCCAGGTCTGCTTGGATCCTCTGGTTATTGTTTTTCTTTTATTTTCAATTTTATTACTTTAAGGAATAAATGTTATGATATATGCGATGGTTTGCGTGTGCAATTATTTTATTTTAAATTTAACTCATTACAAGAGATTGGCTGTTTTGAATGTGGGGGATTAGTTGAATGATCACTTATTAGTTAATCTTTTCTATTTAGAGAGAATTTTGAAAGTTTGTGCCTAATGCATTTAATACACTCAATTTTTAAAAACAATTTTTTTAATTAAAATTAATTGCTTTAGCATTATTCTATTTCATTAAGATATAGACAAATAAATTTTGCACATAAATTTGTTATAAAATTACACCTTTTTGGGCAATTATATAGTTAATATTATCTGCGCATAGAACATCCACTTTAAAAAAAAATGCACATTTTATTCATTAATAAAATGTATACAGATATACATACATCCATCATATATACATATATGATAAAAATCTAACAACATGCCCAAAATGTTTTTTCCAACACTAAAAATTCTTTTCTTGATTAGTATGTCAATCCTTGATCAATTAGAATTTGTAATTAAAAAATGTTAATATTTCCATATAGCATAATTTATGTTGATTCTGTTATATTGTCTTAAAAGCTTGATGATTTTCCAGGTGTCATAAGCACTGTTGTGCCGGACTCACCCCACAAAATATTTATTGGTGGGTTACCAAATTACCTTAATGAAGACCAGGTGAGTAGTTTTGATTGTTTTCTAATGTTGATCATAGGATAGTAATTGAACATTCTGCCATCAGTGGATTATGTGTATCTATTATAATTCAAATGGTTTAAAAATGTTATTGCATCAATCGATTAGAACATAGTCCACTGTTTGGTGATCAAAAGGTATGTGTTCCTCTACAGCTACTAGGAAAGAGACTTCAGCCAAACTCCGTCGGATTTTTTTACAGGTTTGCCGAAGGAATATTGTCACCATTTTATAAATTTTATTACTTTTTTTTTTTTTTTTTTTTTTTTTTTTTTTTTTTTTAACAACGAAAAGTGTATTCAGTAAGTTTCCAATTTTTGGAGCAAATTCTTTTTTGCAGAGAGATTTTCCTTTCAGGGTTTTTTTTCATTTTTCAGGGATTTTTGTTTATTTCAGTTTAGGTGCAGTCAACTTCAAGAATCTGGATTCTTCTCCATTTTAAATTATTTTACAGGTCACAAATATGTTTTGAAGATTTGTTAAATCTGAAAGCAAATTTTATTATGACAATTTTGACAAAAAATATCCCCTTTTTATAATTTAACTAGGGTAAATTGTCTATTTTGATCAAATACTTAGCACAGTCATATATTATGTTTTTCTTTCTATCTTTTTTTTATTAAAGAGTTGACTGATTCACGTGTATTTTTGCGTTATAGCAAGGTATCATGAGTAATAAATGGGGTCTACTCTATAGTACTGCAGAAGCCACCATAAGGCAAGTCTCATGCTATTTTACATTGAGTCTATCAACATTTTCCAGGGCCCAATTTATTTGCTATTCAGTCTCCTTTATTTCTACTTTATATTTTCACTTATATGTCATACTGGCCAATTTAAAGACGACTGAGTAGCAAAGGTTAGACAGTTCTTCTGAAAATGAGGTAAGGAGGATAGTTTTAATTTATATCCAATTGAAATTCCAATATTTTTTACAAGGACTGGGATTTTTCTTTTTTTATCTGCATTGGTGAGTTTGATACAAAAAAAATATTTACCTAAATACAATCCAAGAAATAAATTAACATTTTGTTTTTCAAAATGGTAATGAAAAATCAGCAATAATGTTTTAATATAGCAAAATACTTGGAGAGGTTTCATATTTCCATTGAAATAAATGCTAAAATGCAGCGTTGGTTCAGGTCAAGGAGCTTCTGATGTCATTTGGTCAACTCCGAGCTTTCAATTTGGTCAAGGACTCTGCTACTGGACTCAGCAAAGGCTATGCTTTCTGCGAGTATGCTGATATTATAATGACAGATCAGGTTTGTAAACTAAACTCTTTACGATTTCAACCATGCTTGAAAAAGAAACTCCTTAGATCTCCTTCCTGAACCGTATGTGAGTTTCCTGCATTTTTTTATCCATACAATAATGATACACACTTCTTAAGAAATGTTTGTGTTGAAAAAGGGATTTTAGGGTTGATAAATCTTTTTACTCTTATTTCCTTAAGTAGAATAACTCACTTTCTCCATGTGTTACATACATATGCCGTGATATGATAAACTTTAACAACAAAACAATTTTGGTAAACGAGCTTCATGTAAGACTTAATCTTTATAGAAATAACATTGTGCATTAGGCACTTAATGTTTATATTAATGTAAATGTTATTATGACAATAATTTCCAATCTTAATTTTTAAAAAATCAAGCCTATGAGAGTAGTTGTGAAGTGATTTATACTAGAAAAATTTACTTTGTAGTTACTACTCATTTCATCATAGAAGGCTTTTTATTTTGTAACAGTCAGATAGTTTCTAAATTTCTTTCCAGCAAGTCCACAAGACAAAATATTTTTACTTCCAATTTTTTATGTCTTTTAAATTATTTATTTATTTTATAGTTATTAATTTCATTGTGTATTTATTCCTAAATGCTGCAAGTAAATAAAAATAATTACTATCAACTGTGACTTATGTAACATCAGCCCTTGTAAATTAATTATTGGAATAGACCTTCAATTTATTTTCTGAAGTATGAACTATCAATTTATATTGCTTATAAGGCTTAAGGTAACCTTGATTAAATGTTAATAATCAAGTAAATTTTCCAAAATTAACTAAAGTATATTATGACTTATGCAGAGTATTTGAATTTAAACTTTAAATATTTTTCTTATAACAGCTATTAGAGGAAATGCTGACAACAATCTTCCAAATATAAACCTTGTAATTCTATAAAAAGTGAGGTATAAAATATAGGTGCTTTATATAACAGACTTGTTATAATTCTGTAATACTGTAATTTGTTCTTTGTTTGTAACTATAATGATACTTATGGTGGTAAATTTCTTTTATTTCAATTTTTCAGTTTCTTTCAACTAATTATCAGAATAAAAACCAAGTCATTTGCTTTCTAATATGGCTGTTAAAGGGAGTAGTTCAAAGAAAATATTAAGGTCGATTAAAAAAATCCCTTTTTTAGTACAAATCATTTATTCAGTTCATCAATGTAATTGGGAATGGAGAAGGAATGAGTTGAATTTTTCTGCATGTAACATTTTTTTAGGAATTCGACGTTGAAATAGACTGAAAAAATGAAACGGTTCAATGATTTGTATGCTGAAAGAACAAAAACAAAATGCTGGTAAACATTTGCATTTTATGAATGTTGTAGGCGATTGCTGGTTTAAACGGAATGCAGTTGGGTGACAAAAAACTGATTGTCCAGAGGGCTAGTGTTGGAGCCAAAAATACGATACTTGGCCAGCAGCTGCCTGTCACCATTCAAGTCCCAGGGCTTAATCTAGTTTCTGCCTCCGGCCCTGCTACTGAGGTTAGTGATTTCTTTTGACTTTACTATATTATGATGATAACTGTACAAAATTTTAGGTGCTCTGCCTGTTGAACATGGTCACTCCTGAAGAGCTGAAAGATGAGGAAGAATATGACGATATACTTGATGATATTAGGGAAGAATGTAATAAATACGGCATTGTCAGATCACTTGAAATTCCGAGACCCATAGAAGGTGTTGAAGTTCCAGGATGTGGGAAGGTCCGTTCTTTCTAGTTTTTAAAATTATTATTTTTTTTTTTTTCAAATGTTGCATCTCTGTTTTAATACTATAATGTTCAATTTTCAGGTATTTGTCGAATTCAATTCAATTATAGACTGCCAAAAAGCACAACAAGCACTTACGGGAAGGAAATTCAGCAATCGGGTCGTGGTGACATCCTATTTTGATCCTGATAAATATCATCGACGAGAGTTTTGAACTTTTTGACATAACAATTTTTATTTACAATTATAGACATCCCTATGAAATATTCTTCTGAAAGTATTGAAGTTTGCTTGAAAGTTACTTTAAAATGATAAATGTAACATAAATGCAAAGGATGATTGTACATACATGTTACACTATTTATTTTTTGTTTCAATTTAGAAAGTATGCCAATAACAATACAGCTTCTTTTGTGTTATTTTGCCTAAATTTTGTTCCCTGAGTTTAAAGGACAATGATAATTACATACACAGAAACTTTTGTAACTATTTTATTGTTTTTTTATTTATTTTTATATTCCCTGAGTTCTTCCTTTTTATAAATTGGTTTTTGAAACTTAAACACAGTACAACTGACTCCTTTTAAGTAAACTCACCATTGTTAATTTTAGAGGTATTATGTTGGGTTTTTACTTGTAAAAAGAATTACTGTTTAACTTGTGCTGTAGCAAGAACTGTTTTTTATTGCTTTACTTTTAACTGAGAGTAATATTTTATGTAATTCATTTGTTAGGGATATAATCCCCATACTCTACCCTAAAAGTGCGGAGCCCTTTTTTTAAGCAGTGCAAGACTAATCATGAAGCTTAAAACACAAAGTTGTCACTATGAAATAATTGTGACATTTGATTTGAGGTGCTTTTTGCTTGCACCATGTCAAGTATTATAGCAAAAAGTGTCTAATTATGTAATGCTTTAAATATAGATTTTTTAGGCCAATGTTCCTTGAAAAAAATTAATACTTAAATAAATTAATGTAGTTTGTATGAAATAATGATAAGTATGTGCATAGAATGAAATAATAGTATTTAATTCAAAAATAATACAACAGAAAAACAAAAGTATATTTCACAAAAAAAAGTAGGGCGATTGAATCATCTCACAGGATATCTAAAACCTTATTTCTTCTTTTAAGTACCCTGTAGTTAATAATTATATAAATTTAAGTTTTAATTATTCTGGTGACACGGTATCAAAACGATTATATTTTCAATATTGAACATGACCTGATTTTTTGCACCGATTACCATATCAGCATTTACAGCTGTCCTACAGCTTGTACATAGCTTTAGAATTGTACAAAAAAGGTGCTGTTTTCAATATACATGAAAGGTGCATCAGTTCCTCTTGAGTTATCAGATACTTCAGTCTATATTGAAGTACAGAATACATAAAAAAAATGAACATGAACCTGGTCAGGGGTGTTTCTTTTGTATGTTCAGCCGAATTTTTGTTTTGTGTATAGGTCATTTTTATAGTGTAATAGCATTTCTTATTGGGAAGTATGACGTGCTTGTTTTCTACATGGATTAAGATTAGACTGTCCTACTTCCCAGCAAGTCGGCTCTAATGCATCTTGAAGCTGATGAGACATCTAGATTTTTTGAGTAAAGTACCATATTTGAATATTGACTATACTTTTCGAGCTTAATTCAGGTTTAAAATTTTGAAAATTTTTCATCTGAGTCGAGACTTTTTTCGATCCAACAGTACAACACTGTAAGGTGGAAACAAGCGCTGTTACAACGATATAGACTGGCGAGTCGCGTTGTTTTTAGAACTTGGACAGAAACTTTTATGTCCCTGATTTACTCATAACTGTTCAGATTGCACTTTGCAGTGTTTTGTACAGTGTGGAGCTAGACGTTTCCTATTGATTGAGAACACGGTCTTTATTTTGATATGGAGAACCGTTTGTTAACGTGAGTATATAGAATATATTCTTCTATTCTTAAAATATTTAAAGTGACTGGTCGTTAAAGAAATCTCGTCTTTTCGATTATAGAAGGCTGTCGTTTTGTAAATAATTCCGAATTTTACGAAAGTATTGTATTTATGGGAGAATTCGTTCTGACGGTAACATCCGTGGACTTCCAAATATCGAATTTTGAGAAGGCCCGATGTTCTGAATAAGAGACGATTTACTTTTCATTAGTTCATTTTGTCATTATGCCTAGCTTGTAAAGCCTGAAGAATAAATGGACGGGTTTAAACTCAACTCAAGTTAATATTATTACTCATTATCCCCTGCCTGGCATTCTCAACACGACAGACAAGAATGACACATCTACATGGAAAACAAACACTTTGAGCTCTGGTACGATAAAGAAAATGTTTTTCTAAACCCTACGTCACACCAGACCGCATCTCAAGATCTCCGCATAATCATTCACTAACGGTCACTAAACACCACACAAACATTCATGTTGACAAAACACAGGACACATAAGTGGAAAGATGAAAAAGTGTAGGAGTGGACTTCATTCTCGACTGGTGGAAAACGATAATTCTACTTTCAAATGGGTAGAAGAAATTAAAAAGTCAGTTTGTGAGTAGAACATCCTCTCTTGTTGACTTAACCAACAGTGAATTGATGTACTCACTCAATCTTAAATATTTCTATAGACTTGAGTGGAAGGCACAGTTGGTACATTGATTTAGTGAAACTTCTATATAACGAAAAATCTTGGGGAATGAAATATAGTCCAATAAACAGAGGTGCCCGCTATTGGGCAGGGGAAAAATATTTCGTATTTCATTTATTTAGCATTTTAAGCCATTTTTATGATTGAGGGTTTCTGAAATTCACTGAGCATACTTTCACATAAGAGCAAAGTCAAAGTGAGGAACACACCCAATGCGATGCAATGCAATGTGATATAATCCAACGCTACCTGATGCCTTGTAGCATGTTGATGGGGTGTTTGCACTGTTTGACACAAGCACATACTACGCGATAGACAATAAGTGTATATCAGTAGTATTCACGAAATGGATAGCCCTGAGGAAGAATGTGAGGAAGATATGGAAGTAATGGCAGCAGCAGTGATCTGCTTGCTTTCAACAGTGAACAGAAAAATTTGGGTTCATGCAGAGAATCTCACTACAGGTGTATCTAGCATATATCATATCTTGTTTTCTGTATTAGAAAAAGAAGAAAATACTGATCGATTCATTATTTCATTATTTTGTATTACATATGACAAAATATTAATTTGATTAACTGCATGGAGCAATAAAGGAACGTTTTAAGAAAACTAATACGAATTATTATATTACCTTGCATTATATACCATTTACCATATAAAACATGTGTATACTGACAAAGGCAAAAAGCCAGACACTAGACGTATTTTATTGCTTATTTCAAACTATATGTATTTTTATTATTATAATTACAACATATGTTAATATAAGCCAAAATAAACAAGATCAGAATTTCATGAGTTTTAATTTAAAAAATTTAATTAAGTTGGTTTGAAAGAAAATTTATCGACACACTGTGAAAATCATTCAGAGGTGGTTAAGGTGAAATTAGTAGAGTTTAATATGGCATAACAACAGGGATATTTGGTTTTTAATTCAGAATGTACATGAATATATTTTAGTTTAAAACGTGCTCAATTTTGTTTTAACAAAATTAAAGATAGTTGACATCAGAAACCAAAAGGCTATCAGACATTTGTAGAACAAAAGAATAAATTGTGAAGTATGATTTTGAGGTCTGCAGGGTATGCACCTGTAGTTTGGTCATTTCTAATCATTTTGGTCTGTCAGACATGTTTCGACTTTTCACCATCTTCAGACAAAACACATCTGACAGACCAAGTGCAAAACTATAATGTGAAAGTTATAAGCAACAAAGATCTCTCGAGGGTGCTCAAGAATCTTTGAAAATATCAAAAAGAAATTTCTGAAAATTGAAGAGGAAGGAAGAATGTAATAATTTTAACAGGTAAAAAAAAACAAAAAAAACAATTGACATCATTCAGAATAATTCCACATTACTTTATAGTTTAAACATCTTTGTTACATTGGGTATAATTTTCAATGTAACGTAGTAGCATTCTTATCAAACATTGGTGGTCTCAACATGTTTTGTTATAACCAGAGTGTTATTCAATAAACATTGTAGTAAACACCAGCAGGTTTTAGGTACATCACGTCTCATAAATGCACATAGTTACAGAAATAGTGGATCCTATAAAATATAAGTTAAAAAAACTTGTGTTTTATATTATATTTTTTAATATGTAATTTCAGCGGAAAAGAGTTGATAGATAAAAAATACTGCGGGCCGAAAGACTTCCCGACTGTGGGCTGGAGGGAATATCGGCCGTCAGATACTTGGCTGGAAAAGAAACAAATTCAAGCTTGTCTGGAGGACAAGTTATCACTTTTGAGATCGGAGAGAATTGATAAAGTGTAAATTATTATTTTATTGTGCTATTGTTGCTTGTCAACTGAAATTTAATTTTTGCTTTTCTTAAAGTGCCAATCTAGCAACAGCTGAGTGGCTCCCAGAACACCAAAAGGCAAAAGTAACTAAAAAAGTTGGAAAACACTGGGATGTGTTTGGCCATTATAAAGAAAATGCTGATTGGCTTTATCCAGAGGAAGCTTTATTTTTAATAGAAACAGTAAGTAATTTTGATATAATTATAGACATTTTTACATATAAATGTGTTATGAGTAGTATGTAATTTCATTCAGTGTAATCATTAATTTTAGAATTATTTGTGGTTATTATTTAGCCTTAATTTAGACCATTTAACATATAGTTTGCTTTATTTATATTATTATCATAGGTATAGAGAATGTATGTTTACATATCATTACAAGATATTGATCCATTAGGTCTATACATACATATATTATGTAATTTCATTATTTTTTATCATCCTATAGTCACTCTTTTGGTCTGTCAGTACCATAAATACACTCTGATAACGTGTGGAATGTAAATGTGCCTGAATTTTAAATTTACGGCAAATTATATCAATTAACTGTTAATGGTTAATCATATCCTACAGGCTGCTCAATTCGGTGGTGGTTTTTGGATTTTAATTTATTAAAAGTCTTCCAATCTACGGTTTATATATTCCAAAAAAAATTTCCAGAGGAAGTGAGCCATTGCTGCATTAGTAGACTGAAGGAGCAAGGTTGTCTGAACTGTGGGGTAGAAATTTTATACTGAACTGTTTCAGAAAGTTTTTGCTTTGTATGTGACAACAAAATTAATTTCTTTTCACCAAAGCAGATCTGCTATCTCCGAAACCTTGTTTGAGCTCAGATTTGACAGAACTCCCTTGTAGAAGAAACTCATAGTGGATAAGTACTTTACATTGACAACAATTTTTGAGACCTTTTTTTAAAATAGTAGTACAGTGAAACCTACATCACACCAGACCGCATCTCACGATATCTGAATAATTATCAATCAACGGTCACTAATCTCTACACATGGTATTACAGGTTGATCTACCTACCAGATTGAGTCAGTTCTGTTCGGCACTGTTCTGCCTTTTTTTTTTTTTTTTTTCACTTCCCTTAACTTTTCAAATTGTTGAATATTTAACTTTTATAAACCTAATTTGGTTGAAAAGTTGACAATTTCTTTGTGTAGGATAAGCATGTCTTGCAGAGCACTGCTTTTCAATACAGATGGCTATCATGAGCTTACCTTTCTTGGCAGGCTTGTAGGCAATCCACTCAAGAATCCGCGATCAGGTCGATGTTAGGGCACAAATTCAAAAATTCAGTGATTAGTTGACAACTAGTTTTTGATTGTGTGTTGGAACAAACCAATTGAGTGTATTCTCTTCTTCAAATTCTTCAAAGTAATAAATAAGTAAAATAAATAAATAAAATAAATAAATAAAATAAATAAATAAATAAAATAAATAAAATAAATAAAATAAATAAATAAAATAAATAAAATAAATAAAATAAATAAAACCTGACTATAAAACGTGTAACAAACAAGAATTTCCGCTCCGGGAAAAAACCGAAGTTTTGAGGTATATTGGTTTAATAAGTGTATGACAGTGGTGTGTTGTGGAAGCTAGGACGTCCCTTTGTCAGCCCAGCGTTTTTTGAAGTGTTTTTTGGTGAGGTGAGTTCAACTGGATAATTTTTTTGGACGATTAGACAAGTCTGCTGGGTGCTAGTTTGTAGCTCGCATTCCCTATTGGGAAGTGTTGGGAAGTGTGGGGCCTGAATCTCTCTAGAAACCTGGTTTCAGGGTTGGGCAAGATTTATTTATTTAGTTTTTCTCTTTTTATTTAAACGCCATCTGTTTTTCAATTTTTCAAAATTTCCCAAAATCATTTCAAAGGCCCTCTCGGCCCAGTGGGCCGAGAAGGTTTTCGAAATCGATTACCTCCTCTAAATAGGACTCCCTCTCCTGTTGTTTGTACGTCTGGGGCAAGACATTTTATCATTTGTCGATTGGATAGGAAAGATAATGGCGGCCTTCACTCACTATCGCCAATTAAGATATGTAGAGTAATAAATAGAGAAGTAGGGAAAGTAGTAAACGTCAAAAAAGGCCGTGACGGTTTAATTTATATTGAAGCGTTCAATGAGGAACAAGGGGATAAAATATTGAAAATTAAAAGTATAGAAAATATACCGGTAAAGGTCGAAAGAAATGTTAAATTGAACACCTCAAAAGGTGTAATTTCTTGCTGGGACTTGAAAGAGTGTCCCGATGAAGAACTTCTTGAAGAATTAAAAGGTTCTAATGTTACAAACCTTCATCGATTAAAAAGAAAAGATGGTAGGATATCTTTTTCATGGGTTGTAACTTTCAATACCCCGTGTCCTCCGAAAGAATTGCATGTTGCCTATATGAAGATAGCCGTAAGGCCATTTATTCCTGCTCCCCTTCGATGTTTTAAATGTCTAGATTTCGGACATACAATTTCTTCGTGTAAGAAGAAGGTCTTTATGTGTGGATGTGGGCTGGAAAGGCACGAAAAGGCTGTTCCTTGTCAGTCNTATTATTATTATTAGCCATACAAGCCTACGGGGAATTTTTAAATTATGGAACAAAATTCACAATTCTAATTAAAAAAAGAAACAGAAATAAATTTTATAAATTTATTAAATTTTATGCAATTTAAAATGGGAATTTTGTATGCATTTGGCCTTCCGAATTAAGAATTTTAAAAAGAAAAATTAAAGCTTGGATGGCAATAGGATAAATAAGATTACGAGTGAATGTTTGGAGTCAGAGCTTTATAGCACTCAGAAGAGATATAGCTAACCTAAGATAGAAGGTTTGGATGTTAGGGCGTGAAATGACCTTAGCCGTTAAAACGCCCTTAAAAATTAATAATAATAATAATAATAATAGTAATAAATTCGAAAAGCCTTTAGAAAACTTGGAAATAGATCTTATTTTTTCCTCTTTCTGTCAGCTCTAAATAGACACCTTTGGTGGCTTTAAATTAAACTTGTTTCATAAGTTTAGTTTAAACTTGTTTCTTCTTAATAGAAGAGTAATAATTAGGCTTATATGGTACAGAAAAGATAATAAGTTTTTATTTTAGATTGTTGGATGTGTTAGTATGAAGCCCAACTTAAAACAAAATATTATGTAACCATTAGATTTCAAACTATAACAAATATTTTATAATTTTATTTTCAGAATGTCTTGCAACTATTGTATGGAGAGGTACCAGTTAGTGTTGAGCAGGGTTATCTGTTGCTCATCGGAGATGATGTCACACTTGCAGAGTACAGAGTTTATTCGTTCTTATTAAAGAGGGGCTATAAAGTTACCAGGCATTGCAAAAATATTAAAAGAACAAAATATAAAAAACAAGTCCCTCTTGATCAAGTTTTTCAAAGTAATAAATGTGACCAATCGTTGCAGAATTTGGATGTCTCGAGTAAAGGATTGAAAGATGTAAGCTCATGTGGTGCTGAAAGTGATTTGGAAAATAAAAATATTGAGAACAATAAAAAGACAGACCAACAAACAAAAAACGTACCTGCTTCCAAAGCTTTACTTGATGACGTGTATGTTGTTGAAGATTCAGTTGAAGTTATAGAAGTTGAAGATAGTGATACTTCAATGAGGGAAGTAAAAAAACTGGAGAATAAAGTTGATAAAGTTGAAAATGAACAAGAATCAATTTTGATTGAAGACGAAGATGATGACGATGATGTTGACATAGTGTTTGTATCTAACAACTTATGCAGCAGGTGTTGGTACCCTCCTTTAACCAAATCACTCATTCCACAAAATTGGCAAGATGAAGGAAATTCAGAACAAAGTATAAAATATGTAAAAAAATTTAAAGAAAGTGATTATCTTGATTTATCAACAAAAACAACCAGTGATATTTTAAAAACAATAGGTGGCAATACCCAAAAAAATTTATTATTTGCTCCTGATCAAAGATTTCTTCCAGATAACATAGAAACAAAATATTCAGTCTATAAAATAAATCTGCATCAGTTAGATGAGGAAGAAAATAGAAACAATGATAAAGGGAAAAATACAGTTTCAACATCCCGAAATGTTGAAGACATAAGAAGTTATCAGTTACCATCATACATGGCTCGGAATAATTTGGATGATGACATTAGCGCTGATAATCCAAACAATTTAAATGAAAACCATCAAAGTTTTATGGGTGCAGATCAGAGTATTTCATCTGAACCAAATTATAACGTAAATCACCAGTATTCAACCAGAGCACATTTTAACTCTAGTATGCCGAACTTTCAAAATAATCATTTAAATGAGCAAGCTTTCCAGAATGTTGGTGTCCGAGACCACAATTTTCGGCCAACCCATTTCAGAAGTCATAACTATTCCAACAATTTCCAACCGATGCACAGCCAAGTGAACAGTAGGAACAGCCTGCTGATGCGAGCATGCGAAATGCAATTAATGGCAGCCAATATGATGCAGACTGCATCACAAATATTAGCAGCTTGTAATCGGCCACAAACTTATAATCATCAGCAGATGCCCTTTGTGCCTCAGAATCAACTTGCGTTTACATCAAATCAAATGGTCCCTTTTACAAGACCGGTATTCACCAATTATCCAAATGTGTTCGGTAACAGACACTTTTATTATACCAACAATAGTAACAATGGTTATCAGCAAAGGCAGTGGAGTCAGAGGTATCATGGCCGATGTTCTGCACGAAAAAGACCAAGAAAGTATTTTCCTCTTATGAACAATGGAAAGAATAATGCACCTTCATCGTCAAAATCAAACAATGAAGATGTTATTGTGCTAGACTCTGATGAAGAAGAAAAAGGGTATAAGAGACATATTAAAAAACCTCATACTTCAGCCAACAATACAGATAAAAAAAAAAGTTTCCCGGTAATAGACATTTCTAATGAAAATCATTCTGATGTTGAAATAATCTTACCACCAAAAGACATTGTGGATTTAACGAGTACCTCTTGTAGTGAAATTACTCTAAATAAAAATATCAAACCTGAATTTCCGACTGATGGATTAGTGAAGGATGAATCTGACGCAACAAGTGTACAAACTAGCAATATACCTTCGTCAGAACTGTACAGTCAAGATAATCAAGACATTGTGATTGATGTTGTATCAAATGCTGGACAAAATGATGATGAAGTTACAACAAAAAGTGATAGTTCTATCAATGAAGAAAATAATTATAATAAAGAGAGCAGCAATGAAAAGTATATGGAAGAACCTTCAAATTGGGAACAGTATAAAAGTTATTCTCCACCGGCAGGTTCAAAAAATAATCTGCCTCTTATTGATTTAGACAGAAATATTACAAAAGGTACTTCTACTAGAATTAAACAAATTTAAATTTCAATATATTAATTCTAACCAATTCTGTTAACAGCTTCTGTATATGAGACACTACACTTGTTCAATCCCATTGAAAATTCACCCTCAAAAGGAAAGCAGTTGAAAGTATCATTTGATACATACCTTCCTACCGACCATTTTAAAAAATCTTTTAAAATGTTGCCAAAATTTAGGGTAATTGTGATGAGGTGAGAATATATAAACTATGTAACTTAGAATTTTTTCTTCATATTTATAATCATTTTTCAAATTCATTTTTACAGTGAAGAAGATCTTATGCCGACAATGTATGATTTGGATGCTTTAAAAGAATTTTATCAAGATAAGATCCCGTTTTTATTTGCTGTTGTTTTAGATCAGACGATTAGCTTTTACAACTATGATCATATATCATTGCCTACATACTTGTAAATTAAGTGTGTGAGAGAGAGACAATGCATGAGTGAAAGAGAGAGTGAGAGAGATACATACATTTTCATCCTGTCTACATGGCAAAATAATAATAATAATAAATTAAAAAAAAGGATCAGCCTAATCACTTCAGTGGCCAAAGAGAGGGTTTTTAGCCAAAATTTTATCTGCACAGGTTTCAACAAAAATTGAAATTGTTGTAGGTAAAAAGAACCAAAATAAAATGTATTTGCTTGATTTGTTGACCTGCCTTTTGAAACACTTCATTGTCTAAGAGAAAGAGAAACAGAGAGAGAATGAGAGGAGGGGGAGATATAACGAACTTGATGTAATAACTAAAGATTTAAAATTGTTTCAACATTTTTAATCCTTATTTGTTAAAAATGTTTCTCCATTTATTATTTTTATACTTAGTTATTAACAAATATTGAATTTCAAACAATCTAACTACAACTTACCACATGTAGGCATTATTGTACATAACGTTGATTGTTTTTATTTACAGATTTTATGTCAAATGTAATTTTGGTAGGTTGTTTTATAATGGTTAAAAGAAGAAAAAACTGTGGTGATTATCTTAGATCTAGTCAAGGTATGCAAGCACTAATTATAAGTTTATATTATGCCTTTTCTATAAATATTTTGTTATAAAATAATTTTAAAATGAAAATATATCGCTACTCTCTCAACTAATGGTTTTCTTCCCTTCCAAATCAATTTTAGGCAATGAATATTTAGACAATTTTCTCTTAAATAATTTCATGATAACTGATCTGAAGATGGTATTTATTAAAACACGCATTGTTATAAGTAAATTGGTTAAATTCTGTTTGAATTAGCAGTTGGGAAAATATCGCCTGTATTATTTGGAATAGTAATGTACTGAGATGAAAACGGCTAACAAATTGAGTGAAAACAACTTACAAATAACAAATATTTTGTAAACTATTTTTGTTTACAAATTTATTAGTTTACATCTCACCGGCCATGTGGTATAGATATCTCACAGCTTGTAAGTAGTATCATGTCATTCATTTTGCCAGTCAGACGAATAAAATCTTTTTTGGAATTGTGCGGAAAAATCTTCGCTGGGAACTTACTTTACTAATGTACCCACGTTGCTGTTTTGGTATATTTGTCTGCTTTGTGACCAAAAAAAAAAAAAAAAAAAATGGGCATGAAATATCAGAACTCTACAAAGAAAGAGTAATTATTATACAGATTTTTCTGTATATCAAGTGATGATTCAGCGTATAAAACTTGCAATTTAATAGTATATAGGATAAAATGAAAACAATTTGTCTTTTGTTATAAATAATATTATAATTCATTAATAAATGTGCTTGTATAGGACAATAAATAAAGCCAAAATATATGACAACATATAAAATTTAAAAACCAAATAACTAAATAAAACTCTATAAAAGCTAACATATAAAATAGCAGATCATGTTTTATATAAAAAAGAAAAATACAATTAAAAAATGAAAGTTAAAAAGACATTTATTCAATTTGTAATAATTCTTAAATAGCTTCCATGTTTTGGAAAGAGCAAGAAATACTGTCAAATTTCTTTTTGTTTTTATTTTATTTATTATATAGACAACAATTAATGATCCTTAAAAATAAACTTTGGCATAAAATGTTATTACTGGATTGTTATTGAAACAGTGCTAATGTACAAAACATAAAACATGGAAGGATGTTTAAAAGATGCTTTTTTATATATCTGTTTATAAATTTTAACACTAAAAAAAAGCAAATAATTTTTGATATAGCCATTGGTTTGATTTACTCGTTATTTTTAAAAAGTAGCCTGCAATCTTTCATTTTTACATGAATATTTCACTACAAGCAATCGTTTGTATATATATATATATATATATATACAGTACATTAATTTATTTAAATGATCAATAATAGTTTAATTTTTAGATACTGGATATAATAGAAATTATTTTTTCTGTTTGATATGAAATTTTTGCAGTACATGTATCACATTATATTTACTACTATTACAAGAATAAAACTTTTCCCTTCATGTCATAACTTTTTTTCAGTGATGCATCTTATTGCTTGTTTATTAGTTATTTTTAAAATAGGAGAAATAAAAAGAAGACATAACTAAGAACACACATATGTGTCCCATTGTTTGATTAAAACAATGGAATAATACACTTACTAAAACTAGTTAAATGTATATAAATTATAACATTAAATTGTAAAAAGCTGAGAATCCAATTAATTGAAATGGAAGAAATAAGGGCAAAATTAGGCTAGAAATTAGTTCACGAATATATATAAAACACAATGCACAAAACGTAATTATAAATATGGCTTACAAATGTGAAAAATTAAAAATAAATAAAAATTGTTTCATACTACCCTATTGTCTTGCATCGTAAATGCTATTATCATAAATGTTCGAATTCTTCTCATTCAGTCAGTTAAGTATTTCTAGAATGTAAGTTTCATCTTCCCAAGTCATTAAAATATTTATTTAAATGTTTCTGCTGCTTTTTAAAACTATTTACTTTGTGCTTTAAAAAGAAATTATGAGAAGACATTATATTTACAAGAAAGAAAAGCAAAAATTTCATTATGCTGAGAGGTTTATTTGATTTTTTTTAAAACAAATACAGTAATAAGGTTAAATTTTCTCAAATTATATTGTTTTTTGATAATTACAACTTTGGCACAAAATTTTTGCCTTTCATTCCACAATTCAAATCTTATTAAAACGCGTAACCTAACCGTTGAGCTTTTATTTGTGTCAATACTGTCAAAAGAGAGCAATAAAAGATTTTAAAAAAATTGAAAATAGCAACCCAAGATTAAAATTCAAAGCAATTTTGAGATTCACTCTGTATTATATTTTAACAGTACGATGATAAAAATGTACAATGTTATTATTTGTTAATCTTGCTTGAGTAAAGAAGCCTTTGCCAACAGCTTTCTATGGTTTATTTTTTGTTGTTACTTCTAATAGCATCTATAGATACTTTTGTTATAAATTGGTATTACACAGTTGTACCATAAGCGGAGAAAACGACACGAGTCGAATCTGAATCAAGGGTGATGTCTTCTGGAGAAGCCAGATCTACTCTGACAGTAGTTGATAGTTTTTTGCTTCGATTTGTTGACCAATCTGCCCACGGTTCTCCGACATTTTGTTTGCTGCCTAACGAACCCGAACTGCTATTGGTGTTGCTTAAAGTATCAACACTATCTCCTTCCCCACCACCTCTGTACCTAGCTACAGCTCCTTCTTCTGATCCTTCTTCCAAACCCCTGAAAGTTCATTATACATTTATTTGATAAATATTCATTAAAGGTACTTTTTTATTATATAAATAAAAGTCTTCTGCTTCTCAATCTTTTTAGCTTTCTGGAAGTGTTGCATGCTTCTCTAAATAAATACACATCCTCTCACCTCACAATTAAAAAAAATAAATTATCCCTTCTCTAAAACACACATCCTCTCAACTCACAATTCAAAAAAAAATTAACTTACCTCAAAATATGTTTGCAAGAATCAGAATCTAAAGGTATTGGTGTATCTGTGTCACGATTATAGATCGTGATGGCAATATGAGCAGGATGAGGGATTGGAAGGGGTATGATGAGCTTCTCTGCATTGTATGTGTGATCTGGTCTTTTCCATGGCCTCCATAATGTCCATGCTTTTGTATTTATGGTTGTCTGTATCATGGACAATCCTGTTCCAGCATCTCTGCTGATGAAAATAAAGTTTATAGGCCCTGAACGTTCACATATAAAAAAATTTCCTACCTTGTTTTGGTGTGATGGATCGGTCTATGGCGAGGGTTGAAAGATGATACGTCAAGGAATGGGGAGTGGACCTGAATGTTAGCTCTAGGAGCATATACGGGTCCAAGCAAATCGAGACCTCCGGCTCCTCTCACAAGTTCTGTGTATCGTCCCAAATCAACCTGAGGCGAAGGCTGAAAAACAGATAGATTATTAATATAGGTTAAATAGTTGGAATCTGTTTACCTATACCTCTAGCCTAAAACTGGTATCATTCTCATCTAAAGGAGTCAAAAAATCAAGGCTGAACATATCTGAATATAAAAGGGCAGCAAGGCCAGCCCAGTCATTCAAGGTTAAAGCTTTACTTTCCCAAAATTCTTGTTCTGTCATTTTTAATCTCCAAAAAACATGAGAGGGATAAAATCTTTCTAGCATCAATGCTCCTTGTTGTATAGCAATCTATAAATAAATAAATAAATAATTAAAAATAAATAAATAAAACATTGAAACTTTCATGGTATTGACTTTTAATAAAAATTTAATAAAAAAAATCATGAGTAATCGTAAAGCTCAAAATAAATTGTAATAAACTAACAAATGACATTACCTTCAAATCGATGGTATTTAATTTTAATTTAGTTCGGAGACCTGTAGGCAAGCCAGTATGCAGATCTCTTCTTCTCTTTTCTAATTTCTCCTGGAGACTTGTCATTAGATCATGGGCTTCTCGTTCTAAGGATTTATAAGCACCAACTCTTGCTAACGTTGCAGAAAATGGTCCAAAGCAGGCTGATACAAACTGGCTGAAATTTAAATTAATTTTACTTTCAGTTAGTTAAACTACGATACTAATGAGCGAACATAGTAGATTTATTATTATTATATTTATTAGCCAGGGTAAATTCAGTGGATAGATAAAATTGACCAGTTTTAATAAATAAAATTATTATTTAATAAGCGTTTACCTACAAAAATATTTAATATACTTTCTCAGACTGTTCTATTATTTAAACATATCAAAATTTTGTCAATCGAAGAGGGTAAAAAAGTTACCTGTAGTCTTTTTGAGGTTGCATTATTTTTTGCTCCATCTGATGTTGAAAAGCTGACAGTTCATCCAATTCTAGTTTAGCTTCAAAAGCAGCAAGTGCTTGTTCAGGACGAATCTGTATAAAATAATTTTTCATTAATAATTTTCCTAGAATACAAGATCAGATTTGAAATATTTATGAATAGTGAAACTTCCTTTAACGGACACCTCTAAAAAAGCAAGCACTGAAGGGACAAATTCTGATTTTCCAGCATCTTCCGATTAGTTTCTTCGCGTTAAAATCTCTATAAAGCAGACCTCCCAATAACAGATGCCAGATGTGGACAGCTTTTTAAACTATATTCTGACTCCAAAACTCCCAAAAGCAGACAGCAGCCTCACTGTTCTCTTCCAATTTTAGAAATTTGTGTTGAATTTCTAGAGTTTTATTATGTTACTTTGTAAACATGTTTATGTACTTCTTCAGTTTGTCTTTGAATTTCAATGCGATAATATCAGATAGCCTCCCCACAAGTGTTTGATACTTAAATAAAAAAATTAATATGATTGAAATGAGGTGAAAAACTAAGTGTGCGTGACTTGGCTGCAAAGTTATTCATCGGAAAGACCCAAGCAAGTGAAATTGTAAAGAATAAAAAGTAACTTTTAAATAAATTTTACAAACAAGGAAATGACTAATCCCATAGATTTTACCCTAAAACTGGTTTGACCATAGACAAGGTTTATTTGAATGGTTTTCCCATGTTTGGGCTAAATAACATACTGCTGTCTGGGTCCCTTATCACAGAAAAGGCTTTAGCAGTTGCAAAATATTTAGGACAAATTAATTTTAGGCTATCTTCAAGTTGGCTCAACAAAGTTAGAACACACCTTCTTTTAAGACCATTAGTCGACAAGAAGCATCTGTAGATGCTAAGCTTGTGAAAATATAAAGGGACTGTGGTTTAACAGGTTGTTCAAAACTGGATTGAAAAATATTAAATAATACTGTACCAATTTTGAAACCAAAAATACTTTTAAATGCGATAAGACCGCTTAATTTTTTTAGAGCACTACCAGATAAAACTATGCAGTTAAAAAATGAAAAATTTTAAAACCCTCTGGCCATAGGAAAGGCTAAAATGCTTCGGTGATTTAAAGGTGTCAACATATTGTAATCACCATTGTGACCCATCTTGTAATATTAAACTTTTTTTTTCACTGATCCCAAAAGCGAACACATCTGTATAGCGGACAATGTTTCATTCCACAAGTGTCCATTATAAATAAGTTTCACTGTATATTACTGAGTAATAATTAGTAGTATATTACTGAGTAGTAATTTAAACCTGATAAAAATAGTTGTTGTTAAGACCAGGTCCTTCTACTCTTTTCACAATCACACTATCTGATGCAGGTATTCGTCCTCGTTTCTTGATTATTAAATGGAAGACAAAGGAATCCCAAGCTAAGCGCAAACAATATCTCAAAACTCCAACTAAACATAAAAATAATTTTTTTTTAGTACACTAACTGACGAAAAAATAATTATTTGAGCTGTTACATGAAAGAACACAGAAAGAAAGCGTTGGACACAAAATAAATGCGACAAACAAAGAAGCAATTGGTTGAAGCATCCCTTGTATCAGAACATCCCAAATGATTGCTTCAGCTATGACAAAATATTTATTTCTTTCAGAAACAGGGCTGTCCATATCCCAGAACAAGCCAAGACAGATTTGGAGAACAAGTGTTATAGCAGGCATCCTAAAAGAAAATAAATATATCAAAAATAACAATCATTGAATTATTTCACATTCTACTGAAGATGTTTCAAAACTGAAACTAAAAAGAAAACATAATTACCAGATAAAAGCAGTTGTAGCGATAGCAAAGCACAAAATAGTTGACAAAATACATAATGTTGGAAAAACCAAAACAATCCCCAGCGTACCAAAAAGCCCTTTTCCAACATAATTCCAAAATTTATTGAGCTGTCTAGTCATTCCTTTACCTATAAAACCTAAAATGATTAAACACAATTACTCACACATCCTTGGAAACTCAATATCTAACATATTTTTTATAAGCTTTATAAATGTAAATTTACCTGTATCAGGTTTTGATTCAAACTGAGTTGTTGCTTTCGATATATGCCTAGCTAAAGACCTTAACGTTGAAATCATTGTAGGCGTCGACGAACTTTGTCTTGGAAATAATGTCCCATTGACTTGAGAAAGTTCTAAATCAGGCGTGAACGGCTGAATGCACAGTAGTGCCCTTATGCCAACTGGACTGCACCAAGGGATTACCACCTGAAAAACAAATGAGTATTTATTAGTAATTCTGATGATACAAATTATCACTATATTGCTTACTCCAAAGAAAAACATGGCATTCCATGTCCAACTCCATGTTCTATGGCAATAATTTATCCATCTCCATAATGGCCATCTTGTTGTTGTCGTCCTTATTATTTCTTTCTCAACGAGAAATACAGGCTAATTGAAAAGAAGGAATTAATTATTTGCTTATTCTATTTAAGTCTTAAAACAGGTTTATGATTTATAACAGTTAACTATTCTGCAAAACTTCAGCAAAAAATAATAAATAAACTTAAATACTGAAATGTAATAATTTGATATTTAAATTAATGATTTATAGTTTGATCGTCTTATTATCCTGGCATATGTTACAAACCTACTACCAAAGAGACCAGGATGATTGGAGGTGATCAAACTGCAGATTCATTACATCATAGATTTTAATCCAATAATGTAATTGTTAATAATCTTTTATTTGAAATATGTACCTGGCTTGGATCAGACCGAGGAGTTGTAATAGAAGTTGCCGTCGAACTGAGAACTGTGGGTATGATTTCAGAATGTCCTTGAAAGCTCCTCCTCACAATCCAGTTACTCGGGAACCAAATGTGGGTACGCCACTGGAAGATACGAGTCGGCGTCTTATCATGCCTAAGCTCCTTCTTCAAGACAGGCTCTCTCTGAAATACAAATTGTTAAATTTGCTAATTAAAGAAGAAAAAGAAACAATAGATTAAATGCTGAAACATGAAACCATACATATTTGTTTAAAGTAATATATAGATGTATGATTAAAGATATAATCATACATTTTGATTCACTTTGATATATTAAAAAGCTTCCACCTACAATTGAAGGTATTTTGCTAGTGCACCAAATGACCCTTCAATTAAATTTACCTGATATTATCAAACCACCAGTGTAGGGGACACAATAGTTCTTTAAGGGCCCAAAATATGTACAGTTTATCTCTGATTGTTGATTGTTCTCATTAAAAGAACTTACTTTTGATATAATTGTATTAAAGACATTTAATACAGGTGGCCATGTTGAATTGGTAGCCATGCAAGTCTAAAACGAATTCAAAAATTTTTCCGAACTGTGGACTCAGCTATGTATAAATTAAAATAGTTTTTTAACAAGGGGTTTGTGAATAGGCTAAAACATCAATACCTCACAGAAATGCCGAACTGTATAACCATTTTAAAATCAATTTTTTGGCTGAAGTGTGAGAGAGCAGGACCTATACGATTGTAATGGTATAGAAAGAGAAAGAGCAAGAGGGAATGTAAACACAATATTTTAAAAGAATTTCTCTCTTCTTTCACTATTGTCTCAATTTAAACTTTAAGAAACCATGTCATTTAACATATTGTAATATATTGGAAAGAGGAATGCTGTTCCTACAAATCTGACACCTAATTTGAAATTTGTAAACAATTGCTAACTACTTATCTTAATCCTGAAGCTAGGTACTTTTCAGAATGAAATTGTGAAAAAAACTAACAGGTTGTGAAACAATACTTAAAAATGTTTTAGTATGTGAAATACGATGATTGAAAGTAACAAAAAAGTAACAAAACTTATAAAATAATATTGTGACCCAATAATGTACTAAAATAAATGTTTTAAAAATAAAATTATGCAAAGACACCAAACAAATGTATAAAATAGTAATAAATTACCTCTTTCATAAATGTAAGATCCCTGTTTAAAAAATAAACTGTTTGATTGAGGTGCTGATTATTACATAAAGTTAGAGCTTCTTCATGTGCACTCCATTTACATTCTTCTATAAAGGATTCCTATAAAAAAACAAAAAAAAACATACAAATTAATATTATGTTTAAAACAAACAAATAAATAATTTACTTCAGCAGAGCGAAGTCTATCTCTTAGCCAAGGCCTAATCCTAGACCTTACAGGGTGAGAACGCTCCAGAGAATTTTTAAGATTATCTTTGGTTTTTGAAAGCTTCTGTTGTACATTTTCAACAGCTCTGAAATATTAAACAGTATTAAATTTAAGTTTATGAATAACTATTAATACAATTTACTTACCTATGCATTAAAACAACGGCTTGAGCTTGTTCTATTAAAAGTTGAGGAATACCATTACCTAATTCTTTTAATTCGGCATTTGTAAGAATGCTTGTATAAACTCTTTCTAAATATTCTTTCATCACAGCTTCATTTACTTCCTGTGCGAATTAAGGTGGAGAATTCAGTGTAATGAAATTATTTTTAAAATGCATAAAATTGAACAAACCCTTTCAATTTCTTCATCGGGTCGTTTTTGTTGTCTTAATTCAGATATAAGTCTTTCTCTAAAATGTAAAAACCAGCCTCTCGTTTCCCTTTCGAGTATATTAATTAAAATTGGCAGTGCTTTACGCATAATATCTTTGCTGAAGAGTCTCAAATCTACCTCACACCCCTATAAATATATTTAAATAAGTTAAATATACACACATCATTTGATTTTAATTACCTTGGGTGTGTAAAATAAATAAGGAATTGGAACGGGAGGATTGGATGCTTCTCTTTCAATCTCAAATTTTTCAGTAGCAGCCCTTCGGAGCTGACGGCGAACAAATAAACACAAAACTTCCAAAGAATCTTCATATTCCATCTTTGATTTAAAAAAAAAAGAGAAAAAATGTATATAACATATCTGTTTACAAAAAATGCCAATAAAGATAAATAAAACACTCACCCTACAGACCAATTCAGCAACAAGGTACCTGCTTCTTTCCTCTCTTAATTTACTATCAAGATTGTGTGCCTGTACGCTAGGTACGCCCAATATTATATCTTAACAAAATATTAAATGGCAATAATTTTATAATTATTGTTCTGAATAAACTAAAATTAAATATAGTTAATTAAAATTAAAGTAAAAAATTACCCAATAATTTAATAAATCCAGTAACTAAAGATGTTAAAGCTTGATTCACGCTAAAAAAATGTGATACCAGTCTTGCTTTTGCTGTAACTATAATGAATCTGGAAAAAAACAAAAAAATCATAAAAATGACATTCCATAATTTTTTTATATTTCATATTGAAATAAGTCTTGCATTCTGGCCTTTATATAATCCATAAAATCCCATTGGATAACTTTGACTGAAGTAATGAAAAAATGCTTATAGTTGTTATTAGGAATCAGTTCAGCACCATTATCATTTTATGCACCATGATCAATATAAGCTTACTAACAGATTAGTCACCAATAGTTTTTAGTTCTAACAAAGTATTATAAATACAAATAAAAAGTATAAATTTTAGTTTTTACTTTTGTACAAATCTTAGCTAAGCTCAATGAAAATTGATACCTTTGATTTATTTGTACTTGTTGTGGCATATGTAAATAACAACATACATTTTTGTACAAAACTTATTAATAATTCTTAATTAAAAAGTAGAAAATGTGTTTAAATTAAAGATTGTAGCCTTAGAAGAAAGCAAGCTCCCTACAAAGCCCTTGTCACATTAGTTGCACAGATATTTTTCATTGCCAGCAGACAGTTTTCTTGCTAAATTGTTTACTTTTGTTTGATTTTTTTTCTCTGTTGATACATAAAACACCATTTATTATTGAGTATTTCATTTAAAAAATTTCAAAATCTGTAAATTATTCAGAAATCATGAGATGTGGTCTAGTGTGATGTAGGTTTCAGAAAAACATTTTCTTTATCGTGCCAACGTTTCGATCTTTATTGAGATCATTTTCAGGGCTCAAAGTGTTTGTCTTCTGTGTAATTGTGCCATTCTTGCGGGTCGTGTTGAAAGTGCGCATCTCACAATTCTGAATAATTATCGATTAACTGTCACTAATCACCACACAAAAATCTGTAAATTTAACACATTTTCACTTATTAGTCCAATGTTACTACATATTTGATTAGTGAATAACAATTAGATTAAATTTCTTAAAGAGTATATAACTACCAAGTTTTGGTGACTACATTGCTCCACAAAAAAGTAACATACTTTGAAATTTTAATTTCTTTTTTGATTTGACAAGGTTTTGGCCTTATTTGTTGTTTTACTACTTTAAAAATGATTTAATAATTGTGCTACAGCCCATACAACTTAGCAGGAAAGGATTATTTGGAGATGGTTCAATTATGGTATGGAATAGCATTTATTTGGAAGCTAAAACGGAATTACATGTTTTTTAATAGGCCATCACTTAATGCAGAAATATTTTTTGACTGATATTTTTGAGGAATATGTGGTGCCCTTTGCTCCTGTTATTGCAAGCAATTCTTGTTTATTTAAGAAAAAATAAATGAATGATCATACTGCATTTATACAACTAAATACAATTAAATGCAATATGTCTCCATCAGTGTTGTGCAATACATTTGGGATGTCAATATTTGCACTCTAAAATGGCCTGCCCATAGTCCTGATTTGAACTCCATTGAGAAATTTTGGACAAGCTTAGATGTTGAGTAAAATGAAGACATAACCCTCCTACAGCCTTATCTGGGCTGAAATTTACAGTACTTGAGATTTGAAATCATTCAAGACGATTGTCCAAGGTTTAACATGTTTCTAAACCCTTCCCCATACATGAACATCGTTGCAGAACAATGCACCTCTTCAAGAAAAATCCTGCTTTCAGAGTGTGTTGTAAAGTGTTGGGGATTTTTGGAATCAAATCAGTGTTACAGGCCTTTACCATTAGTATCACTTTGTCAATGTTACTGTGAAGACCATTTTTCGATTTGAACTTTTGTAAATTTTTTATTATTTTTTGGGAATTAAATTTTTTTCAATATTTCCATAATCTTTACAAATCAGAACCATAAAGAATGTGTTATGGCTTAATTATGAGCATGCTAAGAAGATCAGAGTGTGTAATAATAGTAAGAGGAGGTAGCACATCCTATTAATTATTTTTAAGTTTCTTTTATAATGTTATATCTTCAAAATCTTAACAAAAGTGATTTTTAAATTTTTTTTTTTAATTTTTTTTTCAAGACATATTTTTATTTTCACACTAACTAAATCTTTTAACAAATACCTGAACCTTAAAAATATAGGTAGTAATAATGTTATTGAAAAAACAAGTACATAATAAATATCAGCATTTTAAAGTGTGCCCTTTTTGTGTCAAGCAGTGTAGTTATGTTTGTGGTTATTCTTAACAAATTTATAAAAAGGCAAAACTGATAAATATCCAATTAACCATTGCCCCACTGAAGATGGAAAAATGATAAAACATTTGTTGGTTCATCACCTTGCATAAAATTGTAATTGTTGCAGTTTTACACAAATGTTTACTAATCTAGAATAAATATACAAGTTTGATTTATAGTTGGATTTAGTAAATTAATTATACTTTTTGTTGTACATTATTTATTTAGTCTAGAAATATATAGTCTGTAAATCAAAAGATTAACTATAGAGTTACACCGATTTAAATTTAGTAATAGCATGGTAAATAAAAGTTAAGTACTAGTAGTTAAATACCTCAGTGAAAGTGCTAAATCTTCCATTAAAGTGTCATGAGTATTTATGGTTCCTCTTTGTAGTAGAGCGCTCAGTCTCCACCTGTGCACTTGCCCGGGAAAATTCAAACTCGGTACTTCAAATTCCCTGAGAATAAGACCATAAATAAAATCATAAATTGATATTTTAAAATTTAAACCTGATTAATGCACATGCTTCTAAAGGCTTGATGCAGACTGACTCATTAGTTAAGAATGGCTTTTAAACTGAAATAATAATATTATAAACTAGTGGTAACATGCATTAATCAAAAACTAATAAAATTTGGAGTGTGAAGTCATCAATGCATTCATATTTTCTTGAAATTAAAAACAAATAAAATAAAATTTTAGTAATCTACAATATTAAGAGACTTGTGGCATGATTTCTTATGGATGACAGTGCAATGGAGAAGCCAGCAAGCAGTTAAACGTGAATAATTTTGATTTAAGGTGGGGTATTTTTGTAATTATAGTAAAAAATTGATATCCTCTGTTTTAATTGTTTCTTTTTGATTCTGTTTATCAACATACCCACATTGCTTGATGGATTCTAGCTGTATACTATCGAGTCTCTTCTGTTTCCCATGGCTGTCCTTATGCAAGCTGAACAATACACATACACTGCCTAACTGCCAGTTATTTCACATAAAATAATAATATATGTCCATGCATTAACTTAACCTTTGTACTTTTTTTTCTAACAATCAGTTTTCTAAAAACTGTCTCCTTTCATGTAAAATATAAATTACATTATCGTTATAAAATTTTAAGACTGTAAGTGTATATATGTAGTAAAATTGGGTAGTACCATAGAAATATATTAGTTAGGCAGTTTGGCAGATCTGAGACTACGAAATTGTATTAGTGTGCACAACTTTTTTTTTCTTTTTTTTTTTCATTAGTCACTCCAAGTGAAATGTATTTTTGATAAGCAGAAATTTTCACAGCTTCAATCCCTGTTTTAATGGTTAGTATGCATAATTAACGTTGAAAATTAATTAATTACATGCATATGTAGATTGTTAAATGCACACAAAAAAAATTAACTATAATTACATTGCAAAACTACAAACAAACAGAATTACTGCCTTTGTATTAGTGAATTAGTGAAGTAACATTTATGAATTTTATTAAGTTATATAAATTTTTCTAATTAAACAATGAGTATCCCTTGATAATATTTTTTAATTGACCAAAAATATTGTAAAAAAAATTAAAAGTTACCGAATTGTTCAGAGTTATTAATCTATAAAATTAGAGATAATTTTTTTTTTAATCAGTTGAATTAGTCAAATTCAATTAACGTTAAACGTGGTTTTGATTTTTCTATATCAAAATATATAACTTAAAATGCCAAAGTATTATTATAAACTTTATAATGTTAAGGCATCCAATGACTTTCATGCAATGGCAGGCAAAATAGTTTAAACCCATCTTGAATTTAATCTTTATAAAAGTGACAAAATCTTCAAAATTTATGATAGAAGAGAAAATATTTTTTGTCAAATGATTAAGAAATTCTGTCTAACCATTTTTACTTATGTATATTTAATTGTCATCAAATTGTAAAGATATTCTATAACTTAACATGTTAACAAATGAATTTTTTCATAAATGTTACAAGAAATTGAATGTCGGAACATATTTAGTGTTCATAATTCTATTTGTAACCTATCATTCATAAAATTCATTCAGAACAATTTGGGAATCACCAATTGCCTAGAATTAAAATTCTATGTATGTCTTGGTATTAACATTATTGTAAGTTTAGAAGACATGTCACAAAAGAAAACAAAATCCCAAAATGTTCCTCAACCATTGGAAAAAAACTGTTGAAAATAAACCATGACAGAGCACTAATTTCTTTCATTTTGAAGCAAGTGGAATCAAATAAGTTTAAACTTAAAATTACACTTTTGCATCATAAGGCTTACCCTCTTTCACGCAGTGCCTCTAATTGTTTTGCAGTGAGTCTCCTGGGTTCCCCTGAAGTATCTATAGCAACTGCGTCCAACTCGTCGAACGACGGGGTTACGAAGAGGTCTCTTAATGTTGACGGTCGTGAACCACATCTTCTCCCCAATGAGCTAGTGCCCTCACCTACGTTGCCACCTAATACCATTAATAGTTAATTAAATGAATAAAGGTTATTTATCTGATTCTAACATTACCTGTAATATATGGAATATCAGCAGATGACGACAATGCCGCAGAATTTTCCACTGCATTAACAGGTAAAGGCAGTACAATAGGGAAGGTCTTCCAATGATAGAGGAACTGTTCCCCAATCTTCAAATAAATAAAACAAACAGATCAATTTCACATAAACACCTATTTTGTCTATTTTAAGCGTCATATTAATTTATTTAAACAAAGAAAAACATAAATTGTAATAATATTATCAACAAAAATATTACCTGTTTGATGTTATGAACAAGTTGCACAATTTCATCTGGCGCTCCTTTTAATTGAACATCAAATTGTATTGGTTCTCTCTGTTGGAAATAATATAATTTTAGTACTGAATAATTGTTAAATTATTTATTTATTTATTTTTAATTACTTCAGGAAGTGGTGTATCATATGGACATGGGGCAGGACGAGTCGTCATCGCTAGCCCCAGGGAGTTGGGTCAGCTTGTTTTTAATCTTCCAACTTCATCATATACCATTGTGCTAATTGCATCAATCTAAGCAGAAAAAAGTCAAATGCTATAAGTAAATAATTTAACAATGGAAAAATTAAGTTTATACAGTATAAAATAATAATAATAATCAATAAAATAAATATGCATAAAGTTATGGTGAGATTAATATTCACCTATGGTATCTTGACAAACTAAATTAAAAATATCACCAAACAAAAAGAACTTGTAAATACAGAGGTTCAGATGTGGGTGTATTATGGGAACAAGAATGTCATAAAAGTTAACATGGAGAAAATTCTGGTTCTCCTTTCAACCAAATGACAATGAAGACTTCAAAGAAAACCATTTTTATGTTGAGCAAAGAAAATGGGTATATGAATTACACACATTCATATACGTATGAATTACTAAAATGGGTTTAAATGACTACATGAAAATCAAGTTCAAACAAAAACTAAGTTTAAAAGAGAGAGAGAGTATGTTGGAAAATTCCCTTTTCCATCAATGAGAGTACAATCAGTTGATTCAGAAATGTATGTAACTAGAACACATAAAACATTTAGTGAAATTCAACTAATATAAATAGACAGATAATACAGATACACAATTATTACTGTATTATTTATTTTTTAAGCTGAAGTTTATACTCTCCATTCAATTTTAAATCACTATTAAAAAAAACACTTTCTTTTATGCTCAACAATTTTCCAAAGGATATTTTATGTGGACTTATTATGAGCTAAAATTGAAATTATTCGAACAATATAAATTAAAATGTCACTACATTTAATTTATTAACATTTAATATGTATATAAAATAAATAACTGGCTGCTGAGAAGATGTTTAAAACCTTTATCATAACCCCATTATATTTTGAGATCTAATTGACCAAATAACATTTTTCAATTAATTAATCTTTTTATGTAAGGTGTTGGTTGAAATGAAAGCTTTATTATAACTATGAATTTATTGTAATCTCATATAAAATATTTTTTAAATTTGTTAGGGTGACCCCTCACCCATAACACCCAACGGATAGTTGGACATTAAGTCCTCCTGTAAGGCAGGGCTATTACTATATTTTAACTTGCTACTTTATGAACACTTGGCAAAAAAAGGTTAACATAATCTCGGCAATAGAAATGAACAAAAAAGTGACAACTATTGAAATTATTCATTTTATAATTCCACCTAATTATTTTTGATCATGGAAATAAAACTCATAGACTGTTAATTGCCATCTGGAGGCCAGCTGCTTATTCCCTGACATTGCCACTCCCATTTTGTTAAATTTTTTTGGTAAAGTGGACTTTTTGGAAAAAATACCTCTACCTATTTGTTTTGTATTCTCATGTTTGAAATATTTCTCTTAATGGAATATGCCATTGCTAATAGTAGATGATGATTCCACACATTTTGTACAGTTTTTCCTTTATTTGAGAAATGTGCAGAGGTTGTTTAGTTGAAACATAACTTTCTCCCTGTTCACAAAAACTGAGTGTTGTAAATGTACTTTTAGACATAGGTAATGATATTTTCTTATAAAGTTCAAGACTTGGAGATTGAAGAAAGGACTGGCATGCTTCCAGATGAATTTTAGCACATCTGGAACTCTCTACAAACCCTTTTCACATATACAACAGTGACTGCTTACTAAAAAATTAAAACAAATCTAGCCTAAAAACACCCTGTTTAATTAATATCAAAATTGTATTAATGAAAAAAATTTATATTTTATTCGAGGCATAGGACCAATTAAATACACTCTACAATATTTGTCACAACAAATTTGCTCACTTTGTTTAGCTCAGCTGTAATTTTTAAAAAACAGTAAAATAATTTCGGAATTGGTCAAATCACAGATCCCCCTTCCCCCCAAATGTCAATAAGTCTTCGATGGCTACTTTTTTTGTACTTAAATTATATTGTTTAGCAGCTAATTATATTGTTAGTAAAAAAATAGATACTTGTTCAACCACTTGAGAATCCGACAATTCATCAAACAGATCAAATAGAACTGAAAACGTAGGTTCTAGTTGTAAAGACCCGGATGGTTCACATTTGAAATGAATTATTCAAAACAGGCAATTTTCACATCATTAATTTAGAACAAAGAGGTCAGCAATGGAGCAAAAGATGTTGTATACAAGGCCCAATTGTACAGTTTGCGCTGTGAAAGAATAAAGACACTTATTTTGAATGCCATGCAAAGTAAATGAATTCATCAATCAACAATTAAGAGCAAGTTGACTGAAAATGTCAAATGTCAAGACACAAAGGTCCAACTGTACATTTTAAGCTACTGTAAGCTGAATGAAAATTGATAATAATAATCCATATAATATGAGACCCATATTAAATTGGTCACAAATAAAATTTAAAAAAATAAAAATATGCTTTCTCAACATCATCCAAAAGCAAAGATATTGTCAATCAATGACAATGAGGCTGAAAATGACATTAAATTTCAAAAATTCGTCAAAATTAACTGAAAATTGTGAAGACTCGGATGGCTGAAGTTTGAAAAAATGTTTTGAAACAGGCCATGGAATTTCAAATAAGCTGTACATTTAAGTTATGAAATACTTGAGATACTAGGAAGATTTTTTAGTAATGTTTTTGAGACCACGCCTCTCTTATCTTAATAATTTTCTAAACTAGTTGATTCAAACCATTCAACAAGACTACTTACTACCACAGCATGAAACAAACATACCCTGACAGGCAAAAAATTCCATCCAATTGATTTGTTCATTTTCCCAATAAAAGAAAATTCTGCCCTTATTTGTCTCATTGTTTTACCAATAATATCTGTTTATGCCATGTTTTAAATTGGGAATATTAATTAGAGGTAAACACACTTAATCCTTATAGGGTTTTTCAATGTTTACTTTTATGATATTTAAAATGTTTATTCAGACTCATTTGAATTCTGAAGCAATAAACTGTTTTAACTTTGTTTTCCTAATTTCAATTTTTCAACTTAAAAATGCCCCTTAGTACTGAGGATGTGGTGTGGCACTTATTGATGATGGATGTTCCATAAAGTATGCAGCTATTGCCATTGGAGTTCCCTATGAAACCGTGTGAGACACTGTTAGACATTTTCAAGAAACTGGGTTCTACCATAGAAGTCCCGGTTCTGGATGCCCTAGGGCAACAGAATCACAGGATGACCATTTTGAGAGTTTTGCGAAACCAGCACCTTACTGATGTTCAAGCGATTCATCAGCTCCAGGAAGTTCGAGGTGTCCAAATTTCAGAACGCTCTGCTCAAAGAAAATTAAATCAGTATGGCCTGATGGCTTTTCGCCCTGTAAGAAGAATACAACCCTGTGTATGGCTCGCATTTGCTCGAGAATACAGCCATTGGTTTTTGGACAATTGGTCTGCTGTACTTTATACAGAGGAGTATAGATTTGCTCTACAATCTCCAAATGGGTATAAATGAGTGTGGAAAAGGCAAAATGAAAGCTGTAATTTTTCCCAGAGCCAACCTTTTCAACATGGCTCAGTGATTGTGTAGGTGGGAATTTCAATGGAGAGCAGCATAGAGTTGGTTGTTGTTCGTGGAGGGTCGTAGATGGCCAGTCGTTATCTGGATAAAATTTTGGAACAGCATGCATTGCCTATCCTCGATGAAATCATCGACAATACTATTCTAATGCTTGTGCACATATCACTTGCATAGTACAAATGTAAATGATCTTAGCCTGGCCAGACATGAACCACATCGAATGGGATAACCTCAAAAGACGAATAAGAGCACGTCCATCACTTCTTAATGCACTACATGATCTTGAAAGGACTCTTCTTCACTGAAGAATGGACTAACCTCCAGCAAAGAGAAATTTCCAGTCTGGTAGAAAGTATGCCGTCTCTGAGATTTAATTAAGGTAAAAAGAGGAAATACGCAATATTGAAATGTTGATTAAAAATCTAAGGGTGGAATTTTTTGCCTGTCAGTGTACAAACAAGGAAAAAAGGGTAAAAAACAAGTAAATAAAAATACTTGTTCTTACTGTCATCCTAAGTAAATGAATTTGTCAAATAGAATAAAAAAGTCAGGATACAAGGGCTAACTGTACATTTTAAATTACAATAAGCTGAATAAAAATGGACAATAATAACTTGTATTACATTGGTTTCAAATTAAAAATAAAAATAAAAACAAAAATACACTTGTTCAACACCATTTTCAGTCAACGAATTTGTCAATAAATGGCTGAAAATGACCTAACAATTTGCAAAATCAGCTGAAATAGAACTGAAACTTATGACATTTGAAATAATGTTTTGGAACTGACAATCTACAAATTACAAAAAGTATAATAATTTGACACAAAAGGGTCATCGAATGTTAAAAAGGATGTACATTTATGATGTGAATTACAAGAGATACTACGAAGTAGGCTTGTTAAACGTTTTTAACAACCAGTTTTTTAGGAATGTTTTTGATACCACAGCTGTCTCATCGTAATATTTTTTTTTTTTCAAAGAAGTTGTTTCAAACGTGTTTTTCAACAAGCCTACATACCATCAAAGTATAAATCACACACACAAACAATGAAAAAAGGGTGTAAAGATGTAATTGTTCTTAATGACATCTTGTGCCAATGAATTTGTCAAATAGACTAAAAATATCAAATGTCAAGACACAAAGGCCAACTGTACATTTTCGGCTACACTATGCTGAACTAAAATGAGAACAATACTAAATTGGCATCAAATAAAATAAAAATTTACTTGTTCATTGTAAGTCAATTAATTTGTGGATCAATGGGAGAAAATGACCTAACAATTCAGGCCAAAATGGAACTGAAAATTCGTAACTTTTGAAATAATGATTTGGAACTGGCAATCTTCAGATTATAAAAAGTCTAATAATTCGACACAAAGGGGTCATGGAACTATCACATCTTTTAATATTTTTTTCAACTAGTTGTTCCAAATTGTTCAGCAAGTCTACCTACTATTGCAGCATGAATCAAACACATAAGTAAATAAATATGCTGGTTCTTAAGGTCATCAATTAGACTAAAAATACCAAATATGAAAACACAAAGGCTTAACTGTATATTTTACAGGACAGTAATGTGATTAAGAATTGTCAGTTATGCTTTAATTCAAACAAATTAAATCGAATTTGGGACTCAAAACTAAACGCCTTGTGAAATGTTAAAAATACACTTTTCAATGTCATCCAAAGTCAAAGAAATCGCCAATCAAAGGATGAAAACGACTTTAAAATCCGGAAAAAACAGCCCAAGTGATAATGAAAAACTTGTTCAAATAGGGAAAACATTCGAGGTCGGAGAAATTTCCTAAAGCTCGAAATCAACATTTCGAAACTGGGGATTTTCAGAGTTCGCAACGAATCCCACCAATTGGGCGACGATGGAAAGTCGACTGCCAAGAACGGAAAAAAGTCAGTTGACTATGTTTTAATCCTTACATCTTATATTCAAAACACGAGTTTTAAGGCGATTATGGAAACCCGTCTAATTAACAAGGTAAATGGATTGAATTTGTATTTCTGAGTTTGAGTGTGTTTCAACTGACGTTTAGATTCCGTTCGTCCGTCTCGGAAAATGGACTTAAAACCGGTCGTTTGTAAGGAAAATGTGTAAAGTTCGAAAAGCGACTCGGGGCCTACCCATCGCGAAAAGCTAAACGAATGTGCGGGCAAACAAAATCCCGACAATTATTGAACAACCCAGGCTTTACAATCGTGAAAAGGCCAGTTTATTAAATAAATTCGTTTCAAATAAGATGATAATGGCGACGAGAAGAAATAATTTGCCGAGGAGAGTTAAAAAGGTCGATTGACTCGGACGGCGTCAATCACTTCAACGAAAGAGTGTTGTAGTCAGACAAAAGATTATTGCAATTACCTTGATTTGTTTTGTCAATTTTCCCCGCTCGGTTATTCTTTGTACACAAATAATAAGTTTGATAAATATTGGTCAAATGTAAACAAGAGAGTCTCCTGATATGTAAACTGTTTGACTAGCTGAACGCGGGGAGCGCTGTCGGCGAGAACGACAACAATTAGATTAATAAAAAAAAGAGATTGGAAAGATTTACAAAAATTCTCTCCTGGATTTAGTATGAATTTGTTCACGCCTGTGGTCGCAGACGGTTGAAATAATCTCTTTGTCCCGTTCACGGCGGTCCGAGCGTCGTCAGCCTTTCTCTTTTTTTACCACACAAAAAAATATACATACAAAGTTAAAATAGTAACGATGAGTTAGTAACAAATACGACAATGGTGACAGTCCGACTGGACACTGACGATTTTTTCCAAACGACCTTTTTCACAGACGACATCTGTTGCAGTCTCAACAGCGAGGAAAGTAAGTACGTCTTTTATTTTGGCGAGTATCCCACAGTTAAAGGACCCGTGTTGTTTTTCCCTCTTGCGATTCGAAGGCGACCACTCGCCCGAGTCGAAAACGTACGATACGGTCCATTTTTGACCATTTTATATATCGAATAACCCGGATATAGTCGCTATAAATAAATACGAGTATACTACAAAGGGGAAAATTTTGTTTTAATCGCTTTTTCCTTCTAATTATGACATCTATGTTGAATCGGGGCGACCGACTCGACTGGAATATATAAACAACCACTGTCTCTAAGGAAGAGACTAAGTGTTCCAAAAAAAGGTAACACCTTCCATACTTTTACATTCTTACTAAACAAAACCACGTAGAAAATAGTACACGGTTTTCAAAACAATTTGGAACACAAATAAACCAACTCTCACTCATTAAACATTAGATTGTGCTAATACTCTTCAAATCGCCAATCCTTTGACTATTTTGGCCTCTTCCTTAATGATTTGTCTTTTATTAAATCGTTTCTTCATTCTATACCACTATAGTTAAAAGTGTGGAGTTAGCCAAAGCAATATATAAAGTCTGCCGTGGGTATGAGCAGAATGTACTAAGTTCAGCGTACAACTGTCCAGAAGGCTTTTCATAATAATGAAAGAGTCTAAAGATAACTATTCTTCATAACTGTCACCAGGGAGCTATTGCGGTTCAAGCCAAAATTGTTACTCTCAGTCTCCGGACTTAAGACTATAATTTCCTGTTGCTGTCCTGTGTTTATTTGATTAAGCTATTTGTACTTAGTACTACCTGCTCCTTCTCTTCCCAAAAATATTTGAGAAGATCATCCTAGAATGATTGACCCTACATTTCTTTCTTTCAACCTTCTTGCAAAACACCAATTTCCATGTTTCACAGAATAGTTATTCATATATCGTGAGATGCGGTCGGGTGTGATGTAGGTTTCAGAAAAACATTTTCTTTATTGTGCCAACGTTTTGATCTTTATTGAGATCATCTTCAGGGCTTAAAGTGTTTGTTTTCCGTGTAGATGTGTCATTCTTGTCTGTTGTGTTGGGCACTCTCAACACGACAGACAAGAATCTCAATAAAGATCGAAACGTTGGCATGATAATGAAAATGTTTTTCTAAAACCTACGTCACATCAGACTGCATCTCACGACCATCAAATAATCATCAAGTAATGGTCACTAATACCACACGTTCCACAGAATGTTTGTTCTGATTTTAATTTTGTTGGTGTATTTTCAGGTATCGGGAGTACAGATAGTTCGCTGCTTGCACTTCGCCTCAAAAAGTCCTAGATGAGACCTTTCGACAAATGGGAAGTTGTTTTTCCAGGGGAAAGGGCCGTTCCTCTGTGCCCAATACACTGAAAGATAAAGATGGTATTTGTTACTATTTTAATTTTAATTATTTTTGGTTAAGAAAATTTAGCCCATTTTGTACTGTTGTATAATTTAATAAATTTAGAAGTGCTATGATAAGAAAATTTGACTTGGTGAGTCATTATTCCATATTTATAACAAATTTATATATGCATGATAGCCTGGATATTCATCTGAAAATTAAAAGAATCTATTAACTGTTCAAGGTTGCCATTGATGATGTGAATAGAGATGGCCATAAAATTGCAATTAATAGATATGGCTTATCTCCAAAGTAATATATTTATTTAATTGAAAATGTATTTTTCACTAAAAGTATTCAGTATTCATTTTGTGGTTTAAAACATAACTAAAAAACAAATACTAATTTATTTACCTCAACTCTATGCATATATAATAATAATAATAATAATAAAAAGACAGATGGTAAGGGTGGATAGAGGGTTGGGAATGGCATGAGTGAGAAGTATACGGAAGTAAGATATTCTCGATAAGGCATAAATATTGTGGCTGACTGGTTTTCAAGAAAAATGATTGTGTCACAATTTTGCAAATTTGAGAGAGGCCAACTTGTGAATGGAGGGGAGAAAATGGTAATTCGTTATTGATGAGGACAGGATAGAAATGCTGTAGGAGATATCTTTCTCCTATGAGTGTCCAGCCCAGCTTTAGATTTTAAAGTGGAGAAAAAAGAAAAGAAAAAAAACTAACAAAACTCGTTGCAAGGCCTTAGGAGCATAAATGCCTGGCGAGATAGCTTGACACGAGTTACAGAATTGATCAAAGATGGCAATCTGAAGCAGCAAGTGCTGTACTGTAAGAAGTTGCGGTAAAAGTTCAGTCCTATTTACATTAGAAAGTTCTTTATATTTTGGGCAGTGTATGTGTCAAAGCTAATCTCGTTATGAAATTAATTGTACACAATTTTTTCTTTTCGAAATGAAAAATTTGTGTCACAACTTTCGGCTGCTTACAATTGGAATAAAATCTGGGAGTCGAAATGAGAAGTTTGTGGCATGGGCGATAGAAGTCACAGTAGTTCAAGTGGTAGAGCAACGGCATATTTAGCCGAAAGTCGTGGGTTCGAATCCCGCATGTGACAAAAAATTTCTATTTTGAAAAAATTGTATATAATTAATTGAGTGTTTATATAATTAGGTAGAAGCTGATAAAATAACTAAAAATTTAGAATTAATCTCATTATTATTACTGAAACCCAAATTAAATAGTTTCTTTGAGTTAAGAACATTAGCATAATAAATATTGAATTTTTGGAACTTTTATGCACAGTTTGTGTATGTGCAATAACTCAGTATTCATCGCTGCATGTTATATTATATAGCTTTAATAACTATATTTTCACTACGGTTTATTATTATCATTTTCATCTTAAATTATATTTCATATTCATACATGTGTTTATGTAGTGTTTTAAGTATTATTTACTTAAGTATTTATATATTATTAATAACATACTTTTTAATTTTTTTTATAGAAGCGGTGTTTGAAGGTGCAGAAATTCAAACAACTCTTAATGGCAACAACATAATCGAGACAGCTTTACTTAATAATTCGGCAACAACAAGTCTACATAGGGAAAGGAGTGGAAGAACATTTTACACACGCATGCCATCTGTTGGAAAGACACCAGATGTTCGCATCGGTAAATCTGTTTCAGAGACGAAAATAAACACTTTATTCGATAATTATAAAGATAGTTTAGACGATATCATATTCGCCGAAGGTATTGAAAAGCTCTGCGCAGATTTGGGTCTATCCCCCGATGAATTTAAAGTTTTGATATTTGCTTGGAAATTGGATGCCGCTCAGATGTGCAGATTTACGAGAGAAGAGTTTGTTGCAGGTTGTAGATCAATGTGTGTTGATAGTATAAGAGGAATTCAGATGAAGTTGCCTGAAATCGTTAGTCAAGTATCATCGAATCCAGATGTTTTCAAAGACCTTTACAGATTCACATTTAGATTTGGCTTAGATTCTTCAATCGGTCAGAGGATCCTCCCGACTGATATGGCTATTGTCCTTTGGAAATTAGTGTTTTCAGTGAGAGAGCCTCCTATACTCTCTCGTTGGCTAAATTTCCTCAGTTCTCATCAACACATTCGAGGGATACCAAGGGACACGTGGAATATGTTCCTCAATTTTTCTGAAGCTGTTGGTGATGATCTATCGACTTACGATGATACAGAAGCTTGGCCGAGTATCTTTGATGATTTTGTCGAATTTGAAAATGATCAAGCTAACCAAAATATAACAAGCAAAGAAAAAGACAATGATGTAATCCACTGACCTTTAACCTTGACAATAATCATTCTATTCTGTGACATAATTTTCTAACGTATATCCCAAAACTAAATTACCAGGTAAATCAAGTCTGTGAATTATGTACAAATGTATTATCATTTTCAGTCCACAAATTATTTAATTTTATTTCTATGTCTTTTAAGTTAGTAATTTGATGAAGTGTTTTTATGTGCATTTTCTACACATCCTCTCCTTTATTATAACATACAAGAGAGGGTAAATGAAGCAGCTGTCGGCAAATATTTCATTTTAGTCCTATGACCACAATTAAGTAAAACCACAGGCTTGTCATCCTGGTATTAGGCCTCAAATAAAGCATGATTATTTGTTTGTAACATCAGATGAAATAACAATTAAAAATATGTCACTTTGTATTACAATTTATTTCTAGTTTTACTTTTTTTTGTGCCAAATTTATTGTCTTCCTGTGTCATTTTATTTGTTAACACGGTTTTGGCCTATAAATGTAAAACCAGTATTAATGTACTGTAATCGAATATTAAAAAAGAATATATATATAAAAATTAAATCGGTATCTCAATCATTCTGGTGAAACCTTTGGCACTTGTCCAAAATGTAAGCTAACTTTTGTTGTTTGATGTAATATGAGAAATGACCCTTAATTGACTTGACTAACAAATGGACCAACCCAATTGACAAAGAAAATCAGAATATTGTTTTGGACAAGAGTCGAAGAGTGAAGTTAAACCAGTTGTCGGGTATTTAGATACTTAAGCTATTGCCATTTTTCTATCAATGAGGAATTATTAGCGTTTATGACATTAAAGATACAATAAACCATCAGCAATAGAGATTATGAGTTTTATCTCATTTTAAATTATTTTGACTATTATGTAAGAATGGAATTATTTCTTGTCATCGCAAAATGGTTGCAATTCATGTGAATTTTATAAGTTCTCGTATCAAAAAGTTCCACATTACTTTGCTTTTGTAAATAAGTGTACTATATTAATAATAATGCTTCCAAATTATATTTATTCTATTTTATTTTATTTCTTGTTTACAAATGTATTTTTGTAATTAGAAGAAACAACTCATTTAATTTTGATATTTCTAGGGTGGTGCAACAATGTAAATATTTTATATAATATACATACATTGTACTTTCTTGTTTGTTTTAATTTAATTTTATATTATTTCTATGTCTATAATATCGAATAATACAAGACTGAAGTGAATTTTATTTAGTCTGGAAGATGTGAAAAATGTTTCTATTGTTGTAATTTCAGGTTTACTTATTTTTATTACTTTTATTAGAATACATATAAAAAGTGTATATAAATTTAATAATGGTGTTCAAGGTTTGCTTCTGTGTGTACAAGTTTCAGAAAATTCAATAAAAACTTGTTATTTTAATATAAATTTTGTATTTTTCCACCCTTTGTTTTCCAAGCTCTATTCACATATTTTTTTATATTTTAAATGTACCCTCTAACGTATTCATTCTGTTAGGTCTTTCCTGAACGTAAAGTCATTTTCTTTGAAAATTTTAAACAAAAATATAATTGTTATTGGTCATTTTGTAACAATAAGATGCTTGGGTCTATTTATACGTACTGATCATGGTCCACATCACAATTTTTTTTCCAGTACGAAATTTTTTGCTTGTTTTGAAGTAAAATTGTTAATATGACTATTCACTCAGGGAGGAAAAAAAGGCTTAGCTCTATACCCACTCTATTCCCTTACTGTTGGTATATTTTCCTAGTTTTACCATTTACCCTAAAGATCTTAATTTTCAATTTGTATTCCGTTTCTGTGTAAAAGTAAGCAAAATGGATGTTACTATATTTTTACTTGTGCAGATATTTTGAAAGATTTTGTACGATTTTTTGCTAATAACTTGAGAACAGTATCTTCAAACTAAAAACAACTGCACTATTGAACTCAGCATAAAAAGGCCTTTTTAAAATAAGAAAAAGATTAAATTATTTTGATATCAATTAACTTGAAGAATATCTTGTCATTTAAAATAGTTAAGCCTCTATGCGTACCCCACTATTTTGGATAGTTAGCTCAGTTTTTCATTATGGTATATAAGTCAATTTTTTTTATTATAAGGGGTACTGAAGTTAAACCCACCCTGTATATTGGGAAAATGTTTGTGCCCTCCAATTAGACAATTAATATATTATAGATTACTACCAATTAGTAATGATTATACCTAAATATAATGGATATCAGCCTTTAATATAATTTTCTATTAAAAATAAAGGACAAGGCAATTTGAAAGAACAGAAAACACAGTTCTTTCAATAAGCTTTTGACAGATACATCTCCTTCATTGGGATTTTGAAAACAGTTTTACTGCATAACTGATGACATAATTTTGTGTACTGTCGTCACAAAGAAAATTTTCTACATAAGAATTTGAAGTTCTTCACCTCGCGCCAGTTTGGTCTGTAAGACGAATTTCACCTTATCGGAAGGCAAAAATGATCAGAAACAACTAAGGTACAGGTTCATTACCCAGAATACAAATCTCACAAACAAATTTAATGTGAGATTTTGAGAACACAGACCCACCTCTAATGATGGCAAAAAGCCAGGATTAGAAGTCAGAAATGACCAAACTAAATATAAATTTAAAAATAAAAGCTTGTAATATGTAATACTAAGTTGGTGGTAAAACAAAGAGTTCAGAACATTTATTATTCAACCTATTTAGGGGCCAACGAGTTGTAAATTCTAATATTAAAATAGTTTTTTCTGAAACAGCCAAGCTACAAAAAAAATTGTTGAAATGCCCAATAAAAGTATGATGCAATGAAAAACAAATAAAAATTAAACATGAATTTTTTTTTAAGAAAATAAATATGTACAACTTTAATATATAAAAACCTTTACAATTTTTTAAATATTAGAACATACATCATAAACTTGGATGATGACAGGATTTGAAATAAAATTATTAAATCTAACGAGTATATCACTGTTTAAACTCTTAATTCTTTGTTGGCTGTCAGCCAGAATCTTATTCATCTGGCTTTTGATTTCTGGATTTCTGACTACTTCTTTCCTTTTGCTTGTCAATTCTTTTCCTGTGATACCAAATATTTTATCCAAGACTTGAGGTGAAAAGTCCATTTCCATTTCGAGGCCTTTAACTGATATAATGGCAGACAGGGACCACTGTTCATCTTTGATGCCCAGCTTCTGTGACAGTTTCACCACTTGACCACGCACTTTTCTCTCACTCGGATAACTTTTTGGAGGAAACGGTTCGTCAAATGTGAAATTTGTGTTACAATCGTTAGAAACTCGCTCTTGGGTGTCAGGTTGCAATTCTAAAGTCAACTCATCCGGTGGGCCTTCAAGGAAATCAACAATCACTTTTCCACTTTCGTGCGATGGCCTTGGTATGTCCAGACTGGACTTAAGCGGTGGGTGAAACCAATCTCTGTTTTCTTCTGAAGAAACGTAAGCTTGTTCCAATTTTCTCTTTAAAGTTTTGGGGTCATTTAAATCTGTTATCTTCGGGCTGGAGTGTATGCTAGAACTGGAACTCGTACCTTGGGATTGTATATGCGTTGAATTTTGCTTATTGATAAAATTGTCGATATCTGTGGGTTTTACAGTCGAATTTTTATTGGGAAAATAATTTCTGATGTTTTTTTCCTTTCTATCAGAAAAGGCAGAAGCCATCATTTCAAAATCATCATCTGGAAAATCAAAGTCATCGTCAAGAAGATCTTTCTCATTATTTGTAAACCGACTGGATGCAGTTTGGTTGTTTGAATTAGTGATATTTTGTTGAACATTTGAATTCGTTTTGGACCCAACGTTTGAAGTGTTCGTGGAAACGGCTAATTGACTTTCAATTGCTTCACCAAAAATGAACAGATCATCATCATCATCTAAGCATTTTGAAAAGCTCTCTTCTTCCACCTTATTAAGTGTTGGTTTAAGGGTTGTGTCAATGTGGACCCTGTAAGGATTTGGGTTTTCTGGAAGTGAAAGTGCTCTTGCTAAAACATTCTCAACAGCATTAGATATGAGAAGGGTGTCGACTTCTCCTCCGAGAAGAGTCACATTGTTCTCTTTGAGCATCAAGCACCCTTTTCTGAACTCTAACGGTCCTTTGAGTATAGCTTTCTCTCCCGGTAAAATTTCTTTTATGTTTCTAAGCTGGTTGTCTTCAAATGCGATCACTGTCGTCGCACCGTCTGTCAATTCGATCTTCAAAGCGCGCGATGCCGGGATGTCCGATTTCCTGCTCTCTTCGGCATTAACTTCCAAGTTGAACTGTGAGTCTGGTTTCCTGATTTTCTGCATCTGCTTGTGAAAAGACGTACCTATATCGACGCCGTAGTTGAACTGGACGGCGTAGTTACCGTTCAAGACCAGTTTCTCGTCGTTGAGACACCTGGCAGGAAGAACAGGAGAACCTATTTCCTTGAGATCGGCCAAAAGCCACTGGCCATAAACAAAAGTATCCAATTCATCCTGGGTGTGAGCGGGAGACTGGGCTTTAAAACACATCACGCACGAATTAAGCCACTGGTTCCCAGGAGGGATCAGAATCCTTTTCCTCTTTAAAAAGTCACTCACTCGAGACACTTCGTTTGACATTTTCATGAGCAGAAAATATCATTTCAGGATCACCGTGCATAAAAAGTGATAATCATATAAGCACAACATTAATTTATCCCACCAATAAATCGTTATCATTTAAACATGTCCTGTATTTGGTCTTATCGCCATCTATTATCTCTAAGTACCAACTATTCAAGTTACCTTCAAAACTTTAAGCAACTTAAATAAGTAATCAAATTTCAATTTAATTTTACTTTACAAAGAAAAATTAAAACTAGTACATTTCTTTCTAGGAGAAGATTGTTATTGATGATCAGTTTTATATTATAATCACCGTAAAATGATTTAATGATAGGTTGTTGGTATTAAAAAAAGCTTAGTTCATTTTTTAAAGTGAATATAGAAATTATTATTTTCAGAACGTATTTATTATATACTAATATGTAATAAAAATGGAATTTAAGTTTAAAATTGTAACTAATGTGTAGCCTTCCGACGAGGGTTTCTTCACTCGAGATTTGCCGCGACACTGTTGTCTGTGTTCTTAACCACTTCTTCTGACGACCACGTGACGAACGATTTTGTCTTGCGCTGGTCCTTATTCTTAAGTTTTCAGGTGTTCTTTGATTTTTTTCTTCAAAACCCTGACGATATGAAGACACCGAAGAAGCCTTCCAGCCCTAACCATAAGATGAACGTTTCCTTTGGGGGACAGGTGAAGAAGCCAAACGCGATGAGAAAGAAGAAATTTAGCCTCATGACACCCGAACACGCGTGGCAGGCGGTCAAAGACAACGATACGTTCACCGTCCGTACCAAGACACCTTCGAAACAGAACGGCCTTGGTTTGCAATCGTTGAAGACTGAGGGCAGCCCCAAGAAGAAGCCGAATATGAGTGTGCAGAACACGCCTGAGTCTAAGGTCAAACCGTCCACAAACCAAGGCGATTCGAGTTCAAAAAAGAGGAAGAAAAGTAGGAAGTCGAAGGAAGGATCTGCAGTTTTTAAGTCGCCGGGTGCCAATAATGCTAATAAACCCAAAACGGAAAACGTGAGCCCTGAAGTTAAGCTTGGCCTCAAGATCGAGAAATTCCTTGACCAAAGCCCAAAAAATCCGCCTAAAAAAACCACCCCCAATGTCAAAAAAAGCCTGAAGATGACCTATCGACCTCTCGATACAACGCCTTCAGGTGGTTTCCTACATCAACTTACTGTAAGTTTTTGTTTTAACAACAATACTATTTTTGTTTTTTTACATAAGTTCATGATGTAAACCTTGTCTCTAATAACTGTCCAAGCAGTTGTCCCAGTATGCTATCTGATTGTCTTGGTGTCTTGGAAACTAATTTAGCTGAGGTGAGCTGGTTTGTACACTTGACAAAGTCTAGATTGGATAGATAGACATACTTTTATTGATAAATGTGTACATAATTAACAACTGACAAAAGCATTAAATCATGGATAGAAAATCTGTCTGTCAGAAGTTGCCAAAATGAATTGCTTGTCTTTTAATATATTTTTTAATTATTTTTTTTATATAGAAGGTAAGAAATAATTTTAAAAAATTAAAAAAATGGGCTCTTTTTTTTTCTTTCAGTACTTAGTTGATTGGCTATATATTTATCAAGGAGCTCAGTAATGGACTTGGGTCCAAAATCCTCCAGAATCCCAAACGGTCCAGCCTGTCAGCGGGATCACCCCCAATTTATTTGTATTAGACCTGTATAATATAGCTAGATGTAACATTTCATGGGGTCAGAAACCAGAGTGTGTATGCCATCAACATTGTGTAAGGCCTGAGGCTCATGTTAGCCAGTGATAGTATATGAACTATGCTTGTTCATATACTAACTAAAAAACGTGGAAACTTAAGTGAAAAATAAAACATACATTAGTTATTTATATTAATTATACTTTTTATCTAAGGTCTTGGGTGAGATGAAAAGGATAAAAAGTATAATTAATTAAAATTGATAAAACAGCTGTTGGGACTGACTTTGGCTGTACCATTGTACTGTTACAGTCCTTGACAATGTTGGGACTGAGTCGGTCTTAAAGGAAATTTGGGATTGCCTGTAAAAAATATGTCAATCTGAAGACATATTTAAGTTGTTTTGCCCTGAAAATGACCTTAAATAAGTTGAAAGCTTGGCAGTAGATGAATTTGCTTTTTTCTTCAAGACCTTGATCCAGAGCGTTCGTCAATGTCTTTTGGCCTGCCAAAATCAAATTAGCCAAACATGTTTCACCTGCACATTAACATAGAAATTTGTTTTTCAAGTTCATTTTAATTAAATGTTAACTTTGTATTATTATGCAGGTGTTGAATGCTGTAAAAACTCTTATCAATAATGTTGAGAACTCAGGAGACAAAGGAATTTTAGAAGATAAAGTTAATTTTCTTCTTACAGTTCATTTTGCTAAACTGCCAGTTGCAACAAATGGTATTGTAAGAGTGTAAGTCATATCATTATGTTTGGTTATACTGTATGTGTAATTTATGTACTAATTTTTGTTTTAAATATTTCTAGTAAGCTCCCTCACTCTTTGTATACAGATACTGCAGATATTTGCTTAATTGTCACTGATCTTAAAGGTCATAAGACAGAACCTGATGAAGCAATTGATCATTACAAAGAATGTTTGTCTAAGGCAGGAATCAAGCTTCAAGTAGAGGTAAATATTTTAGATGCATTCTCACCTTTGAAGAAACAATTTATTAAATAAAGTTTATATTAATTTTAGGTCGTTCCTTACCGCAAACTGAGAACCGAATACACCCAAATTGAACAAAAACGAAAATTTGTTAATAGATTTGATCGTATTTTAATTGAGGGAAAATTAGCAAGGAGATTAAGTTCTGTAATCCCTAAAAAAATTTTGAAATCGAAGTAAGTGACAAAAACGCATTGTACCAAATGTTTAAATTAATATTTGTCATTTTTTAGACTACCAGTACCAATTAACCTCTATCATTTAAATAAACTCAAGCAACAATTTGATGTTGCTTTAAAAAAAACTCCATTTATTTTGAGTTCAAAAGCATTAACAATCTCAGCACAGGTAAGCACATTATTATTATTATTATAAAATCCATTACATGTGACACACAACTTCCCACATGTGACACACTTGAAAAATGGCAAAAAGGAGGGAAAATTCGAAAGGTTGGGTTGAGATGGGAAGTTGGTGTCCGAGCGGATCGAAGTCACGTTAGCTCAAGTGGTAGAGCAGCAGCATATCTAGCTGAAGATTGTGGGTTCGAATCCCGCTCATGACACTGACTTTTTATCTCAACTAAAAACCTTAATTAATTGAAAGATATTAATTGGTCAAGTGGACCACGAAAACTAGTGAATTTAATAAGTAAAAATGAAGTGTACCTTCACTAAAGCTCTGCATGACCATATCATTTGTCGCCGAGAATCTTTGCATTTCTCTGATTGAGCAATCATAATCCAAATCCTCAGACTGTTTTGACGATCAAATACCAGTTTCAAACTCGGCATGATATCGTTTTGAAACGACCGTCTGATAATTTGAGTTTGCATTTGTATCGTGTTGGAACACTCAAACTCATGGCAATGCGCCTACATATTTGCTAATTGCTTGGGCATGAGTTAGAACAAACCTATTAATGTGTGTTGTCCCGGGTTTGGATTTCAGAATCCCCCTAAATTTGAAATTTCTAAAATAATTCCAACTAGCCAATTTTTTGAAATTATTATTATGTTTAAAATATAATAATCACAATTCTACAATAATTACAAAAAAATCAACAATTTTTCTATATATTTTATTTAAAAAATTTAAATATTTTTATGTTCTTTCTTTTTATGTCTCCTCCCCCATTAAATTGTATATATAAAAAATGTTTTATTTGTTAGTTTGGACATTCAGGATTGTCTCCAAGTCAACTAACTGACAATATACTGGCTATGTTCAAAGTTCTAGCAGACACAGATGTTTTCAAATTAGGAGCAGCTAACATCAGATCGCTTTTTATCACAGCTAAAAATGTTCCGGCATTACCAATCTTCTTTTCAAATAGTAATACATTTTATTTTAAAATAAGATTATTTATTTATTGATTTGTTTAAATGTATGTTTAGTTTCTCCAAATGATGTTAAAGAAGGAACGATAGAAAAGAAATTGCCTAAATTTGGACCAGTGACAGATGAATTAAGCACGTTTCCCAATACAAATGTCACAGTTTATCCTGATGGAAGAGTCAAAACAAAAAAAATGAAACCTGTATGAAAATTACTTAATTCTACATAAAACAAGCATATTAATTTGTCATATTTAATTTAAGGAAAATGAAGATGAAAGCGATCAGAGTTTTAATGATAGTAAATTTGATTTAATTTTACAAAACTCAGATGATAGTGATGATGAAACAGATGATGACAGTTTCGAAATGGACAGTGAAGATGACTCTTTTCAAGAGATAAAACGTACGAAAGTCGTAAAGAGTATGAACTCTATATCTAAAGGCAGTAACGTTAAGGATGAAAGTGATGATGATTCATCTGACGATGAAGCAGAGATTGAAGAGGCAGAACAGAATTTCCTACAAGAAATCAGGAAGCAGCAAGATGAAATCAATGAGGTAAATATTTTAAATCTCATTTCAACAATTAACAAATTCAAAGTTATTTGTTTTTAAAAATTACAGAAGAATAAGAAAACTGGCAAAACAGTGAAAACTGACAAAACAGTGAAAACTGACAAAACAGTGAAAACTGGCAAAACAGTGAAAACTGACAAAACAGTGGAAGGACAACAAACAGCAAAACCTGCTTCTTCGCCTAAGAAAGAAGGCCAAAAGGTTTTTATTTATTTAGTTTCTAGTTACATTGTGTATTTTATTTTTACTTATATATTAAAATTAATTTTGTTTAGAATAAACCAGGAATGAAGCAACCTTCACTAGAAAAAAGAGTAAGTTAAATCTGAACTAATTTAATTTCTCTTTAATATGACAATTGATATTATGTATTTTACCTAATAACTCTGCTAGATGAGATCATTATTTACTTCTTACTACAACATTCCTAAAAATAAAAGATTTAATTTTTTCCAGCAAAGTTTCATTGGTGGCAAACAAGTAAAAAAAACAAATTTGAAGAAAGTGAGTAGTCATTTTTTAATCTGACTAATTTATAAATCAAATAAATTATCTATAAACAGTTAATCTTTTATTTACTATGATTTCATAATTTTCTCATAATTCATTAATAATTTGTTCATTTAGTTAATATAAATGTTTAAATTTTAGGGTGGACAATCGCCAAATGGCCATGCCAAGAAAAATCAGCAGTCTCCCAAAAATAAACAAAAGGTATTTTTTTGAAAAAGTGTTATCATATAAAAGTGTATTTAATTATTATTTGTACTTTCAGGGTAATAACAAACACAGGTACTTCAGCACAGGGTGAAAATTTATATGATTTCCCATCTTTTTTTCTTTTTGATTAATTGTGATTATTGTGTAATATCTTTTTTTATGGTTTTTATCAAAAAGAACGAATTCATATTAATTAACTAATGTGTTGTAATTTAACACAAAACATTTTCAGATTTAAAAAATTAAATTGATAAAGTTTTCTTTTAAAGGTTTACTTTTGTCTTTTTTTTACCTTTCATGAATGAATTTTCAGCATAAAGAATAAATGAAATAATTTCTATTGAATTTTTTTAATTTATTTATTTGATTTATTTTTAATGACAGTATTTCAACCATGAGGTTGTATGAACCCTTTGGGTGCTGGTGTTAAAAAGAAAAAGAAAAATTGAACGTATGTCGGGTTAGAATGCAAGGCGACTGGACTCGAACCTGAGACCTTTACCTTGCAGTGATGGGTGCCATGTCACCTAAACCTATCCTCGTCCTGTTTATAAAAGTGCTTTGCAGTTCTAAATTATATTCATTTTTATCTCATCTCTTAATGAGATTGACTACTTTTTGTACTCCTTATTCTAAATTTATAATAAAAATAGCTGTGATAAATTAATGCAAATTTCTCTTGGATCTAATTAGTTTGTGGCTTTTTATTTATTTTATTACATTTTTATCTTATAGCACTAGCTTAACATTAAGATAATGCTTCATATTTCCATTCTATGATTCATGCATGGTCTTGTTTATAATAAAATTGTAAATAAAAGGTCCTCTAATGGGTAAGAAAAATCCAGTGGGGATTGAACCCATGAATGTGGGTTCTACTACCTGGGAGTCTGTTCCTGTAAAAATTCAGCTCAGTCCCTCTTATTCAGCTAGTGGTTTATACATAGAATTCCATTATTTTTATTAATATTTGTGTTAACAAGATTATAGAGATTCATAAATTGATTTTAACGAGCAAAATTATTGACTTCTCTAGATATTCTCATCTTTAAGAGACTAATCAATCTTGAAGTACTGTAAAATTCTGGCTCATCATTTGAGTACAGAGAATACTACTTGACTAGTAAGTAACTAAGAATATTTCATGGATAGTTATGTATACCCTATCATCTATATTTTCGTCTTGGTTCATTACATCTAATAATCATTAAGTTCTCATCATACTCAATGCTCAAATAATACCTATAGGTTCATTTATCTGTGGTTTGGTTATAGGTTTTGCTGACCAATCCTTAACACCCAAACTGCAGTTCCATCAGTGATCACCATGATGCTAACTTCTAAAAAAATATCACAATGTTGCACACTCATTTTATTATTTTAATCACAGCTACATTGGAAATGGCTAAGAAGACTATAAAACACCCTTGTATGTACAGTTTATGCTATTTCCAAAAATATCTGATACTAATTAAAACCATAAACCAACTTAAATATATCAAAGTTTCTTGAACAGACAAAACAAGTCAGAATAGACAGGCTTTGCAGGGTGATCAAATGGCATTTATTTATTGTTATTGGTTTATCCCACATAAAATGTACGGTTTTGTTTTAAAGAAGATTAACACATTCATTATGATGATTTGTAATACCACTCCCAAAATATGGGATTTTTAAAGACAGTGCAAAGTGCCTTTTTTGAACTGTAACAGGAGTTTTAAATGTTCAATGTTTATTCTTAGCAAAACTGTTACAATCCGTGGTAAACTCTTTTTAGTTATCTATTTATTAATGTTAATGATTTTATAAGTTTAAACTGGGCCAATTTGAAGGTTTATTTTGTAAAGGGTAGTTATTGTAGTAAAAATTAGATTATGTTTTTAAGAAGCAAGTGTATTTCTAGTATAAACAGAAATATAAACCAAAAATATCAATTGCAGGAAAAAGGTGTCTTAGGTAGCTTGGTGAACAGTTTTTGTCATAAAAATATTATACAAATGGTATGGAAAATTATTACAAAAAATTGACTAAAAGAAGCTTTAGAATAAGTATTGTATTTTGTGACAAACAATTATCAATAGAGAATCGTTTGGTTCTTATATAGTTGTATTGACTTGTAGCCGTTAGGCTGGTGAGTGATGCTAGCTGGGGTGACAACCACTTCTATCTCCTGCATCTGGTTCAGCCTTTGAACATCTTTGTCTTTCCTCAACATCGTATTGGGTAGTTTTCGAATGCGGACCACTTGGGACGCATTAATGCCAAGCTCTTCACAACAAGTTCTCAGGAGAGAATAATAGTTCAGCTCGGCTTTCAGTATTTCCACTTCAATGAAATCAGGGTCGCCTCCGTTTGCAACCCTCACCTTCAACACCAATTCTAAACCACAGGGGGAAAAACAGTTGATTTAATTTAATTGTTATGTTGAAAGAGTGAATTATACATATTGCATTTAAATTGTATGAATTCAAAGTTTTAAATTTACATACACAATTGAACACAATTTTATTGATTAGTTCAAACATATATGTGTTTTTGTCGATATATTAATTACAGCATACTTACTTTAATATAAACCAAATGAAACAGGATCTGAAATTTATGAGTTCCAATCAAACATATTTAATTATTCTTTTTATCTAAGGTTTTTAGTGTCACAAGCGGGATTCAAACCCACAACCTTCGGCTAAATACGCCGCTGCCCTAACCCCTTGAGCTAACCTAACTTCGATCCTTTCTAACACCAACTTCCCATCTCAACCCACGACTGTTCGAATTTTCCCACTTTTTGCCTTTTTTCAAATGTCGTATAATCAGGATTCTTAGCGACTTATGAAGTGGCCATGGTGAGCTGTTAGTGAAGTAATTACTTCTTTTATTTATTACATTAATCCATATTTGTTTCGTGGCCATAATTGACACTACAATTATTTAATTAATTAATTATGCTTTTTATTTAAGGGTTTTAGTTGAGATGAAAAATTATGATTGTCGGTTCAAATCCCCCTCGTGACATTAATTTTTCATCTCAACCAAGAACCTTAGATAAAAAGAACAATTAATTGGAATAATTAATATGTTCAATTATGACCACTAAACAAATATGGATATATTTAATTATGATGGTTTGAAAAAAAAATCACCAAATCATTGAAAAATTGTTATGATAGATAAAATTTAACTAACAATTTTTTCCATTGCTAAATGATTTTCCAAAGTTTTGATGTTTTTCTTTCGAACCAACTTAATTAAATTTTTTAAAATTAAAACTCATGAATTTCTGATCTAGTTTAATTCGGTTACATTGCAATAAGTATGTTGTAATAATAATAAAACTACATATTTGAAACAAACAACAAATACGAGTATTCGTTTTCTTCTTCTTGGATTATAATAGATATTTGCATCTTTTTTTTAATTTTTATTATTATTCCTTAAGGGGCTGGAACCACTATTATTTTTTTTCTGTTTTATTTAACAATTTGTTAACAGTTTGGCAGTTGTTTTTTTTAAATAACTACCGGTTTGGGATTAGCCATAGAAATAGAGTACTCCTAGAGAGATGACGGGCAATGCCAGGAGTCACAGACCCGGCAGTGCAACGGACAAGCAGACTTATCTTCTGTATAAAAACTACCATTAATTCCCTAAAACATTTAAGGAGATGCAGATAAAACCATCCACATCAAAATACCTATGGAAAAGTCTTCGTCGCCCAGACCTCTGGAGCGAAACATTCTCATGGAGCTTTCCGCTTCCTCACAATGCTACCAAAGGCTAGTTTTCAATTACAGGGTTACATTGGCAAATAAAATGAATGATTTGTAGAGGATTGAAATTGAGGATGGGGAATTACACATAACTAAATAAATTTAGAAAGTGATGTAAGTGAAACAATTTATGCATATTGTCTTGGTTATTGCCAAGAATATCATGCAGGCTTCTTGACGCCAGGGAATGAAGAGATGTGAAAGTTATTTGTTTTAAGGCTACGATCTCCCTTGATGATTCTACAGTACCCAATCTTCAATCGTGTAAGAATGATGCTTAAAATGCTGAGAGCTATTTGCTTTACTGGCTGTATAAACCAAGGATTGGTCAGGTAGAAATGTCAAATTGTCAACTGTGTTTTGTTTTTTGCAACAGTTCCATATTTTTGTTTCTCAAAATGTAATTTTTAAATTAGAAAGCAGATTATTAAAATAAGATTTTAATTAATGGTTTTGATTTTATAAGATGAATTTAGGAAGAAAACAGTAGGAAATAGCAATGTTTCTAAAATACTTAAAATCCGAAGGTAAGCAGACTTTCTTATAAGCATGTAACAACTGTCGATCAGGTTTAAATTATTGCAAGCTGTTACATGTTTTGAGATAAAATTGTAAAAAAAATATTTATAATAATCAATATTTTGTTTTCACCGTCAGAATCCTGTGTCGGCGGTATTGGCCTGCGATGAATAGAACCATTGGTCCAATGGTTGAATTCTTCTTTTGAGTTTAAAGGTGGATTTTTGATGTAGTTGGGAGTGATGGGGATGTTGTTGGAGTCACCGTTTGTGCCGTTCATGTCTCCGAGGAGTTGCCTGATATCGGGATTGGTCGCGAGGGCGGCTGCCGTTTCCCCTTTTTCTGTCGTTATCGTCGGATCGGCTCCATTCTCCAGGAGCAGCTTCACTATTTCCGTCCGCCCCCTTTTAGCCGCCCAGTGAAGTGGAGTCCTTCAGTGAAAATTGCACCGAATTAGAACTAGCAACCATGCAAGAAAATAGATAAACGCTATTATTTCCAGTCGTAAGCGGTTTAAAGCGAGCAGCCACTACTACTTACCAACCGTTTATCACATGCCTTGTATTAACACATGTATTTTTTGAAAAGAGTTCGAAAACTAAATCAAAGTCGCCTTCGCATGCAGCTTTACGCAAGTTGTCTTCCAATACCTTAGCTCTGTCCATTGTACAAATCCATTACAAATTCTCTTCTTTTGGGAAAATTTAAACAGATAAATAATCACAGCTCGGTCATAACCGCGCCGCCTTAATCCTTATCAACAATGACAGCAGACAGCGTCAGCCTATACAAAAAAAACTCTGGAACCCATACCACCTATCAGCATCTCATGGACAGGTTTGCAGTGATGCTTTTTCAGCAGGGGCAAAAATCACGAAAAAACCGATAACACAAGGAAAAATGTTTAAATATTGAAATAATTAATGTAATTAAGAAATGATATACAACTAATTTACTTATAGCAAAAAATAATAGACTTTTTAGCTCATCATCCAAAATTCTAACACAACTAAAAATCTAAAAAATTCTTTAAAGAAGAATTTCTTTTTAAAAATTGATTTCTTATTGCAATTATAATTAAAAATAATAAACTGACTTTAGGTTGGCTAGTTTAAAATTTGAATTATTAATAAAACTACAAATTTTATATTGAGTGATATTGCTTATATTTTGTCTACCTTGAATGTATAAAATCTTCTTTTTACTGCTTTTATAAGTTAAGATTTTGCTGTGATATTCTTTGTCAAATCCATTTGTTCATTTTTCCTTTATATTCTTACAATTTCTGATATGTTTTAATTGTAAGAACTTTGAAAAAACAAAATTTTTTTGTTATTAAAGCGCTATGATTATTGCAAAAAAAATATAAGCCTTAATCAACAAGTGCTTTGTTCCACTTGCAACTGTTAATAATTCACCTGCTTGTTTGTTCCTTTGTTAATTTAATGTATTTTAGAATTAGATGACGACCACACTAGTCAGGAGGTTTTCCTTTACTTGGTCGTCATGGCAACTTGTTTTGTTTGTAAATTTCGTTTATTTAACTGCTTTAGTGGCTAAAAACGTTTTTACTCTGTCATAGAGTTAGACTTTAAATAGTTATTTATCTATTATGTTTTCCAACTATACTTCGGAGGCTGTCGGCTTCGATTCGATAAGTGAAGGAAGCACGTGAGTGTTTAAACTCTGTCTTGTATTTTTATTTATTTATTTAAATTTGAAATATATAATTGTGTAGGGAGACACTAGATTCGTCCTGTCAGACTTCAGAGTGTTTCACAAGCGAGAAAGAAAACCAAACTTTCTATAAAAATACATTAGAGGTAATTTTTAACATTTGCAATGGTCATGAGACGATTTAGATTATATTGAGTGCAGGTCGTATGGAAGGAGATTATAAAGAGCAGAAAATATACCTTAATAAGCGACATAAACATAGAGATGTAGGTGAAATATTTGGAGTGTGTAATATATTTCGTTCTGTGAGAGTTATTGTAGCTTGTAGCCCCCCCGTTCTGTACCTATAGCACACCGGTGATTCGTTTGATTAGTAGGCCAGGTTTTGTTGGTTGAATTTCTTCTATAGTTATGCTGTACATCCTAAAGCACTTCATCCTGCTTGGATGTGGTTGGTGTCTTCTGCTTCCTTGCAGAATCTGCACATAACATATTGGATTATATCAATCTTCCTCAAATGCCCCTTCAGTCTGCAGTGTCCTGTTTACGATTGAAATTTTTTCCGTGGTTCCTTTGAAGCATTCTGTTGTTTCTTTCCTCCTGAAACTCAGGTTCTTGGTTGTAAATACGTGAATTCTACTGTTTCCTCATCGTCTCTTTGTTTAAGATATTCACTAATACTGTGGATCTCTATGTCACAGAAATATTCAGGAACATTAAGTGACATATTATCAATGTAATGATTTTTTTTGTCTTATTTTTGACGAATCTGCAGGCTAAGCAACGATCAAATGCAAAATGGTTACAGTACAACTTCTATGGCCCCAGTCCCTGCCTAGATGGTTAATAAAAAGAAAAGCTGATTGCGCATGATCAACATTTAAATATGCATGCTTACAAACTGTGTGTACAAAGTGCACTTTCTTTTACAGAAACAATGTGCAATTTATATTAAATAAAGCGCATTGCACATATCCATATTGTAACATGACCCAATTTATTCCACCTATATGTAATATTTTATACTTGAAGACTTCATGGAATGTGGGCAAAATTTAAAAAATAAATAAAACAATTAAAAATTGTGTATGTTTTATGGTTGGTATATGCTTTTCAAAACTCTTTTACTGATGTTTCAACACTAGATGAAATCACACTTCCACTAAACACTTTTCAATGACATTTCATGTTTCCATGTATACCCTGGTCCCTTGATGATCAGAGATCGCCTGTAAACCTCAACTCAACATTTTTTATTGTTCAGGTTCAGACTGATGTATTCAACAGGGAAGCAGAATCACCAGCTTATGATGAGCAGGAGCTTACTACATTTCTAAAAAGAGTATGCCCAGCAGTGATACGTGAACTGGACAGGGTAAAATAAAAATATAATAAAAATAAAAAATTAAAAAAATATGTTGATGCCTCTACATTTTAAGGTTGAGAAAACGAAAGCATTTAGCAATTACAAGCTTACGGAAGAAGATCATCATGATGAAGTTAAACTTATGCATGTACTTTCAGCTAGTCATCTTCCTGCATTGCCAAAGGTATTATTTTTTAACTTGTACAATTTATTAGATTTTTAATTTTTATTTTTTTTTAATTTTAAAGTTGAGGGTTTCATGCATGGCTTGGAACTGCACTGGTGCGATAATAGGTTTAGCGTTTGAAACACCGGTCCATAGTGATTGGTGTGTTCATGATAGCGCTATTTATTTTTATAACATCAATAAGTAAGTTTTATTTTTCTTAATATACATTTTGATAACACAGAAGTTTTAATTTTGGCAATCCAACTGCAGGTACAAATTTGATGGTTTTCAACCGAACCGGGTGATCACAACAGCATCATGTGTTACAGCACTTGCAATGCATCCTTTCGAACCAGCTGTTGTCGCCGCTGGAACTCAAGCAGGTACATTACTGGCTAATCTTTTTTATACCTTCAATAGTAATTTTTAAATTTAATTAGCTGTTTGAAAAACCAACTGGTATGTGTTTTAAAAATTAATTGTAGGTGAAGTTCATGTATGGTCATTGTTAAATGAAGGGCCTGAATCAGGATTCACCAACATAGTAACTCATAATGACAGAGTCACCAAAATCGAGTGGGTCTCTATAAAAGACCAACTGTTGTTAGTAACTTCATCACTCGATAGTTATATGTTTACTTTCAAAGTTGTTTCTGGGCTGAGATCTGTAACATTGAATGATAAGTAAGCATTGATTCTTCTGATATTAATTATATACCTGCAATAATACGTTCATAATGATTACATTTATTAGGTTTGTTTTGAATGAAGATGACAAGGTGATCAAAGCTGGTGTCACGACTTTCGGGTTTTCAAAATCTCCAGGTGTGTTCGTTGCTGGACTCGAAGGGGGTGAATTATTGCATTGCTCAGCATTTGGGGCTACACCCATGGCCAAACGTCGTACGTCAAATGTTTCACACATGCTTTCTGTTGAGTGTAAATCATAACAGATGTGAAACTATTTCAGCTGACAGTGCAAGCACATTTAAAAAACCTGTATTGAAATCACTGGGGAAATTATTAGGTCCGGTTGTGACAATTGAATTTTCGCCGTACCATGAAAATCTTTTTGTGACTGCCCATACTGAAAATAAATTCACCATCAGATCAATTGACCAAGTAAGGAATACTTTTATTTTAAACAAATCTATATTGTAATTTATTACTTTTTATTTCATAAGCACTTTCATCAAGATCATAAGGACTTTCCAATTCCTGTATTAGAAAAATAACAATTTTGTTAAAATGAAAATGTGCTGTTTTTAGCAACACGAGTAAAATTTTATCAGTTGTTACAAAAAACCTTGCACCTAAAAACATTTTTAATTAAAAATTATGAAATTAAATGATAATATTTCATTGCATTAATCATCTCCATTAGATTTTTCTAATCAGATCAAATTCCAAATTAATTTTTATAATTTTTTTAAATGAGGTCATTTGAATACTCGAGGTTCCAGTGTTAAAAAACATTCGTAAGTGATAAAAGCCCAGTTCCTTAACCTTACTGTGATGATCGCCCTGTCAACTCCTAAACCATTGAGGCAACTGACGCTCCCCTGAAAATAATTAAAAAAAACATGGTATTCTTATTACAGGTCACTCCTCTAAGAGAAATCTACACGGACTTTGAAGTTGTTGGTACTTGCTGGAGTCCGTCTCAAGGTAATGCTGTCCTATCTTGGGGTGCTTCAGATAAAATTGTCATCTTTAATAGTGATAACGGAAAGAAATTAATAGAACTGAGACCTGAAGATGAGCCGGATTATGAATTATCCAAAGAACCCCGCCCTGTAATCTACAATGTGGCTTTCAATGTTAAATAGTGAGTTGCAGCAAAAGAAAATGATTAAATTTGTCATTTATGTTTTTTTTTTTTCAGCGATAACATTCTTGCTTTGAGCTGTCACAATAGTAAAAGTTATATATGGGAAATCCCTAAATTTTACAAGGCTGTTTGATTGTTGAAAGAAACTCGGGTATAAAATTAACTACGTTGATGAGATTGTGTTAATTGCACATTAATATATTTTTTGGGAAATTATTTGATGATGTTTTTATTTGCCTAATTTCCAAAATTAATTGCTCTTAGGTCAGGTATTTCACTTTTATGGTAAAAGTTTAATTTACCCATGAACTCCTAATTAGAAGAAGAAGAAGTTGAGGACATTGGAAGCATATCTGGATAAAATGAGAATGAAGAACCCACAGATTTTGACAAAATGATGTAATAGGTAAAATGAAAACCAATAAGTCCCTTGGGTTCATGGCCTGCTGGCAGAGGGGAATTCTATAAAATACTCCAAACCAATTATATCCACATGGGTGAATGAATCTTATCTAACAAAAACAAAAAAATTAACCAGCTCCTCCTTGGTCAATTGGAAAATATAAGGTAGGCTTTGAGAAAAAAATGTCCACAGTAGACCAGTATTCTGCCTTAAATGAGATATTAAATTCAAGCTATCCACGCATTACCTCTATAGATTTTTAAAGTGCTTATGATAGCATGTGTGGTCTGGATCCAGGCCGATGTATCTGAAGATGGCACAATGCTGAAACGCTTTTTAGTAATTAAATTAACCCAAGAGAGTGAATAGACCCAATAAGCAACACCAGGTACCAGTTTAACTCCCATCATCTTTAAATATTTGGACATAATGCTGACATTTTAAATTAAAAAGAAAAAAAAGGAAAAAGTTATTACAGAATTATCCTTCGATTTTATAAGAATGATTTTTAAAGTGAAAGATAACATGCATAGGATGGAAGTATCTTATATGCAGGATAGGATATAATTATGTTTAGTGTGTACTAGCAGAAATCACTACGTACACGCTGTGGCAATATGCCCAATATTTAGATATTCAAGGAAAATCTCATGCAAGTCTTAGTAAATTTGGATAAATTGTTTATAAATTAAATAAATATTTGTTGTCAATGTTTTAATTTTAGCAAAACTTGGTGAATTATATTTTTATTACAAAAATCCATTCTTAAGCTTTTATTAAAAATTCCATTTTATTTTTATAACCTTTCTAATTTTTAAAAATTATTCTTTAAAAAAAACAATTTAAAAAAAAATCTATCATATATTATCTTTGTGAAACAAAGGAAAAATGAACAGATTGCAAACATTACTGATTCTTATTCTATTCACCAATTTAATACTTCAGTTTTTAAAAACATTCATGAATTTTTAAATTTTGTGACTAGAATGTTTCTTCTTTATGATAGTAGGACACCAGAGAACTCCCTAGAATGTTCAGTGGTAAAGACCGGGTGCTGGGAAAAAATAAAATAAATAAATAAAAAGAACATTGTTGCTCTACACTGCTTCTTATATACATATACATACCATTTTAGTTATTTTTTCATTAATATTTTATATTAATATTTAGACCAATAAATATTTGGAAAGAAAAATAGTTGAACTGCCTAGGACATCTATGTTGGAAGAGTTTTTGATATTTTTGAAAACCCAGTCCAATGTCAGGGCTCTAAATTTTTATTTTTCAGTTAAAATTAATTTTCAAAACAATCCTAGCACAAAGAATTGAAAGCTATAAGGCAGCAGTTTGTACACCTGAAAAACACATGGTAGAATCTTTTAGACAGTATTGTTTTATACTATATTAATTACATATAATAAAACTTTGAAGAATAAGTTAATAATAGAGCTTTAAATAAATCCAAGAATTTAACTTCAAATGTTAAACTGCTGCTTTCTAATTTAAATAAGAACAGAAATTCCTTCAATATTCATGTTCTTTAAAATCAGATCATCCTTTTTGCTAATTACATTGGTAAAACTGTTGGCAAGGAAAAAACCTAAAATTTGAAGTGTATTGTTTAAAAAATGGGACAGAATATGAATATCTGGTAATAGAGAGTTAGAGACAGGACATGGTTTTTTGTTGGAGAAATCGAGGTCAACCAGAAGTCGAGTTCAGTAATGGCCAATCTTTCGAAAAGAGGGGGATGTGTTGTGTAATGCTCCAAGGTTTGCAGCTTTCACCCCATCCTTCCTGCAAGACTGCCTTTCATCCTTCTCTAAAAATTAAAAGAAAAAAACCCACACACGCATACACACTTTCTTTGAAGTACACATTCTGTATGCTTTTAAATTGTATACAACTGAAAACAATGATGTGTGAAAAGTGTATAAAATCTAAAATTTAATTATGCTGGGTAATCGAGTGAATAAATTACTGGCTGCATTTTTGTCAATGGTGATTATCTGCGCTGTGTTTATTTACTGAATGCTATCTGAAACAATTGTATTATCGACAGATTTACTATACCATATGGTAAAAATTCAGCCAGTTTTCCAACAAATTCTTTACAATTTGACAAAGAGTATAATACAAATTTGTGTAACAAGAATGGATCAAATGCTGCAGATATTTTCATCCAAGCCATGAACTTTTCTCTGTAAAACAAATAAAATAATTAAAACTTTCATTGATATAATGTTGAACCTGAAAATATAAAAAGGCTCAAGGAGCAACCTTGCTTGCTAAATGCAATCATTTTGGGGGGGGGATTGTGTAGGTAGGATTAGGATTAAGGAGTATTTTATTAATTATATCACATAGTTAATACCCTTGCTCAAGTATAAACTGAAGATAATTAATAAAAAAATTAAGGTGTTTTATCAGGAAAAGGGGAGGGGAATGAAGTTCAACCTGAAAATTAAAATGCTCCCAATGGAGCAAACCTTGCTTGCTAAATGCGATCATTTGGTGGGAGAGGAAAGGGAAAAAGGAAAAGGATCAAAGGAATGGGGATAATAATATGCAGAATGAATGAATTTCAAGGAAGGGGAAGGAGATTTTTTTTTTACTTTTTTAACTTTTTTTCTTTAAAACAGAATGTTTTGGTTTTTCCTTAATAAAATCTGTAGACTAGACTAATGTATACCATCTTTTTAACAAAATAAAAATTTAACAGTCAAAATACTGAATACAGAGAATGAATTAAAACATTTGCAAATAACAACAGAAAGAAATTCAATTTGTTAGGGAGTTTTGTTATTGTGAGATCAATGAATATTATATATGGACTCAATTTTTCACATATACTTATTAAGGTACAATTGGAACATTCAATAGAAATTTTCTCAAGATATTGCACTTATACAATACCATTAAAAAAATAAATGGAAGACTTTTGAGTCTTTTAAAAGTCTTTTTTTTTCTTTTAACTTTGTTGCGTTGATAAAGATGCCGAGTAACACTTTCGGCAAAAACCCTTTTCAAAATGTATTTTTTAATGTTCATTATAAAGGGTAGAGGCCAATCTCAACTTTTTTCCTCCTTTGTACAAAAAGAAACGATAACACAATTTGGTTCATTTAAGTCATCGTGTTCTTCCTTTTCAATGTTTGGCATTTCGCGGCACTGAATTTAAAACTGGAATGATATTTTTATAATCAGTCTTATATGCACTCCTTGGTATTATTAAAAAATTGGCCTTTGAAAACTCACAATATCGTCCCGTTATGAGATTTTTTTTTTCAAGACAAAAAAGATCAATGCTTGCTAAAAAAACAAAACAATATTTTTACAAATTGTACACAACAATCAAGTCTTTCCTGAACGGATAAATTTTGATGAGAAGAATTTTTGTAAACTACCATCTAACAACTAATCTAATTGTACACTAATAAGAAAAAATAAAACTAAACAAACCTTGGTTTTAATAAGTAGTTAATTTTTGATGTAATAACAGAAAGACTTGAAACATTCTCATATATATATCCTAAACTGTCACATCACATTTATAGCAATACATTTTTTTCTTATTATTTCTCTTAAATAATCACAGGTATTAAAAATAACTCTATTCAGAATATTTTTACTTATTATCTATTACATAATGTATACTTTATATTAAACCTTCGGTAATGACGTTTTTTCATGACTAGATACCTTAAAACTTCATTTCCTTTTTTTAACTGTGTATGCTTCATCTTAAGATAACGTCATTAATCTTGGCAAAACACAAAGAGTATCTGTGATTATTCTCTGTGAGTACAAAGAAAAAAACATTCAAACAAAAAAAAACTTTTTCCCAAATAAGAACAATTGGGAACAACTTACAAACTAAATTGTACAGGAATTGATTCATTACAGCAAGACATATTATTGGTGTGTAAATTTTTTGAAGTACATTTCAGAATATTGAATCCATAGCCAAATTTTAATCAAAATAAATTTTAATTTTGAATCGATTCCTTTACTTTACTATTATCCCAATGCCATTTTGTTTTTTCATTATAAACTGATTTTTAAAAAAATATGTTTGTCAATATGAAATAGTGGTTGTGTTTTGGTGACATGTTATAGCACTTCAAATTTTGTAAGCGATTTGTCAGCAAATTAAAACTAATATAAAGGGGGAGGGGGGATTTGTACGGTGAAAAAAGGAGGTAAAATACTAAAGCCTATTAGTTTTAAAAGTTAAACATAGAAAGAAAGAAAAAAAATGGTGAAAACGGAGAGAAATTTCCTTTTCGAAATTGGTAACTTCTTTATAACTTTGAAAACAAACAGAAATGAAAGACTTGTTTTGTTGAGTTTGTAAATTATGCTGGCAACTTTTAAAATCCAAAAGGCTTCATTACCATATTTTTTTCCATTTTCATATCAGAAATTAAAAAGAAAAAACAAATTGCACTTTGTAAACAGTACAAAGAATTGTAAAACAATGAGAAAAACAATGTAACAAATTTAACTTTTTCTAATTAAAATTTGTAAATTTTATAATCACAATTTATGATCACAAAAGACTTAATCCTAAGTTGAGATTGTGATTATACGTCAACATTCGGAATAGGCCGAAATTGTAAAAGGAAAACCGTTACATTGCTTTACTCTTTTCAAAAATTTCTTCTTATTTTCAACTCTTCTCTTATATAAATATACTCTAAAATTTCTATTTATAAAAAATTAAAAATCTTAAACCTTATAATTAGGTACATCTCACCCTTTTCTTATGTTTATTAATTTGTAATTTGTATACGGATACAAGTGAAATGACTTATACTACGAATGGTGGTTGTTGTGTTTCGACGGCAGACGCGTCAAGCTTGAGCTTCAACGAGGATAGGAAAGATCCAATGCGACGGAGGCTGTGGGAGTGCAGTCGGCTCTGGAGAATCACTAAAACCCGCATAAAGCTCTCCGTGGTTCGGGGAGAGGCGGGGACTCCTCACGTTGCGCTGGCCACTGCCCCCTTTGGACGGAGAACATTTGCTCGCTTTCTGCTGCGGTGACCTGTTGCCGAACTCGGAGAAAACGTCGTGCTGCGGAGACGACCTCGGGCTCTTGCAGTAGGCCGCCTTTTGGTGCTTCTGGAACGGAAAATCCTTCTTGCCGGCGGTGTTGGTGTTGCTGTTATTGGGGTAGAACTGTTTTCCTTTGCCCCTCGTTGGGGAATGCAAAACCTGTTTGACTCCTTTCTCGTGCCCGTCCACCATTTTCGAAATCACAGAGTTCGTCATTGTCCATCAGTCAACTTCTGGTCGGGAAGAGAACATACAACCAAATTCGTAAAGCTATCGTCTTAGGAAAAAGATTAAAGAAAAGAAGGTAAAAATCAAAATGCGGCTCCGATCTCACAAGGATGATAATGTCCGATACGGAAAAGGCCTCCGGCTAACATTCAGTCTTAAGGCCCCGAATCGATAAATCACGAGACTTTAACACTCCGTCTGACAGGTTTGCATCCTCTGCAAGCGCCATAAGTCCAAAGTCCTTTCTTCCAGTCACAACAGAGCTGCAGCTGTCGCATCGGAGTGGAAAAAGAAAAACGAAAGAAAAAAAAGCACCCCAACAAAAGTGGGGCAAAACAAACAAGATGGCCGCCTTGTGAAACGCAGTTTCCACAAAACCCAATCGGTCCGTTACTTACCGCGTTTTAGTCCTTCTTTCAAGGAAAATCCAGGCGCCCTCCACAAAACAAAACGCACGTCGATACGCAAAAATGGTTAGATTGCTTATCAGATCGTCCAAGGATGAGTCGAGACTTCCACTTTCCTTATTCTTGGCAAGCCAGGAGGACGTCGACGGTCCGTCTCAGAATGACAACTGGTCCGGGCGAGGACGAGGAGGCAGGGGACCCGTTCTCCCCACCACGGCTGAAAGAGAGCCGATCCAAGCCGAACTCGCCGGATCGACACGAACCTCTCCGCCTCGACGAATCAGAAGACGAAGAGGCGGTCACGTGACCCAGGCGAACGACGCGTCACGCATCCGCCTAACGGGAAAAATTCCATTTTCCAAAGTTTTCCGCCGAATCCGGCACAGAAAAACGTGTTGTCCAATTTTCAACCGCTCTACAGTCCAACACGGCTAGAAAGGAAATTTCGAAATCGGCCGGAAAAAGGCTACGAGACTCTTTTCCGTTTGAGAAGTACGTCGACAGGATCGAACCCTTTCTCCCTTCCCATTGGCTCACCGTCTTGGTAGGCGTGGCTTCCTCTCGTAATTCCATGAGAGTTGTTTCAGTTTACAGCTGTCTGTGTATGTGTGTGTGTGTATGTGGGCTGTTTTTTTTGTGTATTTACCATTTTTTCCCATTCGATTCTTCAGGACGATCCTCGGGAAATTAAACGAGAAAGGGATTCCGTTCCGTTCCGACCGCCTCCCGTTGTAGAACCGAGAGGATTATAAATGTGAGCTTAGTTAGCTGTTAGAAAACCTATTAGGAAAACCGACGGAATAGGTAAATCCATTCACAAATCTCCTTTTTATATATTCGAAAAAGGCAACCGGGCTGTCGCAAGCGTTACGTTAGTTTTTCTTTCTCTGGCCCTCTGCTTTTTTTTCGTTCCTTTCTCGAAAATTATTAATAGGGTTTTATTTATAAAAGAAGTGAAAGAATAAGGCATAGCCCTCCTCTTTTCTCACAAAACCTGCTCAGCCTTGAGAACGAGCTAGCGTAAGAAAGATCATTCTCATATTCTCAGTAACACCAACAAGCATATTTCATTACAAATACATGCTAAATTGTATAAATAGAACACAGAGAACCCGTAGCCCTCCTTTTTTGATTGTTTGCCTACTACGCTGGAGAATATTCATGCATGAAAGACCCAAAATCTTCAACCGCCCGTTATTTTATCCATGTTCCGAATTGATTTGGACTTCGATTACCCTCGCTATCTTCAGACCTAATCGTTTCTTATGTAGTCTGACTCATACGACAAGAATCCACGACGGGAAGTAATTCATTTGATTGCGACTCTTATTAGTATCTGTCCAGCTTTTCTTTCCGATCGTTTGTGTTCTCATCCAGCTCTTCTTTCGCTCACGCTTGTCTGCTGTAAGTGTAAGTATTTTAATACTTATTATTACAGTTTTTATTAGTGTTGGGGAGGGGGCAACGCCCCTCGCTCTCCCTCACCTTCGATATAACCTCTAATTTTGCTCTCCGTTCCGTCCGACCCTGGAACGCTTTCAATTACGGGAAAACAATCGTGCAAGATTCATTTCAGCTGGTTTAACACAATTAAAACTCGAACTTTTATATTCAGAGATAAAGCATTTATTTAAAATACTTTAAAAGTTAGTAAAACCATTTGAGAACACAGGTGGTTCTCTGTATCAAGAGTATTTAAAAAAAACAAAGAAGTTACTGTCAAAAAACGTGTCTTTTTTATAATTCGTCAGGCATCCTTGTAAAACATTCGAATGGACCATTTCCGAGGGTAATTACCAATTAATTTTTTTTGTGTAAATTTATATAATTGGTCCAGTTAGTGTTTGATTTCTAGATGGTGAAACAGATTCAACTTTCAATGCCTACACAAAAGAAAAGCTAAAAAGCCTACTGAATATTTTGTCTGATTTTGAGCTAACTTTTTAACTTTATTACAATTTTTATTGGGCTTATGTTGAATTGTAGTTGTTAAAGAACTTCATCACTTTTTGGTTGATTTTGGGAGGGGGCAAAGATAAAAAAAGACCAAGTTGGGAATTTGATTATTTTTTAGTTGTTTGTTCAGAACTGTACACGTCTGAAAAATTTACTCTCACTTAAATGCAGGTGGTTTGATCAGAGCATTTACAAGAAAAAGTTACAAGAAATTACCAAAAAATGGAATATTTGATCAAGATTAAAACTTGGACTTAAGCATTTTTTTTAAAACCAGAATTGTGGTACTGAATTATAATTTACAATTTTTTGAAGTTGTAAAGAGCGGTCAGGAATGAAGTATTTTAGAAAACCACCTTTTTCATTTTTTAGCCAACGTTTCAATCTTTATTCATGTCTTCAGGACCTGGCTAAATTACAACACATACGTTGCTTGGAAAAAATACAATACAAATGTAAATAATATAAATTTTGAACCACGTATTTCATATTCAGATAAAGTGTAGTGCTATTCTCGTGATATAACAAGAATAACTCCACACTTTATGTGAGTATGAAATTCTTGGTTCAAAATTTATATTATTTATATCTGTATTATTTTTTTTCCAAGAAACATTTTTGTAATTCACTATGGGCCTGAAAATGACACGAATAAAAGTTGAAACGTTGGCTAAAAAATGAAAAAGGTGGTTTTCTAAAATATTTCATTCCTGACCGCTCCTCATGACTTAAAAAAAAATAATTCACATATTTGTCTAGGTACAACAAATTTTCTGTAGGTTTACCAATAAAAAATATATGTGCTCATTTTCAACTTATTTATTTTTAATGTAATAACTCATAATTTAGGTGAAAAATGATGAGGCCTTTAAACAAGTGATGGATATTATTCAAGAGGACAAATAAACTGATTTGTGACAAATTGTTGTTTCATGTTGCTATTGCAACTAATTTATAAATAATTGTAATTTACTGGAGTTATCTATAAATCTTAGTGTTCGTTGTATACAGGTAATTTAAATTCTCAAGTTGACAAAACCATTAATTGATTAATTGATCAGTTATGGATTCTGAAGTATGAGCGAGCAAGTTAGGAAACCAAACATTAAGTAATTACATTAAAGTCATTGTAGAAAAAGAGAGTCCCCCATAATATAGTTGAAGTGACTAGGTGTCCTCCGTATCAGTGGTGCTGGCCACTGTCTGATCCCTCTATGGCTAAATGGCTAATGTGTTAAGAAAAACAAGAAAAATATCAATGTATTTTAAATCCAATAACAATTAAAAATAAATAAATTGAGTATTGAATTTACTAAGACAGCACAGTAAAAAAGTTTTCCATGTCCTCAATCAAAACTGGTTAACAATTTTGAATATAATTCGTTATTTTTTATTAATATTAAAAAATTTCAATAATCATCAGGATGGTATTATCTTGAAAAAATTTCTGGTTGAAGATTTTGGGTCCTTATGTACAATATTAGAATGTTTCAGTTAATTTTTTAATTAGCTACTTATTAAAATTGATTTTTATTACATCTGGTTCATATATATATATTGATTTTCTATAATGCTGTACCCATTTTTTATATTCATTTTAAAGCTCTCATAATCTCAACATTACTACTGATTTGTACATGTCATACACTTTTACACAAGTATGCCTTAATTTGCAGAGATTTTGGTGAATGGTGTTTTGGTATTTTGCTAATTAATCTTTTAGAAAGTGTTTTTGTTTTTTAATAAAAATATTTTAAAAATCTGCAAAGCTGGTTCGTTTTTCTAAACAGATGTGCTAGTTGGTTGATTATTTATATTTTGTCAAACAGAAAATTAACAACTATTTTTTTCCTTGTTTACTTCTTGGTGCATGCTTTTTCTATCAATTGTCTTACTTGTTTACAGTTTAGCATGCAAATTCTTGTTTATTTTGTTTCTTGTTGTACTAAACAAACAATTAGTCTTAATTATAATTTATTTTGTTACCCTCACTTTTAGGGTAACAATGAATCCAAATCGCGTTAGTACTTTACGTAACCCTCAGAACTTTGCACGGCATGTTGGGAGTAGCCACAGCGGAAGGCAGGTGCACAATTCCCACTGGCAAAGTAACCATGTCCCATTCGGCAAAGATTTCCAACAAGGATATGGCCAAGGGTAAGTTTCAAGTCCTATAATCAAGGAAAAAACCGGGCTCTTATGTTCATAAAACTTGTTTTGGCTTTGATTTTTCCTTTGTTATTGATAAATTAAAATTTAAAAATTACTCTGTCCATTGTAAACTTACTGTATAAATTGGTATTATTAAAATAATATATTTTTTATGGACAAACTTTTTTTCTGGATAAGTGGTCGGTTTTAAAAACATTCATTTTTATAAACAAATACAAAGAAAACTGAATAAAATGTTATTTTTAAAAACTGTTGGAATGTGATATGCATTTTTGGGTGATATGTTAAAATCCATTTTATAGATCACACTTATTGCAATTTAAAATATTAAGCTAATTTTAGTTAGAGTGCCGTAATTCCATTAAAATAAAAATAAATAAATGAAAATCTGGATTTTGTATTTATAATATCATTACTTGCTCTTGGTTATAACAAAAACAAATATATATTTTTTATGATTGCTTTTTTATTTTATTATTCTCAATTAGGAATGTGGTAAAGTCATTTAGTTGAAACTGACACCTTTTGTATATTTAATTCAATTTTCCCCAACTCTTTCCCCATTCACTTAGTATTTCATTTTTGAATTAATCGATCCTTGTTCAAATAAATAGCTGATTTAAAAAATGCTTGATTTTAACCAGGAAATAAAGTCCTGCTTATATTATTCTTATATTATTATATATTCCTTGCTTTTTATACCAGCATGTAAGGTTTGTGCCCTGTGGTTTTTAGTAACCAATTCCTCTTTTATTAGCTAAAAATAAGTCAGAGCCAAAGCAATTATTATTGGTTTTATGTATTAGTCTTGGATTTTGAGCAATTCAGATGTAATTTACGTATATTGCTTAGTTTGTATTGCTCTTTATATCTTTTTAAAATGGAAAAAATGGAGTAGTTATCATGAGGAGTACTATTAGCTTGCATAATAAAAAAAAAAGTTCATAAGTGCCATTGATGTCTATTCATGTAAGAGTACTACTCATTTTTTCCTTGGTTTTAAGAAGGGACAGAAGAATCAAGGAGGTATTTTTTTCTTTTCCCATTCTTCTTGTTCTTTCTTCTTTTTCAACTCGACGATATCCGGAAAGTTGAATTTTTCCAGCGGAATCAGCAACTTGAGAGAGAAGGCTGGTTACCCAAAGACAAACCTCCCTTCCACACACTTCCAGACTGAGTCTAGTGTCGACATGCGCCATCAGATACTTCTCCCTCATAGACCCCAGGTAAAATACCTGACTGGAAAAAAAATCAACAAATGATTAGGACATTTACTTTGTTTATAAGTTTCTTCAAATCTCTTGGAGTCATACACAGAGCGATTTTCCCAGTTCAAATTAATATTACAAGTTAGCAGAAAGTAATATTGCAAAATGAGGTTTATCAAACAATATTGCTATATTATTGTTATGTTTGTTATTTATTTCTGTTTGTAAACAATACTTTTTCAGGGGAAATTTTCAACATCTCAGAAACAATCTAAAATATAATTAAATGCTACAATTTGATTGCAAAAGATAAACCTCAATTATTTCTTAATCTTAGCATTAACACAATTTATTGATTGTTTTGCCAACGAGTTAATATATATGATACCATTTCTTAATAAATTAAATATAATAAATTCGATAACATTAAATGATTGAAATTGAGTTTTGCAAATTTTGACTTAATATGAGTAATTGTAGACAATTATTTTTACAATGTTCAAATTCTAAGTTTATTGATTTTTTCTGAGAAGTAGTTTTATCATTACCAGTAAATTTGTGGGGAATGTAACTGAATAAAAATAACATTGAATTAAAATTAATATATAATAAAATAAAAAAATATAAAAAAACCTCAGTGAGAATAGGAAATTCATCACCAAAAAAATGAAAATAATTAATTTCCTTATATAGATGGGTATGAACAATTATGAAAGTACTTTGAATTTTTTCCTCCTACAATTGTTTTATAGTTGAATTATTTGAATTGTTAGCATTCTCATTAGTTTGTTACAAGTCAACACATTTTGAACTAGTTTTGAGATACAATTGGTTGTAAAATAAATAAAAAATAAACACAATAGAAAGCTCTGGAAAAGAAGACCATATATTTTTGTACTACGTTTAAAGTGTGAGTACTGATTGTGTGCTTTTGATTAGGTGGCAGTTTATTTGCTGTATGATCTTATTAAAATCAAATTCAAAATTAGGCTTTATCCTTTTATGTCTTTCTTTACTCTTGAGGGAGAATAATCTTGTGCAGAAATTGATTAACCTTGCACCGGAGTAAAGTAAAGCATGTGTGCCATTCTAGCTTTTGTTACTTACTCCTAGCATGTTAATAGTTTGAAGAATTTTGCTGGGGTTTAGAAATTAAATTTCATACATTTTGTATTTTTTGCTATATTTTACATTTAGCTGTTTTTTTGTTTTGTGTTTCAATGTAATTTTTATTATCTTAGTGTAATAATGATTCACATATATACATAATTTAACTAGAAATTTGTGCATATGTTTAATGAATTTATACCCAAAATAGGAATGGGTGTCATTTTTCAAATTTAATTTATAAAACAATACAATATAGTAACAGTACCATTTATGGAAACATTTGGCCTGATTTCCTTTTATTGGTTTGATATTTGTATTTATGTTTATTGAAAAAGAACTTAGGCTGTATAAAATTTTGATTCTGATGTCTAGGAATTTGAAATTCCTAGTAAGATTTAATTTGCAGTTTATCTGTTTAAACAAAATGGATATGTTTATATAATCATATACAAACATTTCTTAAAGTTATCAGTACTCACACTTTGAAAGCTAAATATAAACAAACAGCAAATGTTTATAGATGAAGAGATATTCAAAATGAATTTTCGTTCCTTTGTGTTATTATTTACTATTTTTGTACTTTAAGTGTTAAAAAGTCTATTGTGTTTGTCAATTCATGGACATTTTTTGTTAATTTTTTTCTTTTCTAAGTAAGAAAAGTTGGGATTAATGTTCAAGGTCTTCCCATCTTGTGTGTAGTTACTTTCTATTAATCTATTTAGATATATATATCTTGTCTTGAGTGGTCTGGAAAATTTTGACATTAAGCCCAAACTCTTACTTTAAAAAAAGTGATATAATTTTAATCAATTTCTTATGTCCAATTCAATTATCGTCTTATATAAATTTTAAACACAATTGGAAAAATATAGAAAAGAAAATTTTTTTTGTGATTGTCAACAGCGTCATAAAACTGGCATATAAAATTACATTCCGACCCCTGCCCCCTAGTTAAATAAACATCAAGTTTAAAAGTTTTTACACTTACAACTTTCCCTTTCATCCATTTTTCAATATTGTACAAAACTCATTTATCACAATGCATGTTGCAGTTGTATTTTTCAATTGCATTATGCTGGGTTTCAATAAATTAGCAACCAAAGTAACTCATTTTATTTGTATTAATACGTGGTGGCAGTTATGTAATGTATTGCAAAAATAAATCATTTGTATTTATTGTTTCCTGTTGTGTGATTGAAGTAGTTAATTTGTAATTTTTAAGGTCTGGTAATCTGCATGTCTACCGAATGCCATCTTTCTTGACTTCTGACTGTTTACTACTTTTTACACTATTCTTAGTTTTAAAAAATAAATCTCTCGGTTCTAGCCTTCTTTAGAAAAAGCTGTTGGCATGTGCTAATGCACAACTGACACATTTTATAAATCCAATGCTTAACGCTTAAACACAAATACACCGTTGAGTATGACAAGGAAGAAAATGTGCTTGCGTGCGTGTTGTGTGTATGTGCGTGTGTGTGTTTTTGTGAGTTAGTGTAGTGTGTGAGAGATAACCTGTTTATTTCTGACTTTTATATCTTAATTTATTTTTTCAACAGCTTATTTTAACGAAGTAATGAACCCAATATTGCTTTTTTTCTAAAACAAAAGCAAATTACACCAAATATTTGAATTATCAAATTTAAGAACTACATGAATTGGCTTCTGTCGGCAGGGCAGATATTAATAATTAGGTTTTTCTTTTTTCATTTATTTAATTAATTATTATTTTTTTTATTCTTTGTAATTTGCTATTATATAAATACGATGGTGCAGGTAGGAGAAACTGCAGTACAAATAATTGGCACTCCTATGATAACTCTTAACACTGGATTGTTGGGCAATTCTCAGATGGAAAACCAAGTGCCTGTCGAGTATGGGCAAAGGCATGGAGCTGTTCAGCCAGGTCATAATTATTTTAATATTCTTACTTTCACAACCTTAAAAATTATTTAAATCCTCAAACTATTTGTTTTTTATTGTTTATTCCAATTACAAATACCTTCGATAGTTCACATTTACTAGGTTTTGTGAAAAGTGTACATAGCAAGGGAATAAGAAAAATTAATCAGTTTAAAAAAAAATTTTCGTGTATGCAGACATAATATTGCTGTAGGTAGATCAACTCTGATCATCCTATGCATTCATATTAATATGATACAAGGTTCTAATAATGCACAGATATCATTTGCCAACAATTGCTACTGTTATCTGTTAAAATGATTTTGTTAATAAACTAAAAAGTCCATTTTTTATGATATTTTAATTTTAATAATAATTCCAATTTTAGATATGAGGCATAACGCAGTGCAACATACTCAGCCTAATTACTTCAGAAATAACAGCCAGGAAGACGGAAGAAAGGTAAATTTCATAAATAAAATATATGTAATTTAAGAAAACATATTTTACCTTATTACTATTTGTATGATAAAAATACCTGTATAGATAAAATACACATATAAAACCTTGAAAGAGCAAAGAATTACATAAATTAAATTTTCAAATTTCATAAGTAAAGTATATATAATTTAAGAAAACATATTTTACCTTATTACTATTTGTAAGATAAAAATACTTGCATAGATAAAATACACATATAAAACCTTAAAAGAGCAAAGAAAATTTGATAAATAAAAATAAAGGTTTGTGTCTTAAAATGTCTTTATCTCTAATAATAGCATAACGTCGGAATATGTGTGTTGTTGGTTCTAAAGAATAAGATTAGGGTTGAAAGTTCACAAATGTTGATCCTCACAATCATGAGCCATCAGTAATTTTGTATTTGTTTTCATTCTCTGACTGTTATTACTTTCAGAGTGAGAGTCCCAGCAGAAAACGACGCAGACTTGTGCAGAATTCACAACCACAGAATGGTATGGGTGCTCCTGGAAATGGGTTAGGAAATGAATGGCCGATACCAGCACACCATCAAAGTCCTTGGGAACCAAGACGGAACCAAAGACAGTCAGTTAGAAATAAGTAGGATTAATATAAGTTTATTTATTTTAGAAAATATGTTAATTTTTATTGCAATTATCAGTGTACCAATAAGGAGACCTAGATACAGGGAATGGGTGCCGGAGCCGTTGCCCCCGCCACCACAGCCTCCTCGTATTCAGCATCCTCCTCCTGGTCCATTTGGCCATCCTAGTACGTCCCACCCACCACCTATTATGATGGATTTTACACAGGTGAGAATTTTATTGTTTATTAACAAAAAGACTGAATTGTACGTTCACGTTAGCTTCTTAAAGGACGAAATTTGATTTTAACTTAGAACCCACAATATTTTGTAAATAAATTGTTTAGTCAATTAGTTATATTACTAATATAGTTATTATTATTAATAATATTATTGAAAAGAATCCAAACTTGATCCATCCTATACTTATATAGCAAAGGCAATCAATTATAACTTGTCCCTTTCTTCCTTGCACTTGTTGCAAATGTATATAACACATGACTCACAAAGAACAAATACCAACTACTGAAGATTATAAAACGCTTAAACACCCTTACTGACAAAACTAGTAAGAATGGAAAGATCAAGGTACAGGACCTCTTCAAAACAAAAAGTGAATGTATTTTTAAATGATTATTTGGAGATCATGTGATGCAGTCTAGTGTGACATAAGTTTAGAAAAACATTTCCTTATCGGGCCAACATTTCGATCTTTAATGAGATCACCTTTAGGGCTCAAAGTGTTTGTTTTCTGTATTACACAGGACGAAAGAGAAAATGTTTTTCTTACACCAAATAATCATAGACTAACGGTCACTAATCACCACACGTTTTTCTAAACCTACATCACACCAGACCGCATCTCACGATCTCCAAATAATCATTAACTAACAGTCACTAAACACCACATATTTTTCAATTATAAGACATTAGATTTATATACATTATATTTAAGTAGTGTATTTACTTCTTTATTTAGTGGGAAAATAAAGGTTTAATTATTGGTATTGTGGAATTATTTTTAGAATGGTACTAATGTTTTATTTTAGGTTCCAGTATCTCTACCTCTTCCTATATACTCAAGCGGCCCGACACCACCCACCCATCTTCAACCTTGTCAGGTACATAGCATTTACTGCACAACACCAACTCATACCTGCCAGGTAAATCAAAATTGGTTGGTGTTTATGTAAACAATTTTTTATAAATATTAATTTTTTTTTTAAATCATGATCAAGGTCAATTCATTTGGAACGTGCATTACTCATCATCCCCATTCTCAGCATCACCATCCACACCATCACCTCCACAACAGTACAAGTATTATGGCCAGTTTGTTGGGTGCTGGCCCAGCAGCTGCAGCACAACCTCAGCCTGCAGCTGCAACTGTCCCTCAGGTAGCTCCAAGTGCCCCTTTGCCACCGCTAGCTCATGTACATTATCAACCTCCGCCCCCTGCGTCTGCACCACCAAACTTCCAGGATCACCATCACCATCATCATCACCACCATCATCACCACCATAGAGGGCCAGCGACTGCATCTGCAGCAACACTCGTTCCTCCACCTGTACATATGCCTAGTTTCTTCATGCCAGAGGTACCTAGAAGAACTAACCCTAGGAGGTTGAGAAATACTCCTCAGCCCTCACCAAGGACCATTCCAGGCTGGCTTTATGTTTTGTAAGTTTTTTTAATACTATTTTTATATTTTCATTTGTGACAATATAAATATTTGTTTTTATGTCCTTTTGCTCTGAACAATTAATGTACTGTTTTCAACCTTTTTTTTAGGACTTAAATTTATTTTTTCTTTTCTGCAAATTTCAGTGCTCTCTTTGGAAATCGACATTTGTCGACACTTACTCAGGAATTTGATAGGGCAGACAGCCTTCTCCCAGAAAATTATGAAGAGCTTTTGAGTTTGGCAGAAAGAATTGGAGAAGCAAAGCCTAGAGGTCTGAACAAAATGGAAATTGATCAGCTTCCTTCTTTTAAGTAAGTAGGACGCATATATGATTTCCTTTAATCCTTTCAGGATGGTCAGGATCGTCCCCCAAGAGAGGTACTGGGAGTATGATATTGCACTCTACTCTTTTTACCTTTAGTTTTAAGTTCATAGAAGCAGTGTACTATTCAAGTTATTTTTAGTGCTAGTGAGAGTGGGAAATTGAGAAGATAAAGCACGTTGTTACCGTTTTAAGTGTCACACTGCTTCTTTGAATTAAAGTTTAAAAGTTAAAAGACAAGAGTGCGATATCACTCTTACTGTCCTTGATTGGGTTAACCACTTGACTGTGGTTGGGAACTATGTTTCAACATCCCCTCCTTGTGTGGTGACAACTATCGTTATTTTAAACCATTAACTCAATTAAGCATGGGGTATCGAGGCCAGACATGCCTTCAGTCTATGGATTAACAATCATAAATTGTATATGTTAAATTTAATGTTGGTTTGTTGAATTAACAGTAATAATATGTTATTATTTTTTAGATTCAATACAGAAAACCACGAAGGAGATCAGACATCATGTGTTGTTTGTATGTGTGATTTTGAATCAAAGCAGATACTGCGAGGCCTCCCTTGTTCACACCAGTTTCATGCAAAATGTGTTGACAAGTGGCTAAAGGTACTAATATTTTTGTGACCTATTTAGCTTCTTCTGAAATCATATAATATTTGATTGAACTAATTTTAACATTAATCTTATTTCCCCAGACGAATCGCACATGTCCTATATGTAGAGGAGATGCGTCACCGACTTACATTAATTCAAATGAGTAACACATCTCTTTAAACCTTTCCTTAGCTCCAACTGTGCTGTTTGCTGGATTTTTAACACAATTGTTCTGGGATTTGTTATCAGGGGATTCTATTTTATGTCACATTGTATTACTTAATACTATTGTTGTATTTCATAGATTTTAATGTGCTTTAATATTTTTAGAGAGGTCGAGTTACACATTTAATACAATTGAAAACTCTTAAACAATTTTTATATTGTAATTTTAAAGAAGACAATTTTTATTTGTTAATTTTAAGACGTTCAAGCTTTTTGAAAATCTTACTAAAATTGTTGATCTGATGCTTAAAAAAAAGTCCTTGATGGTAGCCACTTGGTAATTGGTATAAAAATAATCTCAGTTTGTTATTTTCATTCAACATTTATGTTTAATGTCTTTTAATATGGATACCACCAAATGCTTATTGTTTATAGTGATAAAACTTAGATTTAGACTTGAGATAACACGATTTGGCTAAGATAGATCTACAAAATAGTGCTTTCTTCCACCTGGATTCCGTTACACTCTTGTTTAATCTGTTTCTTTTCACTCTTTGTTTTTACTTTGAATTGGGAACCTAACATTTGTTAATGATCTCCAAATTTAATTAGACTTTTAATCTTATATATAGTTACCAATGAATGGTCCAGAGTGCCTAATTGAGAATAAAGTTTTGTTGGCATTTTTCATTTTCAGTTTCTTTTCAGCATTTGAATGCACATCATGATTTACATTAGTTTCATTAAGCCAAGAGAGAAATTAGTTATTTTAGTGATATTTGTTGTTAGTAGTTCTGATTTTGACAATAGTGGACTTACACTAGAAAAGATTTTTTTAATTTTGTTTAGGGATAGTGATTTTTTTTGTTAGATTTTATTTGTAGGCTAGTTAAAATAAGGTGGTTTTTAATATTGGAAAGTGTTAAAATTTAAGAAATATTTTAAACACAAATTGATTATAATTGTTAAATGATGTAATTGTTTTGGAAAAAAAAAAAAAAGAAATGGCTTCATAAACTGTTTTCTTGTGTATTAACAACTTTTCAGTTATTAAAAAAGTGTTATCAAAATGCTCATGGATTGGGTGTGACATTTTCCATTTATAATTATATAATTTTTCTTTTGTGTATAGGAAAGGAAAGACAAATGTTTTAGTAGTGGCAAATGCATACATGACATAGACTGATTTTCATTTATTTAGAATTTAGGTTTAGTTAATATTTATTTTGAGATTTGTTCGTGAAGAGTTCGTTTGACTTCCAAAATTTTCTAAAAGCAGTACTTATATTTTTTATTTGAAGCAAACAAATGCAAAAGAAATTTATATTATATTATTACCAGGTAATAGGGACAGAATTAAAGAGCAGAATATTTAACTGTTAGTGCTGTGTAATCCAATATCTGCCACATAATATATAATAATTAAATAAAAAGAAGTAATAATAATTAAGTAAATGCTTTTGAGTGTCTTGTGCTCTTCGGTGTCACCTGTAGATTTGTTGCATTTCATAAGAGAACAAGCTGTGGCACTCCCCCTCCAAAAAATAAAAGAAGAAAAGTATCCAATATAGAAATTAGAACACTTGCCACATATAAAGAGATAAATCAAATTTTATTGTAGATTGTAAATGAAAATATATTTTAAATACGTGGATACCTTCGTAATCCTTATGCGTTTTTTGGCATGTTGCCACATGTCTTGTGTGTTGATGGCAATGTTTGTAGAAAAGTGTTGCTTTAGGAATGAATTATAAATAAATATTAAAACATTTATCATTTTTACAACAAAGGTTTATATTAATATTGTATATTGGTAATTTTTAATTAGCAAGCTTTAATAATAATAATAAATACTTTTCTAATTGCCTTATTGATTCATCAGATGGGAGGGGAACACTTCCTCTAATATACACCAATATGAATGTTCTTGTTTTTGTGGAAATATTTGTCATTTCTGACTTAATTCAGTTATTAAAGAGAGGCACTAGTTTTGTGTATTTGCATTGATGGAAAATCCGGTATGCCTTTTTGGCAATAAGGTACGTAATTTGGGATTGTTGTCATGTGTTAGCCTAATAAAATAAACAAACAAAAACAGCAGTGCTGTGTTTTAAACCTCGTATTTCCGATGTGTTTTTTTGTTGTTGTTATGTTATAAGGAGAAATAATTGTTTGTTTTGATAATCAATTTAAAAGTTACCATTCTAAGTGTAGCTACTGTTGTTACCACCACTTATGCTTCAGCACCATATATCATACTAAATTTAAATACGAGGTTTAACTTGATTCAAAGTTCTGTGCCAATATGAAATTTCATTCATTTCTTAACACTGATCTGGCCATGGTTTATGTAACAAAAAATAAATTTAATTTTTAAGACAAACAGAAAAATCTGTTTAGAACTGAAAAAAAAAAAAAACTATAGTTTGTAATGTTAGTGTTTAGGGATTTTCATTTTCTCTACCAAAAGACAACAGGGTGTTGCTTCATCTGCTATAAAATGCTCAATTATTGAAAAAAAAGAAAAAAAATTGTAAGTGAAAATTATATGTTAGTTTAACTTTTAAGCATTGAATTTTTGTAGGTGCACTATTTGAATCAATATAGTTTTAATAAACCACTAATGAATATAGGATAATTAAGTTTTTTCTTCTACCTTTTTTAAAAACAAATTTTGATTTTAGGAACTCAATACAAAAAGTTGATATATATTCTTTTAAACATCTCATGATTTTTCATGTTGGCTAATTTTAATGTTCTATGTTAATCTGGCTGATAATGTTCTGTCTTATTTAATCAATATAATCTTATGCACACTGAAATTTTTTTTAAGGGAATGTTTAGAATGTTACCGTTTATGAGGAATGTACTTCTATAAACAAAAAATCAAATTAATAGAATGTAATAAATATTTGTCTCGTCCAAAGCAATAAATATAGGCTCAAATCTTGTTGAAAAATTAATAGTTATTGAATTGTATTCACATGTTCTTGATTAAATTTACAGTCTGAATCTGTTTTGAATTGTCTCTCAATACTTAAAAAAAAACGTTAATCACATAAATGACAATCACATGGTTGAATAATTCTTAGTGCCACTCTGCTTGGAATTATTATTTCACACTAGTCTCATAAACTATATATATTTAAAAAAACCTTATAAAAAAAAGCACTTAATATGTGAATTAACTCAGCCGATTTAAAAGAAACAATATTGTTGGTTAAAGAAATTAAAATGTAAATTGGGGGCTTTTTGTTTTTATTTTATTATTATTTAAAAAGAATATAAACATAAGAATTTAATATAAAATAAAAATATCAAGCTATAGTACAAATGTAAATGCCTTTATGAATACTGTAATAGTATTAGTTGCTTGTGAAACCATTTATTTGCTTTTAAAGTCAGATTTAGACTTCATTTATTAGAACCGATTTTTTTTCTCACAATTTTTGTGTATCAATTGTTTTAACTGTATCTGTAAGTGTGGTCTCTTGTATTCTCGATTGTGAAATAAAAATTCATTGAATGTTTGGTAAACACAGCATTGTGAGGTGGGCCTGTACGAGCTCTACAATAGCAATATATATATTCACCGTTAGATCTTTAATAGCTAATAGGTGTTAGAATGCTTATATTTATGAAAGAAATTAACAAATAAATCCTTAAAAGTGGCTTGTTTTAATTTGACCTTTTTTTAAATATCCTTAATCTTTATTTTTATTCTGATGAAAATTAAAGTTAAACAATGATATGATTGCCTAGTGGGCAATTGTTACTCATCATCCTATCAGTCAAGTTTATAGGACTTGTGAGTTTAAAAAATAAGTGTACTTATGTTGTTCTTTTAAATTAACCAAACTTATTAATTAAACTTAATTTTAATACAATTTATTCTGCACTGTTTTTTAAATTGATTTACTAGAAGTAAGAAAATTCACTTGTTTTGTTTTAAATTTTTCAGTAATTAATGCATTTATTCTTTAATTGTATAATCTACTATTTCACACCTTGATGAACCAAAAAAATTATGAACACATTTTATTTAGTGACTATATTGGCCAATGTATTTACCATTACCATAAACAAAAAATTTATGCAGTTTTTTTGTTTATTACTGTTTTAATACCATTAGTCAATATTTCTATTTACACAGGAGAATAAGGGTGTTTACATTACGTAAGAAAAAGTATCTTGAACTGTGTGTTTTTTCTTACGGCTTCAATACCCAAATGTGTGCTTATTGTATGAATTTATGCTAGGTACTGTGCGGCCTAGACATATCACAAAGTTTGCACTACGTTAAGCGATAAAACAATAAGTGAGCACATTGGTTTAAAATAATTCGACAAGTTTAAAAAAATACTCCAAAAATAAAGCATCACTTTTTGTTAATGAATATTCAATTTTTGCGTCAATGAGACAGGATCATTTTGTAAAAGTCAATGATATAACCTCCAGGTGTTAGGATCCCTTTTTTATTGCATGAGACAATCCTGTCAAAAAACTCTACTTGTGCCGTGAAAGGCAAATGTGTATGACACTGAAGCTTGTAATGATTGTTCAATTTATGAGGAACCAGTTTCCAAACTGTAAGCTAGAGCAAATGATTTCATCACCTATTTTTGACTTGAATGAAGTTCAATAGCTTACCTCAATTTGTCGTCATTGAAGGTAGATTCAAGAGGTGACAAATTTATACCTTGGTGTAGGTAGAATAAAATTGAAATCAAGGATTGGCACTGAAATGAGAAGAGACTTCTTGATGGTTGTTTTGTTGAGTTCTTGTCCATGGAAGCTGTGGGATGATGAACCTGTGTTTGGTCGTTTTCTATCATTTTGAAATACCTATCCTTGCTGGTTTAGTCTGTCAGACATGTTTCAGTTTTTCGCCTCTGTGGTATTAATTATCATTAGTTTTGTAAAATATTAATTTGTACTTATATGTTTAATGTTGGTAGAAATGAGAAATGGGTAGAATTTTCAGGAAAAAAGGACAGCATATCATTTACTGAACATAGTGAAAAGCTGAAACTCACATGTCATACCAAGCCATACCTGCAGACCAAAATGATCCGAAATGGTGTAATATACTCTAAATTTTTATGATTAAAAATAATGTTGGTTATATAACATAAACCTAAAGTCTAAATCTTGTAAATTAAAAAAAAAAAAAAATGGTTATGATGGAGTGAGTATATTAATTCAATTGAAATTCAAATTCAGTTGAAAAGGATGGTTCTACTCACAAAATGTTTAATTTTTGTTTGTGTGTGATTTCTTCATGTGGTCTGTTGGGTAAAAATAAACGATCCAACCACATTCTTCTAATATTTTTTTGCCAATTTAATTATTCTGGTTTACATATTCGTTGCTGTATGCTTTATACAGAAATTAAAAACACAAAATAAAAACTCATTAAAATATATTTTGTACAAAATTACAATAAGTTTATAAATATAAGAGGGTCTAAATATCAGTTTCTTGACACCAGCCAGGTGTATCGGAGAAAAACCTTCTTTTGCCAGCTGTGTTCATGTAAGGTCTAAGCACCCATTCAGAATCTGCTGTATCTATGCTGTCCAGAGTGCCAAGTTTTATTTCAAAGAGTTTCAGCATGAACCTCGGTCCGACTTCTGTCAGTTCAATTTCTTTACCTTTCGTCTAAAATGAAACAACAGTAGGTGAGACAAATATGTTAAATAAAATGCCGAACTTTAAAGTAAATACCTTTTTGAATGTGTGATGCCTAAAAGATATATAGTCATCATGGTTGGCGAATGTCATGACACGTTTGCTTTCTTTCTTTGGCACAGGAAAAAGATACTTGAGGATATTTTGCACCCGTTTTGCAAGGGGAGTTAACATATTGTGAAATATGAGATGTGGATATTGCTCTGACATCGTTCCGATATCAGGAATGTCGTGCCTCATGGTAACATCTATAATGTTGAAGTATGCAGTTGGCCCGTAAGGAAGATGGCAGATCACAAGAGTGTCTGGGACACCTCGGTGCTCATGGACTATGATAAAATCGGTAACATTGTTAGCCCTACAAGCATGGATTAGTTCTTTCATCTCATAGTTTCCCCTGTTCATTTTTTGTGCATTGGGAAATATGAGGCGGAGCTCTTTGATGAACATCTTGAGCCGGGACGAAGGATCCCTGGATGTTGTCATCATTATCTTAGGGTCTTCTACACCTGCCCAGCGATATTCATCGTCTTCGTGTGTCCCACCAGCTCCTCCGACCTCTGTGCCTATATCTACAGCCCTTGAAAATAATAAAATATTTATATTAGCCAAAGCTTGCCATTAGATGCTGATTATCAATGGAGAAAATAAATAAAGGTATGACTGTTGTGTTGGCTGCCACTAGATTCAATTCCACATGTTCCATTTGGACTGATTAACTTAATAATAAGATCTTAATAATAACTGACAATTTTAATACATAATAATTTGAAAAAGTGGTCTTCTCTTCGGAAAAACCTAAGAGAATAGATACAGAAAAGAATGGTTAAAGGCTTTGCATTAAACCTATACGCATCACTCCCAAAATGTTTTTCTTTTTTTTACATTAGTCAGTTAAGTCATAGATATGCATCATATTGGACAAAGCTCTCCTCCTCTCAAACTTACAAGCCTGTATACTATATTATATTTTATAAATTAGTTTAAACTACTTAAGGCTAATTTGGAAAATATCTTTCCTAACCACAAGAAGATGAATATAAAACACTGAAAATGATAAGACTAACAAATCTTTTACCAAATAAAAAATAACTGGATGCATTGTTGTATAGGATGTTACAAAGGATTTATGGATGGGAGATCTTGGAAAACTTTCGGATTATGGAAGTGTCAAGATCCATTGAACATTTGAAATGAATGAGAGTCAAAAAGAAATTTCAGCAAAAGAGATGTGCCCATCATCCAGAAATCATTATTGTTTGTAAAAAATAAATCTTTAGAATAGATTAATGTAAAAAATTGAAAAATAAATGGAAACAAAAATGAAGATCTCAATAAAGATCGAAACGTTGGCATGATAAAGAAAATGTTTTTCTAAAACCTACGTCCCACCAGACTGCATCTCACGATCTCCAAATAATCGCAAACAAAAATGTTGGAATATAAATAAATTCAACAAGCTGGTAATTTCTCGCTTTTACACAGGCAGAGACAGGAAGAAAGCATCCAGCCTTACTGCAAGTGAGGTGTAAAAAAATATATAAAAAATGGGGAAGGGGGTGTCAGCGGCCGCAATGACCCAGGTTCAAATCCAAAGCCCTGCATTCAAACCCAACGCACTTACAAATGTCCACACAATCCCAAATTTTTTTTATTGTATTAAAGTTATGCAATGTAACCCATGAATGATGTATGATTGGTTCATTAGTTATGCTTCCCTTTGATAGTTTTGGTCGGACACCTGATGACTCATTTTGAGGTAATGTGAGGCATGACATTAAGGGCAATGGCACACGCAACGGTTCAATTATGTGTTTATTGTATGGGTTAAGCCATTCTTGCCAATGACAAGAAAATTCTGCAGACAGTTCTCAAAGACAAATTAATAACAATAAATAAATTTGCTAATTTTTTTAAACATGATTATTACATCGCTCTTTCTATCTTTTTCCTGGTATTTCTCAAAATGTCTTATTATCAGATAAATACAAACATTGTTGTGGTTTTCATTTAATCATTGTATACAGTAAGCTTCTCAACCTCGCTGATCAATTTTTCAGCAACTATTTTTGTGTTTTGGAACTTAATAAAAGAAAAAGCCATGTATGCTGGGGCTGAATGAATAGAATTCAACGACTGAATGTTTCAAAACTGACAGACACCACTATGTGTGTCAGCACAACGCTACAATTATCAACGACTCACCAACTCAGTTTTTATCTTGATAAGCCCTTCGGTCAAAACTGATACCACAACATTAATAAAAACAATAGCTGAGCCAAGATCCAGTCTCATTCTCTATTGTACCAAAGGTGTACAATGTACACTAAGAATATATGATCGGTATGTTGTGCTGAGCTTTGAGGGTTTCAGTTCCAAAGTAAGAGGTCTAGTCATGGTGTTTTGAGTAAAATGCCATTTTTCATTCCAGCATCTCGCTTGTCTCACCGCCGTTGTCATTCCAGCTCTACTTTCAACACAATTGGTAAGCCAGCATGATAATAATGACATTTGGTTCTGGCAATATGATTGGTATATTATTCTTCTCTTTGACGGTTTTGGTCCCGACACTGATGACTCATTTTGAGATGCTACGAGGCATGGCATATGAACATTAGCCAAGCCAAGATCTAGCTTCATTCTCCACTGTACCAAAGGTATGCAATGTAAACTATGTATGATTTAGACTGTCTTTGTTTTAATGAATCTAAGTTAGTGGTTTAAGCAATTTGAGTAGTGTTGCTCTTTTTCTAAATCAGCCGAGTGTTAAGTATGCCTACCCATAGTGAAAAACCGCATTAGTATTTGCGAAATGTATAAATAAAAGTTACCTTTTTGGTCCCTCGTCCTCCCATTGCACCTTATCCACAAGATTAAGAGCCTCTTTTCTCAAATTGGTGACAATCGGAACGCCTTGTTCCAGACTCCTTTTGATTTTGTCCTTTTTCTCTTGGATTGTCCTGTGCCTGTCCTCGATTGCTTTCCTGTAAAGATACTCCCGTCTCAACCTCGCCTGTCTCCTTAACATTTTGGTAAAATTGTTTTAAAAGTGAAGTAAAAGCTTAATTAAAAAAAAAGCCTAAGATTCTCAAATTGTCAAAACTGTCATTTCGGCACGTGGCCTCAAAACTTTTGTTTGAAACCTTCAAGACAATACTTCAAGTGATACCACCCACTAGGGGCTTTTAATAATTTCACATTTTCTTTATTATGCTTAAATAATACGTTAAAAGTTAAAATAAATTAATATACAATTATTTGAAAAAGTTTGAAACCTTTTAAAAATAAAACCAAACGAAACAGATATTTTGTATATGTTGTATGTAGTACCTAATTTTATTGGATAAATAGGAGTTTTGAAATTAATTTTATGCAAGTATCATAAAAATATATTAAATTTTTATTTTTGTTAGTATGGTTGTTAACAATAGCTATGATTATGTTTAATTATCACCTTTCTTGATAAAAAGAAAAACTAAACATCTAAGGCGTAGGTTATATACAAAAATAACTAATTACAACTTCAAAAAACAACAACATTTCATGGTTTTGTTCTGTTTATCGTAGTCTGTCAAATATTAAGCATATAATAGTAAAGTAGGTAGTTTTTTGTCAATAAGTGCCTCATGTTTTATATTTTTTTTATTAATTAACGAGTAGTGAATAATGTTAATTGTTCTTGTTGCCAGTTATCATCAGAAAAGATGAGATTAAACGTACTGTGTATGCAAAGGTACAAGTACGGAGTGAGTGAAATAACGAAGAGATTGGGCAATTTCTCTGACTCTTATATAAAGCGTACGGTGGAAGAGGTGGAATGGAGCACACCGAAGGGTTACCCCCAGTACTTGCCCAAGAAGATTGTTTATAGGAAGACTCATTTCAAAATGGACCGTCCTTGGACCGCTGGGTTCCAAAAGGACAACGAACCGGGGCGGAGACACCCGAAAGTGTTTCTCGAGCCGATGGGCAATTGGTGTTTCTTCAAAGGCGACCGTGTCGAGATCCTAGTAGGTCCGGACAAAGGTAAACAGGGCACGATATGTCAGGTGTTTCCTGAGAGGAACTGGGTGACTGTCGAAGGCCTGAACACAAAGTTAGAGGTGTTCGGCAAGACAAATACTTTTCCCGGTTCTGTCATCACCATTGAACAACCTCTTCTTGTCAAACGGGAAGTCAAGCTTATTGACCCGTCCGACTTGAAAGTTACGGATATCCAATGGAGATATACCGAAGAAGGAGAGAAAGTGAGAGTGTCACCTCGAACTGGGAGAATCATCCCCATTCCTGTCGAGGCCGCAGAGACCAGTGACTATAAAACCAAAGCTACTTATAAAGAGTCTCCCAAAGACACAGTCACTGCTGAGCTCTCCAAAGTCACATTTTCTCCTACTTTAAAGACTTTTGAAATGGATATTATGGACTCCATGGGTATAAAAGAAGACAGAGAACCTATCAAAACGTATTGGTATTAGTCATATAGTACTTATCATTAGTAAAATGTTTACTTTTTAAATAAATCAAGTTATTGTTTACACTATTTTTTTACAATCTTTCAACCAATAATATAAGATTTAATTACTGAGTTTAATTCCTGATTCACATAGGAGATATGCTAGTGAAATCGAAATAGCCTCAACAGTTAATGTATCCAAAATTATGCAAAAGCATGAACTTTCCATTTATTAAATCCTTTACACTATATAAAGAACATGCTTTATTTGAGAACCAAATAAAAATAATTCACATTAAATAAAGATATCCTTGTTTAAAAAAAGGCTTTATTTAAACACGTTTGAAATGTATTAAAATGGAATTGTTCAAATAATGTACGGACAACTAAAATCTGGTTGGACGTTTGACGAATTGTACGAGTCTGAGGTGCCTAGCTCCTCGACATTTTTGTACTTATGGCCGTCATGAGTTATGATCTTGTCCTTAGCGACTGAATAAGTAGAACGGCCGAACAACTTGATTATCCCTTGCTCTTGAGCCTCATCGAGGATGTCGTAAAGCACTCGGCGGCTGATGAACTTGACGCGCTTGTTTAACTGCCTCACATTGCAACCCTGCACCTGGTTAGTCGAGAGCATTACTCCTATAACCATGTCAATGAGATCGACATATCGTCTTTTTCTTACATACTTCACCTTGCACTTTGACATGTCTGTTAAAAAGTCTGTGTAGTTAAGATTGGAATTTAGATTGTTTAGATGGAATTGATAACTTTGCCCACATGTGATAATTTTACCCTGAAAATACTTGTGAATATTGGTATATAAATATTTTTGACTAATTTTTTTATTTAATTTTTACAATTTTATGTAGAATGACCAGAGCAATCTCTTCTTATTTATATTATAATCTTCAAAATACAAGCATAGTTAATGGATAAATGCTAAATTACAACAAAACATGTCTAGAATAAGTTTTAATTAACATATAACAAAAAATACCAACAAATATGTCTTTTTCTAGGTAGAACAAACCATTGAGTAGAATAGGAAACACAAATTCCTTCATATTTTAACTTCATATATTATGTAAAAATGTATGTACATACACTTTTTTTCTTTCATACATGACTAGTTTATGTAAAAGCTTTATACAAGACTATGTAAATACGGTAGCCAAGAGTGTTCACAAAGACTAGTTCACGCTACAAACTAGCATCTATCAGATCTTAGAAAAAAAAAAAAAAGTGTTTGATTTCATAAAACTCTTGTTTACCAGATTGGATATGATTTCGCCAACACCGCGTTATATTACAATTACATTTATTACAATTGTTAATTTACAATTAGCACTCTTTATACAGGATCGTAACAAAAAATTATATAAACTGACTTCATACTTTGAATAAAACATTGTAATGCCCGTAGACAGTAGAATTCCGTCCTACAGCTTTAAATTTGTTGTAAAAACAAATTAAATCACTAGAACGACTTTTGTAAAAAAAATCTATAAACAGTTGTGCTTTCAAAAGTAAACTAAATAAAATATTTTTAATCTTAAAAAAATAAATTACTTAAAATAGTATGTATTATTTTGAACTTAATCCAACATGGAATCGCAGTTTAACATGGAAGTATACCCTAAACTGAATAATCGTCGAGTGAAATGCCTCGGATCCAGGAAGACAAATCAGTGTCACAGACTGTAATCGCCGGTTGCGTCTCCATAAGCATCTGGGCACATGCTCTTCCGGATAAATAAGCACCATGTACAGTCGAATAGAAACTACTGTGTGTGTGTTCTCCAGCAAAAAGAATTTTGGGCTGAAAATTTAAACAATAGTTAAAATGAAATCAAATGAAAAATCATCAATTATACACACAGTATTTTGGTCTGGTTTCCTTACTATGCTTATATTTTTGATGATTTAAATAAAACACTGAAATCGGTTGTTAAGCACTTCATTTATGCACGTGGTTACTGGTTACTGATTTATTCAAATCTGGACATGCAGGTACATACCAGTGTTGGGCAAAAATTAGTCATGTCTAATGATTAATGATTGATCACTCAGACCGTTAGTCATGATTGTTAGTAAGTGACTAATTTAGTGATTAGTCGCCATATGTGATTGATGGCTAAATTAGTCATGACTAGTAATTAAATACGAGGTATGACTAATTTAGTCACAATATAGATAGTCATGACTAAATTTCGATAAATCATGTTCAAATGGGTGCTCTTCATCACTTTTAAAAAATTTTCTAACAGAAATTTATTTCATCAAAACGATAATCCTTCAACACCTTATTTAACAAAAATCAATCTTCCAATTATAAGTAAAACTCCGTTGTTATGAAAAGTAAAAAAAATAATGATAATAATAATAAAATAAAATCAAAAAATCCTAGAACAAGCTACGTTTTGAAAAGTAAATATGTTTACATAACCGATCAATGGAAAAAATATTTCTTTGAATTAAAATTTATTCCACTTAAAAGGAGAGATTTCAACATTATTTGGAAAATACACTATCTAGGGGTTTTGATTGTAATAAAATAGACATGTAGAATATTATGTAACTTTGGTTTTCATTTATGATAACCATTTTTGAAGGTTGGCCTTGAGCACGACTCTCATCTCAAAATTTTTATCCGGAGTCGGTTGGATTTTGGTAAGTTGGTCATTGTAGCCAGAGTTGGGCAAATTCAAACTAATTCAATCATGATTAAACTTCAATCAAAATTCTTAATCATGATTGAATTACTTAGATTTTGCCCAACTCTGGAACATACATACACACGTGTACAAAGTTGAGTCTATCACTTCTTGCAGCTTTCTAGCAATTCCAGCTTTTGTATAATTTACAATAGATAACTGGTAGGCCTCAAGAATCACCGACTCCGCTAGTTGGCAGTCCAGGGTCAGATCTCAGTCTTATCTGTCCAAGCACCAAGGCTCCAGGGGCAATCAACTCAGCTAGGTCATTTCAGCCACCACCCACTCATAATCTCACTCACTCTTAAATATATGCTTTCTTATTTACATACCATTTCACTCAGTTAGGGAGGTAGAGTTCTTGATATTACTCCATCACCCTCTACATTATTATGTTTACTACTAATTGAGGAATATGTTATACGTGTATCAGAGAACAAGCCCACAAAGATCACAAAAATTGTAGTCAAGCTTCCGGCCTATTTAATTCCTCCATCAGGACTACAATCTATGCTTTAAATTAAAACAAATAGTATCAAAAGAGGTTTTAGTGACTGTGTGGACCTCAGAGGTGAAACCATGAAACCTGATGAAGGCATTAAATAGGCTGAAAGCTCCCTGATACTTGTACAACATATCAGGCATCAGAAGGCTGATAAAATAACATGTCAAGAGAATTTCTATGTAATTGGGGGTCAATAGAGTATTTAATATTCCGCCATCAACCCTCACAAGAAACACAAGATGATATCTATGAAGTATACAATAAAACAGTTTTGTTTCTTCTAAAAATAAGAACTTGGGGACTCAGATATTCACTGCCATGCTCAAGTATAATTCTCATATCGCTATGTATCCTACATGCTCTTTATACAGAGGAATGGCACCAATCAATTCAGTGGGACACATCAAGCAACCTTTCTCTACATGCCTGTGTGCAATGACAGACCTTCAGCCAGCCCTGATGCATGTGACGTTTCTCTGAATGGTTCATACTACCACTTGTTAGCTTTTTAGTATTTTTATTTTTACTTATTGAGTTGCAAAAATTGATCAGCAGATTGAAAAGGTTATTTTTTAAGGGACATAGGAACTACCGAATTCACCGACCGAATAAAAATCACAACAATATGTGTACTTATTTACCTAGTAAGACCTTTTAAGAAATACCAGGAAAGAGAACTTAAGAGAAAGAGCGTGGGATTAATCATTGTTTAAAAAATTGTCACATTTATTTATTGTAGATTGTTCTCTTGTAATTTGTCTTTGGGAACTGTCCCCAGAAATTTTTTGCAATTGGCAGTTATGCTCAATCAATGCAATAAACACTCATTGAACTGCTGTGTGTGACATAAGCCTGGAAAAACCGATGCGACATTGTCCAAACAGTGGAAAAGCACACTAGAAGAAAAGAAAATGTGTTGTAATGACACCTTGATGAGCTTACTTTGTGATCTCTACTACTGGAATAAAGAGGTTGAGCCAAGTTTTCTATATCACACTGACTTGCTCCGACTGCCATAGCTGTGTAAGATCCCTTTGTAAACGGCTCACTCTTCCATTTAGAACTGCAACAAGCAGATACAAATTTTATTCACAATTATTATTGTTTTATAGATAAAAAAGTCTACCAAGTGCAACTTTTTGGTCTTGGTACGAAAGGGTCATTAAGGAATTTACGCAATATTTCTGTACATCTATCAGCCACCTCACTTTCTGGCAGTGTCTCCATGTATTCAGCCTCCTGGCCGGATATCCAGCCAAGTAATACAGTATCAGCTACTTTTGAAAAAGAATTTATCTTTTTATGCCAGTTTTTTGACATTTCCTCTGAAAAAACAAAAAAGAAATTAATATTTTCAATTTATTTTTATTACATAAATTTATTTTGTTTCCTTCAATAATTTTCAAAATAACAATTTCCAATACTACCATCCTTAACTTGTGCCCTAAAAGGCAACATTTGAAATGGAGGAAAACTTTCACTGCTTTAAAACGCAGATATAAATGAAGTTAAAACTTTTCGTGGAGAAGTTAATAATTAATTTTAAATAAATTGTACTTCAGTTTTAAATCAATATTAATGGAAAAAATCTAATGTAACCCTTAAAACTTAAGCATTCTTTTCATATAAATAAATATAAGGGATTAGAGTAGTGTTCTGGGTGGTCTTTCCAGCATCACCCATGAATTATTTTTTTGATTATGAGTTTAAAAAAAAAATTATAGTGGTCTAAACTTTTGACCACATCATCTGATAGATAGTTGGACAACGTCCTTCTGCATAAGTATCACTTCTCATAAAAAAAGTCTAATTAAAAAAAAAAAAAAAAAAAAAAAAAAAAAAAAAAAAAAAAAAAAAAAAAAAAATACAAATATAATTTTCTTACTATTGCCATTGTAAAATTGTAGAATAAAATATTTTATAACAATAGCATGGCTATACAATGTTATAGTGTGCCCATTTAGTAATGTTTTCTTTACATACAAAACAAATACTATTAGACCTGTTATAATTATAACAATATTCTGTATATAAATTTTAATCTAGGCATGTCGTGTACAATGTACGCTTAGTACTAATACATTGATTTTGTCCTAGCTAGGGATTGTAAGTTTGAGAAAATACTGTACTTAATAACAAATAAACTATCTAAATAAAAGTAAACAGTACTAAGCAATAATATATTTATCATTTTCAATGTAGCAGAACACAAAATATAAGGTCACCAATTATTCAGATTTTTTCATCACTTGTTTCTCACTTTCTTCACTTTAAATGAAGATTTAACATTCTGATATCATAAATAGTGTAATATATGGACCATGGTCAATTTTCATCTGATTCTTTGTCAAACAGACCACAAAGCACAACTTCACATGTAATTCACATAAGTAATAGAAAGTCTCGGAAAACTGAAAACCACCTTTCTCTTTTATTAATTGTCTAATCACTCTCATAGGATTTCAATTAGCACGTCCTGTGGCAAAATTGAAAGGGAGTATGTTAACAATTAATAACAGTAATATTCAGAGCAATAATGGAGAGACAAATACAATACTTTCCCTCTTTAACTCTGAGATATCTCTACTAAAACAAAATTATTATAACACTGAAGAATTAATAAACTTTTTACCTTTGGATATTTGTTCGTTGCTCCATAACAACATGACCTCTGAAATATCAGGGTGTAAAAAAGGCCTCTCATAGATTAAGAAAATTTTATTAACGGTACCGAATAGAAGTTTATCAATTGCTTCAAGTTTATGTTGAGGTAAGGGTGGCGAGAAGAGGGTATTCACTCTTTCTTTAAGGACGCCAAGGGGTATAGTGCAAATAACATGATTGGTTGTAAACGTTTTACCGTTTTCGCACAACACATCAATTGTCTGTGGAACCTGTGGAACACTTTTATTACAAGGCTCTGATGGTGGTGCAGTTCTTCCGGCACCTTCTTCAATAACCGTTTTTTCAGAATCTTCCGAAGTATCGCCACTTTCATCGTACTTCCATTCGGCCCCAGGCCACTTTATACAATTTACAACATGCCCTTTCAAAATCTTATCTGGAGGAATGTCCTTCGAAGCTGGATCTAAGATGCTGCTGTACCCTGACGGGAGCGTTATGTTGCCCCCTTGGAGTTCCGTGTAGCTACCTAGTTCAAGGAGATCGATCTCTGTCATTTTATCACATCCGCAGATACATGTTTCCCTTTTGAGCAAACAGTCAAATATGAGTCTGCGCAATTTTTTCTGCTCTTGATCTTCAATTTTGTCCAAATACAAAGCGATTTCAAGTTCTATATGTTCTCCAACACTATCGATACCCTGCGGTGGAAGGTACTGACACAAAAAGTATTCTTCACATCTATGTAGGAAGCACATATATGCTTCATATATTTCCTAAAATAAAGAAAATGCTAATGAATCAAATGTAATTATGAATTTGAAAGACTTCATTGACCATACTTGTAAAATGACGAAAGGCACTTGTTTGCCATTTTCTGTTGCAGCAACCACCTTATGTGGTTTAGGAATATGTACAATGTCAACTAAATTGTTCACCACTGCCATTTCGTACATAGGGTTACCAAGAACCCCGTGGATCCAATTTGCACCCAACTCCAATTTACAACCATCTAAAACAATTTTATTTCAATATTTCATTATCTGGACTTAGTCGAGTTAACTATTATAACCATGTAACTGTTGAAAAGCACTTGAATCTGAACACAGGAAACAAAAATAAAGGCATAAAAATATCGGTTTAGACACCCAGACATTGGTAGACCAGTCACTCACCATAGGATGCAGAGGAAATAAACAAGAGATACCCTCGCAAGAAACAAAACTGACTCAGCACTGATAACTGAAAAGTATTAGGCAGCGGAGTATGTCATTGGATACAGGCAATGAGGATTTTACCTACTGATTTCAAAACAAACCAATTGCAGTACACTTTATATCAGGATTGTTATAATCCAACCACAGGCTAATCCGAATTGGTGCACATGTCGCCTCTCTCACTAAAATCTAGGGCCCACTGACATATGTTTCAACCTATGAACCAGAATTTAATCCACATGAAATTGTGCTTTTGAAAAAACAAAATTGCGTTGATTTGGTGATAGCTTTAAACAAAAATTAATCTGAAAGATGTTGTTTTCAACAGAGAAAACTTTTGGTTGTCTGTCTCACCACATTTGATTGATGATCCGAGGTTGCTGTTGATGATACCCTCCATCTAACAACTTGACATTACCCTTAGCCCAGTTCTTGATGAATTTCCCCCTCCAACAACATCTGTTGCTGAAGCTGTTAAAACGTGGGCATTAGTTGAGCTGAGAACAACTTTAAGAGTGGTGAGGAAATCATGTTGCTGAGAAGGATAAGAGAAAGAGCTGAAATATCAACATTTGGAAACGATCGTTCAATAGAAAATTACTGAATTTTTATGACTGCATAATTAATACTTGGTTACAATATGTTGTACATATGTATCTATAAAATGTGCAATCTATAATTGTTGTATTAATAAAAAGCTATAGATAATCTGAATGATTTGATAATCCAAACAACTCCTTTCCCTAATTTCATTTTGTACAAGCAAGTTGTGATGATATCACGCCAGTACAACTAAGAAATGTTGAAATGGGATTTCTATAACAGGATGGGCTACTACACTGCGCTTGAAGAGGACGATTTCAAACATCTCATTTGACTTCATATATCATAATTAAAACCCGGATTTATATGCAATTGCATTTTTTTTTATTGTGTACTTTTGGCTATGGTGATTAGATATTTACCTGAATCATACCTACAACGGTTGAAATTTTATCCAGCATATTTTTGCACAGTTGGAGAACATTGCAAATTTGAAACATTTTTGATTGGTGAAAAGAAATAAATAAATTAGTCAACTAAAAATATAAGAAAAAACAACAAGAATCTAAAATTTGAATCAGATTTCAATATCTCACTGGCACTCTCACCATAACACCCAAGAGTAAGACATCTACATAGAAAACAAACGGTTTGAGCCCTGAAGATGATCTCAATAAAGATTGAAACATTGGCACGATAAAGAAAATATTTTTCTAAAACCTACGTCACACCAGACTGCATCTCACGATCTCCAAATAATCATTAACTAACGGTCACTAAAAACCACACTTTCAGGTGTCAGTTAACTTGCCAGGAATAAAGCAGTAAACAATGTGACACAACTGAATTCTCATGGTTTAATCGGCATCTTTCTTGTGGCACCTATTTCTGAAACTTCTAAGTGCAGTGTTTTTGCCTTTCATGAAAAAAAAAAACTTTTGTTCCAGTTGTGTTGAGGAAATATTACCTCATTTGTAATTCAAAATAGTCAGTCGCTCCTCTTTCATACATTTTAACTTAGTAAACCTAAAAAAATTGATGAAATTGGGAACTTAACTTCTTTTAGAAGGCAAGATGGATTTTTTCTTTCAACACAAAACAGAAATTAGTAAAATCTCCAGCAATGCAAGAATTATATTATAAGAAAAATAAAAAACAACCCACACTAATAAATACACGCATACAAACAAAACGCCTAGGGTATAAAAAAGGAAGAAGAAAAAAACAAACTATATCCTCTAAAAAACTAAACTGACTGCTGTGCTCAAGAACCATCCTTAAATCCAATGGCATGCCTACATGTTCTCAAGGCATGACATACCTCTATTTTGTAGGACACATCAAGCAACCTTTCTCTGCATAAGGGGCAACCGTGTATTATTATTATTTTGTGTGGTGTTTAGTGACTGTTACTTAATGATTATTTGGAGGTTATCAGATGCGGCTGGTGTGACATAGGTTTAGAAAAACATTTTCTTTATCATGCCAATGTTTCAATCTTTATTGAGATTTTCAGGGCTTGGGGTTTATAAACATTGTTTAAATTTTACAAATACATGTAGAATGTGAAAAAAAATAAATTTATATGGTAGAAAATTTTAGATTAAAATTAATTAATTTATATTAAAAAAATTTCTAGCATAATATATAAGGGGGCTAAAGCCCTGTTTGTACCTTTAAAATAAATAAATAAAAAATAAATCGAAAAAGAACATCACTCATTCAGAGTAATAAGCCCGCACACTTCAAAAACTACAGAACATCATGGATAACTTTGTTACACCTCCACACTCTCCAGACCTGTTGTCAACAGATTCAAAGCTCTTGACAAAAGCTATACTACATTTTAATACAAATTATGCTTATTGATAACAATTATTTTTTTAATCAATTGAAATAATTTTAAATAAAATAGTTATTACCTGTATCGGTGGCGGCTATCCTCCCGCCGATTCTGTCCTTCGCTTCGAGGATCAGGAAATCCAAGGATCCGTTTTTGGCGAGAAGGCTTGCCGCGGCCAATCCGGCCATCCCGGCGCCGATGATGATCACGTCCGATTTGACGGGCGATGTCGGGGGCGGAGGCGTGGGGGCGTCTTCTTCCGTCGCCATCCCGATCTTCTTCCCATACCCGAGGAGAAAGAGAGCCGCCGGTCGCTCCTTTCCAATCTCGAGATATATCGGCAGTCGGCACTCGGAACAGCTGATCAACAGTGAACAGAACCTCCTGTCTCCTGACGCGCACTGTTACCAATCCCAATCGCGACACCCCCTTCTACGGGAATTGTCTTTCCTTACTCTCTCTGTCAACTGAAAAACTCCGTGTTATCATGCTGTCCGACATTTCTTGTTTGAACTATCGTGCTTTATCGTTTCAACTGAATGTTTTCAACGTCCAATAATTTATTTTTAGTATTATTTCAATTTATCGATTCTTTATAATTTAATAGAAAGATTAAACATATCAATAGTTGATTTTTTTTTTAGTCCAACAGATAGCTTTGTCTAAAAACAAATCGTTCCCAATTCCAAACGGTAGAAACCTGTTAACGTGCGAATAAATATTTACTCCCTTTTTAAATAAAAATTGGCTGTATTAAAGGTATGGCAAGTGGCAACGTAACCAGATCGGTTGCAACCTCGTTTCTCACACTTTGCGATTTGCGTTTAATCATCAATTTTAACAGATTCAACTATGAAGGGTTCAATAATTAAATAGTGTTCTATGTGCAAGAGTCGTGACGGTGACCGTCGAGGATACCCGGGTGCCAAAAAAGTCCTGTAAATAGTTGGATTTTGTGAATTTGTGTATTTGTAAACAATGTCGGCGAACAGAGACGAGGCCGGGACGAGCGAGAAGAAAATCAAATTCCGCTCGATAAGCACGACGGCGGACCCGAATTATATGTTAAACAAGGTCGAGGACATTTATTTGCCCAGGCCGAGGTCCAAATCCGAATATAAGTTCAAACAGAAGGAGGAGTCGTCGGACGATGAAGGTCAGTCTCAGCAAACCAGGAAACTTTATTATTATTTATTATTTAAAAAAATATTTTTGTGCAGATGACAAAAATCCTTCTCTCTGGGAGTTCCTCGGGCTCGAACTACGAAGGAGCTACGCGCTCGAGCACGATGAAGAACAGTACGCTGCAAGGAGGGAGAAGGTCTATTCGTTTATGAAGATACCGCCTGAAGTCGAGAAATTCATGATTTATGGCTTCATGCAGGTGAGGATAGCAGTTCATAAACATCACAGTTTATTTTGTTTTGGATGTTTATCAACCTGCAGGAAATTTAGTTTGGATGATAAGATCTTTAGAGGTCATTCAGAGCGAAAAAACAACTTTCTTGACTGTGCCGATCTTTCGATGGTTTATTGCACCACCATCAGGGCCTGTTTATTAAAAAAAAACATGTTAATGCAAATACAAAGTAACAGTACTAAGTTTCTAAGTAGTTAATTAATCCATATATGTTTACTGGTCATAATTGACCTGTTTAATGATTTCAAATAATTATATTTCTTATCTAAAGTCTTAGTTGAGATGAAAAAGTTAGTGTCACAAGCGGGATTCGAACCCATGTTCTTCAGCTCAATATGTCACTGCTTTAACCACTTGAGCTATTGTGACTTCGATCTTTGATATTTGAAAATTTGGCAAAAAGAGGGAAAATTTGGAAGGTTGTTTGAGATGAGGAGTTGTGTCCGGGTGGATCGAAGTCAAAATAGGGATAGCGATAAAAGAGGCGGGAACAAGGCCTTCTGCATCTCAACCTGAATAGATCTATTGTGCTCCCCTGTTTTTGGTTTTTGGTGGCAACTCACTGCCCAGCTTCATGTTGTTAATCAGCCTCCATAGTTTTCCCTGCAGCTCCTTAGTGTAGGAACTTGCTTGCAGTTTTTCTTGTCCTAGTTGCAAGAAGCTGTATCTACACAGTCCTTCACAGAAACATATAATGCGGTCTGCGGTCTCCCCATCTTCCTGGAAGTACCTGCACAATGTGTGTGGTGTTTAGTGTCCATAGGTCAATGATTATTTAGAGATCGTGAGATGTGGTCTGGTGTGACATAGATTTTAGAAAAACATTTCATCATGCCAACGTTTTGATCTTTACAATTAATTAAGGTTTTTAGTTGAGATGAAAAAAAGTCAATGGCACGAGCGGGATTCGATCCCACGATATTCGGCTAGATACGCTGCTGCTCTACCACTTGAGCTATTGTGACCTCGATCTACTCGGACATCAACTTCCTATCTCAACCCCACCTTATGAGTTTTCCCTCCTTTTTGCCATTTTTTCATCTCAACTAAAAACCTTAATTAATTGGTCAAGCGGACCACGAAATTAGTGAATTTAATGTTTTGATCTTTATTGAGATCATCTTCAGGGCCTAGGATTTATAAACGTTTTTTAAATTTTACAAATACATGTAGGATGTAAAAAATGAATTTATACAATGCTAGAAATTTTAGACAAAAAAAAAAGAATTTATTACAATGCTAGAAAATTTTAAATAAAAAAATGAATGTATACAATGCTAGAAAATTTAGATTAAAAAAAAAGAATTTATATAATGCTAGAAAATTTTAGATTAAAAAAAAAATTGAATTTGTACCATGCTAGAAACTTTTAGATTCAAAGAATTTGTACTCGCTCAAAGTGTTTGTTTTCCATGTAGATGTGCCATTCTTGTGTGTTGTGTTGAGAGTGCCAGTGAGATATTGATGTTTTATGTTTATATATGTAGGATTTTGAAGGGGTGGGGAGGGAAGTCGGGAATAAAAAGACATTTTTATATGACGAATTGGCTTCTTTGAGGTGAAAGGAGCTGACAATGGGAAAATGGGTAACGGTTCGGCCTGATTATCTTTTCAGGATTATATAGATGGGGATAATTAGGGAAAGGAAAGCCAAATTGTTGAAGAATTAGACTATGTAGAAATGTTTGATGTGTGGAATGTGATGATTGTTTTATATGTTATATTATATGTTTTGTGTGATGTGATGATGATATATGTATGTTATCAATATTGAATTTGACTAATAATATTGGCATAGCTGTGACTGAGTTTATGTGTGTCTGTTCTGTAATTGATGCTGTGTTTATCCTTGTTGATGTAAACCATTTCTAAAAGGTTAAATTTGTGTTTGTTTTGTTCTGTGTGTAATATTTTTGGATTGTTGAAGTCGAAATTGTATCGGTGTTCAAAGTAGTGGGTAGCCAGTTCTGCAGGATTTTGTTTGGGTTTTTGCAATCATAGATATGTTGCTTCACTCTCTTATCCAGAATTGTAATACTGATGTAAGTTGTCAGACAATTTAAACAATTGATTTTGTAAATTACGTCAGATTTATTTGTTAGTGGTGTGGGATCTTTAATTTTGGAAAAAATGTGTGAATTGTTTTATAGTTTTTGAAAGCTATTTTAAAGTTGTCATAAGAGAGAAATGTGTTTAATTTATGTGATAGGTGTGAATAAATGGCATGGAAATGTATGTTGGTTTGTCTGTAATTGATAGATTTGATGTATTATTATTAGTAATAGTGGATGGTAATAATCGATGATGTTAAGTTGTAGTTGTTGATTATTCTGTTGATTATGTGTTGTGGTAGTGATTGTTATGGAGGATATGTTTGTATATTATGCTCTTGTGGTGAAATGATTCATGGCTTAGGGTAATAATTATATGAAGTAGCCCTTTGGGCGTGTTTATTATTGCATTAAGAGGATGGTGTGATGTAAAGTTGAGGTAGCGATCTGTGTTTCTTGGTTTTTGATACCAATCTGTGATTGATGTGCCATCTGGTTGTTTTATTACGAGTGTATCTAAAAATGGTGTTGTTTTGTTGTTTTCAATTTCATGTGTAAATTGTAAATAACAATGGTTCGACACTGCTGAATTAACGGATATTTTACTGCTACTGTATTATAAACCTGTATTGTAATACTAGCACATGGACTCACACAAATTAAATGTCTCACTTATTACTTTTCATGGTGGGTAGGAGTATTTGATCCTGGAACCAAATACTCAAAACCCGTGGGAAAATACACCAGTATCTTCTAACCTGAGGTCTATGCATGTAATCGAGAAATGTACTCAGTTCAACTTGAATTAATGGTACAAAAACAAGAATGTAGCTATCATGTCAGATAGCCAACAGCCACCAAAGCACTGTTTAAATTTTTATATTGACTGAATTAACAATTTTATATATTTCCTTGGCTTTGAGACCTTTCAATTTATCACTTACTAACATATTACTGGCTGTTTCCACAAGGTTTAACTCACATTAACTTGTGCTCTTAGTTAATTTATATAATTAATTTTGCTAATTTTATTTATTAATTAAATAATGAAATTTTCTTATAAATTCTCTCTGAAATGTTATTTCAGTGTGCAGATTCTTTTTTGTTTGTATACACCTTTCTACCTATTCGTTTTATAATCGCTATATGGACCTTATTAACCAGGCCGTTTCAAACATGTTTTGGGTGAGTTAACATTTATTAATTGTAGTTATCAGTATTCACAATTAAATCATTTCAGGTTAAGCTCGCAATCCGTCCTAAATGCTGGCCAAATATGTGATATTTTAAAAGGTTGCATTCTAGTTATATGCGGTTTTGTAATGTCCTACATTGATACGTCAATGATGTACCATATAATCAAAAGTCAGTCTGTCATAAAATTGTATATATTCTACAACATGCTTGAGGTAGTAATTTATAGAACAAATATCAGTGAGCTTGTTTCTTATGAATGTTTGTGTTTTCTTGAAGGTTGGAGATAGACTGTTTTCAGCCTTTGGTCAAGATGTGATCGATGCCCTTTTTTGGACTTCTACTGAGCCAAGGGATCGTAAAAGAGAACATTTTGGCACTCTGTCTCATTTAATTTTTGCCATAATTTATGTTTGTATCCTTAAAAAAGAAAAAAAAAACTATTAACAAATTTTTTTTTGTACTTAAGATCCACAATAAGTTTAACTAGTTACTTATGTTAAATACACACAAATTTTTTTTAATGGTATAATCTAACACCAGATATTCCTTGACTTTCCTTCTATCAGTTCTTCATGCACTACTTGTATTGTGTCAAGCGACTACTTTAAATGTTGCCATAAATTCCAGTAATAAATCATTGCTGACGATTATGATATCAAACAATGTACGTCTCTTCAAAATCATGTAAAGTATGAAATAATCATGAACTACTTTTATTTCCCTTTTATTTCAGTTTGTAGAATTGAAAGGTAGTGTTTTTAAAAAGTTTGATAAAAACAACTTATTTCAAGTTGCTTGCAGTGATGTAAGGGAAAGATTTCACTTCTTTATTCTTTTGTTTATAGTTGTTATACAAACAATGAAAGAATATGCGTGGAAAAGAGGTAATTCGTCAATTGAATGATATGTCTTTTTGTAATTTGGAAGTGACTGTATATATTTTTTTCTTCCAGACACTTTAGTTATACTATTTCCTGATTGTGTACAGGTTATTTTCTGTGAAATACTAGTCGATTGGATAAAGCATGCATTTATTACTCGTTTTAATGAATTGCCTGTTGATGTTTATCGAGATTATACTCTTTCCCTTGCATATGATATAGCACAGACGAAACAGAAAAATGTAAGTTATGAATCATCGTATGAAGATCATTTGCATTTTTAATTAATTTTATTTCACAGGCATTTTCTGATCATTCTGACCTCGTCGCAAGAAGAATGGGTTTTATCCCTTTACCATTAGGAGTCGTTATGGTCAGAGTGTTTAGCACGAGTGTAAGAATTTCTTCTGTGGAATCATTCTTGGTTGCAGTGCTGGGCTATGTAACTCTTCACTCAATTTGCCTTTTAAACAATCTAATCATTTTAGTCAAAGCAAGTGATTTAATTGATAAACACCAACAGGTTATTGACAATTTTTTTTCATCAAGGAAGATTTTAGGTCAAATATTAAACTCGTTTTATTTTAGGAAAGGGAAAGAGATGAAAAATCTAAAGCTCCGAGTATCAAAGACTCAGCTACTAGTCCTACTAGGCCAATTATATCGGGACAAAATGATGCCAGTGTTGATGCACACGACCTCCAAGCTTCCAATCTGACTTCAACTGCAATTTTTGCAAACAGCACAGTACGGTTTATAGACTGTTTCTTTATCACATTTTTTCTATCCTTGAGTTTTTTTCTTCTAAATTCTGAACATTTGATTTAAATAAGAATAATGTGTCTTTTTATTCATTTACACATTAATAATCCTTCAAAATCAATGTTAATAATAAATTCAAACAGTTATGGAAAACAATATAAATAAGCAAATTTTGAACATAATAATTTATAACTTATAATGTTGACATTATCTCATTACTTCTTATAATAAAGTCGAGATATTTCATAAATTTGACTTCAGTTCTGTTACAAATTTTAATGAATTTCCAATATTTTCTTTTCTATGATCTTATATCCTTATTTTGATATGTCCTTTGTATGTGAAACTTAGATAAATTTTGTCAATATTGTAGACACATACCATGCTGGTCAAAAATAGTCTTTGTAAAAAAAACAAAAAAAAACTGCCAACTGTGTTTGACCCATTTTGAGTCTGTTCTGAGGGGTTTTAATGTTAACATCCTTATTTTTTCAGTTAATTTTGTCTTATTGTAATTGGCTTCGTGTTTTCACATTAGCCAAACTACAGTTTAAAAAAAAGTAATACAAGATTGTAAAATTCCAAGGGAGCAACTGACGATAAAATCCAGGATTTATAAGCCCTGAGGTCATAAATTCTATGTTACTAGTAGTATGCCATGTAGTGGTTCTGAGTTTGGTTCTTGCCATCCCCTTCTAAATTTTCTTTTAAAATTTGAATGAATAAAATTTTGAAAAAAGCTACATTGTCTATTTATCTCTAATTGTGTGTAAAGCTTTCCTTCATGACAGTTTTAGTTTACCTTTGAACAATTTAAAATTCTTTAATTGATTAATCATTAAAGGTAGTATTATTATTCTCCCCAAATATAAAAAAAGTAGCTTTATTCTATATTATAAAATGATAAAAACTTAAATAATATATAAATGTTTGTATGACATTTTATATCTAGGTCAGCATGCATGATGTCTGTCTGAACGAGGAATTGCTACGAGTCGGTGTGAAGACACTTGAGAGTATCGGGGAAGATGAGATATCCCGCTCGCAGCCAAACATTCAAATGGAGCCATTACTCGAAGAACCGATTGTGATTCTGGAAGGTGACAATTTAAAAAGGGCTGAGTCGGAGCCATCTATACCACTCATTACAGACGGTGCATCAGCCGAAAACGTATGACCCATGACGTACAACTGTGAGGCACTCCATTTCAAAATATCGATCTCATTCCTTCCACATTGAAAATAGGACCGTTTCAACTTTACAGAAAAGATTTTTAAGTAAATTGATATACTTTACAATTGATTTCTTTATAGTCATATAAAATGATAATGCACTTTAAAATGTATTTTTTCATTGTTTTTCTTTTCTTGAAACTGAATTGAAAGGATTAAAGGAGAATGCTGATGCCTTAGATTTATTCTCGCTATTTTAGGGCTGTGAAATTATTAACTAAACACAACCAAACAAGTAAGATAGAATGTATAAAAAATATTTTCTTAATAAATAAAAATTTGTAAAACTTATTTCTCTGGTAATTAGGACAGTTATAAAAAGTGTTATTATTGATTGAGACCAAATGTTACAACGCTTTTGTTTTATTTTAATTTTAAATTAAAAAAGACAGTAGGTTACTTCTTCTGTATTACTTATTAATCAACATTAAAAACATTTATATGATACTATTTTATATTTAAGGATGAGTGTGAGGATCACTCAAAAAGAAGAAAGTTTGATAATCTAGTCTAACTAATATAAACAAGATGAATTTGGCACAAAGGTGTATAAAAAAACCCATTCATTATACAATTGCAAATATGTAAAAAGAAATATAGTAATATAATAAAAGATAAATTTATTCTTCAAGAAAAAAAAAATCCTTAGTTTTTATTTCCTACAATTATCTTCTTATTTCTAGTTCAGAGAATTTTTAAAAATAATGAGATTTATTTTGCAGTAAGCCACCTGGTGAAGTATTCTGTCGATTTGTAGATTGATCATTCTGGAATACCTGCCCTCTCAAGAATTTCTCCAGATATTGAATTTTTGATTATTCACTAACAGCAAATTTACTACTTCTAACTGTTATTATTTCAAATTTATGAATATATTTTGTATTATTAATAATTAAATTGTTCTGTGCATTGTACTCGGTACTTACAATTTTTCTCAATTTATTTACATACCACCTGTACATTAATTTTTGTATCAAAATTTCCTTTGAATTTATATTCAATAATATTATGGATGTAAAGCATAAAGGAAGAGTATGAAACTGTATCCTTCCTTGCTCGCTCATTAAATTGGTACACAGGCCTGGGTAAAGAGTTGTATCACTGCTGCTCAGTATTCGATAGAATTTGAATGAATAAAAAAATATCAAAAAGTTGGAAACATCAAAATTTTCTTATAGTGGAAATTGGCTTACTGCGGGAAAAGGAAGATAACGACCAAAAGTAACACGAGGTGGATTTTTATTGAGAGAGTGAGCAAAATAGATTATAATTCATCAAGTGGGGTGATAAGCTGGGGAGTTATAACAATATAATATACCAAAAGTTGTTTTGCAAATATTTAGTTTACATTTTCCTTTTGATTTTCTTATGTACATAAGAGCTGTTTTCAGTTATTATTATTTTTTAGGTAATAGAGGCCTAAATCATTGTGCATTAGGTTACAAATGCTGTACTACTGCTTTAATGGATATGTTTTCTTTTTCAGGCTGGGTAAAATTGCAAATGTAAACTGAGACACTGATGGCATTTAGATCTATTGCTATTTTTCTAGTAGCAATAGAAGGGAAAAATGCGAATGGAGCATTTTTTAAAATAAGTATGTACCCAGGTTTTTGAAACCAGGATGATATCTTTATTTTTTAAACCTTTTAAAAATGATTATTTTTAAATAAATCCAACACAATTTATGCAGGTTTTTAACCGGACGCCATAGCAAAATATTTTTTTAGACCCCTAAAACGAATTCGGCATCACTGCGTTTTGCAAGGCGCCGATGCTTTTCATCCGAGTGTAAAACAAGTCCGAGTGTAGGAATTATGCAATTGTTACTTGTACACAATCGCTTGTTCTACCGGAATAGGAAAGAGAGAAAAAACCCTGGCAGAAAAGATAAAGCGTCACTTCAGACATTTGACCAGAGAATGCCCAAGTTGTTATCGCCGTCGACGTATGGTTATGTCAGTTGAGTCGAGTCAATAAACGTCGTATAATCAAGAAGCATCTAAAAACCTCCAATCTAAAACTGCAATATGTTCTTTCGCTGTTGAAAACACTTTGTACTTTTATTTTGCATAATTTATTTGTTTTTGTAAGGTCATCCACCCTAGGGGCGTTCATTCGTTTGGAGGTCAAGGCGCCTGAACAGTTTAGGCTTGTACGACCTTATGTCAAATGGGTATGCCCTATCGTCTTGTCGTGTCAGGCCTTTCCCGTCCGTTTCTTGACAATGGGAAAGCAAATAGTCTTTAATATATTGAGTGTAGGGATTCGGTGAACGTGTCAACGCTTAAAAGCGACGACTTTGGTGCGAGGGGTTGGTTTGCTGTTGGTATTATATGGGGTGGGTGTGACGTCATGGTAAGTTGTCGTCATGTTCCCTTGGAGACATTTATGACGTCATCATTGATTATCTTCCCAACTCAATGAATGTGAGCCGTTGCTCGTCCACCTTTGTGGCAGCCCTCGTTTATCTTGTCTTCCTTACATGACCTAATTTAATTAAAGTAAAAAATATAAATAAATAAGTAAAAACAGTTGTAGGGGTGGGAAAGACCATCTTTACCTTCTAGTTTCGTCGTTTTTATTCTATTCTGAGGACTTTCCATTGGAATGTTTGGATTAGTTGTATTTTAGATGGCTTGGTGGTACGTCACAGCTATATTCAAATAGGTCGAAGTAATTTTTTGTACATAGATAACTGTTCTTTACAGAAATGTCTGATTTTTGTTTTTGCCGAGCAGTCTGTTTAGTTCCTGTCGCTTGAGTCTTGTGAGGATATTCCACGTCAGGCTACTGTCTAATTATAGTAATCAGTATTAACTTGTGTAGATGTCGGAAGTTACTTAGAAGCAAGGCTGTTTATTTAATGTGAACGTAATTTGGGTGCATTTGTTCTTGTTCAAATGTGTGGTGATTAGTGACCGTTAACGATATTTATTTAGAAATCGTGAGATGCGGTCTGGTGTGATGTAGGTTTCAGAAAAACATTTTCTTTATCGTGCCAACGTTTCGGCACTCTCGACACGACACGCAGGAATGGCACAATTACACAGAAGACAAACACTTTGAGCCCTGAAGATGATCTCAATAAAGATCGAAACGTTGGCACGATAAAGAAAATGTTTTTCTGAAACCTACATCACACCAGACCGCATCTCACGATTTCTAAATAAATATGTTCTTGTTCAGTTTCATTGACCATATTTTGCACCAATCTTCGATGAGCTCAAGTTAGTCATGGATTTTGGAGGTGGCTTGGATAGGATTTGAGTTAGGGGATAAAATTACGCAGTCCTCATAGGTTGTAAGGATGGTGTTGGGATGTATCGGCAAGTCAGCAGTATAAATAGTAGGTATATAGGATAGGACAAAGAATGCTAACTTGTGGGGCATTAGCTTGGATCGGTCTTGCCTCTAAGAACTAATAACTGCCCGCACCTTTCATTGTAGCAACGATCGTTAAGATTATTAGGTCTTACTGGAACTGTTTTAGTTTAAAGAGAACTTCCGAGTGCCAGACACTGTCAATAGCTTGGATCATGTTTAAGAAGTACTCGGACCAGTACTCTGTTTTCTAAAGCAGAAGAAATTCCTGAACTTTCTTTTTGGTTACTTGCCATACCATATCGAGCGGATTTTCAGTAGTAATGCCTTCATTTTACGTTCAGTTGAAAATTTCTCTTTATCGGTTCATACGCGACGTTGGCTAGTGAATTTGTTGATGAGGTTTACTAAGAGCGGACTTTGCGAAATTGGATTGAAGAAGCGGAAAATGGCGACAAGCCTATAAAGCGACCAGCGTGACACTACAAATAGCAGTTTCAGTTAAGAGGGAATAACTTCTTAGAAAAGTTAGGGAATGTGAAAAAGGATATGTAAAGGTGTTTAAAGCGAGTTTATCTTAATGGTCGAACTTCGCCATGGTGCTCTTTGATCCAACTCCAAGTAATGGAGAAGATCACTGTACGTACGTTCGTTGCAGAACTGAGTTCAGTTTAATACTGCAACATATGCACGAGGTTTTGAAGGGGCGATATTCGTCTTTATTGATTAAGTAATTCCAATCTTAAAAGCAAAAGAATTACCAAATTAATGAAATCAAGCTTCTACTTCACTTCTCAGTCCCGACCTTGCTTCTTCAAACAATTTCTTCTGAGAATGGCCCACTGAGGGAAGAGTAATATATTGCAAAGTGAAAATACTGGAGTAGAAGGATTTTTTGTGAAAATGTCATGTAAATAGAGTCATTATCAAAGTTACAAACTGTTATCACCACTACTCGACAGACGTTCCAAAGGTTCACTTATTTTCAATATATTGTATTTGTAATATACACCACGGACCAGCCAACGTCCATACCATGCTGAATACACCGGTTCTCGTCCGATCACCGAAGTTAAGCAGCATCGGGCGTGGTTAGTACCTGGATGGGTGACCGCCTGGGAACACCGCGTGCTGTTGGCTTTTTTTTTTACATTCCTCACTAAGAATTGTATATACTATTGTATACACCACGGATCTCAAACCATTTATGGTTTCGAACTCGAGGGGTCAACCAAGCATCAAACTCACAACGCATCCAAAGATTCCAATTAAAAGTCATAAAAAAAATTGTTAACCCTCTATATCATTTATCAAACCTGACGCTACAACGAGTCCTTAATATCCCATTTATTTCAGAAGTAGCTAATAGCTGTTAAAAAAATTCTATCAATCCCTTTTCACACATTCCAATGGCTTGGTCCGACAGCTCAGTTCCACTACTATCCCAGATAATCCTCCCCGTCGACTGAGACGCCGATGGCCACGTGACGTCCTAAGTAGTGACGAAAAAATTGAAAAGTGGTCATTATTTATTTCTTCTAAGGGAGCTCACAATTGGACAATTTCTCCTCACACGTTTTTCATGTCAATTTTGTTATTGCAGCATTTTTACCGTGGTAATTGTTTACAGATGTAAAAATCAATAAAAAGAAAAACAAATAATTCATGCACTGCAGAGATGATCTCTATTTGCTTGAAAGCGCTGTTTTAAAAATTTATTATAATTATTAGAGGATGAGGATGAACGATTAATGTCATTTTCTGTAACACAATTAGTACATGGGGATGTGAAGAAGCAAAGGACAAATGATTATATTTTGGTGATTATTTCGAAGAGATTTGAGGCTTTGGAGTGGGTATTTTTGCCTCAACTTCAAACTTTGCAACCGTACCTCCTG